CCATCTCCGCCTCCTCCACCCTCGCCCCTCCCACCTCCTCCACCCCCGCCCCCAAAGACCCCACCACCTCCTCCAAAGACCCCTCTTCCTCTTCCAGCCCTAAAGACTCCAAGTCCACTCCCGCAACAGACCCCCCACCCCGCCTCCGCCTCATCCCACACCTCTCCGGCCTGCGCGACGCCGACCCCGCGCCCGCGACTGTGATGTATTGGAGCAAGGCGCCGGTGTGGGGCGCGCTGCCGAGCCATAATATGAGGGCGCATAGTGTGAGCCTTGTGGATCATACGGCGTGGTTGTTTGGGGGGTGCGATGATAAGGGGTGTTGGAAGGATGTGTGGTGTTTTAATACTGGTGAGTTTCCTTCCTTCCTTACCTTCTTACTTCTTTCTTTTTGTATTTTTTTGTTGGGTTTGCGAACGTTGGGGGCTGGGTTTGAGTGGGGAGGTGAGATGTTGGACGGGAGACAGGAGATGGGAGGTGGATGGGGAATGGGTGGGTGGGTAGGAACATGGCGATTGCGTGCACAGTGCACAGTGCACATGCGTGTGTGCTCTTATATCCTCCCCATGCCAGCCCAGTCCAGTCCAGCCCGTTGCGAGCTCGTGGATGTGCTCATCTATCTATCTCCCTTTGTGCTCGATTTGGGACGTGTGGGAGGCGTGTGGGATAGGTTGGGTTGGGCTGGACTTCTCGGGCTTTGCACGTTGCTCACCATCACGGTGTTGTTGCTAGTCATCATCGTGCTTGTTGTTCATCATCACGGTGCTCGTCGCTCTGGCGATGAGATGAACGCACACAACACGTCCTCTCATCCTTGTTCTTATCCCCGTCCTCGTCCCCGTCCCCGTTCTATCCCAACATGACCATCGATGTCGAAGCCGATGTGCATTTTGTATCGGAGGCGTTGATTCGCGTTCTGTGTCGAGGGGCGCTGGACGTCGCTCTGGAAATGAACGCACACATCATGTCCTCTCATCCTTGTTTTCATCCTCGTTTTCATCCTCGTCCTCGTCCTCGTCTTCGTTCTCCTCGTCATCGTATTCTAACATGATCATCGATGTCGATGTCGATGTACGCTCTGGATCGAATGGCGTGATGCTTTGTTATGAATAGTATGGGGGTACACGAGACGAGACGGTCGTCGAGACGATGCATGTCTCCGTTCGTGAGTTCGTGAGTTGGGGCGATGTTTGCGCTCGTTCTTCCGTTCGTTGAGAGGATGTTCGCGTGCGGTCATTTGTTGAGACAACGTTTGCGTCCGTGCGTTTTGAGATGAAGCGGATGAGAGGGCGGTAATAGTAGCTGTCGATTATGCGTCCCAGCGTACCAGCGTCGTGCACGGTGATTAGGCTCGTCGACGTTTGTTGGTTGGTTCTGTGCATACGCCGTTGCAGACGAGCATCCGTCATGTGATGTTTCAGGAATGCCGTCCATCCGTCCATCCGTCCAACTCGACCGTAATACCCTTCATTTCCGCACTCTGATTTCTTCCCTCCCCTTCTCATCCTTCACATCATCCACTCATACTGACGCCCTCTCACCATGTATTCAAACAAAAATAGAAACCTTCCACTGGACCCACCCCGAAACGACAGGCGAAGTTCCCCCGCCTTGTCGCGCACACACGGCGACGCCGCTCGATTCGCGGAAGTTACTCATCTTTGGAGGTGGGGAGGGGCCGAATTATTACAATCAGGTGGGTCTTCTCGCTCGTTTACCTTCTACATTCCGCAATCGTGGGAAACATGCCCGACGTTGAAATTCTACATCTTGCTGATCACCACACATCCATTACTTCCTCCCGCTCGCTTGCCCTGTTGTTTTTCGTGTTCTTATCCATATCCACACATAGGTTTACATCCTCGATACCGTCCTCCGCCGCTGGTCAAAACCGACGATCATAGACGAAGACAAACCCAACGGCGTCCCGCCCCCGAGGCGCGCACACACCGTCGTGCAGTACAAAGGCCGTCTGTGGGTCTTCGGAGGCGGGAACGGCATGATGGCGTTGAATGACGTGTGGACGTTGGACGTTTCGGGAGCTTATGGGTCGTCGTCGTCGTCATCTTCCGCTCCCGGTGGAGGGAATGCGGACGGTCGGATGGGAAGTGCTGGAGGATATGGTGGTGGCGGCGGTGGCGGTGGCGGTGGTGGTGGTGGTGGTGGAGGACAGGGAGGGCAGGGAGGACAAGGACAGGGAGCACTGGATAGGCTGAAGTGGGAGTGTGTGCAGATCGAGGGGAAGAAGAAGCCAGGGCCGAGGGGCTATCATACGGCGAATCTGGTGGGGAATGTGATGATCGTGATGGGCGGGAGCGATGGGCGGGAGTGTTTTTCGGATATTTGGTGTTTGGATTTGGGTGAGTTTTGTCTCTCTGATCTCTCGACTCGAATTGTCCTTGTGGAGAGGGGAGGAAGGAGAGGGAGAGTTCGCTTTTTGTGTTCGTGGTTGGACTGGCTGTTTGAGGTGATTGATGTTGGGAGTGGTGGTGTTTTAGTGTTGCGAGTGTGTTGCGAGTGCAGTGTGGGGTGGTTCGCTTTCATATTCTGCTTTTCTACTTATTCGAGTCGTCGTTTCTTCGCCACTCTTATTATCTCCACTCTCTGTCCTCCTTCGTCGACTTCTTTTTCTTTTTCTTTTGTTTGAACTATCTCTTCATCTTACTGACCTCGTCCTTCCCCTCTACCTCCAGACACACGCATATGGACCCAAATCAAGCCAGACACCTCACATCGGAGGCTCTCGCACGCCGTGACCCAGGTCGGGTCGTACCTGTTCATCACGGGCGGACATGATGGGAACGAGTATACGAGCGAGCTGTTGATGTTCAACCTTGGTGCGTTTTTCTTACACTCTCCGTCTTCGCTCTGCGACTCGAGCTTTTCATAATTAACGTTCACCCTTTCCTTAACCTTACCCATCACGCTACTTACCGTCAAACCAAAAAAAAAACAGTCTCGCTCCAATTCGAACCCCGAAGGACACTCGGCCGTCCGCCCTCGCCGCGCGGGTACCACGTCTCGCTCCTCGCCGACAGTCGCATCTTTGTCTTTGGAGGGTTTAATGGACATGATGTGTATGACGACGTGCATATACTCGAGTTGGCGGCGGCGGCGTATTTGCCGCAGGTTACGAGCTTTAGGATCGAGGCTACGTAGGTTGGAAGATGGGGAGGACGGAGGGATAAGGGAGGAGGGTGAGGGGGTAGGAGGACGTGTAAGGATGCACGGTAGGGGGATGCAGCGAGGTGGGAGCGATTGGGTGGGTATGAAGAGGCGGTACTTCACTACTCGAAGTATGCACGGCGATCGAGTGGTTCCGACATCCATCCTAGGACATCACATCGTGCGGACCGCGAAGTGATTGGAATGGTGCGGTACGAGGATATGTTTCTCGATGGGATGGGCGCCATTACACCTCGATAGGTCCGCCGCGGATGGGGAGAGCCGGCTTTTAGGAGAAAAAGGTGGGGGGAAGGTGGATGCCTCTATGCCAATAATATGCGCGGCGACTGCTCGCTGCTTCGTTATGGCCGATTAAGTATCTATGACTCGGTTCGTCTGCCAGGATTTCCTGATTCCGATCTCGATTTCTGTTCCTGCTTTTTATCTGGATCTGGATCGCTATTTTTTTCTTTCTGACTGATTTCTTTCTCTCCTCCTTGCATGTGTGTCGTATATGCATACATATCTAATTATTACCCTTCGTGTTGCATTCCTTTTACATTCTCATCCTCTCTCGTCCTCGTTTGACTGCGTCTGCTCGAGCTCTCTGATCAATTCCATCGATTTTCTGAATCACCACATTCGGCGTTCGCCTTCATCTCACTCCGCCTTTCCTTTCCTTTCCTTTCCTCCTCATCCTTCATCACTACTTTCTGATTCATCCACGAGTTGTGCGGTTCGTTTCATCTGATTTATGGTTCCTTTTTTCCATCCATCTCTCTCTCTCTCTCTCCGACTCCGACTCTTGACTCTTGACTCCGACTACTTATGCTCCCAACACCCCAACCCGTCTATGATTCCCTCTCATCTCATTTCATCTCGTCTCATCTCGTCTCTCATCTATCTCGGCTGTCTCCTCCCACACACGTTCACTGGCACCCTCCGTGTCAATGTGAATACTCCGCGTATGCGTATGCGTATGGCTGTGGGTGGGTGGATGAGGATGGAGAGACTCTCACACTCACGCTCGCTATTATCCCTTACTTCTCACCTCTTACTTCTTACTTCTTGCGTTTGACTTCTTACTTACTTATGCTGCCCTCTCAATCGCCATATCTCGTCTTCGGGCTCGGACTGGTCCTTCCTCAAATAGGGGATTCGTGTCTGATTAATCGGCCTGCTCTATCCAGTAAGATTGACCCGCCTCAAATTCAAAGACCTTCTGAGAGCTGGGCCATAGAGAACACGCCGTGCGATATTGATGACCATGCATGATGTCGTTCATAATCGTACGACTACATATAATTTTCCTGCTTAGACCCAGAGCTTAATAATATCTGTGCTAGTATGAATGATTCTTGTGGCCCTCGGCTGCTGTGAGTGTCCGAGCTCGAGTAGCAACAATACCATATTGGGCATAGCCTTTGTTTCGCGCTTGACAATGACACCCGCTTACAGATACCTTCCAGCATCTCGGACACTTGTTTATTTGAGTCTGCTCCATTCATTCTATAGCGACATGTACATTGGCCCGTCTCGAATTCGATGAACCTGAGTTGGGCTAGACGAGGACACGCCGTGAGAATCGTAGATTGGACGATATTAATGGCGATGCATGGTTTCCATAAACCTACGACTGGAGTTCTCTTGCTTATACCATTTATATGAATACTAGATGCCTCCGATCGACACCACTGCTCAAAGGGCAGTGTCAAAGTGCGTTGTGATTGGATAGTGCTACGGGGCCCAATCGCTGTTAGTATAGATGAAGAGCTTTGTAATTGGGTGGGGTTCTTGGGGTGTTTTTGTAGTGCACAGAAACACGAAAACAGGGGGTCTCGTTCAATCAAAAATCGACCTGAGCATGCATCTAGCCTAAAGGATTTGCACAGATTCTTTTTACGCCAAAGAGGCACCCATTGCATATCTAGAGTCGAGTACTCGCCTCGATCAATCGTGCTACCCATCTTACAGTCAAAATAATTAATGCTAGGTCATTGATTCCGTTGTGGCCCTCGGTTGTTGTGAGAGTCCGAGATCGAGTGGCACTGAACCATATTCGTAACAGGTGCGCCGAAGTTGACAATGACGCCCGCGCGCGCGCGCTACTTGCACAAACGCTGCCCTTTCGTCGAGTACAGTCAAACCCAATTCATACAGATATACTTCCAGTACCTCGGACAGGATTGTTTTGTTTTCTGTGTCTGCTCTATCCAGTCCATAATACCAACATAATAGTGCCAACGTTGGCCCGCCTCGAATTCGATGAGCCTGAGCTAGGCCACACTGGCACGAGGACGTGACGCCGTGCGACTCGTGGATTCTACGATATTAACTGCGATGCACTGTGGTTTCCTCCATAAATGTACGGCTGCGGTTCTCCTACTTATACGCGTGACTTGATACTATCTATATGGGCCAACCATGTCAATATCCAGTCGAAGAGACGCCTGCGATGGAGATCGATACCAATTTGATACCAATGCCCAATTGCAAAGGGCGGTATCACAATGCGTTGTGATTGGAGACTGCGACGGGACCCAGTCATTGGTGGTATAGACACAGTGCATCGTAATTGGGTGGCCATCTGATGCCCAAAGACACTCCCATCCAATCAAAAGTCAACCTGAGCCTCCCCTCCGATGTGCATATCTAAGTACTAGGCATACATGATTTGCACATATCCTTAGAGGAGTCACCCATTGTATATATGGAGTAGAGTATTCACCTCAATGAACCAAACTACCCGTCTAGATCTTACTATCAAAATAAGTGATCCTGAGTGATTCAATCCATTGTGGTCCCCGCCTGATGCGAGAGCCTGAGTGTGAGTCCACAGTCAGGTCCTTGATTTTTTTCTTCGCGGATGCTTGACCGTAGTGGCCCACGCTACCTACGCAGAATCAGTCCTTCCGTCCAATCTTATCGGGCTTAGAAGATTAGCGTGGCCCTTGCACAGGACAACAACCTTTATCCACCTTACTTTCTCCGGGTAGCACATTCTCTCCACTACTACGGCCTACTCGGTACGGGAATCGGAGACGGATGCAGCGCTCATATTTACATGTTGTACATGCCCCTTGTTGCCCCCTTGTTTGTTCTCATCAAGTGGGTCTTTTGTTCCGTTCTTTCATGTCGATTTCACACAGCCAAAGGAGCCTGCCCTGATGGCCAGATACCCCGACCCCCCTGCAAACATAATACTAACATTGGGGGACACTACAGCTACTGTACTGTAAGATACTTGATGAAGCTTTTCTAGACTCATATACAGCTCAAGGAGTTCTCGACGCGAATCCAGAAGCACTCAGCACTAGGTCACTAGCATAGAGTAGTACTCGAACTTGACGAGGCGAAGTCGAGATGGGTGAGCTAGGGCTGCCTGGAGGCCAATGAGCCATAGCATAAACGAGTTACAGAACTTATATGTACCAGTGCATTCCACGAAAGTCACAGGTGGTGTATTTGGGCGCAAAGCATCGAGAACGGTTCTTGAATTAAGATATCTGGGCGCTCGTATTGCCATCGTGACTGTGGCAGCCCACGATTACCAGCTACATTAGTTGACCGTCGGGTTCCTCACCATGCCGGAGGTGAGCGCTGGGACAAACTATTGGGAGTGAGTCGCAAATTTATAGTCTCCGGGAGTTATTGTGCGTCAAGGTGTTAGAGGTGTAGACGTCTGCTGGAAATCCTTGTCCCTGGGTCCAAAGGATCGTAAATGATCCTCAAAGAGCGGGAACGTGCAAATGACGCCATACAACCTTTGATAAGTTCCCGTTCCACACTTGTGGTGCATCCAGCTCGTGAGTATGGGGCATGATAGGGCACGTATGTAGTGCTGTACATGTACATGCAGCCCTGGGCCCCGCGCCAATCAGCGAGCGAGCTCTGGTGGAACTCGAACGTTCTGAACCTACATGTGTGCCCAAATCAGAAGTCTCGCTTTCATTTTGAACACCATGTTGGAGAAGCCATCCCCAAGCCTTTGTTGACTGTATCACAGCGATGAATACAATCAGATGAAAGGCCCAAGTACCTTCAACTTCGAAACGTGACGAAGTAAGTTAAACATATCAGGGTCCTACTGTCGGTGCAGGTAGCATCACCCAAACGAGCCCTCGGTCCGTAACGCCTGGAATGAGGACGAGGGAAAGAGCGGCGATACATCTGAACATGTTCGGGAGTCAGAACAATCATAGCGCAGCCTGAACAGGAATCGAACACCATGAGGACACACGTACGTTGTCTATCCCTGTCTATCCCCGTTTCGTACCGCGGAGGTTCAGTTCTACACAGCCGTGTGGGATCAAGAGTATTCCCTCAAGGTTGAACGTACTGTTATACCGGAGATCTCCTTCTGAATAGGACGCCTAGTCGAAAGTCTTTGTCTGATGAGCCGAAACATAGGTGACCGACACGTTAACACGTGTATTCGTGTCTGTCTGTCTCAGTGGCGGGGCTATGAGGCCTGGGAGCCAGATATGGTTATCCGATTAACATGAGGGGCTCAAATACGCCAGTTGCAATGCTTTTCACAGCCTTGCTGAGCACTGGACCCACAGGCTGAGGCAGTCCTACGACTTTAAAGGTCACTCGAACCATTCTTTCATCATGGGGCGGGAGAACGGTCGAAGGCTCTGCATAGTATATTTATTGTCGTCGGCATGAAGCCGACATCGTGTGACACTGCACAATAAGATCGATGGCATTTGGGGATGGTGACTCCATGAACTGTAGCGCTGCAAACCGTTGTCCATCGATGGACTATTCCACGAATGTTCTGGACAGGAGGCCAGCTATGTGTGATAAAAGAATCACACCTAGGTGGCGCAGCGCAAGCTTTGACTGCATTAACGGAAACATGCGTTCCTCGGGTATAAAAGCCACCTCCTTCTTATACAGCGAAACGTCCTCTCCAAGATGCAGCATCCCAATCCACAATCCTCACCGTCTACTATACCCTCTCTTGCAACGCAAGCCATCATCTTATCATCGCCTCATTCCCGCTCTGGCTAATCACAATCCTGAACACAATGTCAAACACTCACCAGAACGTCGTCCTCGATCTCCCCAATCGCCCTACCCAGGGCAGCCTCCAACCATCTAATCACCAAACTAAACGTTCCACTCCCTCGAATAACCCTGTGCCCATTCACCTGACCCTCTTCACCGCGCTCTCTGCGCTCTTATCCTGCACCACCGTAATCCTCTCGATCCCCATCTCCGGCCTGCCTTCGCACTATCTGTTCTTCCTTTTCCCGCCCCTCACCTTCATCAACTCCGTCTTCCTCCTCTTCCCACCCAGCAAATACGGTCGCGCCGTCCCCTCGCTCGATGCATACACGAGTAATGCACACTTCGTGGGACAGGCCGCTCAGATCGTGGGCTGGACGTGTGGGGTGGTAATCAGCGTTTGCGAAGGCGTATTCGAGTATGTTGGGAGAGCTCCTGCGAGTGGCGATGACGAAGAGGTGGAGACGACGATGTTGTGGTGGGGAATCGCGTTTGCGAGCGAGCTGGTGGCACTGATGCATGTTACGCTGCAGTGCGGGTTGTTGGTATATTGTCTGGTCCTGCGATGGCGTAAACAGAACCAGGGAGGAGTCGGAGGGGTGTTCTTGAGACGATTCACCCAGGCAGGGTCGAATAGAGCGCAAGTGCAATCGACGGTCCTCAATCCGAGGGAGGGAGAGTTCGACGAGAAGACGATCAAGCCAAATGAGGAGGTCTAACCTGTGCGACGACATGGCTCACGATTCCCACCGTCCATATACCAAAGAAAACCTTTGAACGATAGTGAGTGTACTAACAACCATTAATACAATGTACTAACGTCATCTAGCCTTCTGCTTTTTCGTTGAAGATTGTACTGTTCTGTAGCAGGGAACCATCTTGAGAACGACCTGACTGTGGAAAGACTCGACGTTGTCTGTATACGGTCACGGGCTTTCAATATTATAGAATCTAAGTTATTAGTGAGGAGTCGTGTTAAGCTTTCCTCTTTTATTTAGTTGCATTCGCAGTACTCACCACTTATGCGAGTTCCTTTTGAACATTTGCTCATCGAATAGCGTATTATATCAGAGTTCTGCAGTGTTGTATCCCAAGGACAGAGTTTTATGATACTTCCCCGAGATAATCTCTTGGAATGGCATCAGTAGCGTCAGTTGCAAGTTGCGAGTTGAAGTAGCATGGAACAATAGACCTTATATGTTTCAAGTTTACTTGGAACTCGTTGGCGGAAGATCTGTCCGATCCGCCAATGAGCTTTCGCAAAAAGTTCCAAGTTTTTACTAACATATAAGCCCTAATCACTTACTTGACTTGAGTGCTTCTGGCATGGGCTGTTCTGTGCCAGAATGACTTCCGACTTCATTGGGGCAGTCTCACTTGACATCGAATACCTCCAACCAACCCTCAGAAGCCTGTCGATTGAGTTATACACGCAGCACACGACCGAAAACGAGCTCTGTAGTCTGTTCCTAGGGCCATAAGCATTGATGATTGCGACAAGCAAGAGGCGACGGCACATTCCGGTGGAAAGCTTTCGTTCTTGTGTCTTTTCAGGTCTTTTCGCCACTGTGACGTTCCCTGACATTTCCATAGACATGAAATCTCCTGCCAGCTGGCACCTGAAAATTTTCCTACAAGTTGTCAGGTCTATATATGCGTATCCCTCATTTGTTGAGTGAACACTGTTACGCGTGGATTTGATGGGCAGTAGGGGGAGCAAGAATAACAGAACGAATGAGAAAAATAAATATTGAGACCCGTAGGTCTACCACTCTGGAGAAGCGTGTCATCCTTGTGCAGGGGCCATGCTAATCTTCTCTGTATCGTTCCAATTTTTTCGTATGTCACCCCGAAGGGGACGATATCAACTGGGTGCGCGCGCCTTGCCGGAACGAAAGAACGCGTTTTGCGTGGGTGGCGGGTGTAGCCGAGCCATCACCGCGTGGCCCAAAACGAGGCTTCCCTCCACAACGCCACACCACACCCATCCGCGCAGGCATTCATCTAACCTCCACGCTATCTACCCCATTATTTTCCTTTTATTGTACATAATTGATGTTCAAGAAACCGCCGAAGACTTTAAAGACATCAGGTCCGTAGTGCAGATCGTCACTTGCCTGACATCATCAGAGTATCAAGCTTACCGTAACTTGCTACCAGCACCACTTCGGGGTTCAGACAGACGAAAGCTGAGGCAACGCATCGTGGAAATATACACTCTCAGTCCAGATGAAGGCAACGAACTAGTTCCCGATGGTCTCCTCTCGCAGAAGTTTACCACTCATTCCGGAGAACCCGGTGTATGTTGCGCCATAAGTTGTTCGTCGACGAGGAAAGGCTCACTCGACTCATCTGCATCATATAGATGATATATCTGGAACCGAATGGGGACCCATTATGGTTCTCGATTGGTAAAGACTCAGATGAAATGATTCCGACAGGTGCGCCGTCAGTGGTCACCCCATTCATTGAGAGCAACGACATGTAGCTCACGGGTACACCCATATAAACCCAGTTTACACACTATGGAAACATCCTCTTCTCATTCCATGGATGACGACCCCTGGGATCGTATTCGAAGCCTTGGCTCGTGGCGCAGATATGATGTGTCCAGGAGGTCAGTTCTTATCCATTCACCCGTCCATACCGTCCATCCGTCTCACAAACCTTCTTCAAATCATCCCCAACCCCGAATCACGGCGAATACGCTCTACCCCTCCGATGCAAAGTCGCCGGCATCGTCAAACCCGAAAAACTCCCCGCCAATTCCCTCGTTTGCATCAGAGAACATATCGTTTCACGACAAGCCGTCGGTCCTGCGTTCGTTGTCGCTCGTATGGCCGTCGACGGCCGTCGCATTATCACAGAAGATATAAAGACAGGAAAAGCTGCTGTGGTTCTGCATATGGTAGGAGACAAGCTGTGGGAAATGGGTAGTCGACCGGCGAAACTTCCCGAACCTCTTGACATGAACTTTTTGTCGCCGAAGCCGGCGGACAGTGGTGACAGATTTGGCGGTGGGGCTGGGGCTGGGGCGTCAAGGATAGAGGAGGTTGGAGGAGAGGAGTCTGCGCCTGTGGCTGTTCAGGATGAAAATGGAGCTGCGACAGAGCCGCCACAGTCGGAAGATGAAGGAGATGGAGAGCATGGTCCTCCACAGTCGGCGAAGGTTGACGCTGAACCCAGCGTGACGTCTGCAACAGCCGAACCCGACATCAAGCTCACACCAGACGGTGCGTATCTATCGCAAGTTCCCTTTTCATCGTGCTGACTCCACTCGTCAAAACCAGAGGTGACCACACTACTACGATCTTCACTCCTGCAAGCAATCCAAACAACACTCTCCTCCGTCCCCCAATCGTCTTTTCCCATCTCTTCCTCCATCTTCTACACGAACTATATTCTTCCTGCTCGTCCACTTTACGTCCGCCCACCGCCACCATCCGCATTGTCCTCAACCAACTCACCATCGCCGCCACCCACTCACACCCCAGTCGACATCAAACACTCCACCCACAAATCCCTCTCCGCCTTCCTCCGAACGTCACAATCCCAAGGTATTATCAAACTAAAAGACAATCGTCCAGACGCTTCCATCGTAGCCGTCTTCCCAAAACACCCTGATGTAGAGCATCATAGGAAGTATCGGACAGTTGGTGACGAGGAGAGGAGGGAGAGGAGAGAGAGGGAGAAGGAAGAAGGTGAGAGGGAAGGGAAAGAGAGTGGTAAGAAAGAGATGGAGATTGAGGAGCTGTGGAAGCCGCATCAAACGTCGGTCAAATTGTTCGAGGACATGAAAGTTAGGTACGTACGCTTCATCGCCTCGGGTGTATGCAGCACCACCTCGCCTCTTCCCCCCCACTCGGACACGCGTCCCTCCCTTGACGACATCTCGCTTAGCATACTTAGTAACCTCCTCCTCTATGTATTCAGCGCATCCGACCTCTACACCCTCCCTACCATTAAGTCTCACCTCAATACCTATCTCACCTCCCAAAACCTCGTCAACCTCGCCGACCAATCCTACATCAACATACGCGCTTCGGATGTCCTCAATTCTACACTATCGACCAAGGGAACGAGTCCACCAGAGTTCATGAAAAGGGAGGAATTGATCAAGGCGATTTGTGGTAAGATGCAGAATTGGTACAGGATCGGGTCGGGTGAAGAGGCTGTGGTAAAGTACGTTCTTTCTCCGGTCTCCGTTGCTTTTCCCGCGCATTTTGTTTTTATTTCATGTTTTGCGCTGGCTGACTGACATTTTTTTGTACGATCTGGCGTGGCGTGTGGCGAACAGGAAGGGCGAATTGAAGCCGATCTCCGTGATCGTAAAAATCAGGGCAGGGAGGAAAGCGTGTACGCTCATAACCGGGCACGAACAATTCGGCCTGAAGAGCGAACATATCGCAGAGGCCTTGAAGGCGAAATGTGCCTCTTCTACTACTGGTGCGTCCCATAACTTTACCACACCGCACGCTTTCTCCCTCCTGTTCACGCGGCCCTATACTCGCACGCTCCAACCTGGATGCTATGTTTATTTTGCCTCTTTTTGTGTATACAGTTTCGTCACTTCCCGGGAAAATAAGCGGCGAAGAAGTCATGGTTCAAGGGAAACAGCTGATTGCGGTGAAGGAATATTTGACGACTGTGCAGGGCGTGCCGAAGAGGTGGTTGGAGTTGACGGACGCGACGGTCAAGAAGAAGAAATGATGTGCGTATTGCATATTATCTGCTTCTGAGTGCCGGTGGGGATAGATGTACTGAACAGTGCAGTTCTAGGTGCAGAAAAAGAGTGATGTGATGTACGATATGTGTGTAGTATCAGCGTAACAGGTGTGTGGGGATAAAGTCCGTCTTACTCCGTGTACTCAACCTTTCTCGTCATGAAATTTTAATCGCAGATATGTATGCTTGACACTGAACAACGCAAACCGAAAGCTGTCACAAAACATAAGAATACAGTATTCGTATGTTTTTCTCCAGTGCCACACTCGTTCGCATTCAACGACAAGCGCCCGCTGTGTGATGACGTCGTGCGCTAAGCGCTCGTGCCACTTGCAGAAGACCAGGGTTTTGACGACAATGCTGATCTCCTAAGCAGTCTCTTTCAACCGGTTCACGATGATCATTCCGTCTCTTGTCTTATATTGCGATCTGGTATCTCAAGCGTCTTCGCTTTCGTACATCTCCGATATGGTCTCAACCAACCCTGTCTCTTCAATGAAGACGGCTCGAAGAGTCGTATAACCTTGGCTTCAGACTTTCCAATCCTTTGTTGGCAGCAGATATATGAAGACGATGCCGAGCATGGTCCGTACCGTGTGCTATCGATCATTTACACTGGTGCAGCTGATCTCAGACAGTTTTCTCCACAGAAGGGTCATCAGCACTGGCAGCCCCTTCAAATTCGACTCCTTGCACTGGTCCTCCCTTTCAGCTGTTGTCGATAGTCAAAACTCTCCTGATCGCCACCAGGGGAATCTGTCGTTTGTCCGTAGGTCATTTCGGAATCTTCAGGTCTGGACCATCTATTAACCCTATACGATAATGGCCAAGAGTGCTGTCTGCTTACCCAGGTATAGAACCCGGTGCTGATTCTGACTATTGGGTCGCAATGTATCTGAATGGTGTCCAAAGCTTCTAGGTCAATAGGTTCTTTGCACTATCTTCCCTCCTTCGACATCACCTCGAGGACCTCTAAGTGAAGTCTGGATAGAAGCCTAGAAATCCGAGCGAGATATGGACACAGGTAATAGGCACCTTTGCGTACGTCGGTTACACGAGAACAGGAAATCCAAATACAGACCCCCCTTCTGTCTCCAACCTTCCGCCATCTGTTAACGGATTCCATTTATTCCAACCGTGTCCGCTGCAGCGACCCTGGTCATGTATACTGGCCGTCGATCTTCGACGCCGACCACCATTTCAACATCCAAGATTCATCGAAGCACTTTCAATAGCCCTCTACAACTATATAAGTACGCATGTGCGCTAATCCTCTGTCAACGACTCGGATGGTCACCATCAGACACCGTTCTACACTCTCCTTTGACCTGCTGCCAACTATTATCCCTCCCTTCATATGTCTCTCGCTCTGCCGTCTCTGAATCTTCTACTCTTACTCTCATGGCCGTCGAAGCTATCGCCGTTCCAGCTGTTTGCCCCAGTGTTGATAACGCCGAGTGCTGTCTTGAAGACGATCTTCTTGTTCACCAAATCCGATCTGAAGACCATTCTTGTGCCCGTAGTGCGTTGGACTTACTGCCCGTAACGTCGGCTTCGGAATTCCACTCATCTAACATCCTTCTTGCTTTGTAGACTGCATTTGCGTTCCTCACAGCGCCTAATCCAAGCATCACACGTCTTCCGTGCACGATGATGTGGATATGGCTCAATATTCTTCAGTTCTGTGTCTCTAACCAGAGCATCAACCCAGAGGAGGATGCATCGAACAAGCCGTGGCGACCCATACCATCTCAGCGCACATCCGTTTGCTCCGCTCGGATTCTACGGTGGATACTCCTCCCGATGTGCTTGACACTTTCCGTATACCTAAACGTCCTCGGCGAAGGGCTCGCCCTTGCCATTATTTTTCTGGCTCATAACGAGCATAACCTCGGCTCGCATTGGATCCTGCGCAACGTATGCAATGCTATTGGGTACGCTGCGTTCAACGCGGGTGCTACATCCATTGCTTGTCCTTGTGCGTCCTTCATCACATTTATACATATTTTCTCTCCGGTCATACCCATCCTTTCATCTAGCCCCGGATCATGTGATTGACCGTCGCACAACAATGTCTTTCGCCTGCAACGCGCTCATTATCTTCACCACTATTTACGCTCAAGACTTTCGTGACGCCGAGGGTGACGATGTCCTCGGTCGTCTAACCGTACCCCTCGTCTGGCCAGAACACAGTCGCATCGCAATCTTGGCGTCCGTGACCCTTTGGTCTGTTGGTTTGAGCATAGCATGCAACGTTAATGTGGTTGTAGCGGTCGCGTTCTCGTTGTCGGGGTTCTCAGTAGGGTTGAGCTTTTATCGCAAACGATCGGCGGAGGAGGACAGGAGGACGTATGTGTGGTATAATGTGAGTGCTTCTTTGACTTGACTTGCGATATGTTGTTCTGACGGTAGTTGGACAGATATGGTTGGCGGTAGCGCAGGTTGTTCATTGTCCTGCTGTCTTGAAGCTACTTTCTTGATGATCGAACCCGTCATCATGCGGACACGTGCGCTTGTGTAGAGGGTACGAATGTAAAGTCCCGATATCTCTTTGTGAGTACTCTCATTCCACGAATGCTTGTTGCCTTGAGCTGACGTTTCGGGCCTCCTGCCTGATAGGTTTTGATCTTCTGCCGTTCTCTCCTATACCCAGTATTCTCCTCATTGATTGAACCTCCATGTAATGGATTACATTCGTACTTTCGACTCCACACTCGTCTATTATTTTTATCCATCGATTCTCCTAGTTACTGTGGCATAAACACTCGCCTGCAGAGGAGGCAGATACAGTAATTACAGTAAAGACACGTCTCGGAGGTACAAGTACAGAGGGCTATAGGATCCCCCCCAAGTAGTGGTACTTATGATACATTGAAAAGCACATATTTGTCCGCAGACGAAGACAAATCATGCATGTAGATGGAAAAAAGGGATAGAAAGAAGGACGAAAGAGTTCACCAAAAACTGTAAGCCTTCTGGGTTATTCACACAGTCATCGTCCCAGGCGCAGCCTCCTTCGCGCCTATCGTCCCTAACGCCATTTCCTCGTCACCCACAACCATACCCTGCTCCTTCGAATTCGTCTCACTTTTATCGTCATGTTCGAAAACACGACAAGTGTTATGCACCGTCACTTCTACTGGGCCCCGGCTCTTAGCCCCGCTGAACCCACAGTGGTGGTTCGGGCTATCGAAGGCGCTGGAGTCCTGGTCCCGATCTCGACTATGATTACGCGGACGCATATGTAGAACGTCGTGAGGTGTGGGCGATGAGTGGTGGCGGGAGTGGTCTGAGTTGTCAAAGTGGTGCCTGCACGTTCAGCGGTGTTCGTATATTGAGGGACAAAGAAATCGTAAGCGCGTGAGGATGGGTAGATTGACCACGGGAGTTTGCAATATAAAATATATGATATTGTGTGTGAGTTGAAGTTCAAAAGTGGATGAACGAAATATGTATCAACGTACAAATTCGAGCTAGCAAAGTTGGAAAGACCACGGTAGATGCGTGTCGTTGCAATTGTCCTACAATACAGCTCACATATCAGTACGATACTCCAGAGGATTAGAGGAAAAGAGCTCGGGTGGCTTACATGATTATCATCGCCGGAGTTTGGAACATCTATAAACGAATGAGAGCGTGGCACATGAGGAAGGGAGAAGCATATATGATACGTAGGGAGCGAAGACCTACTATGTTGAGGGCAGCTAAGCATGAAATAAATATAAGACAGTCAATATACTGGCTGAAACTGATCGCGTGTCGGAGGATGCTTACGATTGAGGTTCAAAGAGAGGAAGGTCTACCGAGAACAAATAATGGTCAATACGCTCAGCCGGTAGCAGAACTACATGCGATCAGACTTACCACTGGTGGAATCTCAGCCACCGCAGCGAGCGCGATCCACGCCAGACCCTACCATCAAGACCGTCCAAGCATCACTGGATCAGGTTTGCGTGATGTCCCAAACATCGATGAAGGACGCACCTGATGATACAACATCCTCCACAACGGAAACATTCCCGCGCCCCTCTTCCTAAGCAGACCCACAAGCATGATAGAAAGGAGGGAAACATCTGTGGCAAGCGTTGCGATAACATTATTACGGGCTTTTTCAGTGTTGAGAACATCGCAGGTGTTTTCGTCGGGGAGCCAGATGGCTTTGCCCTGTTATTTGCATGGTCGGGGAAAACGTGGATCAAAATCCAATACATGGCTACATGGCGAAGATAGAGGGGGGAATAAAAGGCGATTAGATGACTGACCTCCGTCACGCCTAGTGGTAGAATAGTAGCCGAAGTGTTTAGCAATCCACTACTGAGAGATCGAGGGTCCACCCACCATGAATAAGGAACGCAATCTCCGTCAACCAAATACCCATGACCAAACACGAAACAGGAAGTCTTCGCTCCCAGATTGCTATCCTGAGGTTATCAAATCGACGACGACAGTGGATTGGCAGCCAAGTCGTGGGTGATGATTAGAATGGCTGTGGTGAACGGGAAAAAAGGGAGGGGGACACACGAGCGGAGGACGACAAGGAAAGAGGCGAATGCAAAAGAGAAGTAAGAGAAGACCTTATGAACACCAGTGCGAAATGTGTGCCGTCAATAGTTGCGTTCAATCGAATGAGGATGGTATGTACGTACGAGAAGTGCGACGATCCATGCCTATTGGTAGCAAAAGAAAGGACATGAGGCTCATGGCAACAGACCACGATTTTGACCTAGATGACAAACCTGGCAGTTGATGGGAGACGTGACGTTGAACCCGACGAGGTTAGTCACAACAGAAGCGAGCGTGAACCAGCGGCAGCCAACGTAGACCTGCACAATCACAAAAACACTGAGTCATTGTTCGAGAGGGCTAGTAGAGATGAGATTGCGTACCCATATCGTCCATCGCGCCTTCCTTCGACCCGAGACAAAGCTCCATTCGTAATTGAGAGTGGTGAAGAACTCCCATCTATGTGGAATCGGACAAGTTGAGGTCAATCAACGATGAAACAATCCAAAAAGTGGGTCGAATTACATGTAAAGACCGTCGACGACGTGTAGTAACTTGACGTTGGCCGCTATTTCGTGACACAAATATCAGTAAAGGAGTAGTGAATGAGTAACACAAGGAGAGTGAACGTTATGTATATGATAAAGACGCAATCATATACTCACAAGCGTCGTTAGCAAGTACAGTGGGGTCTAACCAGTTCACCATGATCTTCGCAGAAGAAAGCCTAACTCAAAATCGGATAGGTGGATGCGAAATTCGGCGGGAAATAACGGTTGAAAGTCGTGCGCAGAAGAGCTAGATACAGGTGAAGCACGATGAAGAGAAAGGTAGAAGGGACAATGGCCAAGAATAAGAAGGGGGTGACAACAAGGCCGCAAAGGTATGCGTACGGATCCTATAATATACGGATGAAAACCGGCGAGTCCCAGAGGAGAGTACGGTGCTCAGCGGAGTGGTGATCTAGCAAGATGGGGTAACGACGAGGGACTGCTAGCGCGTGTGAAAGTTGAACTTCAATCCTGAGAAACCTACGGTTCAAGGAGATCTTGCGATGACTACGTAGATGTCTTGGTCTTTGAAAAGGCGAGGAAGTCTGCCGTTAGGGCAAATCGCCCATCGATGCGCGGGTGTGAGGAAAGATCTGTAGTAGCCCACAGAGTGTATCAAGGTTAAGAATATTCCAGATTCGGAGTACGAGGACTACCAGTAGGCGACACGAGACCGCAGATTAGGGGAATGCTATTGTGTTGTGGAGCGGTAGTGTCAAGACCGAGACAGAGGTATGGAGAACGCTGGCAGTCAGTGAGAGGAAGATGAGTACATTATCAGTAGTTCTCTTTAAGAGGAGATCCCGGCATCATAAAAAAAACAGCAAATAACGAGACCAGATGCCATCGAAAGATATAAGGGCCGTCTATGGAAGATAGGTGAACGCGACGAAGAAGATGATTCGATTGTTTACATCTCGGCACTTTGCGATAGCTTTGAACTCCGCAACCACGGTGACCTGTCCGCCACCGCCACAATCTCAGTAACTTAATAAGACTGTCTCGAGCGTCGAACGAAAGTGACCATCGACAGGGCTTGTGGACATGACTTCCAGGAGTTCTAGCCTCACAATTACTCAGAGGTATACTAAAGACCTCGAGAAGGAAACAATCCCGACAGATCTCGGGGTCGGGAGGTGGGGAGGAAAGGGCAATGAGCGCGTCATGAGCGAAACGATCTGAGACAGATCCAGCAGCACTCCCATGCAATTAGTACTAGTAGCCGCTAGCATCCATTGAGTTAGCGCGAGAGTGAACTAAACATAGACAGGTCCAATATCATGCTCAATATGTTGAATTCGAATGGTGCGCGAGAATGTATGGTGGCCGACCATGGGTTCAAGACAGAGATTCAAGGGATTGAGATGTCTCTGTCAGAAAGGCTTGACGAACCCATGGGGACCACAGCTCATATATTCAAACGGCGCCAAACGGATGGATCTGACCGTGCGCTGCAGTGCAGCGAGTTTCCGTCTGTTTCCGTGCGTATGTAGTGTGTTCACGGCTCATGAAGCTAGGGCACACATCGGGACCATTGTGCAGAAAACAGTGCAGTTAGAATTACGAAAATTTAGCATACAAAAACGAAGGTATTGGGTATAGTCAAAAAGAGCGGACTATAGTTGAGAATTCAGTGTTCGAAAGTCCATCCACATCGAGTTATAGTCGGAGTGAAATGTGTGATAGAGTTAAATACGACCCATGAAGCCCAAGAAGAAAGAGCTCCAACCCGACCAACCAAACGAATCAAAGTACCGTGATTCCTGAAGAGGACAACCTTGGGATGACTATGCTTAGTTGTAGAAACCGCCGTAGTGCAGCCAGTCGTCAAAGTTGGTGTACGGGATAGTAGTACCCGTAGCGGCCCAGTTGACGATAGGAGTCCACCAGCTCGAGGTAACAGTGTCGACAGAGCTACATTCACCGATACGTCAGCCATCCATTCGAAGGGTTGAACATCCAGTAGGGTAAGGTTGAGAAAGGTGCTCACGAAGGGTACACCGACGAGCCGATCTCGCTCAAAGCACTGTAGATGAAATCGATGTAGTTCTGCTGGGTGATAGGGCAGCCACCGTCGGCCCAGGCACAGTCGCCCACAATGTTAGCGTAGACCTACATGTCCGTCAAGATACATACAAAGGTCAAGGCAGGTCCCAGACAGACTAAGGATGCGAAGTACGTACGTTGTAGTCCAAGTGAGTCGTGTTTGCCACATTGGAGTTCAGGCAGCCGAAGAGGTAGGCGGTTTTCTGTTTGCGAGAGACGGGAGGATTAGACTCGCCAAGTGTGGAGAGGGTTGATGTTTAGGACTTACAGGATCGCAGGTCTGCGCGGCCACGCAAGTCTTGATGCTCCAGATGTCGGTCGACCCGTTGCGCGCAGAGTCCAAGCACGTCGAGGCCTAAATCCAGTCACGGAGCGTATGCGTTGTCAGTATGCGTTGTCAATGGAACACGTTCGTAGCATAAAGAAAAGCGGTTCTGGGTGGAAAGTGTGTAGGGGGAGAGAAGGTACAAGAGACTCACGAGGTTGTAGCAAGACGCATCGTACTGAGTGATACTGTCCCCGTAGTAACCAACATACTTGAGGTTAGGGATACAGTTGGCAGGGATGTCCTGGCGCTTGCTCAGAGGAGTTACAGCAGCCAAGGTAGAGGCCGCAAGGGCGAGGGAGACAGAGAGCGCGTTGAAGAAGAACATTGTGATGATTAAAGAAGCCGACAGAGGGAGCGTGTGGCACGGGAGAGAGGAGAAGGATATTAGGTGAAAACGATTCAGACCTGAGGAGCATGAACTCGAAGTAGAGAGACCTTATATAAGTTACCGGATGTATGGATGCATATCCCGCCGATCCGAGCATTGCTCGGAAGGTTTGCAGAGCACGGCCTTTGCCAAGAGCAATTCACATTACGGGCACACCAGCCCTGTCGGGCCATGTGCATTACATGATCATGAGGATGTGCTTGACAGCGTCTCTATCCTGGTCCGTCACGCTCGGAGCGTGCACCTATCAAGACGCGCACCGTTACCTCTTTCTATGAGCTTTACGCGTCTGAGCAGCCCCCTTTAGCACTTGACTCGGGGTGTTGAGAAAATTTTTGGTAGTCCTGAGGCCATTTCTACTTGGATACGATGAAGTAAAACAGGTAGATACCTGTCACGTGTGGCGCGGCGAGCGGAAGGCGACCACAAGGTGACCTGAACAAGGAGGACACAAGCTCAAGCTACAGCCATGATGTGTCCTTTGCTGTGAATTGGCCGAGGAGAGGTCATGAATGGACGTCGAAGGCAAAATGCGGTGACTCTTGTCCGAACTGATGGCATGTTTCGCTGAAACCAGGTCGCTTCTTGTCAAATGGGAAGGTAGCCATGGATGAGCCGTTACTTGGACAAGATGGTGAACGCAAGAACCATGTTTGGATCAGAGCGCTTCGGATGGTGGGCTCGTGTCACCGTTTCCTGCCTCGGCCAATATTCAGCACCGCTTCGAGGCGGCTATTCCGAGTTCGGCATGACCACCACGGAAGTGCCGACAGTGTGCAGTCTCGCCTAACGACTGGCTAGAGCACACCTGAGCACACTGCTAGCACACCGCTGGAAGGCTCTGCACGTATGTAGGATCAGAAAATATGACGCTCAGCGCTCAAGAAACTCAAACACAACATAGACAGTGGAACGTACATTTTTGGCCTGTGAGTTTGCTCTGAATCTCTGCAGTGCAAAGCGCTCATACGCCTGCCAATCCGGGCATGATGTACCGCTTTGAATACCCAGCTGATTGTGCTATTTAATATTTCCATAACCACTTGCTGGTACATCATGTCGTCAACGGTGTTACAGACACAAGCAGATATGAAACGTCTAGGAGTTTATCGAGGGCGTCGGGCCATCAGCGAGACCGACAAAAGGACAACCTCGGAGCGCATTCCACACTTCCGCTTCGATTCAAGAACACCCCAAGTACGTATGTACTTCTAGCCAGTGAGTGTACACGGCCGTACTTATTCAATTGGCGAGGCGAGTGTTTGGGAAGACATGCGATTGGAGTCGACTGGTATAAAAGTGTAACCCGCTGCCCTAGTACTCGCTCTCTCATAGAATACAACCTGAGACCGTCCAGGATTCAATCCTATACGTCCGTAAACATCGCTCAATTTTTGGGTATTTAATTATGGGTGGAAAGGAGGTAGTTACACGTGTAATCGCTCGAGGCACCCTGACGTATGTCCACGCCAAATTTGGCGGGCTACGAGACCGGCTGCAGAACGAGCCCTCTCGGACGGAAACGCTCTCCTGCACTTGAACGACCATGTAGGATTGTACGTAGGACATCAGCTATGATGCATAAGAGCTATATTTTTCCGAGATAAATTTGAGCGCAAAGCCAGTGTTCACAAGCTGATCGCACTACTCGGACAAATCCCATTTGCTCTGGAGCCTTGATGTACCCAAAATATGCGCAGACCAGATTATGATGTAGATGCAATCTCATGCCAGAAGAGGTGCCCCGTCCGCACAAGGTCGAGTGAACTGTCCCATCCTCATCTGGAAAGTCAAAAGATCCACGCAGGACAAGATTGATGGGATTTTCGTAGGATAAAACCCCAATCAGCACTGAACCAAATCGCCCAGATCTCGAGAGTCGGAGTGAAGGACAAAACGGGCAATAGAGCGCGTCATTGGTAGGATGAGGGAAAGACATGGTCTGAGACAGATCGAGCAGGACTCCTATTTAGTAGCCGCTAAGGTAGCACCGGTCAAATAAATTCGTCGTGTCCAATGCGTATGTAGACGATCTCGCTGTTCGAGCTCTGGACTTGTGCTGTCGAGCCATCAACGGACCATCCTCTGCATCAGGACTAGGCTATCAAACTTTATCAATCTCCGCCAACAGGACACTGTCTCGGCCCCGTCAAGCCACCCAAAAGGTGAGGAGACGCAGTGCTAAGCTCAGAACATGAAGGATGAGGAGATATCTGTTGGGTGACAGCCAGATCATGGTCCGAATCGGTGGTGGCTGGAGACGGAAACAATGGGGTTCATAGTCTACCAAAACAAACAAATGCGCACCATTTTGTTATATCCTTCCCACAAAATGAGCGTGTCCGCTCCAAACCCTGCGCAGCTCTTGCCTAAACGGTCGGATGATCAAGACTATGAACTTGGTAGATGAGAGAGTGAGCTTGAGCCTGAGAACGAGAACGAGTGCGTCGGCCGTTGCTCGTTTGGTCCAAGTCCGATTGAAAGAATGTTCAAGACATAGGGGCAACAGTTCGATATAGAAATACACGCCAGTCAACCAGAGACGCAGAGCTTTCCATGAATAGGGATATTGAAAAGTTTGGAGCGGGCGGCGCTGGCTCCCGAGCTCTTGTTAGGGGAAGCGGAGGACAGAGACAGGCGATGAAGAGTTGAGGGAATAACGATGGTAATTACCATGGAGGTAATGGATGCAGGATACATTGGGCTGGTATAATTATATACACGCTCGTAAGTTAGGACGGGCAGAGACGTCGATGATGAGTGTACGGGAAGGAGGATGAACATGGGCGCCAAGGCCAAGGCAATCACTGCGGCTAAAAATAGAAAGGTCATAGTTGCCGGATTTTCATCCGCCGCATTGGGCAGGTTAGTCTTGGTCTTATCCCCACCTCCGCTGCCTGCTTCAAGTTTCGCCAGACTCCTCGCGGTTCATGCGCTGGCGGCGGGCGGCGTTGGCACATACTAATACCCTTCTCGAAGACTATCAGGCAGTCAGTACTCCCGCTTCTCTTCATTTTTACATTCTATTCACACGTACTACCCACCGCTTCATTCGCACAGGACTCCTGCTCTCAGATACACGCAGCACGCACGGAGTAACGACTGCACAAACTATTCCCAACACGATATCTCACGCCTACGGACCGCAGATATGGTCAATTGGAACGATCCAGCCACCGTCGCCGCAGAAGAATGTCCGTTTAGTTTACTCTCTACTGGCTTCTCTACCCATAGTTCTTTCTCTATGAATAGTCGCACTCGTCAAGTTTCTGCATGTCTTGGACGGTATATTCATGTGCGTCACTCCAATCCCCTCTCTGTGACCATATACTCATATTGTCTATTTGCTTTTGCTTGTGACACGCCGCCGGCTACGACGGATGCAGTTGGGAGTACTTTTCGACGATCAGGTATGAGTGGGAAGTTGTCACCCGCAGACGACCGTGGAGGTGGACCATGGGCGTGCGTAATTTTCGTGTTTCAAGTTTATCTCTGTAGGTTTCAACGTATTGAACAATGTACAGATCTATATTGGCTGTCGATTATCCACACTCGCCGCTATCTGCTGTGAGCTTGTAGGCTTCAACCTCACGACGTCGTTTGATTGTAAGGTATGCCTCTATTCACTTCGTTTGTGTGCGCTATTGAATTACTTCGGTGCGCTAACGATGCTGTTGGTATGGCTGTAGGGCTGGCTTGTCTCACTCTTGGTTCGTATCGTCTCGCCACCAGTGTTCATCCATCTACCCATCCATGATCCCTTCATCATTCCTTTGACTTTCCGTCCTTCCGTCATCGTCCTCCACACTGCATCTTATGTATGGTCTTCCTGCTGTCTTACCAATTCAGCTCACATCTCGTAAATTGTCCACACATCTAGTTCTTCTCCTTCACCGCCCTCGCGCTCGCGTCCCTCCTCATCGTCATGCGGTCGTAAGTTCTTCTCCGCTCTCCCTTACGGCTTTCGACTGATTGGAACCGAACTTCTATGCGACATTCACGACGGTTAATGACACTCATAACGAACTAACAAACAAAACAACGGGAAAGGAACGTAGAATCGCGCTCTGGGAACGCCGACTGTCAATCGTCGTACTCATGCTCGGTATCTGGCTCACTAATATCGGGTTTCTCATCTATGGTGCGTATTATATTTCTTCATACCACTGCTCCAGTATATCTGATCTCTCTCTCCCAACTGACTTCGAATTTCGATAACTGTGTTGACTGACCTTCGTGCAATCCCGCTCACCAAACACACCAATCCAATCTAATAATTGAACTACGAAACCTGCCGCTCTATCCTGCTCGGATCTCGTGTGCGTCGGCGATTATAGGTCTCGCGGTCGTGAGTCTCTTTCCTCTTTCTAATTCTCCCACAAGACAAGCCTCCGGTCTGTGGTCTCGATATATGGAATCATTCACTGACATCCTGCCCTCTTCCCTCTACCTCTCTTTCACGTCCATATCCTCTTCACACTTCCCTCTTCTCCTCACACTTCCTCTCCCATCCACACTGTATCCCTTCTCTCCTCATCGGCATCCGTTCCGCCCTTCCACCAGGCCGACGCCTTCTTTGACCCCATCGCGTCCACCTGCGCAATAACGACGACCGCAAAGAACAGGGACAACGTCGTCGTCACGCTCGTCAGCGATTTCGTGCTTTGTGTGATCATGTTGGGCGGTGTGGTGAGGCAGAAGAACGACGGAGGCTTGTGGAGGATGATTTATCGACATGTGAGTTTAATAATATCATCGATTGGAGGGTCGAATATTGGGAGATGGACTTGGAGAATGGGGCGAATGGGGCTGATTTCTTTTCGGGTTTCTAATTTGGTGTGGCGGTGGCGGTGGCACGTAGTTATTTGACGTCGGCTCGTTTGTGCTCGGTACTGAATGCTGTTTGGTTGTTGCAGGGCGTCATTTGGATTGCATTAGCGACGCTATCTGAGGTTCCACCCGCGACTTTCCTTATCTTAAACTTGAACGGTGCGTTTCTCTTTCTCTACGTGGCCGCACAATGAGCTACAACAACTTCTCCCCACGCACACTGCTTTCCTTCTAACTCCACTCGACCTCGTTCTTCATAATAATCATGCTGATTCACATCGTACCTTCACAGATCCGATGAACTTAATGTTCCAAACACCCGCACGTATGTCTTCAACATCCATCCCCACTCGGCGCGTTTCCGACAACTTATTCTGAAACTGCTACGTTTATATGACTTCCGTTGTCCCAGTAATCGTTATGACCATCGGCGCGACCCGGATCTACCGCTCCCTCCAAGACTACGCCGGACCCGTCATCACAGCGTCCTATCTTTCCGACGCTCAATTCGCCACGAACCCCGAGTTCGCGATGGTCGAACGGCGAAACAACAAACCCGCACCGTTCCTCCGCTTCGACCACCCTTTCCCTCCAAATTCCAACTATGCATATAGTAAACGACCACCTCCACACGATCACCCGCAGAACCCAGCTCCTGTGTTTTCGAAGTCGAAGTTCGGTTCGGTAAAGTCGAAGGCGAGTGGCAAGTTTGGGCCGTCCAGGTTTGGGGGACCAAGAGCAAGAGCAAGACAACGACTGCGTTATCCGATCCCCCAGTCTCAATCGCAGTCTCATGCATCCATGTCCCAAATTCAATCCCAAGTACGCTCACAGACGCAAACCCAAAGTGGAGGGCTGGGCATGGACAGCATGGACGTGGAGTTCCACAAGAGTTATGGACGGTATGACGATGCGGATGTCGACACGCCAGTGGACGGTCCCGATCCTCTCAACGCCATGGGCACGATCGGAAGTATCGGTCCTATTGGCACTGTAGGCACGATCGGGATGGACGAGCTGGCGTATGCTGAGAGTGGTGGCGGTGGCGGGAGGAGACGGAGCTGGCAGGATGATCTGGAGGGATATGGCGATGGAGGAGGGTTTGGGCCGCGCGAAAGATATCAGTATCAAGATGGGGAAGAGGCACTGAGTCCAATCACGGAGAGTACGGCGTATTCGAACTCGACGACAAATTATAGCAGAGGAGATGAGGCAGGAGCGAGGGGAGAAGTTCCGGGCTTGAATGGAGGGAGGGACGCGTTCGCGCTCGTTCCTGCGGGATGGGGGGGTGGAAGTGGGAATCGGTCGAGGAGGGATAGTACTGCTAGTGCCAGTGGTGCTGGTGCTAGTGCGAGTGGAGGTGGAGTATGGGGAGGGTATGGATTGGGGAGTGCGTTGGGTTGGGCGAGTCGGAGTAGGCATGATAGGGAGGTGGCGAGGGAGGTGCGGGAACAACAACAGCAGGAGCAGGAGCGACAGGATGGACACGGGCGACGAAGTCCAGATTTGGAGAGCGGGACGGGGAATCTGAGTACGACGACGAGGGTAGGGAGTCGTGCTGGTACTGGTGAAGCAATGGGAGAAGAAGGTATGCCACCAGTATATCCGATGCCTCCGGTATCGCACAAGTAAACGGTGAAGGGTGTCGCTTTTCCTTTATCTTCTCTTTCTTTTAGCCTTTCTTCTTCTTCTCAGCCTTGCTATTCGTATGTTAGCTCGCTCTGCTCTATCTTCGTTTCTCCCACAATCTGCATCATGTATCCCCTGTTTACTTGGCTTATTTTTCGTTCAGTCAATTTCCGTTTTCCGTTTTCAGTCTCCCCCATCATCTCTTCGTTCGATCTCATCTTTTCATGATGTTTATGTTTTATTAACCTCGCGATCTACACGCTTTGTCTCGACTCCTCCATTGTCCTACTACTTTCAGCACAACACTGTATCCACGCGGGCCTCGGCCTCTCAACCACCCTACTGTAACTCTCGTGCTACTTGCTTCTACGCCTCTTCTCCACACCGTCCGATACTCCCCCCTTCCTCCATTTCTCCCACCACATCTCCTACCATCACATACCCTCACGTCCTTCCGTCCATTCCGGACCTATATCAAAATCATCATGGCCATACTGGTCGCATCTCATGTCATCTGTCTGTATACGTAGCCATTGCTTCCATCTGTTTAGTCCCTCTATCGTCCATGTCCGTCGCGTTCACTTCAATTTACTCTTCTGTTCGTTTGCTCTATTCGGTCTGGTCTACTTATTCGAATCCTCTCTATGTATCCGATATTGCTATTTGGGCACGGGCTATGGTCCAGGCTTGTGATGTGTGCGTACTACGTAGTAAGATTGAACGTTGATTATGCGCGTGCGTGGACGCTGAAGAGGAGTAAAGTAAATGTGTGGTGTATGTACGACATGGATGTATGCAATGTGTGTATGCAGAATGGAAGTCCACTAGTCCGAGTCATGGAACGGAAAGAACGTTAACAGGCGATCAAACGATGAATCTAGACGACATCGACATCGCCGAAAATCGTGTGCGTAAGTGCTAAGGGGCAAAAGAGCAGAAGAGGATATGTACATTCGGTACAATGATAGACCAGGAGCGAATGGGTACGAGAACCAGGTGTAAACTGTCCTAGGTTAATTCTCTAATGCGGGGTACACGCGCGATCATATCGAGGGCGAGACGGGTTTGGTGGACATGTTGGGTTTGGGCTATACATCGCACAATAACAACTCAGTCAGTTCTCGTACATCCATACTTCTACGCTACCATGATGTAGAGAAAATAAACGGAAAACGCACCGGTGGTCCATCGCCCATCCCTCCTACTCCCGCTCCACCAAACACATGTCTCGGCGCAGGCGCCTTCACCTCCAAACTCGACGCACTCGCCTTCGCCACCCTATTATGCCCGTAATTGGAACCGTAACCAGAACCCGAAGCAGAAGGCCGGATCTCCCTCCCCAAGTACCGCGAGAAGAACTCGTCGAGCCAGTCGAAGAAGGCCTGTTTATCCTCCGGGGAGAGGTTCGTCCAGTCTATCTCTTCGGAGGGAGGATGTCCGTTGATGCGGAGTTGGACAGCGGATTTTCGGAAGGGGTTTGAGGAGGACGAGTTTGTAGGGAGTGGGTGTGATAGGATTGGAGCTGGTGCGTGCATTGGGGGCGGTTTTGGGGCTGGGTTTGGGTGCATGGAGTGAGAGTGAGAAGGAGAGGGGGAAGGGGAACGAGATGGGAGAACGGGGGGATGACGACGTTGGGGTGTTGGAGGAGGATGTGAAGAGTCGTTCTGGGATTCGGATTGGGTATTCGGACTTGAAGAACGGCGTGCAGGGAGGCTTGGTCGTTGTGGCGATTGAGGGGACAAGCTACTGGTCCCTCTCGAAACAGGCGGAGGCGGAGGCCTCAAGCCCTGCGAGTTCGAACTTGTCGAACCAGTCCGCGCAGGCAACGGAGGCCCCGGTGCCCCACCAGGAGATGTGGCACCTACGGTGTCCCTCGACGCCGTCCTCGAAGGCGGTGGCGGGGGTTTCCACTGGGCGGCGGCGCTGGCACTGGCACTGGCACCATCGGAACGAGCGGGAGGTGGCGGTGGCGATCTTTTTGTGTAGTCGATGTGGGAGGAGGGCATCGAGTAGAGGCCATCTTTTGTGCGCGTTATGCGGGAGACGGAGGCGTCTTTGGCTTTTGTGGCACTTCGTTTGAGGTCTGCATGGGGATAACGCTTTGTTCAGTTTCTGAAAAAGGATGTGGCTTGCTTGAAAAGGTGTGATGAGTAGAACGGAGTGTATACCTGCGAGTGAAGGCATGGTCCGAGAGTATTGTGTTCGACGTTGAGCTGCTGGCTGTCGATGTCGATGTCGTTGTCGAATACTGCGGCAACGTTCAGGAAGGACTCAGGTAAAGTAGAATGAAACACGTGATGTGAGTACCGGCACTCACCTATTGCGTGCTGGTTCAAACTCCGCTGTGCCGCGTCTCGCTTACTCCCGTAGCCGAGTGGCTGCCGGCTGTCACTTACGAACATTGCAACACAACAAAGGCAACAGTGTGCATAGTGACACTCAACATAGCTATGTATAAATTCATCTAAAACACTTCTCTTTAATTTGGTCGCGACAGAATTTTCTAATTTCAGCGTGAACGAGCTACAGGACGAACCATACGCTCATATCAAATCACTCGAGGAGAGTGAAAAAATTCTGTCGCGACCAAACGAAGTGAATGTATGTCAAATAATATACTAGAATTTATAGGATTTACTGGTGGGGTGCGCCTTGCCCTAGACGCGCAAGGTCTCGTACATAGGTGCCACCCAGCCAAATCGGTGAGTCTTACTGTGGCCCGCGTCAAAATGGGATGCGGCTTGCCCGGCAGCGTTCAAAGTCCGCCAATTTGCAATGGACATGGCGCTTGGTGGCAACGCCGGTACTCACGTGATGTGAGACGCGTCTGATCATGGCGGACCGGAGGACGTCCGACGCGCTTGGAAAAGTCCGATGGAAAATCCGTGTTCACACTCGCCACCCATCGTTTCATGCGGAAAATAATGAGCTTCCAGTCTTCGTACTCTGTTCTATACAACGAGCTCGACGAGCTCTGCTGTGGAACAGCGGGGATTGCTTGAACGACCTCGGACGTTTACCCATACGTTCTCGGTCGATACTTACGCCTCATCTGTGAGCTTCACTGTACTCGCTCGACCTTTGGACAGTGGTGCGGCCTTCTCTCCTCCTTACCCGTCGGATTGAACTATCTCTTGGATGCCATTAGGCTGATAAACTCGCTTGTCGTCTTCAGGATATCTCCTTCTGCACCCTCCACCTTGTCGAACGCCACCACGCACGCAACACGCCTCAGCCTTCACGAAACGTTAATCCCTGGGCGATTACTATCTCGTGCTCATCTTTTGAACTTCATGAGTCTTTCCACTTGTATAGAACACACAGCAATTTCCCGCAGAAACATCCATCGGTTCACTCATTCCACTAAGCTCGCCTTTCCCTTCAACCATATCTGTATCAACATTGCACGATAACAACCAGTGCCCAACCGTCGACCTCTCTCATCTGCTCGACAGGTCGCTTTTCACTACGCCTTGTATCGGCCGATAACTGTATCTATAAGCACGATGTCGTTTCTCTCGAGCATTGTAGTTCTTAGTCCTGCTTTCCGTGTGTATTTTCTATCTCGTTTATTCGTTTAGGTGCCCAGGCATTACTGACTTTTGCGCTGATGACTTCTTCTTGGTCTCTGGTTACGATCACGGTCCGCCTAGTCGTCACCGTCAAGCTCGTCCACATATTCTGCGGGATATTCATGTAAGTTCACGTCCCCCTTCCTTCTCTATCTCCTTCCCTCCATCTCACCAACACTGTCTCTCCCTTTTTTTCTATCTATATTGCGACACCTGCTATCGTTCCCTTGATTCCTCGACTTTCGACACGCTGGCAGTTGGGAATGGATAAATTCGCTCGGGTTTGAATGGGAAGTCTATACGCGGAAGAGACCGTGGCGATGGTCTATCGGTGTGCGCTTTTTTTTCCTTCTTTCTTCTTCCTCCGTCCATGCATCCCCTTCACCCCCTCGTCTAATCACCAGAAGGGAAATACTCACATGATCTTGTATGAATATGCGGATCATGTCGTGTATAGGTCTACGTCGCTTGCAGATATACGGCGCTCGTGGCCATCATCGTCGATCTCGTGGGGTTCAACCTGACAGAGAGGTATAATTGCGAGGTGTGTGTCCTCCCTTTCACCCTCCCTGTTTCCCCTTTCCTTGTCTACTCGTCTACCTTCATCGTAATTCCTCGCTTCGTTTCTCAGTTTGCTGACCGTTGTCGCTCCTGCTCCTGCCCCCTCGTAACTGTACCTCTTCAATTAATGTCCCTCTGTGATCGTAACAGGCATGGCTTCGCTCGCTATTCGTAAGTTCTTCTCTCCTCATGCCGATTCCTGAATGTGAATGTGAATGCGAATGCGAATGGATGGATAGGTCTTCTCTTACACAGCGACATCGCTCGCTTCGCTGCTCATCGTCCTACGCGCGTGAGTACTTACTCATTATCATTTCCGTCTCCCTCTCTATTTCCTTCCTCCATTCGGCCATACCCTTCTGTTTGTCGCATACCCCGCTTTACCGCCTTTCTACGCATTCGAATTATATACTCATGATAAATAATATCGCCTTCGTACAACAGCGTCGCGATCTGGGCCCGAAACAAATTCGTCGTCGGCGTGACGAGCGTCTTGTGGCTCGTCAACGTTGGATTTGCGCTGTATAGTACGTTCGTCTCTCCTTTTCGAACCCCCCTCTCAAGCCTCCCGATCTAGTGCATCAATATCTCAACGTCGTGCTGATTCGCTCTGCATGTACACGTATAGGTATCACGAAGGTACGCTCAACCGATCCTCGCACTTTCACCTCTTCGCTCGAGTTAGAGTGCAATGAAACCCTGATACGACCTTCGTTCTTGTAGTCACGTATCGCATGGACGAACGCGGGATGTACCATAATTGGCGACGCACGGTGCGGCTTTCTCCCCCTTCCCATCCCCTCAACCCCAGTGTCCAACATTCCCCGTCCGTCCTCCGCATCCCTCCCTCCCTCTGCTCACATTCCGATTCCGATTCTGATTCTCCAACCTCACCCCACCCAGATCCCCCCGCCCATCCTCCCTAGCCTCCCTAATCTCCCTCATCACATCCCTCACAAACCTCACGATCATGTTCGCCGGCGTACTCAAGCAGAAAAATAACACGCATGCGACGCCGCTCTGGAGGGTGCTTTTTTTGCAGGGCGTGGTCTGGATTGGGGCGGTGGCGGTGGCGGAGGTGGGAGGTGTCTTGGCGGATTGGGTGGCAGGAGGAGGGGAAAAGGTAGGGGTGGGAGGGCTGGTTACGGCGAAGAGTGAGTTTTCTTCTTCTTGTTCTTCTTTGGGATGATGCAGAGGATGTATGTGAGATGTGAAATTGCTGATGCGCGTTATGCATTTTATGTTGCGATGTTAGTGGTCATCGTGTACGTGCATCACTACCACTAACCAGTAGAAAACCTACTTTGGAGCTGACTATCAATCCCATACTTCGTCCCTGTTCGGTTCGTCGTTCATCCCATTTCGTGATGCTGTGTGTCCGTGTGCGTGTACATACAGTGTGATTGCAGCGACGCGCGTATATCGTGAACTCTCGGAGTTTATATCGCCTCTGCAGTGCGTCTTCCCCTCCCTCCGTCCTCCTTCTTTCATCTTAAACTTATGACTCCGCTCCATCTCCATCTCATACCACTCACTCTGTGCTCCCTGCCCCTACCCCTATATAGACGAACAACGCATGTCAACCTCCAAGGCCACCGCCGCCGCCGTCGAAGACATCCATTTGACGATACATACGATGGGAGGATCGCTGGGCCTGTACGTGGAGTTGGATCCGTGTATGGACGAGGAGCTGGAGCCGTGTCGCCGAAGGGACATGGAGAGGTGGCGTTTACTGCGAGCGGTACGTGGATGGTTTCTCTCCGCTCACAGAACACCCCTCCCTTCTTCCCTTGCGCGTTGTGCATGTCCGCGGAATATTCATGTCTATTGTTATTTATTCAAGGTCCCGCCGAAGTTTCAGTCCTCAAAACGATCGAAGTAGACGTTGAACTGTCTACAGCTGTTAACGTCGGCCTCGATACCGATCCTTCCGGATTCGGTGACGATGACGAAGAACACGGCCGAGGAGAGTCCTTACCTCCGAATGAACGATCACAGCAACGACCACAGCACGAGGAGGCTTACCTTCGTGTAAGACCTCCGTCGATAGCCCTCCCGCTCCCGCCACACACACTCTCAGGATCGCATCAATGGCCGTCTTCCAATTCGAATTCGACCGCACATTCGCCCTCACCTTCGCAGCCATGGGCGTACACGCTCGAGAGTGTCAAAGAGCTGGATGGTTCGGTGGATTCTGACGATAATGAGGGTCCGGGTGAATGTAAAGAGCCTTTGGCATCGCCGTCGATGCCGCCATCGCTACCACCATCATCACCCTCATCGTTTCCCGCGTCGTCATCGCAGACTCGCGCTGGCGGTAGTGTGGGTGTGAGGAGAGGAGGAGGAGGAAGTGACACGGGCTTGTCAGCACGAAGTTCATCTCCCCGGTCTGGATCCCAGGAAGAGAGGTGAAAGTGGGACGTGGAATCGGGATCATGGAGGTCTTCCGTGCTCGGTGCGCGGGTCTTTCTACTTTGGTTTCACTTATCTGTTTCTTTCATTTCTTGGTGTAAGTATGCTGTGGCGCCTGCGGTGCTTGGCATAACGTCTGTGGGACGGCCATATTTTGTAGCCTTATTGCATCCTTGAGAAAACGGTGGAATTTATCCCGTTCACAGAGATATTTAGTTTCAATGATCGCAATCGATTGTTGACGCCTGAAGACGGACGCCGGATGCGCATTGATGGATTTTGCGTGGCGAGAGGCTCTGAAGGGTCAGCGCGGCGACACCCGCCACCCGCGCAAAACCCGTTTTGTCGTCCCACTCCACGGCGCACAACCCCTGTTCATTGTCCCCTTCGGGGTGACATACGAAAAAATTGGAACGATACAGAGAAGATTAGCATGGCCCCTGCACAAGGATGACACGCTTCTCCAGAGTGGTAGACCTACGGGTCTCAATATTTATTTTCTTTTTGGCTCTTGTACCCGCCCCACACTGCTTTCCCCTCCGCTTCTTGAAGCCTTATCCGCATCAAAACCGTACAACCTATTTGGCTTGAGCTCGGATGCTACAAGTGACCACGTCCAAATGGAGTTTCACGCACCAGTCCTCGCCAGATTCGCATTCTGGAGCTCAGTCTTATCGATGTGAACGGAATTGATAACTTGAAGGTTTTTCTCCAAGCATTTCAATATGTATGGTAAGTGATCCAAGTACGGGACTTAAGAGTACGTGCGAATGTCGAGTGCCGAGGCAACAGCGACCTCTAAGACGGTTTAATTATTCCACAGAACCAGTAACGACGATAGACAAAATACACAATGGGGCGACACGATAGAGGATCAGGACAGTGAACGCCCACGCAGTCTCCGTCCTTGCTCCTTCGCTCTCGACGTACTCTAGACCCCCATTCCTCTAATCATCCCTATTGTACGTACCTTATGCTTCCCTTTGAGGTCCTCGTCTGTGGACCGTCCCTGCTCAGCGGCTCCGAGTCTGAATCTTGTTTATCCGAGGTAAGCTTTGAATCCAAGCGAATGGACGATTAATATAACGAAGGGAATAAGCGAACTCGGGGAAGGCATGCGCAGCAAAGGAGGTGCTGCAGTAGGTAAGTCGGGTAACATGGGCTTGGTCCGACCTCGAAGAGCTCCCAAATTCGCTCATGTATGTCATTTTCTCTCTGTTTCTCCCGCTCGGTCTGAGGACCCTCAACCTTCCACGGTGATGTCGGTCTAGATCCGGTGTCCGCTCTTCAAGCTTCAAGGCCTCAGTCTCGTCCGCGTAGCCTCCATATGCATGTCCATATCCACGTCCAAAGCGAATTCCTTCTCCGCATGTCCTCGGGCCGAACCGCTTCCTTCCTGAGAAGTTCCCCGCAAAACCTTCATGCTCGTCATCCAATCTTCCAGCGCATACACAACCTACAAACACAATCGTATTCAATCTCTACATCCGACATTAACTAGAACACTCACTTCTAAGCCTATGAGGCCTTCTGCAAGCTTAATCCAGTCTCCTTCCCTGTGATATCGTACTGCATCACGTCTAGAATAACTTTCGACGTAAAAACACACACACAATCACCTACGCAGGACCTGGTGTCTCCTACTCATCTTGTCCATCACGGCCACAAATTTGTCTCACAGCATCCCCAAGTTCTGCACCTTCGCCGGTGTTGAGTATCCTTTCGCTGCGGGCTTCACACGATCTTGCCTTTGTCGCGATATATATTTTGGAACTCCCAGGTAAAGAAGCGTCGAGCACGTATGAGTCTGATTCTACTAAGGAATGGACGTTTTGATTCTCTGCGTGCGCTCAACGCTGTATGTAGCGACAATTTATGGAATGAGAAGTGACATGGAATGTGGAGTGAGAAACTGGCGGAGATGCGGGGTAATACTCGAGCGGGGAAGTGAATTGGGGAAGCATAAAGAGGGGAAGTGCGTTGGAGAAGCGGGGCGATGAGGGTGGGCTGGGGATGCGGGGTAGAGAATTTGGCCTGGAATGGGGAAGCGGGGGCAATGAGGTCAGTGAGTTGGGGAAGTCGGGCAACAACGGGAAACTCACGAGGAAGTGGGGAACTAAGCTGGGGTAGCGGGGTGGGGAAATGGCGACAAAACTGCGTGTGTGGGGCGAGAGATTCAGACATTAGGAAGCATGGATGGGTAAGGAAGACGAGCGGACCTGGTGGTCACTCGATGGGAGATGAGTGGATGAAAGATATGGCGAGTGGGGAACTCAAGGTTAACGTTCAAGAAGGAACAGTGTAGTCAAGCGGTACCAGTCTTAGAACACGAAGAGATCATGCTGACGAGGATAACATCGTCAATCTCGAATTCGACAACTTTAGATCGTCAAGTTAGGAAACATAAACACAAAGCTTGTGACGGCTATCCGATGTATTGAGATTGTGAAGAAGTTCAGATCTCGAAAGACACATGAACGAACTATGGCGATTTGAACAACCGAAACACCTAGGTAAGTCCGTAAGAAGCGTGAATGGACTGGGGACTGTCTCGTGAAATTGCTCGCGTCTCGCGTACACAGAAGCACCAGCTTCCGAAGCTGAACTTTTAGCAGTCTTTTAAGCTTAACCATGGCGTGGGGACACAATACTGGGTAGAGGGCATTGTGGCGGCTGAACAGCGTCGTGAGCGTAGCAGGAAGTGGCTGATATCATATACAAAGCCTAAGGTTGGACGATCATCGGGTGAAGGTCGGAAAAGAAGAGAGAGAGAGGGGGAGACAAAGGCAGATGGAGGACCATTCATTTGCTGTGGCTAGTAGCAAGGGTAGAGGGCGTTAGTTTGAGATAGACGAAAGACGAATAGAGGACAAAAAAGAAGGATTGGGGCGCACAGTTTATTCTTACACGGCGTGACGACGAGCAGAGTGCAGCCACAGGTCCGTACGAGATTATGGTTCAACATGCAGGTGAGCCCCTGATCAGCAGTGCCGAACAAAAGAAGACTGACGTGGATATAAGAAGCTAGAAAACATCAAGTGAGAAATCCTATGATCAGTTCCCTCAGCACCAATGATATACGATGCTGGAAAGACAGTCGAAAATAACTCACCGAGGAGACATATTAGGCACCTTCATACGGAGCGTTAGCAAAGCGTATAGACAGGGAAGGAGGTCTCATGACCATGGTGCTGTGTCCCGAGGGCCAATCTCGATCGACCAGAGCTCAGCTGACCGCCCGATGGCCTTCGTGGCGTTCATTGTTTCATCCCATCCACTCCGTCACGTCAACTGTGAGCTGAGAGCTCGGGATGCCTAGCACATGATGTAGATCACCCTACAGCAAATAGAATTTCTACCCGTATGAGATGCGAGAGCATAGCGACGCTAACAGATCGGTGGTGGTTGCTGAGGGTTGCTGTCATGTTCTCCGCACGATAGAAAGTGGCATGAGTAATGGTTATCTCCCGGTTTCGAGCTGGACCACGAAATATGACCTGGCCTTTTAGGATAAGTACACATTCCACAAAGCATGGAGGTAAAACAAGATGTACTTACGAACAACAGGGACGTCGGGGCGAGCTTTACCGTGGCCTTTGCGTCGGAAGTTCGGAACCGGGGCGCCCACATCACCTCCGGTACAGATTGCAATCGTATCCCGGTGCTCACCTAGATCGTTTCTCTTGATCTGGATCGGTCCAGTCGTCCCATGACCAGCGGAAGGTCGGCGGTGGTAGACAAAGAAAGGGAAAACTTCAATGGCAGTATCACGATACGAGTCATGGAGCTCATGGAGGATAGCGGTAAGTCAAGTATCTCGGGGACTCTCGCAGTTTCAAGCTGGATCACTAAGATGTTCACGAAATTGACAATTCCAACCCGTCGGGTTCTCAAAAATTGAACAACTGCAGCCATCGTCTTTGGACTCGACGATAAGTGATGAGACCGTTGTGGGGTTGAAGGAATGCGTTAAATGGCACGCACACTGTCCGTAGAACGCCGTCGACAACGCCGTGAAAGTCAACGAGCATGTGCAGAAACGGGCCGGCGGCGAGTATTTCTCTCGGTGGCTTTCTTTGATGGGAGATTCCATATTCTCCCAGGAACTCGGCCTATCCCGAGATTCCTAAGTTTTCCGGGTTGTCGCACCTCTGCACCAGAAAATGAGCTCGCTGGCACTGACAGAGGTCGTCAACACTGTGGGGACTAGCGTAGGATATTATCCACAACTTATTGTGACTGCAAGGTACCTGCCTCAAACGGATCGCTAACTAACTCACCCCTCGTCGGCCGAGCGATGAAATGAAACTAGGCGTAACAGATCTGCATCCGGTTACGGTTCAAGGTGATATCCGCCGGAGTTCTGATGATAGTTGTCGGTACTTTCACCGATCATCCTTTCGCTTTGTCCCAGGACAACTTCAAAATTCCACAGGAGAGCACGTATACAAGATATCAAGTACACCGTTGTAGGAAAATCGCAATATGTACGCAATTTGCACCATATTTCTTCTACCCTATCGACTAGAAGATAGAGCAGTTTACAAAAAGCAAGATCCGTTGCATACTGTATTTTGGCTGACAACGCAAAAGAACTGATCGAAACACAACCGTTCCGTGCCGAGGGTACGATCTTCCGTCTTCCGCTGTCTTCCGCCGCCCACAGGCCGTCAGAAATGTTCTTCAGCTTTGCACGCCTCTGCGCGGGGGCGAGGCACACGCTGGGCCCCAGTTGGGCCCCAGAGGACCCCGGCGGGGTGTGGAGATTTGTGGTCCTTTCCAAGTCGAGGCGGTCAATGCCACCCGGGTCATGTGGAGTCTGCACACTGTTGCGGAAGAGTACAGAGTCATTGGACCATCCATCGTCGTGAGAGCTGCCTTCAACGACCTCAGAATAGTCGCAGCTTGTAGCTTCGACGATTGTGTGGGTGGAGAAGACCACTTATGCATGACTAGCGAGTCTTCTTTGTCGTCAAATTGCTCTCGTGCCTCTGAATTCGTCCAGGCTTTTCGAGTACGCGACCCTCGCGCAGCGGAGCTTCTTCCGAAATCTCCCTCAAGAAAGGGCCATCCTACTGCCCTCGGACTTCTGCAGAATGGTTCCCGCGATGACAGATGTTGCCTCGCCACGCTGGTCCCCTCGTCTGGCTGGACTCGTACCGTTCCATTTCCAGATGTCATCGAAGTCTGAAAAAAAAACTTATCTTCCCCGCCTTTAAATACGTCTGGGGCTTGCTGGGAAAATTCATTCAGCTCCTTCCTCCAGCTTTTTCTCTCGCATCCCCACTCGTCTCCACACATCTTCCCTAGCCTCCCCAGCTACCCCGTACATAGCGTTATCCGCTTACGTCGGGAATCCTTCGTCACCATGTTGACGTTCTATAATCCTTACGCCCTCGGCGCTATCTCCACTATTGGTGGTTTCCTCTTCGGTTCTGACATCTCCAGTGTCTCCGCCTTCCTCGCCGTCGATTCCTACCTCGATTATTTCGGCCATCCTGATGATATCACTCAGTACGTTCATCTTTCTTAGTTCCAGTGGCTGAATTTGCAATTGACCTGGTCATGGGACCCCCTTGGTGCAAATCATCTACGATTTCGCTTTGATTTCCGTTCGTAAGGGGTGGCATTACTGCGGGTATGTGGACTTCTGCTCGCCTTGGAATGATTCCGTCGAACTAACGAGACTGCTTACAGCTATGCCGGCGGGAGCCTTCATCGGCGCCAACATCGGTGGCTACGTCTCTGACAGACTAGGCCGTAAGAAGAGCCTGCTCGTCTCCATTGTCTTCTGGATTGTTGGGTGTATCCTGGCCTGTGCGGCTCAGGACGTTGCCATGCTCGTCGTCGGTCGTATCGTCAAGGGCGTCACTGTTGGTTGGACTAGGTCAGTCTAATCCCGTCAGACCCCTTTCGAACTTTGTTGCTCACCGATTTGGAATGTTTAGTGGTCAAGTCCCTGCCTACCTCGCCGAGCAATCTCCCAAGGCCATCCGTGGTCGTCTCGTTGGACTTCAGCAACTTTCCATCACCCTCGGTATCCTCGTGAGTTCAGTCAGCCTTTGATACGCGTGCGTTTCCTAACCCAAACCTCTTCGAATAGGTTATGTTCTACATCTCCTACGGTTGTTCATTCATCGCCGGAACTACCTCCTTCCGTCTTGCCTGGGGTCTCCAGCTCGTCCCCGGCGTCCTGTTCGCCTTCGGTCTTCTCTTCCTTCCTGAGTCCATTCGATGGCTCGGTACCAAGGGTCGGTGGGAAGAGGCCGAGTACATCATGGCACGCATCCACGGCATGGAAGTCAATGATCCCTACATCCAGGCGGAGATTGCTGAACTTAAAGAGGCCGTCAGGATTGAGGAGACCATGAAGAAGTTCGGTTTCCTCGACCTATTTAGGCCCCAGCTCTTGACCCGGACGTTCTGCGCTGTCGGTGCCCAAGTCTGGAGGTTCGTTCAATCATATTATCTGCCGCTAGTCCGCTTCTGATGTTCGCCTGGTTAGTCAATTGCAGGGTGTCAACGTTATGATGTACTACATTGTCTACGTCTTCCAGATGGCTGGTTTGACTGGCAACACCAACCTCACTTCGTCGTCCATCCAATACGTTATCAACTTCGTCATGACCATCCCCGCCATCCTGTGGGTCGACAACGTATGCTCTTCTTGTCTTCACTTCCCTTCATCTATCGCTAATCTGGCGTTCGTCAACTAGTGGGGTCGTCGCCCAACGCTCCTGATCGGTGCTCTTCTCATGGCTGGATGGATGTTTGCCACCTCCGGCCTTCTCGCGACGTAAGCTATCCGATCACCGTCTACGAACTCGTTCACACGTACTGATCTGAACTCCGAATATCAGCTACGGCCACTACGTCGACGGTATCGACGACAACCCCGATATCCGGTGGACCATCTCTGGTGCCCCCAGCAAAGGTGTCATCGCCTGCAGCTTCCTCTTCGTCGCTACTTACGCCGTCACCTGGGGTACGTTCTTTCTTGATTATTCCCACCTGGACAAGCACTGACAGATTGGTATAGCTCCCCTCAGCTGGGTTTACATCTCTGAGATTATGCCCTTGCCCGCCCGTGCTGCTGGTGCTGGCTTGGCCACTGTAAGTTTCTCTCCCTTCCGGTCGACGGTAGCATTGTCGCTGACGAGGTTTAACAGAGTACAAATTGGATTATGAACTTCGCGCTGTCCTTCGTACGTGTCTATTGCCGCGTGTACTTCGGAATAGTCATTGACTTTCTCGTTCGATCTACCCACAGTTCGTCCCTCCAGCCTTCCGCAACATCCAATGGAAGACCTACATCATCTTCGCCGTCTTCTGTCTCGCTTCCTTCCTCCACGTAAGTCCCTTGTCTTTCTCCTTTCCTCGTACACCACGTCTGTCTTGCTCTCTCGACTCACATGTAAATCTCTCCAGGTCTTCTTCTTCTTCCACGAAACCAAGGGCCGCAGTCTCGAAGAGATCTCAGCCATCTTCGAGTCCGGCAAGCGCCCCTTCCTGCCTTCTCACAAGTTACACCACAAGGTTGTCCACTCGGACTCAGAGCTTTCGCATGAGCCCAAGGAGATCATGGAGAAGGATCAACACGAGACGGATCATATCGCCCACAAATAATTGCCTCATCTCCCCCTTTTTACCTGACGACGCGACCCATCAAAAATGGGAAAGGGAACGATTTTTACTCTTCACGTTTCACCACTCACGGCTACGAATTCGTTCAACTTTTTCTCTTCCTTCAAGGTTCTCATGATCTGATGTCTTCTGTTCTGCCTGTGCATCTTCTTCTCTTTCGGGCCTCAGTTACTCTTATTCTTCTGCTCATCACATCAATATCTTATCCGAACTCACCCACAACCCCCATATCCACACATCCGTAATCGTTTTACGCCACGCCACGTCTAGACTCTTTGTATTCCCCAGCGTTCCCTTCGCCTACACTCTTCCTTGTACATCCACCATCCGGTCTTCCGGCCCTTCACCAACTCGGAGACCTCACTAGAGCCTAGACGATCAGAACCTTCTCCTTCGCCCATACCCCTTTACCTTCACAACTTACCATACATACACAGAGTCTTAGATCGGTGCCGGTGACGTTGTATTTCCATCCACTTGACTCTACCCAGCCACATTGGATACCTTACGTCTCATTCACGTCTTTGTTTCTTGCGTCCTTGAACTTGTATTAGCATTATCATTACTGAAACTGAGCTGAACTGTGTACCAGTATCTGTTCTGCGCTTCTTCTGGCTGACGCTTTTGCGACCTGAAATTGAATAATTTTTGCCTTCAACCACCTTATGAGTGATTCACGATTATATTTGAAGTGTCTGCTTCCTGCTGAAAACTCGGATGGCTCAAGATGAAGTCCTTGGCGAGATGGAACAGTTTTCTCCCTGATCCAACTTTCAGATCGTCTCGTGGTTATGCTGCCAGACGAAATTGGTGCGTCACACTAGGGCCACCAAGCACATTGTTTCGCTCGGAGATCGCACTTCGTATCGTTCAAAGCACGCAGTATTCATACACATCTAAGCCCTCGTTGGCAAACGATTGCATGACCTAGCCCGTTTCAATGCCGCACAGGTCACCTCCCAATATAACATCATCGTCTCGCTCATCCGCTCAATCTTCCAACTCATCCTCGCCATCCTCCCCTTCATCCATCTCCACCACTTCCACTACTTTCTTCGACCCTTTTGTGTCCTTTTTCGACCCTCCGCCCATCATATCTCCAAGGACCATACCCACAGCGGCGTCCATAGTCGCCTTCGACATTTTCTTCGGCATAGCCCCTGGCCGCAGAAGGGGATGATGTTTCGGGTCTAGTGCTTCCTCTTCTTCCTCGTCCTCTTCCTCCTGGCTACCGCCACCTTCGTCATCCTCGCCATCCTCACCCTCGTCCCCAGTCTCCGCATCACTCGCATTCGAGCCCCCATCAGAGTCACCCTCAGAGTCGGAATCCGAACCAGACGAAGGAGATCCTCCATCGTCATCACTACTATCCACCTCAAAGTTCGAATCCGAGTCCGAATCTGCCTCGCCATCGCCTTCTCCGTCTACCTCCATCTTGTCCGTCTCTTGAGCTTTGCCCTTTCCCTTGCTGTCTTTTCCGTTCGCGTTCGATTTCGACGGCGAAGAAGTGGCTTGATGTGGTTTCGATGCAGATGACGACGAAGAGGAAGGAACGCGCCCGAAAGAAGATCGATACTTCCTCACCCACTCCCTAATCCCCTCCTGCTCTTTCCCATCCACCATCCCCAGCTCCGTCTCCTCGCCTTCCATCATCTCTTCCTCTTCCTCCTCTTCCCCCGCGCCATTCCCTTTTCCATCCGCCCCTCCCGCTTTTTCTTTCCCATCGCCACCTCCAACCCTCTCCGCCCTCCTCTTCAAAAACACCGAACAAGTCCGCCCCGTCGCGCTCAACATCCTCACCCCTTCCTCATACCCCGCCACCCCGGCCTCGGACTCCTCGCTCGGCGGGGCTAAATCATGCAGGGCCCAGAACTCGCAGGGTTTAGACTCGAGAAGCAGACCTTGTTTGAAGAACCAGATGGTGGATTCCTTGGCGCCGCGGTAGGCCGTGATGCCGCGAGCTATGGGCCCAGTTGATGTCGCGGCTGATGAGTCGTCGGGGTCTGTCTTTGGGTTCGTTGAAGAGGCAAGGGAAGCAGAAGGAATGGAAGGAGGAACCGGAGTGTGGAGGGAGCAGGCTTCGGGTAGATGGGAAAGGAACGTTAGAAGGGAAGGTCTAGAGGGCGTTCCTTTGGGGTGAGTGGTCGTTGAAGGGACATTTTCAGATTCGGATTTGGATTCGGAAGTGGGGTATGTCGTGGTGGCGAACGCTGTAGTTGGCTCTGCGTCGATTCCGAACGTGACTTGCACATTCGCCACCTCCTTCTCCTTCGCTGTATCCTTCTCCTTGTCGTTGGCCTTCCCTTTCGCTCCACCCTTCGCCTTGTCTGGTACATCTCCACTCATCAATATGACGGTCCAGTGTAACTTCGCCTTTCCCCTTGTCGGGAGTAAGAAACATCGTTTGAGTTGCGATAGTGGGATAGGCGGGTATTCGAGGGCGTTGGTCGTGGGGTTCGTCAGGCGTAGGGAAGCTTGGTGGATCGTGATCGTGAGCTTTTTGCGCAGGGGAGAGGTGAGCGAAAGGGCGGGGAGGGTGAATAGTGGAAGATCTTGAGCTTCTGTCGTTGGTTTTAGGTTTGGGTTCGTGGCTAGGAGTGCGGACGAGGATGAGGGCGAGGGTTTGAGTTTTTTGGGTGGCGTGCTAGGTCCTTCGGGCGAGGGAGAACGTTTTCGTCTCGTCCCGTTTGTGCCCGTGCTCGTTTCTGGGATGAGGGAAGCTAATGTTTCGGTGACCCGTGTCTGGAATGAGGACCAGGTGGATTGTGTTTGGAGGTTGGCGGAGGGAGGGCAGGGCCCGTTGGAGACGAGGCGAAGAAGGGCTTCGATGGCTTGAGTTTCTGGAGAGTTGGGGGAGGATATGAGGGATTCGATGGTTTGTTGGTATTCTGGAGGGACGGAAGAGGTGGAGAGGAGTGCTTGGAGGTAGGAAGCGGAGGAAGACATTGGGCGGAGTGGCGTGTGTGGTCAAAATGGTCAAAATCCTGTGCGCGATAGGTCTTGGATAAGTGAAGGTCCAACAAAGACTGACAACCAGAAGATACGACTTGTACGATGAAGTGTAAAAGCTTCAGGGTGGTCTCGGAAGTGCTGGATTATACGACATGAGCGTGGAGTGTGAAGAAATTTTTCGACAGGGATGGTGAGTGGCTTCGCCTCGAGCAATCGTCCCAGAATGCAGACAGTCCCGTTTAGATTTGAAGCATACCGAGCACGAAACAAAGGCGTTGGGGACACGAGTATGGCACTTGGTGCTGACACCAACGAAACATGGCGCTCCCGGACCTGTATGCACCACCCTCTGAGCCACAAGAATGACGGTTACTACAACCTGACCCTTTGAAAGTAGTGGGTACTGCTAAAGCAGCAGGAAAGGACGCAACGTAGCACATCATGGTCATACCATGAGGATAGTGACCGACGGCGTTGATGGTGCCACAGCAACGTTCTGTGAGAATGTCATGCTATCAGCTAGGTAGGGAGCCGAGTATCATGCTCCCTCCCGCACGGACTTACATTCAAACTATAAGGAGAAAAATGCTAATAGTCCAAGAGTAAACTTCAAACTCACAGTGCTTAAATACACGTCAACGATACGATGTGGCGAGCCGTATTAGACGCCGGGAGGACTTCGTCTCGGATCGTAAACTGTAATGAAGGCAGTTGCAGACCATAATTAGATACATTAACTGGTATAGAGAGAAATAAAGGCGCACTGAATTTAAATAGTGAGATAGCAGCAGGACTGTCGTGACGAGACTCTCACGCGTTGAAGTCGATGCGCCTTGGGTGATGCCAGTTGATATGTGGGTGAGAGGGAGCGCAAACCTTTCAAATGACGTTCAAATATTGAAATAGGATAAACACGCTAGGCAACGGCATACCTAGGCAGTTATTAGCGATACTAGAGGAAAGCACGAACGGCAGTCGACCGTGATGGTTCAAGATGAAACACGATGCGCGACGCGACGCAGACGCGTGTGTGGCGTAACCACGACGACCCTAACCCGAAATCGAGGTCACGACCATTTTCCCCTCTGCAACGACCTGCTCAATGCTCACCTGAACTCTGTACTCATCGCCTCACCTCATCCAGCCTATCTATCATATCACTCGACTCGAGTGAGAAATAAACAAAATGCCTCGAGCAACCAGCGATCGCTTCTCAAAGGCCCACCAGCCTTCCGCAAAAGCCTCATCCTCAAAATCAAAATCAGGCCAAGCAAGCGGTAGCTCAGATGCAGCACATAATCCGATCTTCAACACGGAGAGATTTGGGCAACATATTCTGAAGAACCCGAGTATTGCGCAAGAGTGAGTGTTTTCCACCTGCTTTCTCCCTCCGTTATTTTCCTTTGGACGTCTCAGCTTCGGGCCACTGTGGCCCTCCTTCCCCGATTCCTCTATTGTGGGTTTTATTCTGACGATGATTCTGACCTAGTATTGTCGACAAGGTGAACTATCAGAGGCACTCGGAATCTCAAGTATCTGCTTCTCATGAATATGACAGGCAAACCTACGACCGACAGATAAAGTTCTCGAAGTCGGTCCAGGAACGGGTAATCTGACTGTCCGTATCCTCGAAAAAGCGAAACATTGTACAGCAGTCGAGATGGATCCTCGCATGGCTGCCGAACTCACAAAACGTGTCCAGGGAAAGTGTGTATTACCATCCCGTACCCAACGTCCGTGTCCTGACTAACAGTCAATCCTACGAACAGACCAGAGCAACGCAAGCTCGAAATCATGATCGGTGACTTCGTCAAAGCAACCCTCCCCTACTTCGACGTCTGTATATCCAACACCCCCTACCAAATCTCCTCTCCCTTGATCTTCCGCCTCCTCTCCCACCGCCCTCTCTTCCGCTGCGCTATCCTCATGTTCCAACGCGAATTCGCCCTCCGCCTTGTCGCCCGTCCCGCTTCCACCCTGTGGTCCCGCCTTTCCGCTAACGTCCAACTCTACGCAAAAGTCGATCTCATCATGAACGTGGGCAAGAATAACTTCAGGCCGCCCCCGAATGTGGAGAGTAGTGTGGTTAGGGTGGTTCCACTGGATCCGCCACCGCCGGTCAGGTTTGAGGAGTTCGATGGGCTGGGGAGGATCGTGTTTAGTAGGAGGAATAAGACTGTGCATGCGAGTTTTGGGGCGAAGGGGGTGGTGGAGATGTTGGAGAAGAATTGGAAGACTTGGTGTGCGGAGAATGAGAAGGTGCGCTTTTTGCTACTTATTCGACGCCGTCTTCCTGTGTTGCTTCCAAACTGACATGTTGGATTCATCCGTGGTCTAGATGATTGATGATGATATGAGCATGAAAGAGAGGGTGGAGGGTATCCTGACAGAATCGGGCTACCATGACCAGAGGGCGGCGAAAATGGACGTGAACGATCTGTTGAAGTGAGTCTTATCTCCTTGGTATAACTCTTCATACACTTGACTGACCGCTTTCGGCCCTACACAGACTACTCTCGGCCTTCCACGACGCCGGTATTCACTTCGCATGATACTCAACATGGCGAGGTGTGGTGTGTGTTGCCGCGGTCATGGTCATAGTCACCTCTAAGTTATTGTTTCCTTTTGGCCTGCTTTGTTGAGCTTCTGTTTGCTTTCGTTTGTGCAGGATATACTTATCAATGTTTCCCGTTCGAGGTCGGGAATGCATTTCGCGTCCTCGCCGTTGAATATATTTCAAGGTGCGGACACATAATCCGCGTCGCGCGGGGCGTGTAGACGCACAATGGCCTGCTTGATTTTCTTTCAGTGCTGAACTGCTCCTCGCCCTTCTGAGGCACCGTACTTGAACGTACATGAAGGAAACACACGATCCGCGTTGCTCGCGTGGCGTATAGCACGGTGTACTTGCCACATCGGTGCCATCGTAACGACACCGCCCGTCTGCCCTCCACATCTGAAACTTCCGCCCGTCTATGTACGCTCGTACAAAATATGGCATGCGGAAGACAAACGCATCAACGTGCTCAATGCAGATCCTTCACGCTGCGGGATGTCTCAGTGCGGTATTCGTTGTGGCGCAATTTCCTTGTCGGTTTTTGCATCGAGGGTGGCGAAGGATAGAAATCGCTCCACACCCGAATCCCCGATGCTACCCGACGTCGGCGGTAGACCTCTATCGCTTGGATATGACGATTTTATTGGCTTTTGATGAATTCTGCTCGCTCGTCTAGGCTCGTCTACTGTCGGGATTTGCGCTCCTTCGATGTTGTGCGTTATGCACGCAAAGTTGTGGCCCAGCATCAACCTCGTCTTATCCGCACTCGCCACCCGCCTGCTTCTTCGAACTCATGCAACGTCATTGCCGCCGTTTATTTTACTTTCTTTCTCTTTGCATCGCGTGCGCTATAGTGAAGTACGACGCACGTCGCACGTCAAGGGTGGTATTACGCGTGAACGGATCGGGACATTTGGGTGGCGGTTACTCCAAGCGCCTTTGGGCTCTTCCTATCGCAACGCAGGGTAAGGGCGGAAGAATGAAAAGTTTTCACTATAATTTTGGAGCGTATGCGTCACAGATGTCACCGCGCGGTCGAGGACCCCATTTCAGGTATTACGCATGTCGTTGAACTGTTTAGACGGCATCGTCAATGTCATGTTCATTCCAACTACTGAGGAGAGAAATCGTATATAAGCAACTTCGACGGCTTCCTCTTTTCCTCAAATCAGCTCACAGTCTTCTCCAAACCAAAGTAGTCTCCTCCATCCACCAACCAATCCACCAACAAACAACAACCCTACCACCAAAACCTTCTCCTCGCCACGCACACCGCTAGTCATGCGTCTCACCCACTACACCGCTCTCCTCTCCTCCGTCTCACTCGCCATCGCAGTGTCCATCCCCGAGCGCCGTGAACCGAACCTCATCCCCAACCTCGTCTCCGGCCTTTCCTCCGACATCGCTCCCATCACTTCAGTCGTCGGCTCACTCCTCTCCGACGTCCTCCCCACCGCTACGGCCCTCTCCCCTTCACTGTCCGACGTCGGCGCCACCACGCCCGTCCTTTCCTCCGATATCGCCTCCGTAACGTCCAGCGTCGTCAACAGTAACAACAACCGCAACTTCATCCCTCCGTTTTCGAACAGCGACTTCACAGGCGGCATTGGGCCGTTCACTTCGGCGCTGGGGTCGATCCTCTCGGGGGCGTTCCCTACGCATTCTAGGCATCACCATTCTTCCGCGTATGCGTCTGCTACGTCCGACACTGCGTCTTTCACTTCGGACGTATCGACTTCTCTTCCTACCTCCACCGCCGAGTCAACCTCCACCTCTCTGACGACCTCCACGTTCTCCTCCGACACCATCTCCGTCACTTCAGACGTCGGCTCTTTCACCTCCGACGTCCCCGCCTCCGCCACCATTTCAGCCTCCGTCTCCCTTTTACTCTCGGACTCCGTCCCGACCAGCGAGGCAACGATCGTCACAATGAATAAACGCGGGCTCATTCCTTCCATCCTCTCCGACGTCACCTCTGACCTTGGCCCCGTCACGTCCGCCGTGGGCGCTATCCTGTCCGGCGTTGTCCCCACCGCTACAGGCGGCCTTTCCTCAGTCATTGCCACCGCCACTGGCGATATATCATCCGTTGCTGGCGCCCTCTCTTCAGACGTCGCATCCGTCACAGGCGATGTCTCTTCTGTCCCGGATGCGCTCTCTTCTGCCGTGGCTTCCGTTACCGCAGGAGTTGAGAATGTGACGTCGAATGTTGCGAGTGTTGCTTCGGGTGTTGTTTCTACGGTTATATAGATATAGATTTTTTTGTGCCTCACAAAAACCTGTATGGAATGTTCGCCGTAAAATTGTCCTCAATTAATCCCGACTCCTCTTATGTTTCCTTACTTCTATTTCCTCTTCGCGACTTGTACATGACATGCCTTCAGTTTCCTTCTCCATATGTATCAGTAATTGAGCTCCGTTAGAGTATGGGCTCCTCCCCTGTATTACTTGCCCACTAGAGATTGTGGTCCTATTAGATCGTAATGTACCTTTGTATTCATAATTTGATGCATACAATTTGAGTTTACTTCTGTTCGTTTGATACTGGTCCCTTGTCAAAAACTGAAATGTAACCGCTGTCTTCGTTCAAATCAGTACATTTCCTTGACCGATCCCTCGCTCCGACCTTCTACTCTGCTCCGAGCTCAAGAAGAGCTGGCCATACTCGTAAGATGTAGGTCATGCTCAGGTTACGCTACATCCATTCCAGCACCATGTTCATGCTCGCGAGCCGTTAGCACTTTGTAAACATGTAAGTTCCGTACGCCCACACTTTTCGTTCGTGATCGCGCCCAACTGTACGGAACAATATATTAAGTTGGGCCAGATTGTCAGCAGGTATTCTTCCCGAGTCATGCTCAGGACCCCGGAGTGAGGAAGGATGAACGCATGCAGGTACTTACGAAGCTTACACCGTCTCATCATGAGTACACCAGGTACACCTTCCCTAGCGAGTAATGCTACAAGGATGACGTCGATCATTTTATCTTTCTCTGACTTGGCGTTGAAGTTGGGGTTGGGAGTGTAGTGCTTGAAATCGTCGGTCTGGTAACAGAGCTCCTCGAGCGATGGAAAGCCGGTCTCGAGAGTAGCTGCGACGCGTTTGATGCTTTCCTATATACAATTGCAGTCTGCTGATGAGAATTGACTTAACACTTTCAATTGTGATTCGCATACCATCGCCGTGGGCGCGGGGGCTCCGTCGCTACGTCTGTCCAGGGCTCTAAGGTCACACCCATCAATCGTCAGCGACTTGAGGTTCGTGAAGCTGCCTGCGAGAAGCTCGAAGAGATCCTCGTTCGTTCCAAGACGTCGACATGTTAAGGAGGTAAGGCTTTCGTATGAAGTGCTTAGTGAAGCGATGGGAGAGTCAATGGGTGCTCCGACGTCTTGCCAGGTGATGGAAGCTTCGGTCAGTGACACAGGCATCGATGGATTCGACATCCCTGCCTCTGATGAGGGCTGTTCCTGAGACAGTCGAATGAAGTAGCCGTCGGGTGCGATGAGTGTCTTAAGCCTCGGATGGCATATCGACGACGCATGAGGGCCGACGTAGGAGGCACTATACGGCCCGTGTTGGATTTTGACGGTTCGTAGGGTTTGAGAATGCAATTCAAGGAATGCATAGATACCCGGGTTGTCGATGAGAACCGCGTTCAGTGAGAAGGAGGTGAGTCGTGGTATTTTTTTGAGTGGAGGATCGGAGAGCAGAAGTTTGACGCCGAGGTCGCTGGTGGGATTGGCCATATCCATTTGCCATCCCATCACGGAGACCAAGTTCATACATTGTAGGTTGGGAAGGGAACCTAGGAGAGTTTTGATGACAGAGCCCCACGATACGTTCAGTGAGGGGCTGGACATTTCGAATAGTTTTTGACTTGAGCCGAAAAGAAATCAAGATGAGTTGACGGTACGGAACATCAGCGAGAGTTGTACGAGTCGAGTACGAGTGTGTCTGCTTTGGCATACCTCAGATGGTACAGCTCGATGTTCCTTACATATCGCGCCCTCCTGCTTCTGGTGTTGTCATCAACATTTTCCGAAAGCAAGACGCTGGATATGTTTGGTAAAGTCGCAAGTTTATTTCTATTGTGGTCCGAATCCCATAGCGGATGACAGGTCACACGGATGTGTCTGTATAGCACTCGCTCCGCCATCACTTGAAAGGATTTACTGACGAGACATGCTGATTTTAGGTCTTGGGGAGCGAGGATCGCATAGGATCTGCGAAGGGGAGAGTATTCGCTGAGAACACGTTGTAAGATTTCCGGAGGCAGAACTCTCGGAAGGGCTCCCCTTCCACTGCCACCCAAAGTGTCTGCCGATGCGTCCATCTGTTCGATAAATCGTATAGATCAGCACTACGAGTCTATGATATCTAGATAGTGCGAGGGAATCAACTGCTAGGGAAAAGGCTGGTGGTGGTTCAGGATCAAGTTCGATGGCGGATTGCGGTAAACTTGCGGTGAACGTGTCGACCGCGGCACGTTTTATTTGTGTGGCGTGGCGCCACAACACCCAACACAGCAGAACAACGACCACAATCCGGAGGGCCTAAATGAATCGTGAAGACCATTTGGTTAAGATCGACTCATTCCGACAGATTGAATTTTCTTGTTCAAATCGGAAAAAAGATAAAATTCACAGGCCACAAGCAGGCGCGACTTTCGATTACTTGTATGGGGGTAGGTGGTACAATTATTCTATCTTTTAAACAGCTTACAGGGTCGTGACCCAGAAGCACAGAATAGAGACAAGGCAAAGACAAGGTCATGATCACAGAGATGTAAACCTAACTAGGGGGATTTATACCGAGCCAACAATACTTGTAACTAGTGGAAAGCGATCGAAAAAGAACCTACAGGTGACGGTGAAGAGAAAGCTGCAGGCGATGACACCCTCGCTTGTGGCCGCCGATGCGGTCCACTAGATATCTTCGTTTCTGTCGACACTTCCCTCAGCGTAATATCCATAGCTGGTGTTCGGACGTTGTACCACAAGCGAGTGTGTGGAGGATACATGGCTGTCCAGGGAGCCCATTCACGACTGCATAAATCTCTACGCCACGACCTGGTCACAACAGTAGATACCGCGGATCAGAAATAAAATCCAGGAGACGGCATGGTAAGTGAGCTGCTTAACTGATGTACAAGTCCATACGGTGCGCGGTGGGATAAGAGCGGCAGTGTGTATCCTTCGCCCAAGACTTGAGTCGGCAGGCCCGAGGGATGGTGTACCATTTCATCCAGTGGATGCTTTGGATTCATCGCAGATCAACTCTCTCGCCTGGATTTACGGTATCCCATCCACATCCGTCAGGTTATCACCCGAACTTCAGTGACCGGGGTAAAATGAAGAGGGAGAGGGAGAGAGACAGAATATGATTGCCCTGTAAGCAGTTACTAGCAACTATGATCAGAATATTACTCTGACAGAGTGAGAAACAATGGGTCATGAGACTACATGGCTTTAGCGTCTGAGCAACACCGGTTCCAGGTTCGATCAGATCCACGGAAAGACGGAATAGATGAAGATCACAGAGCATCGAGAGCAGTGGTAATACGAAGGACAATCAAAAGAAAGGGGAAGATCAGCCATCCAAGTTGACAGGATCGGCGATTGAAAATCATAGCATGCGAAAGATTACGCCTCCAGTTGAGACGCAAAGCATGAGCTTACACTTAGAGCATGCACATATTCCCATGAAACTCAACAAGGAAGCCGTTTGGATGGCTCGAGAGGAAGAAAGATGGGTGTAGGATCATGAGTCTGCCTGACACGAGCTGCCACGTTCACGGTCGGTGGATGGCGACGACGATGAGAACAATGATGGGGTTGGCGCCAGTCCAGGGGATTATGTAAGTCCACGGATACCAAGCCATAGCGGGCAACCAGGATCAACTACCGTTCGAACGACGGGAGACAGGGGAGTGGCTGCCTAATACTGCACAGCGTCGCGACGTTAGGTCTGAGAAAGCAAGAGCGTACCTGGCGTACAGAACGAAAGTTACTGGCTATCAGCTGCCAAGAGGTGTCGGGGACAACGAGGTATACACATGGAGGCTCCCCCACGAACCGGCAATATAAGACGCAAAAAGAGATGGTGGGCGAACTCACGGAGTGAGCTGTGAGTCCAAAGATTGGTTTGCAGCATTTGAGTGAAGACCGCACAAGGCTCGTCCTAGTAAAAGGCGAGGACGAGATTGCGTTGTATCGGAATTCTGCTACAATGATCCTAGCTCCACACGCGAGAGGGAAGGGAGAAAGATACTGTGGCGGACTAGGAAGCTGGACGGACATAGAAGCTGGACAAAGTTTTCTGGAATTTTAAGCAGGCATATTCATACCTTTTTGTCTCTACATAAACTGTAGGTATATGCCCTCCCGTGCGCTATGCAAAAATACTTTGTGTTATTCTCGTGAGTATCTTGTAGAACATGGTGAAATGTTGTCGGAGATGGGGTTTGTGTGGCAATTTTGCCACATGTAGGGAGCTCAACCGACATGGACGCCTCGACCAGCCTTTAATATCAGCCTATATGCTCGTGAAGGTATATGTGGGGCATAAACACGGACATGCCATAAGTGATTCCAAATTATTCCGGCAGACAATGGTTGCCTACTTTTGCGTGTGACATCTTTTGTTGGGGGGATCCTCTGGCTAACGCGCCACAAGAGGCTCCCACTTCGTGAGGCTCTAGCTCCAGCATCTATCATCTTCCTCATACAAAAAGTTTATAGTCTTGGAGCCCCAGCCAACTACTTTTGTTGCCGTGGTCTGCTTATTTTTACCAGACTGTTTGGCTTCCAGAGAGCACAATTTTATAGAAGTGGCCAGATTTGCACCTCTCAAACACCCGAATGAATTTCGAGTGCAAACTGTCGTGAAACATTCCACAAATACTTGAGCAGATAGAATGGTACATAATGGAGCGCTATGGGTACTTTTTGTTGCTGGTCCTATAACGATTATGTGTACGAAATCGGTGGGCAAGGGGGTGTGGCGCCTTTTGACCTCTTTTTCGCCACCCATTCGGCAATAGCCGGGCCCTTTCGGCGCGCGTCCAGCTTCCCTGTTATGCCACTTTCCCCAGTCGTCGTCGCAAAATATTCGTTCGTGATGATTTAGTACATCAGACTCCCCATATAATTGTAATGGCACTAACTATATGCCGGAATACCCAAATGTGCCATTTTGTTTGCATGTCATAGACAGGATATTGAATAAACGAGCGAGAAAGCCCATCTGTCCAGGATCCTAGTCCGCCACAGTAGAGTTTTGCGCAGAGGGCGGGTGTCGGGGTACATGGTTGTGCAGTCAAAGCGTACACTTAGCGCGTACGGCGACCTACGCGGACAAAGTGAAATGACTGATAAGTCGGCACGGAAGAAATTGAGGAACAGCGCGGAAAGAAGCAGTGTAATTGTGGATGCGAGAAAGGAAGTTCGAGGTACGCGTTGTCGAGCGCCAGCGCCGAAATGGCTCAACGACCAATGGTCCGTCCATATGTTTGTCGCCTAGAGACTGGGATCGTTGCTGGACGACAGTCAAGATGACGAACATGACGAGCGCGACACTTACTTACTATCCTTCCTCGTCAACGCGGAGAAACCATGGTCAAATGAGTCGCTTGCATGAACCGTTGAGCAGAGCAGAGTGGTAAAGTGTCACGAGTGATGTTTGTAAGTTGGCTGAGTTACGAAGTGAGCTCATCAAGAAACAGCCTCAGAGAGTGTGAATGTGGATCGCGTTGTCCTGGATCGTCAACATGGCTCCAATCACCAACGCCGCCATTCGATAGGAGCCCATAGGAATCAGAATAATCATATAGGATCATCGGTGGACGTGATGAGGGACCTGGCGTCAATCACGAGAGCCTTCACCGTGACGACGGCGGAAAGGAGTGAGATATTATGATTATAACTTGGAGACTCGGATCTGAGAAAGACGTCGGAAGGGCCTGGATCAAAGTAGTACCCGATACCGTTCACTATGGCGCTGAATCGGAAGAGACAAGAAGAATGAGCGTCGAGTTGAACCAGTGCAGAGAGGGTAAATGGATTCCTGTGTGGCGGAAATAGGTCGCTTGAATGTTTGAACCTTGTGAGAGGGATGGAATGATGGAAGATTCCTTGTACGATGTTGCTGCCAGCGATGCTCAAAACGTGTATCTGGACAACGAAACGGACCAACCTTGTGCACGAACATGTATCTTCCCCAATGAGTATCAACAAGCTTTCGAGCGTTGCCTTTCAACAACGCGATTGGCCGGATACGTATGTTCTCCCTGCATCTGGGCCAGTCACATCTTGAAAACATAGCGACTCGGAAGAAGATGGAAGAAAGTTGGAAGATGCTATACATAGGTGTTGGTGTTGATATGGAAACGAGACGGGCAGATCCATACCATACGGCTTGTTGACCGGACCAACACATGCATGATGCGCGCGCTCTGTAGGTAGGAGGTGGGAAGTCGGACGTTATCCTCTCCACGGCAAGACTGTTTTGGTAGCACTTACCAGTCGAACGGGTGGAATGGGTATTATTAGACTTGTGGCGGGTCGCCATGGACGACGAGCATAATTGACTTGGATGCAAACTGAAGGGCTCGAGGTCAAGCCGAAAGCAAAGGTTAAGCCCAAACCATCGAGAAAATGCAGAAAACAAAAAAGAAAACATAAGAGTTTGAGGCTGGAGAGGAAGTAGTAGAGGAAGAAGAGACTGCTGTGCCGCGGTGTGGCGAGCGACGGACGAAATGCCGCGTTGTCGAGGCTGGGTTCCGCTTCCCAGGACGGCGGCGCAGGCACTTGTTACCACACGGCCGTGTGGTTTATAAAGGTCGAGGAACGCAGAGCGGTCGGGCTCAGTTCTCCTTCATCCTTCGCTCTCGCTGCTTGCTAGCTTTTCTGTTTCTTCTCCTTTCGTTCCCGCCTAGTGCGCCCCAGAGTCTTCGCTAACGCCCCGGTTTGGTGTTGCCCCCTTCATTCTTTTCGACCTCAAGCTCTCAAAGCACCTTCTTTCCTTATCCCCAACCTTTCATTCGCCTTCAAAGTCGTCGAACCCTTTGCTTCAACTTTCTTCCCACACGCTCACTTCACGCTCCTTCCACCGAACCCGAAATCGAAAACCAATAATCTGAAATCATGTTCAGCAAGACGATCTCCTTCGCGCTCTTGACGCTCGCATTCTCTGCGTTCACGGCCCAGGCCGTGCCTCATTACGACTCGAGCAAGGCAGGGTCCTTCGCTAACCAGCAAGATGAGTCTTCCTGCAGTACTGTGCGCGAAAATTCACTTCTTTTAAACCCTCTCTATCCCCACACAGACATAATTTTTAGACTGACTCTCATGTTTCATGTTAATTTTAGGATGTTGCCAGTCTTGCTACGGTCACAATGACCATTACCACCACCGTTACGCCTGCCGCGGCCAGTACTGCTGCCTCCTCGGCCGCTACCAAGGCGGTCTCCTCGTCTGGTAGCAGCTCCAGCAGCTCCGGTTCGAGCAGTTCTAGTTCAAAGAGTTCTGGTTCGAGTAGCTCGAGCTCCAAATCGGGTTCCTCTTCCAAGTCCAGCAGTTCGAGCTCTGGTTCGAGTTCCAGCGGATCTAAGAGCAGTTCGAGTTCGTGTCAAACCTACTTTCTAGTCGAGTTTGTTCTTTACTTACTATTTCGTCCCCTCTCTCAGCAACGACTTCTTCCGCTGCTATCGCGTCTGTGACCGGTGGTAACACCGCTGCATCTACCTCGAGTGGCAACTCTGGTGACCTCCAGACCGCCTTGAGTATGTTCTCGCTCACATATCTTATGGTCTATGAATGTGGCACTGACTAGTTGACTCGTTGCCTGCAGCCCTTGACTCTTCTGTCATCGCAACCGGGTTCGAGCAGGATGGCCAGGCAAACGCCACAGCCGGCCAAGTCGCCTCCTTGACCTCCAGCAACAACTTTATCAACTTCTGCGCCACAACCAACCTCCCTATCACCAACGGCAAGCAGATCACCACCGGTTCGTGCAACCCCGCACCCATGGGTGTCATCGCCGCTAGCACCAACATCCCCTCCTCGAAGTTCTCCAACCCTCCCAACTTTGGCACCATCGCCGCGAACACCGACTTTGACATTGTCATGAACGTCAAGAACCTCGAGCTCGGCAACTTCGTGAACGCGGCGTCGAACTATTACTCCGCTCCTCAGCAGGTCAACTCGCAGGGGAACATCGTCGGACATACCCACGTGGTGGTCGAACAGTTGAGCAGCTTGACGCAGACGACGCCCACGGATCCGACGAAGTTTGCGTTCTTCAAGGGTGTTGACGGGGCTGCGGTCAATGGCGCGGTTAGTGTGACTGTGACGGGTGGATTGCCGGCTGGTGTGTACAAGCTTTCGAGCATCAACTCGGCGGCGAACCATCAGCCTGTGCTCGTTGCGATTGCTCAGCACGGATCCTGTGATGACCAGATTTACGTGCGTCAACAGTCCTCCCCTCTTTCATTATTTTTTATATGTCCATGATTACCGACATCTGTATTCTTCACCCCTCCCTAGTTCACCGTCTCCGACAATGGTGCCACCGCTTCCGCCAACGTCGGCAACAGCACCTCCTCCACCTCCGCATCTGCCGCCGTCTCCTCCTCCGCCAGCAACAGCACTGCTTCTGCTTCCTCCGCCGCTGGTAACAGCACCGTCTCTGCCTCTTCCGCTGCCGCCACCTCCACCAGCAAGTCCAGCAAGTCCGGAAAGGGCTCCAAGTCCGCTTCTGCTTCTGCCTCCGCCTCCGCTCCTGCCACAGATGCCGCGACCGCCTCTGCTTCTGCTTCCAAGGGTGCCGCGACTGCCTCTGCTTCTGCCTCTGCCTCTAAGGACGCCGCTACCGCCACTGCCTCTGTAAAGGCTACCGACTCCAAGAGCGCTTCCGCTTCCGCATCGACTTCCAACTCCAAGAGCGCGTCTGCGTCTGCCTCCAAGGATGCAGCTACCGCATCTTCGAAGGCTACCGATGCCTCGAGCGCTGCAGCTTCGGCTACCGACGCCGCGAGTGCTTCGGCCTCCGAGTCCGCGGCTGCGACGGAGAGCGCTGCTGCGAGCGGGAAGGACGACAAGAAGAGCAGCAAGGATAGGAGGATGATCAAGTCGAGGATCTCGAGGTTGTAGACGCCATTTCGACGTCTCAATGCCTTGATGGTCTAACCTTCCCATACGCCTATACCTCTCCTCTCCTCTTCCTCAATTCTCTTTTCATTTCTTGCTGGATACCCTTTCCTTGTTGTATGAGTATTGCGTGGTCATTTGCTTTCTAGAGTTCGTCGCAATTCATTTATTGGTTACTGTCCCCTTTCACTTTTCGGTTTCTCTCCTCATTGTTTTGTGCTTGTCGTGTTTTTGGTGTTCCTGCATTGCGTGTTTCCGTCGACTTATCTGCCTCCCTTTATCCCTCGCCTTTTTAACTTTCCCACTGAGAGCTTGAGTCCCCGACTCGAATGTTCATGTTCATATAGGGTGCTTTTTTCACTTTTACTCCATTCTTCGTCCGTACGAGCTACGCTTGATGCGCATGCATGCACGCGATTGCCGGTGTTACATGGTCATTCTGTTGGTGGGGATCTCTGGGTTTTTCTGGGTTTTCTCTGTTTGTGGGATGCGTGGATTTGTGGTGATAGCGTTTAGTAGTACGTAGGGGTTGTTGAATGCTATGATGTTTGAAGCTCTATCGAGGTTGTCCTTTCTGAATCACTGCGCCACAATTCTGACCAGAATTGGTGCCACTCCGAACTGCTGTATAGCTCAACTCGGCTCTCGCCGCTGGCCGACCGGCAAAGTCGTTCGTGAATATTCAGAGAACGGCGAACAGTCGATAAATTTGCCCAGTTTTCCTTCTCTTTGTGATGATTTATACCTCATCGATGGTCTACCAGTTTTCCAGACGAGTCACCCCACTTTCATCCTCGAACTGGAACGATTTCGCTCGTTTGACGCGGAATGGGTGAAGGACAAACGAACGGCTCTAGCCTTGGAAGTAGGAACGACTCTGGATAGATGGATGGGCGATTGCGTGGTTGATAGAGGACATGAGGCAGGGAAAACTGAGAGTATAAGAACTGGCTAGGTATTGGGGGCTCAAAGGAATCTCGGCATTCGTTGGTTTTCTACCTTCATCTACATAATCTCGTTTTCCCATGTCGCTCTGTAGGCTCACTCACGCTTCTGAATCTCGTCGCTGTTGCGCCAGAAAGCATATTGGTGAGTCGTCTCCGCCTTTTCCGGTCTTGGTCCTATAGCTCTGTGGAGTGGCGTACATCGGCGACAGGCCTCGGGCCACAGTGGCGAAGTGGATGGACTGCGATTGCTCTATCTACGAGTCGTTGCGAATATTCGAGTTGACCACAATATTTATAGATTATACACAGAAATACGACACGTCTACAGAAGAGCTAGCGACTGGAACAATAGGAATCGCCATTACAGGAATCTATTCAAGCTCACATCAAGCGATGATACAGAGAAACAGAGAAAACGCGCGCGAATCTGAGTGAGTGCATCGCTAATACAAAAATCAATCCAAGCTCACATCGAGCGGTGATACAGAGAAACAGAGAAAACACGCCCAAGGACGAAAAATCGAGCATAGACAGAAAAAGAAATTCAACAGTGTGGGAGAATCCACTCGCATCCTCATCGCCAGGCAAGTCCTTCATCCCGTCTCCTGCCCCTTTGCCACCGACGGACAAGTTCAACACTTCTTCGGCCTCTTCTTCGGCGGTTCACCGATTCGGTGTTGCTTCCACAAATGGGTTTTCATCGTATCCTTCCTCATCCCGTGGTAGCGTTGCGTACAGTTCTCCACCGGGCAGAACACTAGAATATCCTTGAAATCCTCTGGGATCCCATGTCGCTGCCTCCAGCCAGGGAGAGAGCGCTCCGCCTCGTGTTCTGGTTTGGTGCAGATATGGCGATAGTAGTCTCTCTTGCGATTAAAGGACTCCTTCCACTGGCAACCCTCTATCCTGCAGAGATGAGGCTTGTAACTCGGGTCCACCCTCTCCCCCTCCTCCTCCCCCTCCTCTCGAGTCTCCTCCTCGTCAGGCGTCGCTGTTCCGGTGTTGACACCTGAGTAATAGAGGAAAGTTTCGTCACTTGTTGGGGCATCCTGACTTGTGGATGCTTCCGATGTTATTCTTGTGTCTCGCTGGACCTGGGATGCGGTCGAGCGCGTCGAGTCTTCCAAGCCCATTGGCTTCTGAGGGTCGTCCTTCCTGGCCCTCTTCTCTCTCCCCTGCGTAGACGGCGCGGTACTCTTCCTCTTCGGTGCGGGGGCTGGTGACCATGGGGCGGGCACGTCGTCGGGGTCGTACTCAAGCTGCTGAGTAGTGCTTGACTGACCCGAGTGGGAGTCATCGAGGAATGTCGAAAAACCAACCCCAAACAGAGTCTCGTACACGTCCTTGCCATACTCATCATGCCACCAAGAGTGCGGGCGGGGCATATTATCGAGAGAGGAATGAGAGGTACCGGTGAAAAAAGATATTACGTCAGAGGCGGAGTATCCTGACGGTGTCGTCGACGAAGTGCCAGCTGGGCTGTCCCCGACGTCCGGGAGCGAGTCACCTACCCGCTGGGAGCTCCGCTCCAGTATGGCCAGAAGGTCGTTGTCGGTCATGGAGTTGGGAGCCGGAGGGGTGTCGAGGTAGTGAAGTGGACGATGGGCGACGGGTTCGAAGTTCTGAGAGGACGCACGAGATGGTAAAGGCATCATCGGCCTAGGATGACCCAGTGAGCGAGCATCTGCCGCCTGAGATGGGCGAGATGACCCCGGATTGCCTATCGTACGAACGCTGGTCCTCCTTCCGCTAGACATGCTGATAGACGGTGTCGCGGGCTGACGTAAGTCCCAGTCGTCGATCGCGGAGTCTGTGTCGTGAGGGTGCATAGGCTGGATACGGGAGGGTGGGGGGTTGGAGAATGGTTGGAATATCTGCGGGTATTCGTACTGAGCCTGAGGAAACGCACGACGTGTCAGCGAAGATGAAATGACTATGAAAGAGCTTGAGATGCTCACCTGTCCTTCGAATGGGCGTTGGGTGCTGAACTGCGGCGTCGATTCCGGCAGTCGAAGGTGATACTGTGTCATATGCTGGGCAGCATGTTGCGGCGCCCGAGAAGAGAGGCCAAGCTGAGCAGTATGTGCTACGTTCCCGAGAGCGTTCATCTGTGTCTCCAAGCCCCAGATCTGCGGGCCCCGAGCAGGTTGCCCCATCGCAGATTGACCAGTCTGACCTGGCTGTTGGTACGATGCGTGGTTCATGGTTGTTAGTTGTCTAAGGGTGGTGCGGAAAACAAGAGTCGAGGGAGAGCAGTAAGCGCTTGAGAGCAGACGATCAGGCAGTTGAGGAGTGGTTATGCTCTTCCTCTCGACGTTCGAAGCCTGCTTATATATTGCTGGACTTAACTTTGAACTGCCCTTTGTCCTCGGCAGATTCCACATCTTCGCAGGCAAAGTCAACAGGCTTCCTTCCGCCGGAAGCTTTGTTTTTTTTGTTGACCTTTAACTTTTCTGGGTTTCTAAAGCGACAGGTCGTTCTGGATCCGCTCCGAGACAAAGCGACCTTTGACTTCATTACGACGTGTCGCTGATGAGGTTCAGACAAAGGGAAGACGCGTGTACAGTGTCAGTGCTGTGGGGCGGGAAGCCGGGAGTCGTTCCATTTTTCGGCGCTATTACGTTCTGAGACACGCTCGACGTTCCTTTGTTCGCGGCGAGTGCCGTGAAAAGCTGACCAGATTACTTTCCCCTCCCCCATGGTCGACTACGAACATATCCAAGGGGAGGCCTTCACCCAACTGCGCGTGACATAAATGTACGAATTGTTCCTCCCGTTCTCGGAAGGATGCTGAACGGCGGTTGTGAGAGGTCTGTGTCGTGCTTGAGCGCAGTGGCAAGGTGAGCCACTCATCGTACGCGTCATCCCCGATCACACAACTTCAATATTCTTCCAGATGCCCTTTCATTAATTACCATCCATTCGATTAAAAAGATTTGGTAGCACCTAGCGCTTTCCATGCCGTCTATGGGAGATCTCGAATGCACGGTATGTGCCTCGAGGTCGATTGAATCTTTGTTTGCACAACGATCATGATATCATGAGCGTCGACTTGCTGCAGCCCGTGTTCATTTCCTTCCAAGAGTTACCGTGCCAACCTGTTTCTCCTATCCACTCGATGCCGCGTTAGTGCCGAATCGCGTGGGCTCTTGTTCGGTCTGTCCTCTTGTTCTGTCCTCCCTTTCATAGATATTCACTGCAGCGCGCCCAGAGAAAGAGATGGCCATGTATAAGTAATCTGTCTCTCATACAATTCGTTATTTTTGATCATGAATCGTCTATGAGACAAAGAGTTGTTAGGTGGCTCCAACTGCAGCTCGTGCTCGTACGCGATGGTTCGTCACGCTCTCCAGAACCCTCATGTCTCGATTTCTCGGTCACCGCGCCACACGCCACTCAGTCCGGTTCTCAACCGTCCCGCCAAAGGTCTATCGCCGGTATACGCAAACGTCAGCCCAATGGACACAATCACCAGTCCGAAAGCGACGAAGTTGAACGCTAGCCAGCCTCGATTGTTGGGGACGTGTTGGTACATCTATGTGGCCCGGTCGGCATTGTGATGTTGTCCCGTTCGCAGTAAGAAGTATGAGGAAGCGTTGATGTGCGTGAAGAAAATAAACATGGTATAGGCTGGTAAGTCAGGTAGTAAAAGTCGTAGGTTGTGTGGTTGATCAATATAAACGTACCTGTCCTCCAAGCACCGGTCCAACTGAAGGGTGATCAGCTTCCACGTACTGATGCTGGGCGATACGGTCGAGTAGGATTGCTTACTGGACGCTCCGATACCATAGACGAAGTTGAATGCGCCGTACACATGGGCGTCTGCGTGGATTGAGAGCAAGAAAGGTCTTGATATCAGGCAGAGCACGGGAGAGCACGCTCACGGTAGTCAAACAGGTACTCACATCCAATGCCATCTATCGTCCGGCTGACTGTAGCTAGCTCACTCGACACAGGGGAAAGCACGGCAGACATGAGCATACCTATATCGTCCGTTACAAATAAAATCAGTTTGTGGTTCCCGTGATTGGACAGTGTATGGCGAGTGAGTTTGTGGAAGGTTGTCGACTTACTCTCAAGCGCAAAACAAACGATGAATAAAGCCAACGATATGTCGATTGTGATGAGGCCCCACCAAGGTAACGCGAGGATCAAACCTATGGCAGTGGCCCACTCATTCCCTTTCCTATCGGCTAACCAACCTACCATCGGCGATGCTAATAGTGGAGAGTGAATACTGCAGGGAGCTAGATGGCAAGGACGAAGATATATGGAAGGGAGGTACATACAGATAAGAGTAGGGATAACCGAGGCCAGCGTGACGAGGCCAACTTTCGTAGAGTCGAGGTTCCAGATGGCTTGGAGATGAAGAGTGATGATAGAGTTCTGCCCGCCGTACATGACTCTTGAAGACCGATACCAAGTCCGCGCACGACCGTCGATCAGTTCAACGGGGCAACTGGGTGCTAATTATGAGACTAGTCGGACGCACCCATATACCATGATGAAGAAAAACACCGTTGTCGCCCTCGGGGTGTTCATCAAGATAGTTATGACCTTCAAGATTGACAGGTTCTTGCTCTGTGACACTGATGAGCTCTCGTTGATCCCAGGGGGCGTTGTAGCTTGTAACTCCGCCCTTTCTTCGTTCCTCTCCTTTTCATCAATAGCCTGATCACCTGTTACCTCACCTACGACTCTCCCTTCGACCGTCGATTCTTCGAGCTCGTGTGCAGAACTCATGGCGCCACGAGTCTCACCAATACCCGTTGATTCAGAACCCTTCTCATCCGATTCTTTTTCAGCGTCTACCGTGCCGTCTGACGCAGGATCGACTCCCCATCTGATTGCATCCCTCCTCTCAATGACGAGTAACCTAGATATCAGGTCTATGAAAGTGACGATGATACCGAAGTAGAACGGAGCATGGTAGCCCCACCGACCATAGAGGGCTCCACCGAGGGGTAAACCTACGAGGAGTCTATTGTAACGAAGAATAATACAGGCGAGAGAATAGCCATTGGTCATGCTTGAGCACGAATGAGATATGGGCAGGTGCTTACCCTATAGACAGGCCGGACATCGCGAGGCCGAGTTGTCCTATCCAAAGTGGGGTATTAGTGGCATCGAGCGCGTAGAAGCAGTGAGGATAACACTCACGTCCCACATCTTTCTGCGGCACGGTGTCGCACCTATTCACAAAATCACACTTCATCAGTCAAACCAATAACCGACTTTGTTCAACAACTTAAAAACAGGAAAGGGGCTGATCTTGAAAAGACTACGTACAGCAAGGCCAATCCAACAGTCCAAATCATTGCCGATCCGATCCCTTGTATCAGCCTCGCAAGCACCATTACCCAATACGTTGGAGCCAACATCAGCATGATCTGTGCGCCTATGAGCGTAAAGCAGCCGACGACGAGAGGAGATTGGCGGAGAGTGTGGTGTTCAGAGATGTGTGCAATGATCGGGGTCACTGTTTTATATCCAGGTGAGTTAGAGAGCGTGGAGAACGTAAAGGATGGTGGGAGAATCAAGAAGTTTGTAGTGGCGGTTTGTAGCGTAAAGTGGCGCTGTGAGAAGGCAACGCACTGATGGCCAAACCTGCGGACTATGAACAGAAAAATTTTCAGCAGACGATAAATGACAATTTAAGGGTGGTATTCAGGCATGGAACAACCTACGTAGGCGAAAAGCAACCACCCAACTAGGCCCGACACGCCCGTATACCCCAAGCCCTCAAGGTAGAAAGGTAAATCGGTTATGACAATCGAGTAGACGATCGAGTCTGTTGTGATACCTATTGGGTGAAGAGACCAATGTACGATAATATGTGTGTTTTGAATTCCAGTCGCCATCCAGATTAACGTGTGCTTTGCTTGAAGTGCGGTAAATTATAAGTGTGCGTACCGAGGCCAACGACTGCCAGTAGAGGTAAGTCACAAGAAGTTAATTGATATTATCTTTTGTATCGATATATGGCCGATTTATGGACGTACCGAACGTAACGAAAGCGACAGAAGAGCGCCATTTGAGCCCCCATGGACGAGCCTGCCAGTGAGCCTCTTGCCCTGTCTCTACGTCAGAAGTGGTGCTACTGCCATACACCTGTCCCAACTGAGGAGACAACTTAGATAAGAAACGTTTCAGAGATGCCTTCATCTAAGTCGAACCCAGAAAAGAGTCCAGTTCAACGAGGAACTACAGATGAGTTCGCTGACCGTTCAGTTCGTGTCAAGAGCCCAGGCGGATCCGATGAGTGGGGAGTCAAGAGTCAAGAAGCCTCTACATAAATATCTTGGAGTGATGGCGCAGTCTGAGTAAAAGTACACAAGCGCATTATGCAGCCATGTGTCCGAGAGATAGCCTAGACTTCTATCGACATCGACATACCGATGGATGGTAAATAGACGCTTCTATAGTGGAGGTACAATGGACATTAGATAGAAATATCGACGAGTCGCACGCCGTGGCCATTGTAGACGCGAAATCCCACGAGCTCAAGTGGTCCTGGCGGCCTTCTACTTAACTCCAAGACGTGCTATTGGTCCAGTATTCTCTGCGTCCGTCTAAGACTGCTATGGTTGGAGTCGTCTTAAACTGGCCAAGAATGTCCAAGAATATTTGTGTTTACATGCTCGCCATACGAGCACAATAAACTTCGTCCAGCGCCGATTACACGGAAATATCTTGACGAGGGGAAGGTGTGGCGAGGACCGAGTGGCGCCCCGGAGGGTGCCGAATGCTGCTTAGTCAACTGGTTCCACGTTCTGCGCGTTCATCCCCAACACCGTCGCGTCCGTCGCGTCGACGTCGTCGCGCTCGCTCTCAGCTTGTTTGTATGCCACCCGACGCGACATCCCCTCAAGCGGCAGGCGAGAACAACTCTGGTCCCCCGTCGGATGTTTCGTGACAATTATTACGGTATATAACGGCACTAAGATGCAGGTTAGTACGCGAGAGTGCGCGTCGTTCGCTACCGTGACCGTCCGATGATAGGCTTCTTATTCCCATTGTTCCCCTGCGGCCCTGCCGAGGGTATATAAAGCCTTTCTGCCCTTAATCGCTTGAGCTGTTGCGTTGATTTTCGTTCCTCCCATAACTTGCAACTATGCTTCCCTGTTTTCGGTTTCAAAGGACAGGGAAGTGCTCTTTCGGGGACCGATGTCAATACAGTCACGCCGTGCCTCCGCCGCCGCCAACACCGCGACCTGCTATGACACAAACTCAGACGGGCCAAGTCAAGAAACGGACCAAGGTGCGCACACTTTCATTCTATAGCGCGACTACATCGTCATTAACGATGGAAGGTAGTTGAGCGACTCTGTCATGGCGCTGATTAAGGCTGCGGTACGTCCGTTTTCCTCTGGTACGATCATCGGTATCACCCTTGACAATTAAATGCAGAAGGAGGAGGGCGAACCGGCTCAGGTACGTTCAATCCTATATTTGGACGCGACTTCGTCGTCTCTAACGATAAACAAAAGACGAGCGAAGTCAAGGAACCAATCAAGGTCACGGTATGCCTAGTTCCCCACTCTATCGCGACTGGTATATCGTCGTTGATGATATAAAGCAGACGAACGAAGTCAAGGCACCAATGAACGTTACGGTACGCCCACCTCCACCCTTCGACGCGAATAGTCGTTGAGAGTAAATTCCAGGTTACCAAAGTCCAAGCCAAGGAACCGAAGACAACACCCCCGCTTCCACCTTCTACTAACGCCTCTGGATCACAACGAGTGATGAGAAAACCGCTCCCGGCACTAAAGTATAAACTCAGTCCGCCTCCAACCCCGCGCCCGAAACGAAAGCGTATACCCAGTCCGCCTCCGACCCCGCCCCCGGAACCGAAGTATACACCCAGTCCGCCTCCGACCCAAGGCTCGGTGTACTTCGAAAACTTCTTTGCCGACTATGAATTCGATTACGACCCCTCACAACCTATCATGGGCGAATTCTATCGCATGAGCAAATCGTACAAGTGGGAGAAGGACAGTAAAGAGGTGACGGAGGCTCGCGACCGAGTTCGAAACGCTATAGCTGAGACGTTCAACGATACATATGGGAAGGACGTGAACGACCTCAGTGCGTGGCATAACCTCTGTCGAGCCGTACGCATCGACCCTCTTCCTGAGGATATTCAGTCGTGTCGCGAGGTAAGTCGATGGTTGCATATTCAGCGAATTTTTATTACTGCAGCCAGGAGCTGAGTCAGTATCGGCCGACCAAGACCTTTGGTTACGTTGTCATGCTAAGTTAACTCCTTTAATCATGTAGCGTGTGGACGCAGTCTTCGTCAACATCTGTGACCTCGTCGATGCGCGAACTTCCGGACGAGAGGTCCCTCTCTTCGACTCTGAGCTTCGTCTTGCTGTATACAGCAGAAAACACGGGAAAATCTACCCGAAGCAGAATGCGCGCGCTGGCGGTTTGCTTCGCTATCTCTTACGACGGATTGACGATCCCAGGATGGGTCCAGAGGGCGAGTCGAGCTATATATTGGCTAATATAGGGAGGCCGACGAGGAGACATAGGATTAGACGAGGAGGGTACGGAGGGCAGTAGTCGCTGTTGTTGAAGACCACGATGTGCAGTATGAGGTTCTGTACGATAATTTCGTTGTCTAGGCTGATCCCCACACGGTCAGTGCGAGGCGGAATAAATTCTCACTTTCCTCCTGCTGTATCACAATGACAAGTCCCCCACTCAAACCCTTACATCCCTCCCATCCATAGATTCTGTCCGTACGAATTCCGATGCAGACCCGCGGCATTACGCCACGCGCCACTCTCCCACGAATTGAAAGGATACGACGGCGTCTGCTGACGTCATTCAAACCGAACACCGCAACCCGAAAGAGGAAAGGCTTCTCGAATGTTCTCCCTTCGTCTTGCCCTCTGACCGAACGTGCAAGAACATACGCACATTCGTCCAAACGACCGTCAACGATGATTAATTGCGCGCTATGTTCCTATAAATGCCCGGTCGTACCACCCGCCTCTTCTTGTTATCTGAATCTCTCAGTTGCACAGCTCGAGCTTTATCACTCGCGTCCACCTTGAGCTTGACTTGACTACACCTGGCTATCATCGCACTTGACTTCATCACCAGCTTACACCTACCGCTGCTCTACACTCAACTACCAACATGTTCGGCTATAACCCCTATCAATCTTACCTCTCCCCCTACTCCGACCCTTTCTCTTCCTACTCATCCTACCCTTCCTCGGGCTACTCCCAACGCACTCGTCGCTCTCCCTCCTCCTCCGCCTATGATCAACGCGAAGCCTACCTCCGCGCTCTCGCAGAACAAGAGCAGCAACAACGCGAGCGTGAACGCCAGCGCGCGTATTCCCACCCTACGCGTGCAGCTCCGATGCCCTACTTCGCGCAGTATGATCCGGAGGAGGACGAGGATATCTATGGGTACGGACCTGGATCTCGGTTTGGGGGTCGTGGTGGATACGGCTTTGGCCGTGATGCGCGCCAGGAGGCGTTATTGAGGGAGAGAGAACGAGAGTTGGCGTTGGAGAGGGAGAGAGAGTTGGAACTGGAGAGGCGGAGGAGGGCTGCGGCTCAAGCAGTCCTCAGAGAGGAAGAGGAGAAGAGAGCGAGGTTGGCGGCGATGAGGCAGGCGGAGGAGGAGGAGAGGAGAGCGAGGATATTGCAGAGACAGAGGGAGGAGGAGGATGAGAGGATAAGGATGCTGGAGCAGATGGGAATCCTGCCGGGCAGGGGAAGGAGGACGGAACCGGTACGTTTTTCTTTCTTTACGCTTTGCAGTTGCTACTGGTATACTGAGTAATATTGTTTCTCCTTCTAAGGCTTGGAATAACCCCAACCGTACCAGCTCCCGCTCCATCCCTCGCACTCAAACCCAGAGTAATGCTCGCAATCCATCAACTTCTCGTCCTCGTGGCCCACCATCCCCCAGTCCACTTCGTCCTTCCCAATCCACCACGATACCAACTTCTCCCCAACCTCCGTCACCAAAGTCCTCCACCACTCCCGCCACACCCCCGCCTCAATCCCGCCCCGCCCCCACCGAAGAAGAACACCACGCCGCCACGAAAATTCAAGCCTTGTACCGCCGTCACCGCGCCCTTCGAACCGTCCGCTCCATCCAATCTTCTTTCGAGACTTCTAAAGCTGCCTTTGTCAGGCCTGCGATGCTTGATTTCGTGCAGCCCTCGGCATCCGGCTCCGGACTGGCGGTTGCGGCAGATGCGCCTGTCGTCTCCGTACCCGCGTCCATTTCGACCGATCAACCCAGAGCGCTGTCCGAGGAAGAAGAAGAGTCCAAACGCGTTACTGACGCCAAATTAGCCTACACCCACACCAACGCCCCCCTTCACGCATACACCGAATCTCTCGTTCAGCTTCTCAATAAGTTGGACGCCGTGGAGAGCGGAGGGGATAGGAAGGTGAGAGAGAGTAGGAGGGAGGTTGTTAGGATGATTGAGGGGGAGGCGGAGGAGGTGGAGGGGTGGTGGAGAGGAGTTTGGAGGAGTTATATTGAGGCGAAGGAGGATGTGGAGGTGAAGGAGGGCGAGGAGGTGGAGGCGGAGGAGAAGACAGAGGGTGAGGAGGTGAATGATGTAGACGAGGGGCAACAGGACGAGGAAAAAGAAGTGGAGATGAGCGTGGAGTGGAAGAGGGATGAGATGGCGAAGAACGAGCGGGAGATCCAGGAGCAGTCGGAGGTTGCAGGAGAAAGATTCGTGGACGGAAAATGCACAGAGGAGATGGACGTGGATGTTGGTGACGCCCAGGGATCATCTACACCAGCCAACGTCGAGGCCGCTTCGACTCTCGAAGCGAATGAGCCCATGCCTGTCGATCCTCCAACCACGACTGATACTCCTTCTAACACCCTCACTACCAACGACACCCCCGCAACCCCTATCCCTGTTGATGACGACACTACATCCACACCCGCTACGCCCATAGAAGTTGACACTACACTTACACCCACAGCCCTCGCCGATGGTGACGTTGACGTCGACATCGAGCATGCACCCGCCACGCCCGACCTCTCTCGCGCCGCCACCATCGACTCTGCATCCACGCTCGACCCAGACGACCTCGACCTCGATGACGGGTCTACTACTCCCAACGAGGAGTACGCCACCCCTTCCGCCGACATCGACGACGAATACGAATGGGTCGACGATATCACTCCTCCCGCGAATCCTGAGCATGCGGGTGCGGACCATGACCCCCTCGCCACTTCGCACCCGCCACATTCACCTTCGCAATCGCTCTCGAGAACTAGGAAGGCACATCCAGCTGAACGGAATGGTGTGGCAGTGAAGAAAGAGAAAGTTTATGGGCATGGACATGTTCATGGACTTGGTCTCGGTCTCGGACATAGGACGTTGAGGGCGGAGGTGAGAGGGAGGGAGTTGATGAATCTGAAGGCTCCGAGGCTGGGAGCTAGTTCTAGCAGTAGATCGAGGTCGGCGGGGAGGGTTGGGAGAGGGAGAAGGAGTCGGAGTGCGAGAAAGGTGAGACGGGCGAGTGAGGGTGGGGAGATGAACAAGGGGGCGAATAGTCATGTGGAAACGGAGGGGGTGGAGGTAGAGGGTGGCGAAAGAGACGTGGAGAAGAACGGGGAAGGTCTTGACGTATAGTCGCTGATTGCTGCATCTGAGAAAGGGTCTGTTTATGTTCTCTCGATCTGTGGGCTCTGGGTTTTTCTGTATTCTCAATGGGTTGTTGGCCTTTCTTAGTCTTACAATGTAGTATTATTCGATTCATTTCAGCTCTTCTGCTCATTCAAATGAAATTTCTACTTTCTGAAAATTCGTGGGTGACCGTTGTGGAATACTCGGTATTTATTGGTCGCGATTTTTCCAGGTAAGCCGGGTTGCTTGACTCACCGGCGCGTGCCGGCGCCGTCACTTGGACTCGACTTCGAAGTAGAACGGGCGAACCATTATTCATCAGGATTCGGAATCTCTATGAAGGGTATCTCTCGGGGAACTGGATTTGTTTTCGTTCAAGTCGCCTCCATACTCTCTATATCTCTCAGAATCGCTTGAAGTCGCCTCTCGCCATAACTCGCATGCTGTGGCGCTAGGTAGGTGCCACAATGACACCAAATTTAAACTCCGCCAGAAACACGATCGGGGTCGCGGTCATAATTGCGACTTGAACCACAACACGGTGTCTCTGCCTCTTGCTTCATCTTCACTTCTTCCCTCTATTGCATGGTCGTCAATTTTCAATGTCGAATAATTTTTGGAACGCCAACACAGACTCCTTGCTTTCAAAGTACTCTGGGATCTCGGCCGGAGATGCTGACGCTTACAATGCCATGGAGGCACTGGACAACGAGGTCGTTGCGATGTCAAGGGCAATGAGCAGGATCAATTCGCTCAGGAATTCTCTGAACCCTTTCCATCGTCTTCCTCCAGAAATAATCTCGCGATGCTTCCACATTCTTGCTTCAATGGAGCCGCCTATGTATAAGGAAGTCGTGTCGACTCGGATACGATGTCGAGGACATGTACATCTCGAGTGTGTGATATCACTTGGGTGGATCAAGGTGAGTATTCTATGTTTCGTCCGTTCCTGTTGTTGCATGCGTTCAATCGTTCTCATTATCATAGGTTACCCATGTCTGCGGTACTTGGAGGTGTGTTGCCCTTGGGGACCCCACCCTCTGGCAGGACCTCTCGTTCTTTGCGATGAGGCCTCGCTGTTTCTCAACGATCTCGCGCCGCTCCAAGTCCCTTCCACTTTCAATTACATGCAGGATACCGCCTTTCCCTGTAGTACGCGAACTTTTTACACGCCATTACTCACGTGTACAGTCAATGCGTCTGTACGGTGGCCCGCTTCATTTGGGAAACGTCCTACGAATTGCCAGGGAACCGTCACCGGTTCTGAAGTCTCTTTCATTGTTGTATTCGGCTGTTGATGAGCACGATGATGGTTTTGACGGAAAGGCATTGGATGGAATTAAGGCCGACCAGCTGTTTCCAGCCTACCTCAAGGATCTACGATCAGCATACTCTGGCTCAGTGCCGTCGATCTTCACCGGCACCGTCGAATCCTTGACCCTCGTCGGATTTCCTTTTCCTGGCCCACCACTCCATTTCACTCCCAAACTCACGAGCCTGGTAGTCTCTCTGCCAGCGCCCTCCCGCCTCAGCCTCATAGAGTCGGAGATGCGCCAACTCTACCCCTCGTTGGGCCAGTTTCTCGATGTCTTGGAGGGGATGACTACCTTGACTTCCCTCGATCTCCGGTACTGCTCACCATACGACGTTCAATACGATCCCTCGTACCCGATTCCACGCACCGCTTCCCTCCCGTGGCTCGAAAATCTGACTTTAGTGAATATGTTCGAGGGCTTGATGGGTGTGTTGATGGCCATTCAAGCCCCCAACGCACGTCTGCGAATTGGACTTTATGGGGATCCGGACGACGACGAGCTTGCCTCTGTCTTTGATGCTGCTAAATGTAGCTGTGGCCGTGACATCGCATCCCTGCGCTCCCTCTACGTTCATATCGATACGGACCTACACAAGCGAGTCACTGTCTCCAGTTCTCCAGTTGTATCCTGGAGTCTCAATCACAATCCACACGATCTCTTTGCCCCAAACCAAGTCAATTCTGATGGCCCGATTGCCACCAAACGCGACCGAGACTTCGCTTTCGCCTTACAACGAATAGATTGTTCCAAGGCTGTCGAATACTCGACTGTGATATCGGTGGTACGGTGTTTCACTGAGAACATCGTGGAGCATCTCTCGGTTCAGAACTCCCAGAAGAAAAGCGATGATGTCCCCTGCTCTAGACGATTCTGGTCCCACTTAACCGAGAACATGATCAACCTCCGCCATCTCTCCATCGAATACATGCCCCTATCATCCCATGACCTCAAACTCCTCTTGTATCGATGCACAGGCTCGGATTACTGGGACGAGGAGCTCGACAATAGTGACGCAGCCTCCGAGGCTAGCTTGGGCTGGGTTGCCGAAGTGAACGAGCTTCGCCGCGATCTGCGGTTGCAGATTCCCAAGCTGGCGGTCGTCAAATTTCGGGGCATCAAATTGTCGACGAAGTTGTCGCATATGAGGAGCCTGTTGGAGCTGCGCAAGGAGCTTGTCGGCAATGCAAAGGGACGGGTTGATGCTAATGCCAAGCTGCAGAAGATAACATTTGACCATTGTGGTGCCATCGGTGCAGAGAGTCTGTGCCTGGATGGTTTGCGAGCGCTCGTTGAAGAGGTCGTCGTGATGGATCAGGTGATGAGGTGGTAATTCAGAACTGGTCCAGGTTGATGGTGTACTCGTACTTTCAACGTACTTTGGTTGGGAATAGGAAATATATATCCGTCTTTTACTGGTCGCAATGCCCCAATGTTAGAACTCGACAATCCGCGGACTTCTGTGGGCAGCAGGATTGTAGAATTAGTTATGTATATTCATAGAAGGGCCGATCTATGAACCACGTAGACAAAACATGAAACTGAATCTGACTCCTCTTGTGGTGCAGACAGCCCACTGAGCATGGCGCAGCTGGTATAGCGCGCAGGGCCCATAACCCTGAGGTCCCTCGATCGAAACGAGGTGCTGCTATCCTCGTAATCCTCCTTTTTTTTTGCCTGTCAATGGCCATTCGATTTCCAAGTCACCATACCCTTCCGGTGTTCCAAACTAAAATATTTCGGTGAAGAGGAAGGGTTCCTATTTATTTTCTCCAAGAATTTTTCGAGCTCCCCTCCAGAAACTGAAGAAAAGTATTGAGATATAAGAGGCCGTCAGTACGAACGACTGTTGGAACAAGGAGTAGAGAAAATCGAGAAAAAGTGGCGTAGGCCAATGAGGGCCGGCGTGGGACCGCACAAATGGCGCAACGTGTTCCGTGCAGCCAATGAAAGAAAAGGCTCACCCGCCAGCCGGCGAAAATGGCGCAACCCTTCGACATCGTCCGGCCTGCTTGTTCCTTGCCATCATCACCTCGTGCTCGTTGTCTCCGCCGTCGTTCGCCTTTCCTTCGTCAACGTCTCACTCGGCGTCGTCGACTGCTGCGTTCTGCTTCTACTCTTCTCTTTCGTGCTCTGTCTGGACTTGCCGCTCTATGGCTAGCTTCCTTAGGAACTAGGATCGTCGTGGATGAGTGAGAGCGTACTGCTCACGAAGCTCATGCCATGGACGGCTACTTGGTACTTGTTCTGGACCTGAGGCCTCACAACTATTGTATGGCAGACTGACTTTTCTTGTATACTTCGGGTTCAAGACGTCCCAAACGCACCCAATATTCATAGCATTCGTCATCAATATTCGTCCCCAGGTTCGATTCTCGTGGGTACTTTAAACCCTTTCTGTGTATTTGCCTTGCGCTCTCTCGTCATCCTGGTCATTCCCGTCGACACTCTGCCTACCCTTGGAAGTCTCCCTTTGAGCCGCAGACATCGTGTCTCCACCACCAACACATCGATTTGCGCAGCAGGTGAATGCGGGAGCGTAGTCCTCACCAAGCGGGATCCTGCTGTGCGTACCGAAGACTCGAACCTTTCTGGACCTCAAGATCGATTTCAATGCTCTCAATGCTCCCTCCCCCCTCATTCAACACTGCGTCATCGTAGGATACCAGAATCCATTTCAGCTTCACTATGGGCAACATCGACACATGAATTTCCTTATGCAGCCCTTTTGTCCATGCCCGCGGAACCCGGCGTCGTTCTCTCGCCCATCGCAGCTGCCAGCGCATCCCCCAAGTTTATTCTCGCACCAGCTCGGAGCTCGTCCCGCTATCGTCGGCCGATGAATTACGGTGGTCGTGCGACGCCGCAGACGCCGCGGTCATCGGGTCGCCGTCGCTGTCCGTCATCCCCATCGCCCGTCATCAGAAGACACGACAGCTGCGGTGCTGGCGACGCCCTGACTCGGGGAAAACAAACACGCCACAACTTTGAAGTTCTGGGAAATATCGGGGCGAAGATGATTGGGACTTGCTTTGGTTGAGACCTCCACCTTCTCTGCGTGTTTTATATCGAAGAGGCGACTCGAGGTGAGCTCTACTGCAGTTCTTCCCTCTTTTTCGTGCCAAGAACTGGTGAAGTGCTGCGATTGGCTGACTTTGTTTGTGCACCTTTGTTTGGATTACGTAAGATCTTCTGCCGCGCAAGGCGTAACACCTTCCTCACCTGAGCCTTCTCGACAACATCGACGGTCCCTGTACGATGGCCTCTAACTTGCTTTGCGCTCTAAGTTTCGTCGCTATGACCTCCTTCAAGCTTGTGCTCGCAGACTCAAACGGCATGGACATGTCCATGGACGGCGCTATGGATCTTTCCTCAGGCAATATGCTCTCTTATCTGCACTTCACACCTGGAGACACACTCTGGTTCCTGGGATGGGTTCCGAGTAGTAAAGGGGCGATGGTAGGTGTGTGCATAGGGTTGTTTTTGTTGGCGTTGGTAGAGAGGTGGTTGGCAGCGGTGAGAGGGGTCATGGAGGTTCATTGGGCTGTTAGGTACGTTCTAATATGAACTACTATTGCTTTCCACCCTGGAGATGCACCCCTTTTGCTTTTGCTCTAATTGCTTTCGGAGCGATTTCCGCGATCTCGAGGGGCTGACCACATACTGTTTGTAGAGCACAAATCGAACTCTCAAACCGACTGAACGTCAGAGCCGGTCTGCCTACTCCCGGAACGAACACCGATGAGAAGATCACGTCTCAGCGATCGTCTTCTCTTCTCGGTCTGCCACGGCGAGGTGCTATGCCACCGTTCATACCGGCGCATGATATCTCAAGGGGGGTTCTACACGTCGGACAGACGGCACTCAGCTTCTTGTTCATGTTGGCTGTGATGTACGTTCACACTTTTGGTTTCTCCCTTCATTACTGGGTTTCGAGTTATGGTCTGGTTGTGTGAATGTGAGACGTCTCGTATCGAGTTATTGATAAGAATAGATACTCACGTCCAGAATCACAGCATTGTTCCGTTTTTATTCCACCCTTTTGTTCTCTTCATCGTCCTGCTTTACCCGATTCAGTATAAGAACTGACGCAACTTTGCCCTCTATATCCGTCCATCTGCCTTCCTTCCTTCCACCCGTCTCGCCTTCATCTGTCACCCAAATACCGCGCCATCAAACCTCTCCCGCCTTTCCGCACCTCCTCACATTCCCATTCGTCTCATCGGCACTTTTCGCCCCATCTGCGCGACCTGTTCCTGCTCATACAGGACCTTCCAAGCGAGTTTCATCATCTCCATCATCATCGGTCTCGGCGTCGGGGAGACGCTGTTCGGAAGATATCTGCACCCTGTGCATTAAATCAAGTTGCGCACTGAGCCACCCTCGCTCAGATGCCTGTTTCTACCTTTATGTCGCCTACGTCGTCTCATGTCTTCCGTATCGAGTGCTTGTTCGAGCGCTCTTGTTAATGAATCTCGTTTCATTCTCTCATTTCGCGAGGCTCGAAGGCTGGATGGGAAGTAAGAACAGGAAGGAGCGGGAGGGTGGGAAGACGAGGTCGGGCAGTTTGTGCCTGTTTCAGGAAGGTCAGTTCGGTGGTCGTGAGGTTGCGAGATGGTGATGGAGGGAAGTGAACTTGCTATATGGTGACAGTAGGTCTTATTCTTTCCGCTCTCGATCGCTCTTGTTATCGTTTGCGTTGCGGTGGCGCCCTCTGTAATACGCGATTTCTTTTCCGGCTAGGGACGATAGTTGTCTGAGGTTCCGGTTCGTACCTGGATTGGGACCAACCAGCCTGTGATTTGCTCCTGAGACGTTAGAGGGGAAGGCCTGGATGTGGAGTGCTGCAGCACTTCCCCATTTCGTGTTTTCTGGCCTGGGACACGGCGTCGTCAGCGGTGTTGTCGCAATTGCACAGGCTAGACAGGAATAGGATGGTTAATCATGGTCAGAGGGAGGATGACCTTATTCGCTGACATGTGCGAGGGCACTGCTCGTTGGTGCAGCGGTGACGAATGAATGGATTTCTGGGCCTCGATCCAGACATTGTGGGTGTGTCCATGGGTTATTTCGAGGCCTGTCACAGCCTGCTTGATAATTGTGCGCGTTGTTTTCGCTAAGAACAGGCACCGTTCTTTACCGACGCCTGTACATCGTCGTCCTGGGCCCACAAGCCTTCTTTCCTCGTCTATCTCTCACTCTCCTTGGCTACCGCAACCTTTTGCGCATAGGAAATGCGTACTTCTGTTACCGCCGGAACCTGGTGCTGCCGGGTTGAAGAGTGAACGGTGTGTCTGAATCTGGATCGCCTTGAAGGGAAGATTATGTCTATTCTTCGCAGCGGTTTGTCTCTCGGCGGTTTGTGCTGGGTTTAGTAGCTTCGATGTCGAAGTTTTTGATGGAGCGTTCGCGCAGCCCACGCCTAGCGAGGTCAAGGCGGAAATGGGCGCTTGAGCTTGAGAACCGCATGCTACGGAACGGTGTGGCACTGCTCGTCGTCGAAGACGATGTCGAAAGCTCTCGTACATTGGCTGGCTGTGTCGTGCCAATATGCCTATCCTTGGGCTCTCGTGGTGTGACTCTGAACCGCACTCTCGTCGGTGGTTGTTTTGGTCGAGTTCAGAGATGGTACTAGCGGCCGGTTTCACAGGGCGGTAAGCGCTTTTTGATCTGCTTGGGCAGCTGGTAGTGAAGACGATCTTCATTCAGTCGATAGACTCATCTCCGTCTGGTTTTCAAAGCGCTCTCTGCGCAGGCTGTACAATTTCGTCGATTGGGCGTACGTACGTGCCTGAAGTCCTGTTCGAGATCTAAACTGGTCTCGAAGGGCGGGATCAGAGAAGCGCACAAGCGACGGGTTATAAGGATATGGTTGCTTGTGCAACTGTGAAGACAACGTCTTGTTGTTGTTGCTCTCGCTCGTTCGTACGTACGAGGCTGTCCACCCGTATACACAGGCCCCTACAAAGCCCATTGTTCTCCTCTTGTTTCCCCTTTAGGAGCACTGTCGGCTTTCGCCGGGCGCCACCCTCCTCGCCTGACTTTAGCTCTTGTTCTCAGTTTCCTCTGTCTTACACACCCACAAACACTCCTTCTCTCTTCCGCGCGTATCAAGTTCACACTCGTGTTGTATACGTACGTCAATCTTACTCCTCTGTTCTCTGCATCGACTCAATATGCAACGTACAGTATTATTCCAGTATTTAGATGGCACCGAAGTCGACAGGACCGTGGTATCCTACTTCCTTCCACTCGCAGAACCACCCTCATCAGCACCCTAATCCCCACCACCTCACTTTCATTCCCGGTCTACCTAACTTTCACCCCTCGTTCCATCCTTTCCACCTTAACCCGCCGCCCCCGTTCTTCCTAGGGCCACAAGCCCTCCCGCAATCCACCTCCAACCTCCTTCCATCCGAGCCTGCGTACTCCCGCGCTCCAGACCCTCCATTACCTCCCAGGCCCGAGAGAGCGAGGACTCCTGAGCAAGACAGGCCAACCGGTTACTACAGGCGGCATACTGAGAGGAAGGACGGAAGGGAGTACATTGGTGCAGCTGGGTTCGGACATGCGGATTGTGTAGAACTGCATACGCATCCGAGAGACTGTCAGTGTGGATGTCGTGGTTGGGGAAGGGTGACACAGACAGTATTGGGAGGTCGTCTTCACGAGAGCTTGCCTGTACCGGGAGTCGACAGTCGGACAGGACGTGTGGCGGCAGCCTCCCATCCACTATTTCCAAATCCGGCGTACCCGTACGGTGTGGCACCACATCAGCCCAACGTCCCTGTTTCGGCGCCACCGCCAGCCCCTGCTCCCATCCGGGTTTCGTTCCCTCCTCGATCATCGGCATATGCTCCTACGCCAGCATCGACGTCTATCCCCAATATTCCTCCTCCAGTGCCTACTCACGGCTATAGTGACGCTCGAAGTCGTCCTTACATCCCTGGTGGATTGTATGGACGCTACACAGCGCCGATGGAAGACCGGTCTCATGTGCGGTTCACTCCTCCCCCTCCGCCGCCACCTGCTACGACACAAGGAGCGAGAGGGAGGTGGGCTTGGATGCCAGATCCTGAAACGGCACAAATGCCTGTAGCGCACACGCATCATCCATCATCTGCATACGCCACAGCCGGCACTACCTCCATGCCAGACCCGGATCCAGAGCTAGTCATCTTCTCCCCACCTCCCCGACCCTCCGGACCAATGCCACTCTCGCCCATCACAAACGATCCCGTACGTCCACATACCCCCGCACCAACATCGGCTTCCTCGTCCAGCTCTTCTTCGATGCTTTCGACTCCACTGGATGAGCATCCTGAGCCGCCATATGGGATGTATGGATCTGCGCCGAGGTGGCATGATATGGGTGAGGATGGTCCCAGGCTGAGGCTTTCGCCGCGTCGGGAGGATGGTATGGACTATCCCGTTGTTCAACCACCGTCACATCTGGATGAAGAGCCGCCTATGCCACATCATTCACCTACTGGTTCGGCAACGAGTTGGGGGTCTGCGCGGTCAGGGATGCCAATGCCGAGAGTTGGAGAGTACTCAGGCATGGGTGGGAGCGATAGCGATGGGGATGGGATACGTGTGGTAGGCATGGGAGATCATGGTAGGGAGCAAGGAGAGGAGGAGGAAGATGAGGATGTGGAGAGGTACATGAGGGCGGAGAAGAGATTAGAGAGGAGGAGGAGGGAGTTGAGGAGGTTGCTGGAAGATCCCGCCATGGGTGAGTATGATAGGCAGGTTGCGAGGGAGAGGGTCGAGAGGGCGGAGGATGAGGTTACGGGAGCCTGGTCGAGGAGAGCGGAACGCAGGAGGTTTTAATAGGTTTGCTTGGATGTTTGTAGTGCTGGGTGAAGACGAAGAACTTATTGTATTACTAGCTACTGTACGACACACAGTGGGTGCTGTCATGACTGGGACGACACACTGTATTGCTACTTACGATTTTTATGACTACGATTTAGGACGCTGATGACCACTGTATACCATTCTAACTCTTGACTGTTCTCTTGACATACACATCGCGCTGTCTCTGTCGCACACTGTCACGATATTCACCTTATCATTCATGTAGTTTTGCTACATCATCCATGTCTACCCTCCTCATCGCTCGCATGTCTTCGTTGTGGCGCAAACTCAATCGCTTTCTTGCGTCGATCTATCGAATCCATGCGTTGCGACACATGTTATTGTCCCTCATCTGTTGATTCATGGATAGGTCCCATATTGAAGTTGTGATGGAGAGCGAAAGCTTTGGATAACTACCCCACAAAGCACCCACGGAGATTTGGACATCGTGGGGGCAACTCAGTTCAGTAGATAAGATGGTCGGAAAATGTTCAGAGAAATGCTACGGTTCATGTGCGTCTTCTACTAAGAAAAGCAGGCGTAGACAACTGTAGACAAGCGACTATTGACTTGACGATAAGAATCTTCTCAACTGGGCCGCACTCGAGACAAATGGACGTGTGGCGACGTGTGTGGCAACCCGCTGACAGTTCAAAGCGACGAAAAAACTTTTTCACCTCTGTTTGTCCGCAGCAAACAAATGAGCTCCCATTGGTGAAGTCCTCAATTCTAACTTCGCCTCTCCCGCTCCTGCGCCCTCACTTTCAGTCCTCACGTCCCTCTGTCGTTGTAGGCTCTATACGCTTTTTGAAGGCTTTAGCTGCAATAGAGCCTGACTGAAAGCCGTCGTCCTCAACGTTCTATCGACGACATGACTTCGTACGGTACGCCGCCCACGATCCCTGACAGCTTGCAGATCTACAAGTGCGTACCCAATTGCTGCTTTGCACTAATTCAGAAAAACAATTATTTATTCGCACCACTTCCTTTTATCCAGTTCTTATGTTGAGGATCCAAAATGGCAGATCAAGTTCACCGCGATATGGGCATCATGCGTCGGAGCTGCTGTCCTCGTCTCCCTACCTCATCTCGCTAGGGCCATTCGCTCTCGTCGGGCATTTAGTGGGCTCTTTGGCGTTTGGGATGACTGGAACTACCAGCCACTACCTATATCAGGAGAGGGTAAAGTGGAGAAGAAAGCTGAGAGGAGTGGAAGACGGCTGGCAGGTGTGCTGAGGACGGTAGCAAGCGTGTTGTTATGGACGCCGATGGGCACCGGCTTGGATTTGGGACAGAGTAAATATCTCTCTGCATCTTTCGTTTTCCTCGAGATCTAATCACCTTCTTGCTCTTGATTTCAACTCAGTCATTCTTGTTGCGGCCTACATTATCATCGTCATCGTTTGCATCGTCACGAATGCACCTCTTATAGACAACCCTAACCGTGCGGGTACGCATTTGATCTATCATTCATATTAGTCTGCCTCTCATACGCCAGTTTGAAGGTTTTCTTGCACTCGCGCAACTTCCTGTTGTCTTCCTCTTCGCTACGAAGAACTCTTTGCTCTCCCTCGTCCTCGGTCCAGGCAACGGCTATGAAAAACTCAACTACGTCCACCGCTGGTCTGGCCGCGGTCTCTTTCTAGGCGCCGTCATCCACGGCTCACTCTGGATTCGTAACCATCTCCAGTATGATCTTCCTATCCTCAGTCAACAAAAGGAAGGAAGTGGCGTCGCTGCTTTCTCCATTTTGTGTGTGCTAGTGCTGGGGAGCATCAGGCCTATCAGGGTGTACTTCTACCAGTGGTTCTGGGTTGTACAGTAAGCTCACCTGGATCTCTAGAGACAAGAACGATAAATACTGACAAAGGAACGTAGCGTGTTGATGTATGTTGCATTTTTCATCACGATATGTTACCATACGACATATGCCTCTCCGTGGATCCTTCCTCCGCTCGGATTCTACGCTCTCGATCTCCTCATGCGCATGCTCCGCTACCGCATCAAGAACGCTACTCTCGTTCCCTCGGGAGAGCAAATGACCCTCGTACGTTTTTCAGACCACTCTGAACGTTTCAGCATGTCTTAACATATACACGCAGATCAATGTACATGACTGTACCTCTGGATGGTTAGCTGGACAACACGTCCGCCTACGCATCTTCTTCGGCGATCGATTCTTTGAATCACACCCTCTTACTATTGCCTGCGCACCTCCCTCAACCTCTTGCCTCCAATCGTCCTCCCAATCACCAAACATGCTATTCGGCGTCCGAGCGAAAGGTGACTGGACGCGCGCCCTCCATTCATATGCGTCTAATGAGCAAGCTCGTCTTTCCGCCGCTCTTGCTGCTAAACGCGGCGAAAAGGTCGGCGCGGATGTTGATGCGGAAGTTCCTGGCGCTCCGGTTCAGGTCATGATTGATGGGCCATATGGAGGATGTAGTCTCGATTTGGGGAGGTACGAGAGTGTGTTGCTGGTTGCGGGAGGTTCGGGGGCGACATTCACGCTTGGGCTGTTGGATGATATCGTGGGGAGGGTCGTAAAGCTCGGGAGGAAGGGCGGCGAGAAGACGAGGAGGATCGAGTTTGCTTGGTGTATACGATCGTTCGGTACGTTTCTCAGACCCTTTTACCTTTTTCGCAAGGACTGAACAAGATGTTATTCGTGGTATAGGATGTATCGAATGGTTCGCACCAATGTTACTTGAGATTGCGAACGTAGCAGCAACATGCCCGACACTTGACCTCCATGTCACCGTTTTCGTAACATGCCTCTGTAATCCCGAGGCTGTTCCTCCCATCCCGAATTCCGCCGTCCTTATCGAGAAACCTTCGGTACACAGACTCCTCCATCGCCTCATCACTCCTCCATCTTCATCATCACCATCTAAGTCCTCTCCCTCTGCACCGCTCTCGCACTCTACAAACGCGAAAGTCGGGACCGCATGCCCATGCAACTGCAGTCCTGACGCAGAGACGTGCTGCTGCGATGTTATCAACGCCGACATCTCGCCTTCTTCCTCTCAAGAAGCGATCAAAGAGGTCCCCGTTCCCGTCCTGAACTCCAATTCATCGTCCACATCAAGTGATGAAAAAGTTGACCTGGAGCAATTCGAGCTTGAGCAGCAGTCACGAGGAGACGGGCTGGAGTGGGTAGGCGAGGGAGGTGGAGTGGCTGTCTGTGCGAGTGGGCCGGAGAGGCTAACGAGGGATGCGAGCAATGCGGTTGCGAGGATGAGTGTGCGGTATGGGGTCAGGATGGGTGGGATTGCGTTGCATACGGAGGCGTTTACTATGTAGGTCTTGCTTACGGGATGGTATCTGAGACTGGGGATATCGTGAGAGTGTATGATTTGGGTTCTGATCTTATGACGATGTGTATTATTACGATTTTACGTTGCCTGGCGGATATTGATGATTTTTCATGCTTTTGCTCTTCGTCGTTTCTCGCTGATAGAGCTTTGTTTGGAGAGACAGGTCTTTACATCCGGTTTCTCAGGCTTGCTATGCGCAAGAATGAATGTTGGTCGACATCAACGAACGGCTTGGGTCCTTCGATCAACCTACCCGCTCTCAATTTTCCACGAGCACTCATTGACAGGCTCCTCCTTGTACCGCCAGCTTACCACATCACGGCCGCGTCATCCTCTCTCCTCTTTCCAGTGGGAACTTGCTTCGAAGCTTGATGAATACTGTAGTGGAAGAACACAGGAATTAGTCCCAACTTTACTGTGTATCTCTGTTCGTATTCGTGCATTTAGTACGCCCTTTCTTCTCTTCTGAACCACGGCAAACACACTTGCCTACGGATATACAGCCTCTAGCGCTGGAGGTTAGAGGGAGCGAAAGCAATATGAGAGGGTATCAGACAGAAGACTCGATATCACAGCCACCTCCGTATACAGAAGGCCAGGAGGGACTCTTATAAAATAGGACTCTGTGCACTTCTTGTTGAGTGGGACCATGACAACACATCGATACGAGTCATTCGTTAATTCGAACATAGTTGCGTGTGCGTATGAAGCTGTTCTTGATATTTTCTGTCTATTTAGTGCTTGCGGATCGTAGAGAAATCGCTCTTACCCGTTTACGAATGTCGACGTTCACCCGCACGGGCAGGGCCACACCTTGCGAATAGGGGCAATGGCGCCACAGAAAGGCTTGCGCCGAGGAGGCGGCGCCGACGAATGTCCACACCTGCACATCTGCGCGATGTGCCCTCTGACGAACTTGCTTCATACCCTCATCTTTGCACAGTGTGATATCTGCTTCCTCATTTTCCCCATTTATGGCTCTGAATGAAAGTTTAGGAGCGAACTGGTATCTCGTATTTCTTCGCGATGTCTACTAAACCTGGTCGCTAGGCTTGATCCAGACACTCTTGGTACGTTATAACCAGTCCGAAAAACGAACTCGGTCGGAAGCACTGCAGAAACAGTGACATATGGTTGTTTTGGTATAAGAAGTCGACAGAAGCCCTGCTTCTGAGTAGAGGTGAGTCGGTTCGAATTCAGTTCGTGACGCTTACTTCTGACAGTTCCCGTGTGGATATATGCGCATTAAAACGCCATGATTGACAGCCATAGATGCACAGTACTGTGTGTTCATCCTGTCTTACGCACCATGCGTGTTTTCCTGCCCGTTATTCATAGTCAACTCCCCGGGCCACACCTGAACGCGGCGCCACAGCCGATCACTCTGCTGTTGGATTACGTAAACTCCAGCAATCAATTAAGCGCTCCAGCCTCCGAGGCCTTGACTGGGGTGACGTGCTGCCGCTGCGTGGACTCAGCGTTCCCCGCCCCATCTTATTTCTCTTCAACGACTCTCTCAGACGAACTCTTATGCCCAATGTCATCTACTCCCCTTTCCGTTCCATCGAATCCATCAAGACGTCGCCGACAGTCGAACTCAAGCGTCGCGAGTAGTCCCAATAGCCAAGCCTCGAACAGTGAAGGTCGTACCCCACACTGGCAAAAATCTCTCTCGAGAAAACGAGCGCCGACTGGACTTTCTCTCGTTACAGTTGCTAAACCGGAGTCTGGGTCGATCCTTCCAAGCGCTTCGGACAGGCTTCCTCGCCCGAGGCTTATGCATATGAACTCCAGTTCGAGTTTGAACGAAGCTGAGGGGCGGAAGGTAGAGAGGGCGGACTCGGCGTCCATTAGGTCGGCTAGGAAGCAGGAGGGTGAGGGCGAGGATGGGAGCGGGCGAGGGATAGACCTGGACGAGGCCATGCAACGAGGTATGACCGAGGGAATTGTTGGTGATGAGAGATCAGGCAGCAGGCCGCAAGGAGATGAGGGAGTCGCTACAAGAGGAATGACCCCTGGTACGAAGTCATCGTCTATACCTGAGCTCGACGATTCGTCTCCGAAAGCTCTCGCGCCCAAGGTCCCTACTCAACCTCAGATCCAAGACTCTGCCCAACAAGAATCAGGAGGCGCGCAAGCACGCGCTTTTACCGGTACCGGAGGCGAAAACGATTCGAACGCCACGCCGGCGTCGCCCACGAATAACAATATCCTTCAGAAGCCCATGACGACATCGCCATCCTCGTCGCTTCCCCCTCTTCCTTCAAATTCACCATCGCCTACGCAGTCTGTGCCAGCGCCTCAGCCATCGCTGCCTCCTAGTACATCTTGGTTTGCTTCCTTCTCTAGGCGTCGTGGACAAGATACCACTCCTTCGGTCATGGAGGCCCAGACAGAGAAACCCCCCGCTCTACCCCAGCCACAGGTAGAGAAATCCAGCGCCGGGCAAGATGCATCGTCTGCTACCACTGCATCTTCTGAAGCTGCGATTTCGAACACAGAACCTGCTCCCACGCCGATCGCCACCGCTTCCTCCCCCGAACGCGCCTCCGCACCCCTCCTGAATATCACCCCTCCTACCCCTCCTCGCGGACGCCCGGAACCCGAACCCACTGCCAGAGCGCAATCACCACTCGTTTCCTCAGAGCCCACCGAGAGTACTTCCTCTGAAGCTCAAATCATACCCGAGCGGAAATCTGTAAAGCGATCTTGGTTCGGAAGCGTAATCACGACGACTGCGTCTAGTACCAAGAACGTCGTACCTACATCATCTCCAACGAATTCAGACTCGACTTCCGGATCCAGCCCTCCGCAGATCACTGTAACGCGAACGACCGGTACTCGAACAGAGATTTTTTCAGACGTTCCGCAATCACCGTTTACGCCTTCCTCCGTAGACGACGAAGTTCCGGATTACGCTCTTGCCCGTCCCTCGCCCTCTCCCCAGACCGTTCACTCCCAGCAAGATCAAGCCACGCAGTCCACCACCCCACCTCCCGAGTCTTCCTCGAGTTCGAATCCGTTGGTGGCGACGGGCGACAGTGTCAACCAGCGCTTATCGTCCCTCAATCCGAGTACAAGCCGGTTCAGCCTCAGTATTCCGTTGTTGGGTAGGCCGAAAGTACCACTCGACAAGGCATTGGCTGTGGCACAAGCGAGTGGTGTAGGTGCGTCAGAGTCTGGCAAGAAGAACACGGGTGAGGGTGCATCTGGCAGTGGCTCGGTTACGGGCACGGGTACGTCACATTCCTATCTTGTTCCCAGAATTTAGACCTAAAAGTCTCTACCACTGTCAGATGTCGTGACGTCGCCCACCGGCATCCCTGAAGAGGATTCCCAGAGCGCCGAACAGACTACCACTGTGGAGAACACGAACGTAGTCCAATCTGACGAGACCAGCGCCGCGACTACCCGTACGGTGCAGACATCTACTTCTTGGTGGTCCTACGTCGGCTTGACGCCTTCTGGCTCGCAACAAGATGTATCCACGCCAGCCAACGTAGATGACCAAGTCAAGGCAGCTCCATCCGAGTCTACACCTGACGTTGCCGTCACGCCCTCGAACGACACTCCCGCAAACGACACTCCCGCTCCCGAGATTTCAGTCGTCGAAGCTCCTGCCGAGCCAGATGCAAAACCCACGGATCAGCCTGTCTCCCCAGAGGCACATAAAGCCTTGAGCATGCGTTCGCAGGAAACGACAAACAGTGCCTGGTACTATCCCTGGGCGTGGTACTACAGTACATCCACGACTGAGATGGAGACATCTACCGACGAGTCCGAAACCCGCGGCCGCCAGAACACGAACGCCGGCGTCTGGGAAGGCCTTACCCCGTCCGAGCAGATCAAGGAAGAAGCACTTGCGCGATCGTCTTCCGCTCCTCCCAGTTCTAATCCTACGGCCGACGCTCAACCTCCACTTGGCGCTGCCGAACAGATACCGTCGAGTCAGAGCACGATGACGGTCGATGCTTTCAAGAAGGAACATAATCCGATTGAAGGGTCGATGGCGAGCAATATGAGTGGTTGGAGTTCTCTGTTTAGTTATGCGGGGAGGACGCTGATGGCGAAGAGTATCGGCGCAGGGGAGGATGGGACTGCCAAAGAGGAGGCCGGCGGAATGGAGGTTATGGATCTAGACGAAGAAGAAGGAGAGGGCGAGGGTGCTGAAGCTTCGGGAGGCGCGGGGTCTCAAGCCCAGACGACCTCTGTAGCGCAGACTCAATCTCAGACGGTGGCCACCAAGGGCAAACCTCGTTCGTCCTCGTTACTCGGACCCGCGAGTCAGCCTGTTTCAGTTATCAACAAGAAATCGTCTCTTTCCTCCGTTCGTTCGGGAACACCATCTCCCAAATCATCAGAACGCCCGAAGTCGCCTGCTGCCTCGGGAAGCAAGACGCCACCGCCACCGACCTCTGCGAAGCCGAATCTCGTTCTACCGACCTGGGAAGATACGTTCGATATCCCGCCCAGGTCCATTGTGCCTTTGCCAGAGAGGAAGGAGGACGACGAAGGGACGTTGAAGAAAGGTTGGAAGTTTATCAACAACGTGTTGATCAATCCGCCAGGCGGCCCGAAAATCAAAGGGAAGGCTCGATCAGCTCCTTTGAGCGGAGGTTCAAGGCAACGAACGATTAGCGAAAGGGGTGGTCTGCGCGGTAGGCCTGGTAGGAGCGGTTTGAGTGGGAAGAGAGAGGAAGGTGTTCCGGGTGGAGAGGGACGAGAAGGAGTGGATGATTGGAGCTCCTTTGGTTTGGGATTGCCGAGGTCGCACGAAACGATGAGGAAGCATGCGCCTCAGGACGGTGGGGTCAAGAGAAGCAGGCTTAGGAGGGGCTCTGTTTCGAGTTCTGCGGGTCCTCTGGGAGATGAGGCAGAAGACGTGTTGAGGGGATGCAAAAGGGTTGCGGTGTTGGCGATTCATGGATGGTTTCCTGGTACGTTTCCTTTGTTCCGCAATAAGCGAGTCAGCGAGAATGACTGTCTCATTGAAAATCTACAGGTGCTATGATGCGGACTGTCCTAGGTGAACCGACTGGGACGTCGATCAAGTTTGCGTCCATGATGGTGCAAGCTCTAGAAGAATTCCAAGAACATCATGGGGTCAAATTCGACAAAGTGACACAGATGCCACTCGAGGGTGAGGGTACCATAAGCAAACGTGTAGACAAGTGCGTCTCTTTCTCATTTCCCCACCTTCGTGTGTTTGGGCTCATCTTATTATTCCGGACATTCCTGATCCATCATCTCGTTCAACACAGGCTATACAGCGCTCTCACCTCGAATGAAGAGTGGATATCGGACCTCCATGCTGCCGATGTTATTTTCGTAGCCACACACTCGCAGGGCTCCATTGTCTCTACCCATCTCCTCGATCGGCTCATCCAGGATAAACATATCCGGACGGCGGTGAATGTGAATGAAGCCGCAGAAGCGAGCGAGGTCGTGAAAGACGCGGCCATGGATGTGGCGAGTGGTGTCGGTGGAATTGTGGCGCCGAGTTCGAGAAATCTGGAGAACAAGAAGCAGAGGGTCTGCTGTCTATGTTTGTGCGGAATTCATCTGGGACCTTTGAGGTATCTGAGCTCTAGTTCTTTGGTCCTACCATACATTCAGGTAAGCTGCCCGTTTTGATCGGGCGTGGTGTCTCATGAGACCCGTATGATGACTGAGTCCTCTCATAGTATTTCGAGAGTACGGCGGCGAGGGAGTTGTTCGAGTTCCAGGTAAAGATCGGTATCTCTCTTTCTCCTTCAACGTGATGTCACTGACACGGACTGAACAGAATACTGAGAGCCAAGTCTCGAAGAGCTATGTTAGAGCACTGAGAAATGTCCTCAATCATGGGGTATGTCTTTCTACTTTTGTCGGATATAATTTCATCTCATTAACCGGGATCTGCCTTGATAGACCAAGATGGTGTATACAGCCTCGCTAAACGACCAGGTCGTACCGATCTATTCCGGAATCTTTCACGCTGCCTCGCATCCCCTCATTCTGAGAGCACTCTACATCGATGGAGATGCCTATCAGTAAGTACTGGACCTTTCTCTTTTACATCGCTTACCGGAGTTTGCTTGCGGCCACTTCAAGCAACGAACATCCTAGTCTGTTCTCATTCAAGTTTACTCCGTGCTGATTTTGATCTCGCTAGTTCAACTGACTTCTTGTCGAACCTTCTGGTCCTACTTCTACGGATTTTGAACTCGGGGCTCTCGGATAGTGGCCTCTTAGTTCACTTGTCGGAGGCCACGGCCGGTAGTTTGAACGGCGTCGGTCATTCAACTATCTACGAGGAACTTGGGACTTACTCGTCAGTATTCTCACCTTCTACGTCTTATGGAACCGTCCGGAAGGGTCTGACATCCACTTTCCCTTCGCTTCTGCACACTCCCCGATCCACATCACATCAACCTCCTAATCACCGGTGGTTTTACCGATGTTCTTTTCGTGACCATCGTCTTCGTACCTGTGTCTCCGATTGACCCCCGAAATCGGAATTGCGTCGCTCGTTGGTCACATACGGATTCCCCTTCGTTGATGTGCATGGATCAACCACAGCCTTGCAGTGAACTACCTGTTCCTAACGAATGACGGTCTCGAAGAACATCCAGAATTAGTCGTGGAACCTTTCAATGCCAACACCGAACAAAATGACTACGAGGCAAGTTCATTCATCTTTCTCGTTTCCTTCTACGGTCGCTAACCTACACGCCTGTGCTATCACCCATCTAACATTCTCGTGCCATCAATCATCCCTCGTGGATTCTTCGTCATCTCCATTCCATCTCCGCCTTGACCCTGTGCATGGCGCTATCCTCTGCGCCACAATGATTCTTCTTCATTGTCATTGCGTCAAATGTTGCGCTGTTCGTGGATGGTGTATCCCTTGACTTTGACGTAACAGATTCCCTGGGCGTTGCGCGATTTGATCGCAGATGAGCGTGTCGCCTACTTCTTCGGGAAGGCGTTTGCAGACCTGAAGACTGCGTTTCCTCATTGGCACCCAAAGACTACTATACTTAGAGATATCAAGCGGAAGCTTCAGCCCATACAGCGGCTAAGCAACATCGCTGCGTCTTATATGGACTCGACCTCGCTTAATAGCAAGCTTTAGCCTATGGCACGGGCTCTTTTCATTTCCCTTCCCTCTTTTCTGATCGTTCCACTGTATCTACATACTGCACGCATACATCACATTCTGTCACATCGTCCCAATTGTTCAGTTTCACTTGCACTCTGTTGGTTTTTTCACTCGATACATGTCGTTAAGGGAGATTTTGTATTCTGTTGTACCTATAGTATATAGACGCCTGCTCTCATACCAATCAAAGGTCTCGCCGCACGTACATTATTGCATACACATCTGGCAATGCTATTTCGGTTTCGGTCTCTTTCATTTTGCAACTTCTCGGCATCGAAACCTGTACCTTTTCGCCTTTGCTCTCACCGTGACTAAAACCAGTGATGGAAGGGGGAAATTGCAAGAACGGTAGCTGTGTATGACATGGATGGTTTTGGGGCGGTATGCGTTTATATCAAGAAGGTTTGTCGGAGATGATAATTGCGCTAGGACTAGGCGGTTCAGAACGAAAATCACCGATACTCTGCACCACAATCTCCAATGACAGTGATCATCCTCCGGCCGTCAGAACGATCCAACACAGCTTCTATCTCGGCCCTGTCTTTCTCTGAGAGTCGGATGCGGAAGACGTTAAGATTGTCGTCTGGATGCTCAGATACCCCTAATCGCGAACCTATTCATGATGTATGTTTCGTCATGGTTCAAGAATGACGATGCTGTGACCCGGAGGAATGTACGAACCTACGAGGACAGCTCCCACACAAGGATGATCCAGAACCCATCGTGTGGCTATGTTTGCGATGCTTGCGTTCTCATGGCGGTCGCCGATGGTGCGAAGGACGGATAGAAGGGTCTGAAAGAGCTCCCAATCTCCCCACACTTTCAGAATGATGTCGAGGTACTGTAGCGTAGGAGATGAGTTCAGCTGGAAATAAGTGGCGATCGGAGCAATGGGTCGTGTACCTTTCTCTGTGATGGCGTCAAGGTTCCACCATAGGGGTCTGGCTCGTGCTTTGAGAGCCAGGCATCAGAGAGGAAGCCACCACACTAACACGATGAACGTCCCAAAGTGAGCAAAAGACGCCGAAGATTGGAAGCAAGAGATCCGAAAAGTGTGAGATTTTCTTACCAGTGTACCGTAGGTAAGAAGCTTCACGTCGTGTCTTTCGCAGACATCAGCCATGCCATGCAGAACTCTTGTATCAATCAGAGAGAACTGGCAACATCATCATGCGACCATATCATCAAGAACGGGACCGTCATCGTGTGCACAGTCAACTTGGACCTGAAGGCAGAACCCACCGGAACTTGATTCGTGACAATGGCACCGGGCCCCAGTTGGGTGCAGATTTCGTCCGTCCGAATCGCGTCAAAGTTACACAGGCCTATGTTTGTGATGACTCCCTCCGCCTGGAGGTCCTGCAGGTGGCGTAAAGCAGGCAAATATCCGGTGTCCGCATAGTTCTGCCAGTGAAGCTACAGCGACGAAAAATTAATACACGGCGAGTCATTGTGACTGTAGAAGAGGTAATGTCGGAGTAACTGACCTGGAGGAGGTCGACACTCTTCGTTCGCATACGTGTCATGCGTTCTCGTACGCCGGCTTCAACGATGGCACGGGTGGGCTCCGTGGCCTTGAAAACGCACCATTTCGTTCCTCCAATCACCTTCTTCGGTGGTGGGAGCGATTCCTGAAACTGTCCCTACATGATCCACAAATAGGGAGATGAGCAGAGCATCCAGGTTGTGTGGCGAGATGTGTGGCGCGAACACTCACGAAAAGAATCTCCGCACTTCCATAGTGGTCGGCTGTGTGAGACAGCCAAGGATAAAGTTATCGTGCAAATCAACAATCATTCATTAGATGCACATACCCTAGAAGAAGTCGTGGATCAAACACACAGAAGCATCGAGGGGTGAGTACAGTATGGGACGACAACACAAAAACAACTCGAGTTTACCATATCTAGAACAATTCCCGTGTGAGTAGAAGGTGCGAAAAGATCATCATAGCTGCGACGTGAAGAAGATGCGTACCAAACGCAGTATACCCTTGATCTGCGTGTCTTGCCATGCTTTGACGAATTTTGGACGCTGATGCACTGCCCCATGCAGTACTGGAGAGCTGCCAAAGGCCGATCCACAGGCGAGGCGCGACGAAAGGACCCAGTTGGAAGGTTTCCCATTCAGGGGAGGATGCCATCGCAGTCGCGGGCAGTGATAACTTGGAGGAAGTGGGGGTCGTTTCGATGCTCTGACCGCACGGCCTGGGCGATGGCTTTATATTTCCTGCTGTGCAGCCGAGAGCAATCTCCGTCTAAAAAATTCATGTCGAATCAACTCTACGGTAACATGAGAATGAATTGATATCACCATCTGTAAGACGAGACAGGCTGGTGGGTCCACTACCTGCGACGTCAGGACGCCATGCTGGCCGGTAACCGGTTGACGTGCTGAGTCAAGCGTTGCGTGGTTCAAATAATTTCAATATACGGCGACTACAAGAGTCGCCGTAGTTGCAGCACAGTCTTTGCGAATACTCTTTCGCACTGGACGTATCATAAACATGTGCGTGTTGAGGTATTTCACTAACCCATGCTCGGCAAAAAGCAGCTTTGATCCCACCATGAAACCCCCCGATGCATCGGAGCAGCGGAGTCTGGAGACTAAAAGAGAGCAACGATATAAAGGCTGCATGATCCGTCATGATCAGCGTCTTGAAACATCCCTCCTCGACTTCTCTAAAGCTACAGTTAGATATGCCAGCTCCAGCCTCATCGTACGACCCACACTCGGTGGACACCAGGTCACTAGGCCATGTGTTCGTACAATCACAGGCACACTCGCCCTCATCGTCACTAACACGCATTGGTACACCTCAGCAATCTTATGGTTGATACGTTCATCGCCAACGCCAGCGCTGAAGAGTAACGACGCGCCGTCACCTTGTTTTTCACGCAGTGACACTGATTGCCTGTCTCCATAGCCTTCGTTCTACGGTCCGCACCCTTCTCGCCACAACTCCCCCTACTACGGCAGCCGCATTCTGCAAGGCCGCACGTCTGCATCTCTCCAAGGGGTCCATCCCACGATCGTCCGCACTCTTCACCACTCGTACTAGCAATGGCACGGCTCTGCCGACCCCACAGCTACGTGAAACCCTGGCGCGTGCGCGCATCCTATACGGGGCCGGTATGGGCTTAGCAAGCTTGTCAATTTTTACGACGATCGTGCAGCAGACAATCGGTTTACGATGGACAGCGGAAGGAGAGACGGCCGATGTATTGACGTTGATGGATGGAGATGTGTGCCAAGCGATGCAGAGCTGCAAGGAGGAGATAGAGCGAGGGGCAGGTACGGAGGCGATGGACGCTCGAGAGAAGGCGGAGGTATTGCGCGGTGCAGTGATGGAGAGCGAGCGTGACGTAGCTGGCTGGGGTGGAGAGTTTCCCTTCGAGCGCGCCCTCGCTAGCCTGGAATGTTGGAAAATTTGAAGAGGGAGAAGCGTATAGACCACCTACGCTTGTACTCATACGTTTATGTGCCTCAGAATCCAGCCTACCGCGGATACTTCCCCTGGATCGCACCGCAGACTGCCCCCGGTCATTGAATCAACACTGCCTGTTGCGTCTGAACGAAGATCCAAGAAAGTGTGTTTGTGGTACGGAAAAGGTGAACTGTCCGGGTGAAGCAAAGCAACGCGGCATCGTTGACTTCGCCTAAGCTGAGGTGCACATGGTGGTGATGGTGGTGGAAAAGCAGAAAGACGCCCGGAAAGATTCGGGCCCACCCGGGTTTCATGGAAGAGGTCCGCCAAAGTCAAAATCGGGCTCCTTCTGAACGCCGACATCATGCCGCCGGACACCGTTCGGTTATCGTTCATCCTGGTAACCTGGCTTCGAGTGCGATGCCCGCGGCCCTTGTGCAAGATATACAGCAAGACCTGTGAGGGAAAAAACAGGTGAATACAATTGACAACTTCGGCCAGATGACTTGTAGAAACTTCCCGCGGTGCAAACACTGAATTTTCGTCACGGCCCGACAGCGTCTCGTTCCCACGTCTACATATCCGCTTGATATAGCCTACTCGATAAATCGATAAGTCATACCGAAGCAAGCCAGCGGTATGGTCAATACAAGTCGTGGGAAGTTCTCATGAATGAGGAAGCATAGAATGACCTATTGGAAGAAATATGATCTTCTTCAAGGTTCTCCGAACGAGTCATGTCGAGAGACGCTCAGCGCTGGAAGGGTCCAAGATGATGCTTCACTGCCGAAAGGGCGACCTCAAACAACCTGGGTATATCCGCGAGTCCAGAGATTTCCGTTGAAGAAGGTCACTGGGGTGGACTCTCTTGCCCCTTTTTAGGGAATTCATCTGTTCGAAAAGCAGCGTGTGAATCAACAGCACCTGCTCACACATCACAGAGTACGAGTTTGTGGTTGCAGAGGTCCAGAACTCCATCAGGAAGTGGGTCGAGCTCCTCTGAGGATTCACAGCATCAAAAAGAAACAGTCATACCCGTGAAGAAACCACGACGAAATGGCAAGGAATCAGCCAAGGAGATCTACTTTACTCACCTATCGCAGAGACTACATACAAGTTTCACGACTCGGTCGACAGGACCGTTCCTTCCTGCCAACTGGGACCTAAATAGAAACCTCAGCTTCGTAAGGTGGACTCATGGAGGCGTCTACGAATGATTGAGCCTGTTTGAACTCACGACAGGTTCCAATACATTTTTGACGCATTCTGTTGGAAGCGCCAGCAGGGCGGAGGATGCAGCGCATCGCCAGTAAGCCACCGTAGCAGAGCCGTTGGTACCGGCCGAAAGTCAGTCGTATGGAAATTTACTGTCAGCACTGACTAACCGACCAACCTTCGTATTGCCTGAGACGGTGACACTTTACCAATATCGAGATGTGTGAACAGATTGGTGAGGAGCGCCTATTGAATGATTAGACCGCTGAGTTCACGTGCTTCCATTTGCGAGAATCCACGAGCAAAACGGCGTGCTGCCGCACAACATCACAATTCTCTGGGCCGTGACAGAAACGGCGAACTATATCAGGGCGTGGAATAAGGCGACATCGCCGCCAGCTTTCCTGCCAGAACCAATCAGAAAGGTATCTCGTACAACATGGGTAGATACTTAGCTTGGGGGCGGGTGAGAAACTCGGCATGCTATGCTGATTAGCTTCGAAGCTCTATTCGGATTGGACGTGGTTTTACGGTCAGTAGACGGCGAAAAAGGGTAGACGGAGCGAACCGGTCTCACTACGCCTTACTCGCTGCATCAAAAACGATAGTCTCTGGGGCTCGTGTAGGAACGCATGCTAAGATTGACCCATGCCAAGGTCGGCTTACAATGCCAATGGATAGAAATGGTGATTTGATAGCAGCGACCAGAGACTCGTCGATGCACTGTTCACTCAAACGATGACACTGCCCTCCAGGTGACCCGGGGCGGAGCTGGAGGTTGTGGAAGCCGGTTGAGTAACCAAGCCCCCCTAGACGGGTGGACAGTCCGTACCGTTGCCAGACTATCAAGGTGAAAGAGCTTGAGCGGTGCCTGTCTCCCATACGGCCAATGGACTTACCGAACCTGCAACGCCCATCTCCTACCTAGGTTTCCCTTCTTTCCCTATGGAAAAAATTGGGGCTATCAATAGATGGACATGGCTTCAATTACACGGATGAAACTGACCTATGCAACAGGATACCGAAAAGCGTCTGGTTGTAGGAGCTAAGGACACCTTCCGTGTCGGCTCAATACAATTCTTACCTTGAGGCGGGACAAATTGCACCAGAAGGCTCTGCAACGGTAACATGTGGGCCAGGCCGACAAGCAAATCAGGAGGTATCAAGGAATGATACCTGACTAAGACGAGACGCTCACTGGGCGGGGAGAGAGACCACGTCAACTGCGTCATTAACGGACATTCACCATCCACTCCCTCATATCCGCACTTCTGTTTACTGCTGCCATGCCTCACGGACAAACGTCCCAATCTTCAATCTGTGAGCTGCCTTGACTTACGGCAACGAACTGAGTGAGCGGTCTTCAATCTAGAAGGGCCAAGCACCTATCCCGTTGTCGACCTGACCTAACCGTCTGAACGGCCGCCGCATGTCTGACACTTCCTGAGGTCGAGCAGCTAGGGAGAGGTTAATGGGTGCTCCCTTGAGGCCGCATGACACGGCTCTGATTCCGATTTGAGCTTCCGCAGACATACGGATCGACGGCCTAAGCATGTCGGTCTTCAAGGTGGTCGCCGTAAAGACGTTAGGATGTGTAGGGAACTATTTTCAGTCGAAGCCCAAGACGTACTAGCGTGGTGAGTTTACGCCTCAGGACGCAAAGGTATGATCCCCCTCACCTCCCCTCGTCAGGTCCCTGTGGTATCACCGATCACAGACTTTCGGTACACCGCCCGACGGTGTCCAATGTGAAGACCGTTGCTGTATAGGAGTAAGGGCACGGGCAAGGTAGAACGATTCGTTTGTGGCGCAATTGCACAGGCAAAGTGCACGCCAACCAGTGGTACCACAAGCCGTCTTTCATGAAACTTGACCCCTCAGATCAGGTTGAAGCTCGGGCCTAGTATCGCATATCCGATGCTATGAGGATCAGTCTTTCAATGTGCCTTGTATGGCGATGTTAGGCCATGAAGTAAATGGGACGCAAAGGGCCATCCTCCCACAGTTAGTTACGACCGTCGGGGAGATCCCTGAGTTGTGGAGGCCCGGCGAGACGTACATTTCTGGCGAGTACCCAAGGCGTAAGTGCTTCCCATCGTGTGTGTGGAGGTTGTGAGGCCTTGGCCGCGACTTGTACGAGATTTTTTGTGTGGTGACGCCTTCGACTTTATCGCCACTCTCGACCCATCAAAGCGCAAGGAGATATGTATACCTCACGGGCGCTGGGCACTGTGGTCTGAGAGCCGACTTCAAATAACACTACACCCTGATATCCCACATCAACTGCGTTATGCCAGACGGATCGGACACCACAATTACGCAAGAAAGAACGAACGAATCGGACACCGTGATGCTCCTGGCGTCCTAAACATGCTGGGCAAGTCAAACAAAGGCAGCCACAAATCAATTGAGCAGTCAACCGTGCGGGTGAAAACGGAGCACAAGACCGTCCGACAGCGACACGTTAATGAACGAACATTGAACTTGTCGCTGCTCCCGCGAATTGTATGACAGATCCAAACGGTAGTTTGAAACAACAACGCTCATACGGCGATGATCCAAGGTCATCCATGGAGTGAGCTTGTGGTCCTGTTTCATGCGTACGATGTATGCACTATGGTGGTCAGTTCCGCCACTATTCCATTGGCCTACAGAGGGAAGATCGTGCAGACACAAGCTCTCGGAGTAGTGGCAGAGGTAGCCGACATGGAGAGTATTTCCGATAGACGGTATGAATGCATCCGGCAATGCGCTCTACGTGTCTACTAGGAAGTGACTTGTCAAGGTTATCTCGAAGACCATGTACAAGAGGAATACGAGGTGTGGCGCCGCTCTCAGAGAAAAAAAAAAACAACGAAAATGAGGATAACGCACATACTAGAATAAAAGATCTTCCTAACAACTCGGCGCGGTAGCGTTTCAGTTTGGATGTACTTCCGGTCGATGTTTCACCTCGTGGAGGTAGAAGAGAGGGTAAAAGCAAAGATAATATTCCGCGAAAACAACCCTGTGTGGCGGGGCGGCTAACTCCGGCAGGGCGGATATTATGCGGTACGTAACGAATTATGGTTCGCTTGAACGTCTTGGTTGCTCGCTGCTACCAGACTGTATCGCTCTATGTCGTCTTAAGGCTGGCTATAATCTCTGTTTGAGGCAGGTAGACTCAGACAACCGTCACTTCCGCGACCGACAGTTTCATCGACAGTCAACATGGCGGAACCTCGGTTCAAGTCTCCCCCTCCCTCTCACATTCCCGTAATATCTCCCAGGCGCTCAGAGACGATGACCTCGCTGCCCAGCTCTCTTAACGTGCCCAATCTGGGCCTGGTGCCCCCAAACAGACGTCCATCCGGCAGCGCCGGCTCCCCATCCGTAACCTTTCAATCAACACCGCCTATCACATCAACCAACACAGGATTCCACTCTCTTCGGAACTTGCGCAATTTTCTGCCGTTTGGAAACACAAAGATACAGACGCCGTCTGGGAACGCAACTGGATATGGTGTCACCACGGCGAACTCGGGATCTGCGAACAAGAAACTGGGAGCTGTGAGGAGGAGCATGGTAGTGGACAGGAAGCCATCGTGGACGTCGACATCAGGGGATGGATCACAGTCAGGGGAACAGGATGAGGTGATAGTGATTGACCATGGGAGAGACGGTAGGAGTGCGTCTGAGAGTTCCCAAATCAGTGCGGACACTCGACGGTCACTTTCGCCGCCGGCGCCACCTCCAAAGGATCTCGGTACGTACCCAATTCCTCTTCTTAGTGTATCGATGTTTTCTCTCCATTACTTGGGAGACTGTTGTCAGCGGGGCATTACCCTCATTCCGCTCAAATACCCGAGACCAAGCGTTGTTACTGCCTGTCATGTCACTTGCAGGGAAGCCGCCCTGGCCGTTGCCTTACCACCTCGTTAAGAAGCTGTCGCGGCAGAGCTAGCGCCACAACCACGGATGAAGGGTAATTTGACCACGCACACCGTGCATAAGACTATCTGGCTTTTGAAGTATATAATTCCTCCTTTCGTGAGAGACACGTTTCATACACATTGCATGTAATCTCACATGGGTTCTCGAGCTGCCGTTCTCGTGTGGACGGCTTCTTTACCTGTATGAACCACGTGGGAATGTCAACGGTGTTTCCAGTCGTTCATCCTAGATACAGGCGTGGTTCATTTCAGTAAGACAGGCTGAACGATTCTGAATATTGCATTCAAAATTGCTAGGCCGACTATCCTCTAATTCTCGATAACGCAAGTGATGCTTTGTTCGTTGGCAGCTCACACGCATTCGTTCTTTAGGCCCTCCTATCATCACATATACTCCAGACCCACCTCTCAGCACTGAACTCTCCACGATTATCGAAGCCGACCTCTCAGGCCTTTCTAAGCACTTTGCCTCCGACAGCTCTCAAGGCGAAGACACTTCCAGAGGGGAGGAAACAGATGGAGAAGACGACGAGGCCGCAGACCAGGACGCAGACCCGACAGAAACCAGACCAATCATCCAGCCTCAACCTAAGCCCGCGACACCATCCACGCAGGCTATCCCCAGACTTCCCTCCTTCGGAGATTTCTACCGTAATGTAGACGCAGCGCACAGTGGTACACCTGTGCAAAGAACGTCATCGTCGCGGCATCCTGCGGAATCTTCGACTTCCAACCTGGACGACAGCGAGCATGACCAGTCAGGCTTTGATCTTTCGACGTCGCAGCTACCTGATGAGGTATTCCACGCCCTCAAGCAGAAGCAGTCGAGGTCCGGAGATGGTTGGCTGGCCGATGGGGTTGTAATCGATGCCACCGGAAGTACGCCACCAGAGGCTGTACGACAGAATGAAGCTCAGGACGCCGACGAAGACGTCAGTTTCCGTCTAGACGCGCTAGACCCTGAGTTGGCCGTCTTACTGAGCCCAAACCGCATCGGTCGTTCACCATTGCATTCCCCTGCACCGCCTGATCCCGCCACTCGGACTGTCTCAACGTCGACACCCCCTCCCCGCCAGTATTCTCCTCACAGAGCCGTTTTTTCGCCCCGGTCGCTCAACTCTCCGACACGCCCAGGGCCGTCCTCCCTCCCTCCCTCATCGACTCACCGATCACCTTCTCGCGCTGCATTTCCCCAATCCTCGCCAACCGGCTCCATACATGCGCCAGCCCCGCTTGCACGCACCTCCACGACTTTCAGTCGTCCCTTACTCAATCACGCCGCTCGTTCATCCTCCTCCGTAGTTACACCGCGGTTCGCTACTGGCCGTATCAGTCCCCTTCGCGGTGTCACCAATGCGCCCCCATCTTCAAACTATTCGTCCCCGGATGTGACCAATACTACGGGTTTTACGAGGTCATCCAGCGAAGGGTATACGGCCCCGCTACCAAACCCCGGTTCTTCCCCTCGCCGTCAACTGTCCGAAGCTCAAACGCAACTATACCAACAGCAGCAGCAACAACAACACCCTCACCAGCTTGGCTCCCCTCTATCATCTGTCGACACACTCCCTCCAGTCCGTCGCCACAATACCGGCGGGGAATCCTCCTACACCAGCCCGTATTCGCACTCTAATCCCTCGCAGTCTCAGTCACAACTCTCCACGGCGAATACCTCTCGATACAACTCCTACAACGCGAGCAGCTCCACATTTGCCTCCTCGACCTCGAAACCTCCACTCCCACGGCTTACTACACCGTCACGATCCACTCTCAATGGTCGATATCAGCCTGCGTCTGTATCTGGAGCAGGGTCAAGACCAGCGAGCGGCTCGCCGGAGGGGAAGGGTGCGAAGAACGGGAGCGAAGTTTGGGAGAGGAATACGGACGTCAACTCTGTCAGTCCATCTTCGAGGTCATCGACCACAGGCGTTCCGCCCACCGCCACAGCCCGCCGTCTCAATCGTCTCAGAAGAACCGACGACGAACATCGAAGACCGTCCCTCCAATTGGATAGGGACGGGCACGCGCAGATGCACACTCAAATTCAGGGACGATTGGGACCATCGATATCTGAATTTGGAGTCGTCGGTAGTGGTGGGATGAGAAGGGACACGAGCGTTTCGAGGTTGGGATATTTCGGGACTGCGGCCACGAGAAATAGGAAGAGGAGTTTGAGCATGAGCGAGTCGAGAGGGTTTGGGCTGGGTCAGTCTGGGACGGGACAGGGTTTGTTATCTCCACGAGGACCAGGCCTGAAAACGGATTGGATGGGCCCACGTACTGTCAAGGCGCTCACGGCTGCGGGGTTGTTGGACCGCGACCGCGAGCGAGAGCGGGATCGAGAAGTGACGAGCCCTGCGTCGACATCTGCGAATACTGGCGTTGGCAGTGCCGGTACGAGCAGCCGACCTGGTTCAAGGTTTGGGTTCGGGAGCGTGCAGAGCTATGGAGGCGCTGAGGCGAGGGAGTACGGTGCACCTTCGAGAATGGCATTCTCTGAGGCTGGCTCGGGATCGACGAGAAGCGGGAGTGTCTCGAGGGCGATGACAACTGTTTCGGACGATGCGAGGGGGAGCGTCCATGCGAGGACTAGAAGCGGCAGCCTCAGTACTGGCGTTGGTGTTGGTGGAGGAATGGGACCAGTGGAGACACCACGGACGACTTACTCTACGTCCACGGCTCCTACCTCCGTCGTCGCGTCTAACGGACTTGGCGGTAGCAGCACCAGCGGCGGACCTTCACCCAAACGTTCTCAGAACCAAGCGCATCAGACTCCCTCATCGGCGCTCATACAGTCTCTGCATGAGAAACATTCGATGGAGACCTCGGCGCTACTTTCGGCGCTTGCGGATTCGCAGAGAGGGGCGCAAGGGTTGAGGGATGAGAATGCGAGATTGGATGAGAGGGTGAGGGAGCTGGAGGCTGCGTTGGAAGATGCGCATGCTCTTGCGAGGAGGTATCAGGGTGTGGCGGAGAGACAGGGTGGGGGCGCTGCGATGAGGGAGAGAAGGTTGGATATGGGGTATGCAAATAGTGAATGGGAGTGGGAGCGAGAGAGAGAGCTTGAGATGGAGAGGGACATGAGGATAGGTTCTGGTGTAGGAATTAGGGGGGATGGGAGGATGGAAACGAGGTATACTGAGAGGGATTCCATGCCATCCGCAAGGTCACAGCCTAGAACTGTCCTCAATCGCGTTGGTGGTGGCTCTTCTTCAAGACCTGCTTCATCGGATGGCCCTGTGCGCCCGGGCTCTTCCTCCTACCGCTACCAAACTCCAGCTCGGGAACGACTATACGGTCATGCTGCTCCGCCGAAGTCGATGTCTCTATCGGTCGCTGCACCTCAGTCGAGAGAGCCTTCACGCTCACCCTTACTCCAGCTCAACGCCATTGATATGGACCCCGACGAGATCGATGATGTGGGATACCAAATCGACGACGACGACACGCAGCAAAGAGCTCCTATCCGCGGTCATGGCCATGGGCCTGTACTTAGTTTCATGGACGACAATATCGACAGTCTGCAACCAGGTCACGCCCGGAACGGAGATAACAGTCTTAGTGGAAGCAGCGAGGATACCTCTTACCGGACGCATCGACAACGCCCAAGCGCGACGTCGAGCGTATTCGCGATGCCACCACCGGAAATGACGCTTCTGATGCAGGAAAACTCTCTGCCCGGTGGACAGCCTACGTTCAACAGTATTGGGGATGTGACCACTGGGTTCTCTTTGGGCGACCTGCATGCGATGTCTCGTCCAAGATCTGGGACTGCTTCGACGTCTGGCTCTGGGCGACCGCAAGCCTCTCATAGACCTCATGCGAGCGACGGGTCGTCTGCGACCAGTGTGAGGAGTGTGGGGCGTACGGCCGCGGCGGCGGATGTTCAGAGGGAAGCGAGGAACGTGAGCCCGACGACGATGGCGAGTTTTAGTATGGCGGGGAGTGCGAGTCCGGGGAGTTTGAGTTTGAGGACGGAGCATGAGTTGCATCTTGCCGATATCGATGCGATGAGTCTGGCAGATATGTACGGGCCCATCGCGGGGAGTGAGGATGGTGATGAGGATGATAGGTGATATGGCGGGATGGGTTTTCTGGTGAGTACTTCGTTCGCGGTTTTGCGTGGTCTCGATGCTGACGTTCGTTCATGTCAGGTTTTGGTGCTTCTTCCCCTTTTTTTATCGACTTTCTTGCTTCTGTCGTTCGATCTTGTCTTTGTGTGGATCTATTTATCCCATATTCGTGTCTGTCTGTCCGTCTCTTGTTTGTGCTTTCGGTCTCGTTTTGTCCAATCTGTCTCCAGTCCATATACTCAGTTCGCTCCCTTGTCTTTCCTTTTCCCTCATTCCTCATTTCTCATTCCTCTCATCGCACTATCACCCGTAACATACACCAATGCATTTCTCCAACCGATTCTTTTCAGGTGGACTTAAATTGCGTACGGCGTGGATCACAATTCTTCGTCTTGAATCCGTGTTTCGTCGTTGACATATACACATATTTGGCCTTCGCCTTCTCCTGTCCTTACTTGAAACTATCAGCTTACCTACCTCTGCTGCCGCTGCATCCATCATTTTGTTAGTGTTCCTTAGTCGTTTTTTGCTGCCGAGGCTCAATGTCGATGTACTAAATATATCTAATCGGGTCTGGGCAGGGGATGTGCTACTGTCTTTACACTGGTTCCCGAATATTACTGGTATAGCGACAGAGACTAATTATTGTTACGGGAAAATGCACAAGGTCGTTGTACTGCATAATGTGGCCTGACTCGGAAGACAATAGTCAAAGTCTGAATCCTCGGATACCAGGCCAGTATGCCCCAGTCTTATGAAGAGAAATTGCGAGCAAACTAACCTCCCCGCTGCAGACGGGCGCCGGAGCGCCCGGAAAAGGCCCGGAGGGATCGAAATAGCCGCAAATAGACCTCCGCAAGTTGCCGAAACCGGTAAGGCGGGTACGGGCGCCTGTCTTTCTTAGCGGGGAAATGCTCGTCACTTGCTCCCGAGAACAGAGGTCACCAGAGGTCGCCCTTTAGCCTCTTGCCAGCTCCTCTCTTCTCTTCTCGTTTCCACCCTTCTAGCTTTTCTTGTCCTCGTTTCTTCTACAGGCGAAACACAATTATAAGCGTTCTACAGCTTCCTGCACGGAGAGCAACGCAGTTATCCTTTGCTTTGAATCACCACCTCACGACGCACTCGGAAACGGTGCCGTAACATAATCTATCCTTGTCGTCACTTGCGATGAGCTTGAATAAGCATCTTGCTGAGAGCAATAGCATCATGACCGACTCATCACCATCACCATCTCCGTCGACGTCCAGCAACGTCGACAACAGCACCGAGCCCACATCCATTTCCACACAGTCATTATCCACTGTGAAGGAGAATACTGCTGGAGAGCGGAAACCACCACCAAAGACGAAATGGCCATACGACGCGACGAATGCGCTGGACGATATTCCTGGAGTTGCGTTCGCGCTGGACGAGTTCTTGCAGAGTAGGATGGTTGAGAGTGAGGACTATTGCCATGAGATGGACCCGAAGAAGTGAGTGAGCTTTTCTCATATGTCGAAGTGGCGACGTCGGGAGAGCAGGTGATTGAGAGTATTCTCGGTGGTATTAACGGCGTGTATTGCTGGCATAGGGAACGGTTGTATTTCGCAACAGGATATGGCTTAATTCAATGCGTCAAAGCGATGATGTCCTACGAGGACGAGGTAAGCTTTCCCTCTACTGTGGTGCCCTGGTGCTTTATTTGTCTTGACTGACATCTAATTCTCTTCCCGCTTGTTTATATGTTTAGGACCTCTTGGTTGCTATCGGACATACAAAGCACGGCAACATAGTTGCTCAACAACACCGCAAGAAGGCCGCTTCCCTCCCATGGCGTCTCGCGGGGTACACTTCGTCGGGCGTTTCGTGGATCAAGAGTATGACGAACGTCGAGAGACACGCGGAGCTTGTGTATGCTGAGTCATTATTTGAGAAGGTACGTTTCCTCGCTGGGTGTTCCACATGAATCTGCGATGCGGGAGTATCGGTCTGTCGTCCAATGTGCCACTCATTGACAGTGCGGCAACGAAATCCTATACTTCGTGAGGCGCTTGCGATATTGTCTTTCCAGCTATGTTGTCGCCAGCCTCAACGGCACCAAGGAAACCTGTGACATGCTCGATGGGTCTTGTTGGGAGATAACAGAGCCTATTGACGCCTTGTGCACCATGGATCATAATACGTCCTTATCGACATCCTCGAAGACGCTCGCACCACACACGTTCATGTTCCCGGCGAAAGGTGGTGTTTCGTCTTCCGCCTTCGCTCTAAACCCCATGGGCGTCTTACGATGAGCATCGTGACCTCGATATTGTGCTCGGTGAGATGTGTGGCACTAATACTTCCGTGGCGTGTGGGCCACACGCCACATTCCAAAAAACGCACCATGGCTTTGCATCAATTCATTCTTCTAAGAAGCAGAATATTTCAAGTTCGGAGTTTTGCTGACATGTACTCCACAGGCATTACTAGGTATCGTGTACTCCGGCGACTGGCTCGCTTTCATCAAAGAAGCGTAAGTTTCCCCCTTCCCTCTCTCCTCCTCTCCTTACTCACTCACGTCCCACCCAATGTACAGCCTCAATATGCGAACAACAATCTCTACCTACCGTCAACTCGGCAAATACCTCGACCACATGGACGCCGAAGCCGTCTCCTCAGGCCGCGGTCCCATCGACACCTCAATCGACGTCCACTTCCGTTCTGGCGTCTATCTCGGCCTAGGAATTCTCAACATCGTGCTCAGTCTCATGCCGTCTCGTTTGATGGCCATCGTAGAGCTGTTCGGTTACAAGGGCGACAGGCACGAGGGATTGGAGTTGCTCATGAAGGTGGGAGGTTGGGGGAAGGAGGACGTGAGAAAGGGTGGAGATGGGAAGGAGAGGCCGGGGGTGAGCAGGGAGGAGGAGGGGGTGAGGAGGAGTATTTGTGATATGGCGCTTGTGATTTTTCATCTTGTGCTTTCGAGCTTTACGTTTGATGGGGTGGACGTGATGATGGCGCAGAAGATTTTGGATTGGAATGTGGAGCGGTATCCGAACGGTGCGTTCACCATCTCATTCCCTTTGTTCCCTTCGAGTATCTGTCTCACTCTCACCTTTACTTTTTTTGCGGGCTGGGCTCAAAATAAACTAGGTGTCTTCTTCCTCTTTGGTCAAGGCCGGCTCTCCCTCGTCCGTTCACAACCGAAACGTGCGATTGAGTATTACCAGAAGGCGATGTCAGCGCAGAACCAGTACCGGAATTTGCACCATATATCGTTCTGGGAGATGGCTGTCGCGAATCTAGCGCTTTGGGAACTGAGCGAAAGCTTGGTCTGTTGGAGGAGCTTGCATAAGGAGTCCACGGTGCGTAGTTCTCTTCATCCCCCTTTTGCATGATTCGAGTTTTTGGAAACGCTGTCATGTTTAAGAACTGATGGGATGGGATATAGTGGTCGAAAGCGTGTTATGCGTACGGGACGGCAGCAATACTTCTTCAGCTGGGTGGGGATGAGTATCGAGAAGAAGCTCTCAAGCTTGTTGGTCAAGTTCCTAGCTTACGACAACGTATCGCGGGCAAGTCGATCCCTCTTGAGGTACGCTTCCATCCTCATGCGCGCTTCAAGCCTGCACTGATCATCTCTTCTGCACATGGTCCAGAAATTTATGGCCCGCAAAGCCCGAAAATGTCAATCCCAAAACGGCCGCCTCGCGCTCCCCGCACTCGAACTCGCCTACCTCTTCCTCGGCATCGCGCACGCTCCGAAACCGGTCATTGTGGAGAAGATGTTACCGCTAGTTGATGTGCAGCTGGCAGAACTCAGACTGCACGCGAAGGATACGAAGAAGTATGGGGCTGTGAATGCGAATGGCGCTGGGAAGGCGGGGGTGGGGTATTGGGACGATTGGTGTTTGACGAGGTTTTTGGAAGGGATATGTATGCGATATGTGGCGTATCCGGTATGTTCATCGTCGTTTTTCCTCGAGAGAGGTTTCGGTACGATACTGAGGAGAGCGCTGATATGTCTTTGTTTGTGGCGATTTCAATGTAGGATCCGGATGCGCTCACCGAGGGCAATCAAGATGATGTCGCACCGTCGAAAGAAGACGCCACGGCTCGGTCGATGGCCGCGTTCGAGTCTGTGTTCGAGAATGGAACGAATATCGAGTTGGACCATCATCTTGTGTATTTCTCCCGTGCGTTCCCCCTTTATTTTTCTCTGCGCTCCGTCGTCTGCGCAGTATAGCTGATGTTTGGTGCTGGGTTCGGATAGATTACGAGTACGGTCGCCTGCTAGCTTGTAAAGGCGACGCCGAGGGCGCGAAACATCAGTTTGAGCTGGTGCTTTCGGGCAAGCATCTCGAGGTGAATTCTGCGGGGAAGAAGGGCAAGTATAGCTTGGAGGTGCGTTTCTTTACTCTGTATTCTTGCTTCAATCATTCCACCAACTGATCGTGTTCAACTGTCGGATCCACGCTGGTTGTAGAGCATGCTGCACATGAAAACGAGCGCGGCGCTGGATGCATTGAACCAGACCAAGCGCCTTTGAGATGGCCTTTGACTACCTCAGAGCGTGCACGTGGACGAAGACCTCGCATCGCCTGTACCGCCAGACGATTGTTTCTCAGACGCTGATACGTGTCCGGCTGGCTTCAGACCTCCATCCACGAGCCTCACCTCCATCCACATATCGATGCGGGATAGTTCTTTATCTGTACTCTCTGTTCGCTATTGCATCTCTGTTGTTGCACTTCGTTTATTTCTATCTGAGTCCTTCGGACGGACGTCCTGCTCTATCTCCTGCCTCATATCTCTCTCGTCTTCAGCATATGTATACTTAGATCTTATTATTGCATCCACACATCTTCCATGACGCTATTCTTCCTCCGCCCTAACTCGAACTGTTTTGCTTCTACTCATAGTCATAGGGTAGACCTCGGGTTGTATACCCTGGACCAGGCGCTGCCGGCCTCCGTATTGTTCCTTGCAATCGGTTTCTGGTTCGTTCGTCATGGTACATAGTACGCACTACTTAATTGTACGACTCTCATCCGGTTGATTCACGCACTGATTGAATGCATCGATGATTCACGCATCCACACGCCACCCTAACCATAGTGGTGTTCGCTCCTGTTCGAAGTCAGGTAAGTATCGGAGGGTCGTTATTCTCGTCGTGCCGTGGTGCGTTCGTATCCTGGGGAGTGCTTGTTCGATATGTCAGACATCTGCTCACACTCGACGGTATAAGCATCACAAATTGTGGGCCACATCCGAGTCGTCGATATCGTGAACAACCCGAAGTGCTGTACAGCTCGATGCGGGGTTTGCCGCTAGACAGAAATCGGATACCGACAACATCATGAACATTTGAATACTTTCAACGTCTATCTCACTAAAGTCATCTATCTAGACGAGCCTACTCTCATGTAACGGGCGTACGTTTGCAGACGTTCCAGCGGCCGCCGCGTTTACTCATCCATTTCTCGAAGAGCTGCCTCCCTTTCATCTTGCTTTCACCCCAAATCAGCGCATCGCCTTTCATACACACATCGCGAGAATAAACCAACGGCCGGCCTTGGACATGATTCCATTTGAAAGGAAGCTATCGTACTGGGAGTGGAGGAGCCTGTCGTGTTGGAGGTATAAGAACTGGTAGAACGGCCCTCAGACGTATCTTGCACACCCCCATCTACCGGACCTGTTCAGTCTCACTTAGGCCACTGTCTATGTTATATATTGAAACCATAGCCTCGAACTTGGTATGTACTGAAGTATCATGGTGCGTTCGTGGTTCCCTCTGTACTTACCATGATGGCGTAGCGTACGACGAGTCACTCGTTCAGGGTGCTGGATTTTAAATTGGTCTCTCGATCGAAATGCATCCGTTCCGGTATCTCCAACATGCCATCCATATACGAGTTGACCACAAGCATTGATATATTCGGTACATGAAAATGAAAGTCTACAAAGGAGCCGCAAAGATAGTAAGAGAGGAGAGTGTGCATGAAATCCGAGTGAGTCTTTTTCAGTCTAAACAAGAATGAGTCGCTGAAGTATATCCCTAGAAACAAATCCACCAAAAGATCCATCCAAAGAACGATCCTGATCACCAACAGTGCAAGAAAACCTAGGAGTAGCATCAAAGGAACATATCCAAATCACTAGGCAAGTCCTCGAACTCATTAACCGCCTCCTCATACGACCAAACCTTCCTCTTCTCATCGGCAGGCGTCCAAATCCCATCCCTCTTCCACCTCCACGTAAGGACGTCAACCCTCCTCTTCCACTCCTTCACGCTCATCCCATGACACCTCTCCATGTGGATATTCACCCTATCGTTCCTCATCTCCATTTCCCGATGTCCGCAGCTGATATACGGACACCCATGCAGCGTCCCCTTATACCCCCTTTTGATCTTGTAGCGCACCTCCCAGCCGGGGATGGCGCGCTCGGGTGCGTGGGCTTTGACGTTGCAGACGTGTCGCCAGTAGTCCTGCCTGCGACTGAAGGGTTTCGTGCGAGGACAGCCCGGAACGAGACAGCCGTGGGCCTCCCGTGACCAGGCGTTGTCGACGGCCCGTTTTCTCGGCTCCTTGGCTGAAGTCGCGGGTCCGGTGTTGCCTGCAGGGTGAAGTAGGGGTGCATCGTTGCTTGCGGGGACATCCCTGGAGGCGGATGCCCCCTGTTCATTTTGTGTGTTACACTGGACCGTCGATGCGGTCGAGTGTGCTGAGCCTGTGCCTTGAGGATTCGAGGCGTTGTTCTTCTTGACCCTCTTCGACGTGCCGTGCGTAGGTGCCGATGTTGCCTTCCTCTTCGACGTTGAAGGTGAAACAGATGATGACTGAGGAAGTGGCCCCTGAACGCCGCGTGTGTCCTGTTGGCTGGTTCCGGAACGAGCTGAGCTGGGGGTCGGCAGGCTAGGAATATCGGAGGGAAACGATGGGAAGGGGGTGACCGCAGTCCCTGACGGAGGCTCGTACATACCGAAACCAGTCTGAGCGTGCTGAACACGGCGAGGTGTCGGAGCGAGAGCCATGCCTGAGGATGAAGACCCGATAGCAGACGACGAGGATGGCGCTGCGTAGAATTGAGCCATAGACGAAGAAGCAGCAGGCTGGGTCGTGTCCGTGCGCCAGCCGAGCGGATACCCTACCTTGTCACCCAGTTGGTGGCTGCGCTGGCTCTGCAGCAGAGGCATAGACGTCGACGCGGGGAAAGAGTTGGACACAAGAGCATCGAAGAAAGTCTGCGTAGCTGCGCGAGCGGGCAAAGGAACGATAGGCCTGGGATGAATGGACTGGTGTCCGGCTGCAGCTCGAGACAGCGCAGGAGAATACGAGGTCCAGCCGGGAACGGCAGAATTTCCTCTCGCGTTGGATCTACGGATGGGCAAGAGGCTGGCTTGGCCATGGTTCAGGGCAACGTCGTCCATATTGGTGTTAGCGAAGGAGGCGAGGTTGGGAGGTTGGGAAATCCGCGACCGGATGTTCTGTGAAGGTCAAAGCATGTCCGTCGTGAGCAAGAACAATAGAGCGTACGAAAAAGCCTGAAATGCGTACCTGTGATCCGATATTCTGCCATTGGGCGTCGCTTTTCTGATTGAACGTCGACAGTGCACGGTTATGTGGCATTCGGGGGTAGTGGATGGAAGGCTGTATGTTGATCTTGACGTCCCCAAGAGCCTTCATCTGGGACTCCAAGTTCCAGACGACCTTGCCCTGAGTAGGTTCTCCTAGCGTGGGCTGAGTAGCCTGAGCTTGTTGCTGATACGGCATGTAGTCCATCGGCGAGGGTAAGTTGTGGTTGGGGAGAGTAAGCGCGTGGAACGACAAGTGTAAGTGGGCGAGGAGCGAGGGGTTATTTCGTCTTGCTCCGTCGTCCAAGAGCTACTTATATAGTCCCAGGGTGAGTCCCCTTTGTCCGCTCGACGCGCCCCGTCGGAAGCTGATTTTTCGCTTGGATGAAGTGGATGAAAGGGATCGATCCAGAATTTTCCCATGAACCCTGAGCGTCGCTACGCATTGTTTAAAACTTCCCATTTTGGGTATCAATAGAACAATGTCGATCTGAAACCGTGCCAGGACAAAGCGCGTCGCCGGCATTTCTTGACGACCGGTCGCTTAGGCCTCGAGGTTTGGACAATGGCGATGACACAGGCGAATGCTCAATGATGGGCTTATATTCCACAGAGTCATATCGAGGAATATATCGGCTCCGCCGTCCGTGCTATGTGCGCACCCACCTTGCTTTACCGGCCTCCTCGGACAAAAATGCGGATCAACAGAGGGACAAAACAGAACGGTCTATTGAAACGCATCATCCTTCCGACGAAGGGTACTTGACGACGCTGGTGACGGTCTGCTTTGCACGATGTAGCGATCATGCCAGCCACCCATCGTACGCCCCCGGACCTTCTCGTAGGCCGCATCACAGCCCGGAATGTTGACATTACCTCTCCTGCCTCGCCGTGGCATTCTAGAAATGTTTCTAGTTGAGTAGTAGTGTTTGAACCTCGGCCGGGCGGTCCTAGGCGTTTGTTTGTCCTATGTCATGACTCTGATTGAATTTGTCCAGACACACCGGTCGCTAGCTCACAACACTTCGATCATGGATCTCTCTTCCATCCCCAGAATTCAGCATATATTATGCATCTATTATATCATTATTCAAGAGGGAGGTTGACTTGTCAATGAGCCTGGTGCAGAATGTTTATATTACTCCAGAGCATACTACACATGAGACCGAGGATTGAAGGAATGTGGTATAAGGCAGTGAACGATGCGATAATTCGCCGATATGAGTGGATGAGCGCGACACGGTGCGATAAATAAGCTTCAAAAAGTGGTGGTAAGCATATAGGGACTGCGCGCATGCGTGAGATAAGTTATCGAGCGACTCACCTACTTGTCAAAAGCAAGAATCGACAGATAGACGCGCCAAAGCGCTGTCGGACTCTAACTCCCTGTTGTACCGATAGCCAGGCAAAGAACCTAAGAACTTGGACCACGGAAAGGTCGTCCACCGCATGATTGTCGTGTATTCCCAGTACTCAGGAAGCCATCCTGCGTATTCCCAGTCGATGATACCTGTTATGTGACCGTCGTGAACCATGATGTTATGATGCCACAAGTCGCCGTGGGTGAAGACAATTGCATGAGGGAACAGAGACGGCATTCCCTCAGCCGCCGCACGCCGCTGAGCATAGTTCGGCGCCGTACTATCATTCACGAAAGGGAACAGAGATTGATGGAAGGCGTCCTCGTCGACACCGGCAGCGATGTGTCGCAGTGGAATGCGTGCGCCATAAGCGTCGCCTCCGTCAACTCCGCAAATACGGGTACCCCAGCGGTTCGAGTAGCGACGCATACGCTCGAGGTGTGACGCCAACTCTCCTTTGATAGTGGCAAGCTCGTCGGGAGACAATGAATCGAATACTTCGTTCAGCGGTTCGCCAGGGATTCGCATCATCAAAATGGATCCCCAGTTCCATGACTCATTGGGATCCGATTCTCCGTATGAGAGGATGCGAGGGACGGGGATCCCCATAGACTGTGCGAGCATCGTTGCTAATGCTTCTTGCTCTCGTACACGTTCTGTGGATTTGAGAATAAGGTTGAAAGGAAGCGGGTATACACAACCTTCGCTCGCGATGCGCTGAAGATGGGGACGAGAACGACAATATAGGCGGGATAGTGGTAGCAAAATGGATATGTGAAGCCATCCGTAAAATCGCTTTTTCCAACGAGGCAAGCGGAAGGGGAGGGCATGCAAGGAGATCAGACTGAAAGATAAATTAGATTATTTACGCCTGAGAATTTTTTCGTATAAGAAATGGACCTTCGAGTTGGCCATAAAACTGGAGGTACGAGCGGCTCCGGATGTTTGAAGAAGGTTTGGCTGAGATGGTGAGGAAAGCGAGGCTCGGAAACGGCCGGGAGCTATCTCTTTGCTTGTGACACGTCATCTGTGGCGTTCCTTTTCCAACCGTCATTGTCTTTCTCGGATGCGACGATGAGCTGCCCGCTGCTGAGGGGGATATCAGCGAAACTTGGTTTCATTTTTCTTTGTCAAAACTTTGTCTAAGGGATATAATTGGCATGTACTTATGTAGCGAGTAGTACATACTGACCGGATATTAACGTTGCTCGCAGACCATCCACAGGATTTCTCCCTCGCTTCGTATACCATAACGATCTGGATGATCTATTATCACTACAGTGCTTGTAGGAGATTAGCATTGTTCAGATCATAAAGCTTCAAACTTGCACGTATGGTCCAAGAGGTAATTGACGCCTTCCACCACGGTCTCTCTCACTTTAGCATTTCCTTTCCACCCAGTCCTAGGAGTCCATGTCACAAAATGCGCACCTACATGAATCGTCACATCTCTCCTCATCCGAGAGCTCCAACCCACACTAGCACCGTTTACTTCAAGGGCGTCCTTATATCCCGTCACAAATCCTCTCATCAAACAATCCGCCTGATCCTTGTAGGAGTCGCGAAACTTCGCCACCAAACTCATCTCCGCCACAAATCGGCCGACATCCATCGCAGCTACTCCAGCCTTTGACAGCTCCCAATCCAGGACATAGATCTTCTTCACAGCATCCTCATGACCTCCGTTTACCATCTCATGGCTCGACTGACGATCCCCCAGAGCCATCATTATATTCCCCGGCCAGAAATCCCCCATGGTATACGTCTCGCGAAACGTCCTGACGGCCTTCGACCGCTCATTGGCGATATTACTATTGCCTCGAGCTGGTGGTCCATGATATTGAGCGGCGGGTCGTGTATCACGGGGAAATAGTCCTCTCCCTGTTCCTTGGAGAGGGTCGAGACCAATCGTTCGTATGTCACGTTCGCTGTCACAGTCTTCCCTATCTCATTTCCAGAGAAGAAGTCCAACAGCCCCTCGTCCGATGTACCCCAGGCATGTAACCCGCCAAGGAAACGTCCAAGAGACATTCCGCACTGGCGGGACAAAGCTGGGGTCAAGGTGAACGGACAGATTCCACTGCCACTGTTGTTCATGATTTCCGCGAGACTGAATGCGTTGCTCCCAACGTCCTCCATGATTATCACGCTGTTCTCCTTGTCCCACAGGTAGACTTCTGGGACGGTTACGGGAATGACGTTGCTGCCGACTTTAGAATCGTTCGGCCTCGAATCGCACCAGGCTCGTACGCGCCGTAACGCTTCCACTTCGTATTCCTGCCAACGAAAGGGCGACATATCAGTATGACTTGGGCTATCCCTCAGAATTTCGCTGCGCTTCACGAACCTGGCGGGCGAGGTCGAACTCCCACCCACCACCTCCGTCGCTGTTCCCTTCAGCCTCAGTCCCTCCATTGGCGCTAGGATCACTGGGACCAACACTTCCGGATAACCACGTCTCCGCATGCTTTAGGACCACCGTACACTTCCCATCATCTACAGGACGGCAAAGTTGCAGACGATAGACGAAATTACAATATCCGCCTGTCATCCGCGTAGCGCTGATACTTTCGAACCGTTTGTCTGGTAGCGTTGGAGAATGCGCGAGGTAGGAAAGGATGCCTGTACGTGTGGTGAGATCGTATGGTGTAGCTGCAGCGATAAGAGGAGTATTCGCTCTGGATGGGCTCATGTCGGACATGATGAACGACCTTGTATATCGAGCCAGATGGAATGAGATGGTAGTGGGGAAGAGTATGTGTATAGTTCTGGTGGCGTGGTATTTTGATGGTGCTCCCTGTCTATCGGGGTCGACGGAGTAGTCAATTAGTTTCATGAATGTCTCACAATCTTGGCTCTTCGTTTCCCATGCTATCAATAGTCTGTATGACAAGTTTGCGCCAAACTCTGTCACCAGATCTTTGGTATGTTCTTGACGGGTCACAACTCATAATGTGGGTAGGACTAGCAGCGGCGAGGAAACATATTAGACAGCAAGCCTACATGACTCGGAGGCAGTATATATATTGTAGTCTTGTTCGATGTTTCTTGTGCCACTCTAGCTCGCCACAACTTGGGCCGTGTCGGCAGCCTTCCGGTTCCGCCGGAGGACTGAAGTTCCACCAGATTTCAGCTAGATTCGCATAGTACTGGTATTTCTGCTACAGATTCGTCGAGCAGAGTTTTGCTCCTCGTAGACATCCTACAATCTACAACGGTTGGGATGGTTGTTTAGGTCGTGCGCCACATCAATATCCTGATCAACCAGGAGTGCTATACAGTTCGCCACGGGTTTTACCGGTACCTGCCAGCGACGTGTTACTTTGGACTTGGGCAGTACGAAAATATCTCTTGAAAGTGAGTCGCTTGATTTGTCTACGCTAGAATTCTCAAGATAATGTAGCGCACAGCCTGAACGGACGGCGAATTTGGTGAAGTCCCGTTTTCAAATCGCGCCTCAAATTCACGACTCGGAGCCTCTGCCTCCCTCACACCCCGAACCCTAGAACATCGCCCTTCGGCCGGGTGTAGAGAGTGCATGCCAAAGTCTAAGCTTTAAACAATGGTGTGTAGATGAACGGGAGGTTGACGCGAACTACGGAGAGCGTGAGCCAAACGTTCTCATCGTATGAGAACGACGGGTGGAGGTATCCAAACTTTGCCTCCCTATTGTTGTCAATCGATGCCCAGTCCAGTCGCTGACGTTTTCTTTTTGATAGTCATATTCAGATGCATTAATGTTTCTGGACGCGTGAATCGAGTAAAGGTGCGTCGTCCTCGTCTTCTCTCCTTCTCATTACCACGTTGTGGCGTAGTTGCGCCACTCGCTCCATAGAGGGGAGCAATCCATCCACGAGCAACCAGGAACGCTGAGAGAAGCAGAAACTGAATATCTAGTATGACTCTTCAACCCAACAATCTATATAGTGGCTCACATGATCGCCATAAGTACTGCACAGTCACCTGCGTTGTCAAGGACACTTCGTCGGAGGCATGACTCAGAGGTGGCTCAAGCTTTGTTTCAAGTTTTTCAGTGTTCTAACTAGGATTGGAACTCCCTTCACACATCAGTCACCATCTTCTCCACTGCCAGATGTCGGCTTATCTACCTCGTTGTCTTCCTTCTACCCTTCTGAGCTTCTCGACATCATGTCCTCTCACATCACATCTGTTTCTGAGATGCGGCGTCGACCACAGCCTCCCTACGAAATCCCTGCTGCCGTGTACCCACGAGCATCAAACGGTTCACCTTGGCAGACTCGCGGACAAGCCACTTTGCTGATTCTTAACGGACCCCATCATCGCGCCCGCCAAGTGGCCTCTGCGGAAATACTCATCATTACAACCCAGTACCCACCATACCGCTTTCTGCGAGCATTCCTGGATTCTGAGTCGGAAGCCTTATCTTGAGTGGCCGTGCTTTGAAATTTCGCAATGATACCCTGACTACTAAATGCGGTCATGCCCAAAGCGTGTCCCAAATAGAGTTAAGACTCCTCACCTTGATTGGTTGGCTTGCAATGCATTCCTCGACGACCGACTACGCAGCCGGCGCGCGCCACATTATGGAAGCCTTAGACCATGAGAAAAGTGCGCATCTGACATTTCGATAGCCGAGAACCAGATACGAGGGTTTGTATGTACAACGGTTCCGCCGCTCCCTATGGATGTCGCTCATAAGAGTAGCGCCATTACGCTTCCTCTTGGTTTCCTTTCTTCACTCCCGCGTCCCGCTCTTGACCCGCTACGAGGTTCCCCGTCCCCCACACGATTGATTTGCAGATCGTCCTGTTCGACGCGGTCCCCTGAAGTGGCACTCGAGACCGTCGACTCGACATCGATTTACTACCGCATGACCCACCGGATCCGACATGTCATCGACTGCCCTCGCCCCATTTGAGCCACCGAATCATGTATACTCTGCCTTTGCCTTCATCTCCTTCATGATGTGCGTAGTCCCGGTGTACTGGCATCTGGAAGGTAAGATAGATCCTTTGGAAGGTTTCATATGGGATCGGTCTGACGCATTTCCATGGATTGGGCAGCTTGGAATATGGGCACCCTGCTTTATATGTTCTGGACAGGGATAGCGGTCCTCAACATGTTTATCAACTCTATCATCTGGGACGGGAACGCAATCAACTCAGCGCCGGTGTGGTGCGATATCTGTACGTACATAGTCATTCCATTCCCTATGTCCTGATGGCGACGACGTTCTTCTATCGGCTAACCAATGCCACACGGAATGATCAGCTTCCCGCATCATCATCGCGTCGAACGTCGGCACCGTCTTAGCCTCACTTTGCATCGAAAGGCGTCTTTACAAGATTGTCTCGGCAAAAAGTGTGATGATCACCTCCCAAGACAAGCGCAAAGCGATCATCATTGACCTCGCCATTGGATTCGGTGTTCCGCTCATCCAGCAGCTCATGTGTGCGTACTCTTACAATTCGTTGCTTGGGTTCTATGACGAGTTCTTGCTGATTACACGTGTAGATGCTGTTGTCCAGGGCCACCGTTTCGATATCGTCGAGGATGTGGGCTGTTGGCCTACCACCTACGTGACCCCCGTCGCGATTGCTCTAATCTTCACCTGGCCGATCGTCATTGGCTTGATCTCCACTGCTTATGCTTGTAAATCTTTTCTACGCCTGTCGTTCATCAATCTTTCCCTGACACTTATTTGGTACTATCCAGTCACGACGATCTGGCTTGTTTACAAGCATCGCCGTAACTTCAATAGTCTTATCAAAGACAGCCATAACTTGAACAGCTCTCGCTACATCCGTCTTATGTGTCTCGGCGGCACCGAAATCCTCACTGTACCCCTCGCTTCATGGGCCCTCGCCGTCACCATCCAGGGCGGCGTCTCCCCCTGGGTCTCTTGGGCTGACACCCACTCGGATTTCAGTCGTGTCGACCTTGTCCCTGCTGTCCTGTGGAGGTCCTCTTCCCTCGGCGTGATGAACTACGAGATGTACAGGTGGTTCCTCGTCCTATGCGCGTTTGTTTTCTTCGGGTTCTTTGGGTTCGCGGACGAGGCGATAAAGAACTATCGCTTGGTTTACACGTCTGTTGCGAGTAGGCTTGGCTACTCCACCATGTCTTTCACATGGTCGTCCTCAGGGTACGTCACTTCTACCTTCTAGAATGTAACGTTGCACGTCCCAAATAAGCCACATGTGGTCGTGTCGTTCGTTTGCGTGGCATATTCACTCAACTTCCTGTTTTCGTCTCCACTCTCATAGCAACATCAGTTCCTCGAAGTCCAGGGACGACCACTTGTTCGACGGCAAGAAATCCGGTCTTCCCGCATTCCTCAAGAGTGACTACTCCCATGCAGCAAAGAGCGTCCAGCGCAAGGAGGACCCACTCGGGGAGACACTTGACAGCAGCTTCGACCTCGGTGGAGATCTCAATATCGACACTTCTGGGAGTTCGTCCAACTTCGGCATGGCAGTGATGGGCCATCGCGTGGATATTGACCTCGAGAAGGGCAAACACGATCAGAACCCGTGGTCGCCGATAGAAACGACGGCTTCGTCCTCGATGCACCATCTGGACCGAAAGGTGCAGGACAACGACGAGAACGAAGGGGTACCGCGCAGACCAGAGGTCTCACTCGATTTGAGTACTGCACTACCGGCGAGGTCAACGAGAGAGTCGCGTCCATTGTCGATGCACACGATCTGAGTTGTTCATCTCAGCGATCCCACAATTTGACTTCTTTGGAAGAATTTATCTCTCCTTTCTTTATTCTTCGTTATACCCAGCGTATCTCATCGTAGAAACGACATCCTTCGACTTCTTTGATCGCTGGTCAATCATTTATCGACGCTTCACGCCGCCTTCGCTTCGATCAGTAACATTCTAACTTTAGTTTCAGCGTTTGCTTTCTCTGATTACCCGCCGTGTCATCACATTCGCATTTTTTTTGGCGGTATACCCCCTTTCTCATCGGCGTCCTTTCCAAGTCCGTCGTCCCCGTGTTTGCACTATCGAATGCTCCCACTATTATCTTTCTGGTTAGCTCTCAAATCTCGGAATTACTGTAGCCACGTATCACCTCGACGCTTTTATGTCCACCCATCCCTATGTCATCTCCTCTCTGTTTCTGTTTGACGGTCGCAGAGCTATCATTCACCAAAGCTTGCATGACCTGTCGGCTCGTGCGACCTTCCGAAGTCATTACCCCCTATTCTCCGTAGGGTATCGCGGCCAATTACTCGTTCATTTACGTTCCTTGTAAACGCCCTTCCTATTTTGTCCCCCGTGAAGGTGCTCAAGATCTGATAGTTAGTCCATTTACCGTTTTCTTCAGGCCATGCAATCTGTTGGGATAATGTACAAGAGTTACGCCGACCCCATATGCTGAAATAGGGGTCAATGTGAAGCAAAAGACTTCTGTACTACTAAACCCGATATAAGGGTAAGGCCTCCGAATCTGAAATCGCCCTTCAAAAAATCCTACCAAGCGGCCTTCGCATACTTGTACTTATTCTCGCGGTAATAGGATCTTACGACCTGGAAAAATCGCGGTAGGACAGGTTCAACATGAGGGATCATAGCGAGACAGAAATAAAGGGATGTGTGCCTGGATGAGAGAGAGCATACCTAGGGTCGGGTCCACGTTCGAGTCTCAGTCCATAACGGGTGGCAGACCTCTCCCTATAAATATCATCTGGGAGTGGGGTACCCGCCCTGCGAACACGATCATAATAAAGACATCATTAGTACCCCAGTCGGACTCCGTACAGCCAGAATGACTTCGAACCGTCGACAACCATCCGAATTTGGAAAGAGAGGGGACACACCTGCAATAATCGCAAGTACAGGGCTTCTTTCCCGTCCCATGATGATCGCATCCCCATGTCATGCCCCCATCCGTACCACAGCAGGTCCACCTAAAACCTTGTGGCCAGTACTTAAAGAACTTATTCTGATCACCATTAAACTGCGTCTCGAATTTTCTTTTCAGATCGTCCGCCTCTTCGAGAAGGCAGGCGCCCCAGCCGGTGCCTTCAGTCGGAGACGGCCAGGTGATAAGCTCCAGTCTGCCTTCATGGATGGATCCGTCTTCACAAGCGCGGTACTTGTCGTACCAGACCGTCTGGCGTTGGCAAGATCCTTTGTGAGAAGGCCAATCGGCCAATTGGCATTGTTCGCTCTAGAAGCAGGAGCATGGACGGAAGCGGTCAGATCGTGGATCAGGCGACAGAACAAGGCAATATCACGTTTATCTACACTGAAAAAGCACAAAATAGAATGATGGTGATGATTGATAGGAAAGTAAGACTTACACAGTATTGAGGACCCTTGCATCGACCGCAACGCTTAATCTGATTTCCAGGCATTTCTATGCGGCAAGTAAAGCATCTTCCAGATTCGCGTGCAGCAGGCATTATGATTACAACAGTTCGCAAGAGGGAAAGAGTACAGAAATACAGATAGTCCAGCGACAGCTGGCGAGAGGGATGGTGAGGCGAAGGAGAATGCGTGAGGCTTTGACAGCAATCTGCAGAATCGTAGTCGCAGTCGCTTTTTTCTGCGATGGGGCTTGCTAGTTGCTGCTTCTTCTGACGCAACCGACTCCCATAACAGGTTGTGAGCGCCACGACCACCGTCCTCCGGCGGCGGACCACCATCCACTGTAAAGCAATGTTTCGAGATATCTCCATCTCAAAAATTGTACAAGTGATTCTAGTGTGTTGTTGACACACTCACAGTCCTAAAACCCAATATTTAAGTGGCAGCATCGAGGCTGGCTCGAGGACGAGCACTGTGGCCCCGTGTAGAGTGGCCCGTCGGAATGGCCGGAGACAGCTCCGAGTGGAGCACAGGCTTCTCCGCGAGAAATCTGGGTGCGACTACGATTCTGCAAACCGCTGGAAAAGAAGAAGGCAGTCAACAGATCCAGTCACAGTAAAATACACCACTCCGGGGTGTATCTGTACTTCACGTTCGAACTTACCAAGAACTTACCATCAACAGTCGGCGCGATTTGCATGCGAAATCTCCTCTGTCGTAGCTAGCGATTCGACTGCTAAGCTCGGCATGCGACCGAGGATAACGAATCCAGTTCATAACGGTTCAGAAGGTACAAAGACGACACGATCGTACAAAAAACAGGACAACAGAGAGACAGCGTGTATGCGACAATCAGAGGACAGCTAGCAGAACGAAGAGCAACAAAGATCACAGCGATGACCGACGTATCATTTGTGGATTATACATATGCTTTAAATGACAGCCGCCACCCATCGTAAATATGGTGGTGTGCGAATGATATCGTAACAAACGATCTAGAGAACAGAGAGACAGAGGGTAGGAATAGAGTAGTCATGATACGAGATTCCGCCCGCAGAGCGAAGCGATCAAGCCGGTATATCGTAACAAGATCATCGCGAGATCAAGGCCAATCACTATCACGGAGCAGAAGAAACCCCAAAATAGGGCACAAGAGCGAACGTGAAAGGAAAGAATAGGATAACCATGGCGCTTGAGGAAGTGGTAATCCTAAGGCATGGAGATCGCGAGTTCGATTCGCCAACTTCCATGAGTAACCGGCCTGAACTCCTTTATAATGAACTGATCTTCCCTCAACCGGCTAGGGTTGGGAATGTGTGCGCTCATGTTGCTACGGGGGTCCGGCCTCTGCATAACATGAAGAATCACGGAAGGAAGGGATCAATCAGCGTGATGAAATGATAATCGAACATATCATAGATGGGTACGTACACATTCCCCCCGGAAGTTGTTCAAAACCAAGCGACAAAGTCTATCATACAAAGCTCCGCGCGTGGCTGGCAACCTGTCACTCTGGCGACAAAGTTGAATATCGTGGGCCCAGTCATGGCAGTTCGGCCACTGCAATGCCGCAAAGTGAAAATATAGGAATGTCTTAGCATGTAGAAATATAATTAGAGTCAAAAAGACATTACATGAATGTGCGCCCTGGCGTTGATCGGAGGAAACGAACCCTCACGATACAGGACCGTGTCCTCTCTACCCTCTAGGAACGTCGAGTCTCGGACGGCCAGCATACCTGGGTATAGGCTATCCTGGTCTCTGAAATAGATGGAGACCGCAGGGGAAGGCCGAGAGCCGAAACGACTGGTAGAAGCCTGTCGCCGAAAGACGAAGGGAGGCTGAACAACATCGATGAAACCGTGTGGGATGTACGGGGCCGGTGCAGTGAAAGATGTGGAAGACATTGACGGCTGGCCTAAAGCCATCACGGTGGAATTGTTGCGGTAGTTTGTGGGGGAAGAGCGATGAAGCGTTTGCGGAGCGAAGAGCTGGATGGGGTAAGCTTATGTCAATTTCGTTCGATTAATCGAAGAACAGACAGTTGAGAACGTACCTCGGTGGAATGAGATCCTATCATACCTGCACTCATCGGAGCTCGAAAGTGGGCCTATAGAAGACAGTTAGCAAGAATATTCGCCAAAGAATGAGACAAAGTAAGGAGGACTTACTCCAGGGGCCTGGCGATGGATAGACCAGAGCTGAACCGGGGATGGCGTGCCGATGTCATTGCCCGGGACGACAGAGCGAGGGAGACTCGCGATGGGATGAGCAACGGGACTAGAGTGAGGTGTGACGGGGCTATAGGTGAGACGATCATAACCAGGCTCGGCCGAAGCCAAGCTCGACGAATTCTGCTCTACAGATTAGCCACAGAAATAACAGAAGAAGGAAATCAACTTGCAAGTGTAGCCTCTTCTTCCCCGTAGCGATCCTGGTGGGTGTACGTATCGAGAAACTCCTGCAACTGTTCCTCAGGAGATTTGTCGACTGAACGGTCTGTCAAGTGGTGAAAGTCCGTATATCAGACCACAGGTGACGGAAGTCCACCTGTGAAGGAAGCGTAGAACTAGCCTCGGTTGTTACGCATCGCCATGGCTGTCTCTGTGGATTGTGCGGAGTGGATAGCGATGGAATGTCGATTTACCAATCGATGTCGGTCGCACAGCAGAGGAGATGGATGAGGTTTCGGGAAGAGTTGTGGTAGTTGCTCTTTGGCACCATGTCGGCGGAAAATATACAGGCAAGGAGCCTACAGCCATGGCCTACCTGGAGCACAGTTGTGTTGCTCGACGAGGGCATGACCGGGGCGGAGCTGTAACAGAGCTGTAGGATTGTCACTGTCAGTCAGGTGTGGGCAGGGTGTGGGCCACGGCTGTAGGATGGGCACGTGCGCCATAATAAACTCACTGGATAGAATATCGTGTCACCTTCAGATAATAGTGTATGCTTGCCTCCATTGGCAGAAGTCACAAAATCGTAGTACGGGATCCAAGAGCAAGCAGGTCTAACGATGAAGAGTGTCTCTCAAGATCCAAATAGGCACTGGTTTTGTCGGAAACCCCGTTTCCAAATCAGGAACATATCAGGTGCCTCGAGAGGCGCTGGCGGCGACGGGATGTCAGACATTTAGGCCGGGCCGAAGTCATTTCCAGTTCCATGACAATGAGTCGCGCCACACTTCTCGCCACAACGATGAACGCACGTCTGATATTCGTGAACCAGAATAAAACAAACATCCAAGCCTCGTCCTACCTCGAGTATTCTCACCTTCAAACCTTCACACTGAAAAACGCCAAGCCCCTCTTCGCCTTCTCCACCTCCTCCTCCAACATCCGCGCATCCTGACTCCTCCACACCAACTCTCCCTCTCCCTCCCCACCCTCCCCCGCCGGATTATACCCATCCACCAACGCTTCTCCGCCCCTCATCCTTTCCCTGACCCTCGTCTCAAATGCCTGCTTCTTCGCGTTCAGAGCCGACATTTTGCGCGGGTCGGAGTGCCCTGAGAAGATGAGGAAGGCGGTTCGTGGAGGGAGGGAGGCGTGGAGGGATGAGAGACGGGATTCGAGGGAGGAGAGGACGGGTGGGAGGGGTTGTGGGACTGAAGGGGGAATGAAGTCAGCCGAAGCTGAGGGTGTAGGTGGAATGGAGGATGTTGAGGGGGCTGTTGGTGCTGCAGGTGCGGGCTCAGTGGTCGGAGCGGCTTTAGGCGTGATCCCTATAAATCCCCGAATTGATCAACACACAACGCACACATCCTCGAAAAAATCGATCGATCAAACAAAGCCCGTCCAAAAAAGGAAACTCACACCCAAGCGCATCCGCCAACCCGGTAAACCTCCCGAACACAAACTCATGCGATCCGAGCATCTCCTTCACGCCCTCATACACTTCCTCGTCCGTATTACACGGCACCGTCGTCGTCGCCTTCGAGCCGTGCCATGTCGCCGGGTTTCCGTGGTCCACGACGGCGGTGCGGATGGTGTTGTTCGGCGTGCCTGCGTGACCCGCGGAGCGAGACATGCGCTCGAAGATGGACTCAAAATCTGTGCGGAATTCACCGTAGCCCATGCCTATCCAAAAAACATATTCACCATCAGTCTCTCGTCTTGTCTTATCTACAACGAGTAGAAAGAGCAACGTCAATGTGAAACGCACCATTCTCCACCTTCCTCTTCAACAACTCCATACAAGCCCTCGCGTCCTCCTCGGAGTCATGTCCCCCCTCCCCCCTAACCTGTATCTCCCTCCCACACCACTTCTTCGTCAACCACGCCAAGCCGGGCTTGAGTGGCCTTCCCCTTGGATGATGATATATGATCGCCGTGTCGATGCATTTTGGGTGACAGAGCTTTAGGGCTTTGAGGTCGGATTCAAGGGAGTGTCCGAGGAGGATGGGGGTCGGTTTTGCGGAGAGGAGGGAGAGGAGACGGGTTTGCACTTGGCGGAGGGTGGTGGTTACGGGGGCGAGGGCGGCGGGGGTTATGCCGGACCAGCTAGAGAGGGGTGGGTGGTTCGTTTGGTCAAAATTTTATGTCGTGCATACTAGGGAGGATAGGGAATGGGAGCGGAGAAAATAGGGGCATACCGAGTGAGGTAGTCGATGATGGGTTTGGAGGGTTTGACGAGAGTATCGTATTCGACCTTGCCCGTCTTATAATCAATCACGGAGACCCTCGTCAATTCCTTCCCGTCTTCGGTCAAACACTACAGCAACGCCCAAAGATCAATAATTCCATTTCTCAGTAGCCTAGACTAAAAATAGAACACGATGGAATAGAAAATGGGAAGTGACATACCATCTCGCAATCAATCGCGTAGATCTTCGCAGTAGCAGTAGGCTGCTTTTCCAAGAGCGAGTACATCTGCGGCTCCGGCGTCTCTACCCATCCTTCTGGTTTTTGGAAGACATCGGCCAAGTAGGATGGGATAGGATAGTCGTTCTCGATCATTTGTTCGAGTTTGAGGAGGTAGAGCGTGGGATTCTTTTCTTCGCGGCGTTCAGCTGTTATGTCCCACATCCAGTAAATGTCAGTAACAAAACAAGTGCAGAAAGTCATGGAGCTGGTGACAAAAAATTGGAGAGAAAGAGAGGTGCTTACAAGCTATCCGCGCAATGACACGCTTCCTCTTCTCCTCTCCACTAACGGGACCCTGAAAAAACGAACTCAAGACCGAATGCATCTTCGTCGCTTCACCCGGTGCCTTCGTAGGCAACGCATGACTGAACGTCCGGCAGATGAACGGAACCCCACCACACGCCGCCGCCTCTTCTTCTCGTTCGTGTCCTAGTTCTCGCGCATCGCCGTCCAGCTCCATAGCTATCGGGGCAGATGTCGGGGAGGGAGTTGAAGAAGGTGATGGTGGTAAAGGTAATGAGATAGGAAGGTTAGGGTTTGAGGTTGCGGATGTGGGAAGGGGAGGGAGGGAGAGGACTGTGTGGGTTAGGCCGGGGATGAGGAGGACGACTACTTTTTGGATCGAGTGAGGATTGTCGACGCGGATCCAGGAGCATGGCGGGGCGTCTGCGATGATGTGGAGCACAAAGTCGCGAATATCCTAGGAGCGTCGGCGTTAGTACAAGTACGACGACGTGTATGAGGACGATGGAAGATGGTGCGCCACCCACGATAATTGTGTGGCGAGGCGGTTTGACGTACCGAAACTGTTACTGCCTCTTTGCGCTTCACGATCTCATTGCCCACATACATAAACTTCGGCGGAGCAGCCTGAAGCAGTGCTCACCGGTCAGCCAAAAATAGTTCGCAGACACGACGACCGCCTGCGTGAAGAACGAGAAACACACACGTCAAGCTTTACGCCCGTCTTCTTCATCTTCTTTCCCTTTCTCTTTTCCACTTTTGTCCACTGGTCGCCCGAGCCAGTACCAGAGGTGCCACCGTCTTCTTGTTCTTGAACAAGCCCGTGCGAGACAGGTGCCGACGTTTTGGCCTTTTTTGATTTGTGCGGGCTGCTCGAGGGCGAGGACTCGGAGGATTGAGTGCGCTTCATGGAGGGCACGAGTCGCCAAGCGTGGTCTAGATACACGAGGCTGGTCGAAACGACGTCAAAAACGCACCGCAAGGAAAAACTGAGAGAAACGTCAAGTTCAGGAAGTGACAACTTGGAAAACAAGAGCAGAAAGCAGAACAAGTCCCAAAAGACGGAACGCGGGCACGTGATTTGGAAGACATTCACACGTTGTGTCTCAATCAAGCGGCAAGTCCATCACAATTCGGTACAAATTCGCTACGACCAAGTGGACGATTGAACCACGATATGTACTCTTAAGCTTGTTACACGCTAGTTTTTGGCTGTGAAAGGCTATGACAGAAGGTCGATCTGTCGATTTCCCCCCGATGCTGCGGTCTTTGCCGATAGGTTATGAAGGTTTTCCTCGGACTTTAATAGCTTGGTCTTTTTCAAAATGAAGTCACACACAAGAAAGTCAGGGAGAACTACGTACACTGAGGTTATCCGAGGTAGTCTGAGGTCTGACGGAGTTTGACGCGGTCCGACGAGGTTGGCTGAACTCCGACGAGCTCTGACGAGCTCTTCCGGGGTTTTCCGGCCGGGAAAACGGGCGCGGACCGGCGACGCGCTCGGACGCGCTCGTCGGAGTTCATACAACCTCGTCGAACTTGGTCCTCCGGCGTCAGCGTGAAGCTTAATCGCGCAAGTTGTCTTTGGTCGGACCAGGTCAGAGCAAAGTATCACTCACCAGTCTAATTAATATATTTATAATTGAGCTCCAATGAGCTCTCAGGAGCTCGGACTAAGTATAACGAGCTCTTCCGAGGTCGTCTGGGATCGAATAGGCATTTGAGTGCGGTAAGTTGTCCAAGGTATGATAAAATATGATTTGGTTTGCTGGAGTTTTCTCAGCTCTGAGTTCGTACGCTGAGGTTGGATGAAGTCAGCCGAGGTCGGCTGAGGTCCGACAAGGTTTGATATAGTTTTTCACAGTCAAATGGAGTTGTCTCCGAACGTAGCTCAGAAAACCTCACCGGACCTAGTCAGACTCCTCCCTCCCTGATATATGCAACAAATCGTCTACCTTCTGTCCAAGGAAAACCATCATAATAGGTGCACAGAAATCTACGAAAATCTTGTCGACTTAGCGAGGTGATGCTAATCCTGAGATGACTCTTTACTCACAGGTTTACAGCAATTGGAGTGTTTCTAATGTTCGACTTTACCTCTTTGGCCACAGCGACACGGTCTTCTCTGACCGATCCAACTCAGAATCCTGTCCATCACACGCCCTCTGATCTCGTCTTACTGTTGGAGACGACGCGATGATACCTCAGCGCTCAGCCCCCACGAAAATCGCTTTACGAGAATAAAGTATAAGAGCCAGGTGTCTTGGAGGTCCATCATCAACGCCTCCTTCTTTCCGCTCCGGCGACATTTCCAAGCTCTGACCAGGAGCTAAAGATCACATATTTCCCAAACGCCATCCCGCCGATTGCGCATCATGGCGAGCTTGCCTCCTGAGCAGGACTATATCTACAGTCCCAGCATCGTGGCACATCATAATATCCTCTCGATCTCTTTCGAAACCATTTTATATGGTACGGCCCATAGTCTCATCGTATCGCCACCTATCTGACTGCCTGAGTCAACGAGAGCTCATCAGTGTCACAGAGCAAGAACCTGTCAATCTTGAAGGTCATAACTATCTTGATGAACACCCCGAGGGCGATAACGGTGTTTTTCTTCATCATGGTATATGAGTGCGTCCGACTGGTCTCATAGTAAATTGGCACCCAGTCGCCCCGTTGAACTGGTCGACGATCGTGCGCGGACTTGGTATCGGTCTTCAAGAGTCATGTACGGCGGGCAGAACTCTATCGTCACTCTTCATCTCCAAGCCATCTGGAATCTCAACTCTACGAAAGTTGGCCTCGTCACGCTGGCCTCAGTTATTCCTACTCTTATCTGTGTGTACCTCCCTTCCGTATATCTTCGTCCTTGCCATCTAGTTCCCTGCAGTATTGACTCTCCACTATTAGCATCGCTGATGGCAGGTTGATTAGCTGATAGGAAAGGGAATGAGTGGGCTACTGCCATAGGTTTGATCCTCGCGTTACCTTGGTGCGGCCTCATCACAATCGACATATCTTTGGCTTTATCCATCGTTTGTTTTGCTCTTGAGAGTAAGTCGACAACCTCCCACAAACTCACTCGCCATACACTGCCCAATCATGGGAACCACAAACTGATTTTATTTGTAACGGACGATATAGGTATGCTCATGTCTGCCGTGCTTTCCCCTGTGTCGAGTGAGCTAGCTACAGTCAGCCGGACGATAGATGGTATTTGATGTGAGTACCTGTTTGACTACCGTGAACGTGCTCTCCCGTGGTCTGCCTGATATCAAGACCTTTCTTGCTCTCAATCCACGCAAACGCCCATGTGTACGGCGCATTCAACTTCGTCTATGGTATCGGAGCGTCCATTAAGCAATCCTACTCGACCGTATCGCCCAGTATCAGTACGTGGAAGTTGATCACCCTTTAGTTGGACCGGTGCTTGGAGGACAGGTACTGTTATATTGATCAACCACACACTCTACGACTTTTACCACCTGACTCACCAGCCTATACCATGTTTATTTTCTTCACGCACATCAACGCTTCCTCATTCTTCTTACTGCGAACGGGACGCCATCACAATGCCGACCGGGCCACACAGATGTACCAACACGTCCCCCACAATCGAGGCTGGCTAGCGTTCAACTTCGTCGCTTTCGGACTGGTGATTGTGTCCATTGGGCTGACGTTTGCGTATACCGGCGATAGACCTTTGGCGGGACGGTTGAGAACCAGACTGAGTGGCGTGTGGCGCCGTGATCGAAAAATCGAGACATGAGCGATGGGTTCTGGAGAGCGTGACGAACCGTCGCGTACGAGCACGAGCTGCGGTCGGAACCATATAACAACTCCTTGTCTCATAGACGATTCATGATCAAAATAACGAACTGTATGAAAGATAGATCATACATGGCCATCTCTTTCTCTGGGCGCGCTGTAGTGAATATCTATGAAAGGGAGGACAGACCGAACAAGAGCCCACGGCATTCGGCACTAAAGCGGCATCGAGTGGATAGTAGAAACAGGTTGGCACGGTAACTCTTGGAAGGAAATGAACACGGGCTGCAGCAAGTCGACGCTCGTGATATCATGGTCGTTGTGCAAACAAAGATTCAATCGACCTCGAGGCACATACCATGCATTCGAGATCTCCCATAGACGGCATGGAAAGCGCTGGGTGCTACCAAATCTTTTTAATCGGATGGATGGTAGTCAATGAAAGGGCATCATGTTCTGGAAGAATATTCAAGTTGTGTGATCGGGGATGACGCGTACGATGAGTGGCTCACCTTGCCACTGCGCTGCACGGCACAGACCTCTCACCACCGCCGTTCAGCATCCTTCCGTGAAGGGGAGGAACAATTCGTACATTTATGTCACGCGCAGCTAGGTGAAGGCCTCCCCTTGGATATGTTCGTAGTCGACCTTGGGGGAGGGGAAAAATATTCTGGTCAGCTTTTCACGGCACTCGCCGCGAACAAAGGAACGTCGAGCGTGTCTTAGAACGTAATAGCGCCGAAAAATGGAACGACGACCGGCTTCCCGCCCCACAGCACTGACACTGTACACGCGTCTTTCCCTTTGTCTGAACCTCGAGGCATCAGCGACACGTCGTAATGAAGTCAAAGGTCGCTTTGTCCCGGAGCGGATCCAGAACGACCTGTCGCTTTAGAAACCAAGAAAAAGTTAAGGTCAACAAAGAAAACAAAGCTTCCGGCGGAAGGAGGCGTGTTGACTTTGCCTGCGAAGATGTGGAATCTGCCGAGGACAAAGGGCAGTTCAAAGTTAAGTCCAGCAATATATAAGCAGGCTTCGAACGACGAGAGGAAGAGCATAACCACTCGTCCCCAACTGCCTGATCGTCTGCTCTCAAGCGCTTACTGCTCTTCCTCGACTCTTGTTTTCCGCACCAACTTTAGACAACTAACAAACATGAACCACACATCGTACCAACAGCCAGGTCAGATCGGTCAATCTGCGATGGGGCAACCTGCTCGGGGCCGGCAGATCTGGGACTTGGCGTCGCAGACGAACGCTTTCGGGAACGTCGCATATACTGCTCAGCTTGGCCTCTCTTCTCAGGTGCCGCAACATGCTGCCCAGCAAATGACACAATATCACCTTCGACTGCCAGAATCGACGCCGCAGTCCAGCATCCAACGTCCATTCGAGGGACAGGTGAGCATTTCAAGCTCTTTCACGGTCATTTCATCCTTGCTGACACGCCGTGCGTTTTCTCATTCTCAGTACGAATACCCGCAGCTACACCAATCTCTCCCCATTTTCTCCCCATTCCATATCCGACCTCACGACACTGGTTCCGCAATCGACGACTGGGACTTGCGCCACCCCGCGACGCCCTCTATCACCATGTCCAGCGGAACGAGTGCTAGCGCTCGTGAGACAGGGATCCCGGAGTCATCTCGCTCGTCTCAGGCCGCACCTTCTCACTCACTAGGTCAGCCTAGGCCGATTTTGCCGCTGCCATCTCGTGCGTCACATCAGAACTTCGAGCCCATCGCACATCGCCCAGTTCACTCCCTCGACCCCCCTCCGACTCCCGACTCTATGACCGATGACGACCTTCTGGACATGCTGGAGCAGAGCTCCCAGCGGGTGGATGGGATGCTCGTGGGCATACAGGACAGGACAGCGGGCACTTCGTCTACGGCCCCGTCGGGCTACTCCACCCCGCCTTCCTCCTCTGACGTGCTATCTTTCTTCGCCGGTACCTCTCCTCCCGTCCCTGCTTCCTCTCTCGATCATATGCCCCGCCCGCACTCTTGGTGGCATGATGAGTATGGCAAGGACGTGTACGAAACTCTGTTTGGGGTCGGTTTTTCGACATTCCTCGACGACTCCCACTCGGGTCAGTCAAGCACTACTCAGCAGCTTGAGTACGACCCTGACGACGTGCCCGCCCCATGGTCACCAGCCCCCGCACCGAAGAGGAAGACTACCGCGCCGTATACGCAGGGGAGAGAGAAAAGGGCCAGGAAGGACGACCCTCAGAAGCCGATGGGCTGGGAAGACTCGACACGCTCGACCGCATCCCAGGTCCAGCGAAACACCAATATAATATCGGAAGCATCCACAAGTCAGGGTGTCCCAACAAGTGACGAAACTTTCCTCTCTTACACAGGTGTCAACACCGGAACAGCGATGCCTGCAGAGGAGGAGACTCGAGAGGAGGGGGAGGAGGAGGGGGAGAGGGTGGGCCCGAAGTACAAGCCCCATCTCTGCAGGATAGAGGGTTGCAAGTGGAAGGAGTCCTTTAATCGCAAGAGAGACTACTATCGCCATATCTGCACCAAACCAGAACACGAGGCGGAGCGCTCTCTCCCTGGCTGGAGGCAGCGACATGGGATCCCAGAGGATTTCAAGGATATTCTAGTGTTCTGCCCGGTGGAGAACTGTACGCAACGCTACCACGGGATGAGGAAGGATACGATGAAAACCCATTTGTGGAAGCAACACCGAATCGGTGAACCGCCGAAGAAGAGGCCGAAGAAGTGTTGAACTTGTCCGTCGGTGGCAAAGGGACAGGATACGGAATGAAGGACTTGCCTGGCGATGAGGGCGCGGGTGGATTCTACCAGGCTGTTGGATTTCTTTTTCTTTTTTCTTTTTCTTCTCGATTTTTTGCCCTTGGGCGTGTTTCTCTGTTTCTCTGTATCACCGCTCGATGTGAGCTTGGATTAATTTTTGTATTGGTGATACACTCACTCAGATTCGCGCGCGTTCTCTCTGTTTCTTTGTGTCACCGCTCGATGTGAGCCTGGATTGATTCCTGTACTGGTGGTTTCTATTGTTCCGATCGCTAGCTCTTCTGTGGATGCGTCGTATTTCTGTGTATAATGTATAAACGTTGTGATCAACTCGAATATTCGCAACGACTCGTAGAGACATCACTCGCAGTCCGTCCACTGCGCCACTGTGGCCCGAGGCCTATCGCCGGTGTACGCCACTCCAGAGACGGTAAACGTACACGACCAAGATCAAGACGACTCACCAAACTACTGGTACAACAGCGATGGAATTCAGGAGCTTGAGTGAGCCTAAAGAGTGACATGGGAGAACGAGATATGGAGATGAAGGTAGAAATCAATGCGGGCTGAACTTCCTTTGAGCCTCCGACATCGAGCCAGTTCTTATACTCTAAGTTTTCTCTGCCTCATGTCCTCTATCAACCACGCAATCGCCCGTCCATCTATCCAGAGTCGTTCCTACTTCCAAGGCCAGAGCCGTTCGTTTGTCCTCCTCGCATTCCGCGTCGAACGAGCGAAATGGTTCCAGTTCGTTCGAGGATAAAAGTGGGGTGACTCGTCTTGAGAGCAGGTAGACCATCGACGAGGTCAAAATTATCGCATCGCAAAGAGGAGGAAAACTGGGCGAATTCAACGACTGTTCGCCGTTCTGTGGATACTCATCCGAGCGACTTTGCCGTTCGGCCTAGCGGCGAGAGCCGAGTCGAGCTATACAGCAGTTCGGAGTGGCACCAATTCACGTCAGAATTGTGGCGCAGTGATTCAGAAAGGACAACCTCGATAGAGCTTCAAACATCATAGCATTCAACAACTCCTACGTACTACTAAACGCTATCACCACAAATCCACGCATCCCACAATACCACAGGTAAAAGAGAAAACCCAGAAAAACCCAGAGATCCCCACCAACAGAATGACCATGTAACACCGGCAATCGCGTGCATGCATGCGCATCAAGCGTAGCTCGTACGGACGAAGAATGGAGTAAAAGTGGAAAAAAGCACCCTATATGAACAGGAACATTCGAGACGGGGACTCAAGCTCTCAGTGGGAAAGTTAAAAAGGCGAGGGATAAAGGGAGAGAGGTAAGTCGACGGAAGCACGCAATGCAGGAACACCAAAAACACGACATGCACAAAACAGGGAGGAGAGAAACCGAAAAATGAAAAGTAGCAGTAACCAATAAATAAATTGCGACAAACTCTAGAAAGCAAATGACTACGCAATACTCATACAACAAGGAAAGGGTATCCAGCAAGAAATGAAAAGAGAATTGAGGAAGAGGAGAGGAGAGGAGAGGTATAGGTGTATGGGAGGGAAAGACCATCAAGGCACTGAGACGTTGAAATGGCGTCTACAACCTCGAGATCCTCGACTTGATCATCCTCCTATCCTTGCTGCTCTTCTTGTCGTCCTTCCCACTCGCAGCAGCGCTCTCCGTCGCAGCCGCAGACTCGGAGGCCGAAGCACTCGCGGCGTCGGTAGCCGAAGCTGCAGCGCTCGAGGCATCGGTAGCCTTCGAAGATGTGGTAGCGGCATCCTTGGAGGCAGACGCAGACGCGCTCTTGGAGTTGGAAGTCGATGCGGAAGCGGAAGCGCTCTTGGAGTCGGTAGCCTTTACAGAGGCAGTGGCGGTAGCGGCGTCCTTGGAGGCAGAGGCAGTCGCAGCACCCTTGGAAGCAGAAGCAGAGGCGGTCGCGGCATCGGTGGCAGCAGCGGAGGCGGAGGCAGAGGCAGAAGCGGACTTGGAGCCCTTTCCGGACTTGCACAGGCTGATGGTTCGCCGCCGAGTTGATGCTCGAAAGTTTGTAGACACCAGCCGGCAATCCACCCGTCACAGCCACACTAACCGCGCCATTGACAGCAGCACCGTCAACACCCTTGAAGAACGCAAACTTCGTCGGATCCGTGGGCGTCGTCTGCGTCAAGCTGCTCAACTGTTCGACCACCACGTGCGTATGTCCGACGATGTCCCCCTGCGAGTTGACCTGCTGAGGAGCGGAGTAATAGTTCGACGCCGCGTTCACGAAGTTGCCGAGCTCGAGGTTCTTGACGTTCATGACAATGTCAAAGTCGGTGTTCGCGGCGATGGTGCCAAAGTTGGGAGGGTTGGAGAACTTCGAGGAGGGGATGTTGGTGCTAGCGGCGATGACACCCATGGGTGCGGGGTTGCACGAACCGGTGGTGATCTGCTTGCCGTTGGTGATAGGGAGGTTGGTTGTGGCGCAGAAGTTGATAAAGTTGTTGCTGGAGGTCAAGGAGGCGACTTGGCCGGCTGTGGCGTTTGCCTGACCATCCTGCTCGAACCCGGTTGCGATGACGGAAGAGTCAAGGGCTGCAGGCAACGAACCGACTAGTCAGTGCTATGTTGTTAGACCAGAATATGTGAGTGAGGACATACTTAAGGAGGTCTGGAGGTCACTAGGGCTGCTACCCGAGGTAGACGCAGCGGTGTTACCACCACATACATAAACTTTGGCGGAGCAGCCTGAAGTAGTGCTCACCGGTCAGCCAAAGATAGTTCGCAGACACGACGACCGCCTGCGTGGAGAACGAGAAACACACACGTCTAACTTCATGCCCGTCTTCTTCATCTTCTTTCCCCTTTTCTTTTCGACCTTTCTCCGCTAGTCTCCCGAGCCAGTACCAGACGCGCCACCGTCTTCTTGTTCTTGAACAAGTCCGTGCGAGACAGGCGCTGACGTTTTGGCCTTTTTTGATTTGTGTGGGCTGCTCGAGGGCGAGGACTCGGAGGATTGAGTGCGCTTCATGGAGGGCACGAGTCGCCAAGCGTGGTCGGGATACACGAGGCTGGTTGAAACGATGTCAAAAACGCACCGCAAGGAAGAACTGAGAGAAACGTCAAGTTCAGGAAGTGACAACTTGGAAAACAAGAGCAGAAAGCCGAACATATCCCAATCCCAAAAGACGGAACGCGGGCACGTGATCCAAAACATATTCGCACGTCGTGTCTCAAGCTCATTACGATTCGGTACAGTAAAAATTTGCTACATTCGTGGATGATTGAACCTCGATATGCACTCTCTTTACCCGCTACAAGTTGGCTGTGGAGGGCTATGAAGAACGACCTGTGTGTGGATTTCCCCCCGATGCTGCGGCCTTTGCCGGTAGGTGTACTCTACATTCGGTGCACAGAATTAAAATCTGCAGAAATCTTGTTGACCTAGCGAGGTGATGCCTATCCTGGTGCGATTCTCTACTCACAGGTTTACAGCAACTGGAGTGTTTATACTGTTGGACTTTACCCTTTTCGGTGCTGCGACACGGTCTCCTTTGACCGATCCAAATCTGAATCCTGTCCACCACACGCCTCTGATCTCATCTTACTGTTGGAGACGACGCGATGATACCTCAGCCCCCGTGGAACTCACTTGGCAGGAATGCAGTATAAGACCTAGCTGTTGCGGAGGTTCATGATCATCCTCCCCTTTCTTCCGCTCCGGCGACATTCCAAGCTCTGGGTCTGACCAGGGACTGAAGATTGTATAGACTCTCAAACACAGTCCCGACGCCTCCATCATGGCGAGCCTGCCTTCTGACCAGGACTATGTCTACAGCCCAAGCATAGTAACTCATCATAATATTCTCTCAATCGCCTTCGAGACCTTTGTATATGGTACGACCCGTGTTTTTCTGTTTCCTCGTCGTGTACCGAGAGGTACTTATCTGACCGCCTTTCAACCGTATCCTCACAGGCCTATACGCCGCGCTCTTCCCCGCCTCTGTCTGGCTTTTAACGTGAGCCCTCAACGGTGATACTCACATACCGCCTCCAACGTTCTTACCCCCTTTCCTCACTCACAGTCGAACCAAACCTCAAACCATGACCTCACTCCCAAAGACCTTCCTCATCACAATCCTCTCCCTCCTCTTCATCTTCTCCACGGGCCACTGGGGCATCTCATTAGCCTGGATAACCCGTTCCTCAGACTGGGAATTCTCTCGGCAAGGCGACCTCGAGAGTTCACCTGGTGCACTGACGTTCTCCGACGATTTCAACGCGGCAGCGAGAACGGCGGATATGAGTGTGGATAGAATGTACGTCGCGGTGGTTAGCGTGAGTGTTTCCGCCTGGCACTGAGAGGAGAGAAGGCGCAACGGGAGATCCGACGATGCTAACCGATTGATGGGCTTGCGCGTCATAGTTCCTCCTGAGTGATATTGCTTTGGTATGGACGGTCTGGCGTCCTGCGTGGCGGGGCATGCGTATCGCAATCGGCGTCATAAGCGGGTTTCTCTTCGGTACGTCTCACCATGAACCCTCATCCTCCTCCTCGAGGCCCTAATTCACTCACCGCTGCCCTCTGACTTCTCCCCTTCTTCCACCTTCACCTTCGATTCACAGCACTCTACGCCGGCTCCATCATCTACTCCTTCACCGCCATCTACGGCACCGACATACCCACATTCGAGGCCCAAGAAGACGGGAACTGGCAGCTCGGGATCATGATCGCCTTTTTCGGTTCGCTCGTTAACAAAGTGTGGCTTTTCGCGGCGTGGGCTGGGATCGTCTGGTGAGCGTTTCTGCGGGTCATCTGCTGCCCAGTGGTGACGTTTGAATCATCTCGTGTGTAGGAGACATCGCAGTCTCTTGAATGTAAGTAATAAGAGCATGGAAGGAAGAAAGGAATCGGACCACGTCCCGTCGTCGTCCGTGCTCCTCGTCGAATCAGGAGTGATATACCTCCTCTTATGGGTGCGTGTCCCTTTTCAACCCTCCCTCCTAAACTAGAATCACTCATAACTCATCCATAACCTTATTCGGCTTCACAGACAGCCAACACCGCCCTCTTCTACGTCTACGTCTCTCCATCCCGAGCGGCCGACAATTACGCGACATGGAGCTATTTCGTGTTTCATAACGATTTTATGGTCGGATGTATGATTCATATCGCTGTACGTGGCCCCCACAATCTTTTTTTCATCTCGGGGTGCTGAACTCTTGATGGTGCTTCGTCGTATAGGGCATCCATAGCACGCTGTTATTGCTCTTCGCCGGCAAAGGACGAACGCTCAGCGAACGGATTGTGCTGCGTAATACGAACGTAGAGCATCATGAATCTAGAGTATAACATGGTGTTCTGATCGCAGATCTCGCCCACCTAACGAATCGGTAATGTGCATTCGTTGCCTTTCCAATAATGACGATGTATAATTTTATGATATACTAAGAGACGAGAGCAGAGTTCAGACGGATCTCAATCATCCCCCTGCGCACGTTCATCCGTATCTAATAATCACACTGCCTTCTGCCAATCGTACGTTCAACCGTTCAGGTGAATTCAGGATAAGTAGGTCAATGATAGATACCTTCGACGCAAATATGCTTTATCTTGTTTACAAGCACAGTACCACAGTGCAGTGAGTAAATTTCTGGAGCAAAGAGAGGGAGAATACTTGTGCCACAGTCGTTAGAAGAGTGTAACTCAACTGTACATGACCGACACGTCGGAGGCGTAATAGACCACCTCAATAAAGGAAACCATACCGCATAATTCGTAGGAAAAATGTCCAATATTTCATCGTGGATAGAATAGGGACACATATACTACTGTACGCGGTTACAGGTGATGCCTGGAAAGCCGTGGTTTGCAGGAAGTGGCGCGGTAGACCATGTGAGTGGCGGTGAACGTTCGAACGCCACACTGACACGGCCGGTCCGGCTTCCGAATTGAAACTCCGCGTTATCAACCTGGACTCAACACGAACCAAGGCGCGTTTTTCCAACGTTCTTCTGCCTTTTGCTTCGACTGTCGTTTTCTCTAGTGTACGCACCAAGGAGCCCCTAATGCCTAGATACTCGCGAACAGATGAACTCAGTGGCCCCATCGCGGAGACCGGTGCGCTCATTGCCAGAGATAACTATGTGGGGCCGGTTCGTTGCCTTCCTGTAGAGATTTTGTCTAGATGCTTCCACTTCCTGGCCGCCGCGGACCCTCCTGTCTACACCATCTATACTGGAGGGAGCGTGTTTCAACCGACAGAGATTGCGCTCGGATGGATTAAGGTGCGGATCGAGCGTTATATCTCAGGCTCTGCCTTCTGTAGTGGCATGGCTTCATCTCTTTTGCTTATCATAGGTCACCCATGTATGTCGTCTCTGGAGGCAAGCTGGCATCGGGGACGCCATTCTCTGGCGAAATCTCTCATATTTTGCAATGAGGCGCATCTGCTTCGAGACGATACTCCAACGAACCAAGGCCGTCCCGCTTTCGATCACTTACAGGCGACCGACCCTACCATTTGCAGAACCCCATTCTTTAAGCAGACTGTTTGACGTCGATCGCCAGCGAATCCGTTCGCTGCACATTTATGCAAGCTCAACGAAACGGCTGGTCGATACGCTCCGGGATCCGTTTCCGAGCCTCGAGTCACTTTTTGTGTCCTTTTCTGCTGTGAACGAGAGCGATGAGGGGTTCGATGGGAACGAAGTCGATGGGATTGACACGGACGATGACCTGGACCAATATAGGAACGATCTAGAAGACTTACCTGCTACCTACCCAGGCTTATCATCGCCAGTCTCCTGCATCAAGACCTTGACCCTCGTCGGGTTTCCCTTCCCAAAAACACCGTTTCGCTTCGCTCCTCAGCTCACGAGTTTGGTTATCTCGCTTCCGGTTCGATATAACAGCCACTTTGTCCACTGGTCCGCTCTCTATCCCAGCATGGAGGAGTTCGTCGAGGTGCTAAAGGGCACACCCACTTTGACCACTATCGATTTTCGCCACTGCACGCCACAAGACTTTGTCCACGCTCCGCCCGAGACCGTGCCACGAGAAATCTGTCTTCCTAATCTCAGGAACGTGACGTTGATAGCCACCCGTGATGGCTTGAACTCCATGTTGTCGTTCATCAAAGTTCCTAATGCTAGGCTACGGGTGGGACTCTATGGGCTTCCTGACGACGTCGAAGAACACCTTTCCGCTATCTTCGCCGCCATAAAATATTCCGCTTGCCGTGATATTACGGCTTTACGTTCACTCGACATCTACATCGAGATGTACAAGCAGCGCCCGCGCGTCGTTGTCTCCAGCTCACCTGTTGTCTCGTGGAATCTGAGCCATGACCCAGACGAACTCTTCGCTGACCACCAAACCGGCACGACAGGCTTCGATATCGACAAGCGCGAACCGGAGTTCGCTTTCGGCTTCCAGCTGGCAGGTACCAGCGCAGTGCCTCTACTCACGACCGTCATAAACGTTATGAAAGCCTTCGACCACACCGCCGTCGAACATCTCTCGATTCGACACTCGAAACAGTGCGATACTAGGTCTGATTTGCGAAGTATCAGGCAATTTTGGTTCTACCTGATAAGGGGCATGATCAACCTTCGTCACCTGTCCATCCAACACTTCGTGTTGGATTCCCGGATCCTGCAGATGCTTTTGCTTCGGTGTGCTGACTGGGAGAGACAGATGCTCGGCGTCCAGTCTAGTCCGAGAATGATCGAAGATGGTGATGCCTCGAAATTGCATCTCCCCAAGCTCTCTACCTTGGAGTTCGTCGACGTAGAGCTGATGGCGGAGGTGGCGGAACTGACGAGGATACTGGAGCTGCGTAGAAATCTCGCCGACGAGGAGGCTGGTGCGAATGGTGTGTTGCAGAAGATGGCGCTCAGGGAGTGCAGTCTTCCCTGGACTAAAGATTTGCGTGGTCTGAATCAATTGCGCGGACTGGTTGTTGAGGTGGTTTTAGGGAACGTAAAGAAGGAGCCCTTATGGGCGAGAGAACTACTTTGTGACCCCCAATTCCGCAGATGGTGATCCTGGGTGATTGCGGCAGAGCGTTTGTATGTACACTACTTGCATTATATGTATGTATGGACTCGCATCCGGCAGAGATCTCTGTTCCTGCGTTTTCAATGCAACTTTGTTGTTCTCATACCACTTCTGACGGAAGGCGTACTTCTGGAACGCCTTTGTAAAGCTTGTTATCCACGTCTCAGACGCACCTTTTGCTATGACATTGCAGGTAAACATACCGACTGTCGCCGTTCGAGCACAACCAATCCATTGGGATACTGATAAACATGCGCATTAACTAGCAGCGATGAAGACGTATGTATTAAGTCAAGAAATACGTGTGGTACAATTTGGGCTCGAACTAGACTATGACCTGCGACGGTGTCAAGTCCTCGTAATCGTGAATGAGCGTACAAAAACAAAAACGTGCTGTGTCGATTCAAGCGGTCCGTATTTATTTATATTATGTTATATTATGGTAGTTGTCGCAGTTAACGCTAAGAAACATGCAAAATTCACTATCGTCGAGTATGGAAGCAAGCTGTATCAGTCTTCGTCGCTGGATGAACTATCCTCCCTCTCCGAGTCTGAGCACTCCTCCTTTTCCCCATCAACCTGGAGCCCAATCTCAGAGTCTATCTCCTCGATCGTTGGAACAACAGCCTCCAGCCTCCACAGCTCATCCCTGAAGATCCTACATCCTATCAACCGCAGGCATTGAACGGGAGCAACCTCCAACCGCCGAGTTAGCAGAGACAAAAGCAGAGCCTGACTACTCTTCGCAACACCCTTCCTACACGGAACCAACGCGGACAGCGCTCACGGAGATCGACGTTCTTCAGCTCGAGAGTTTCCAGCCTTGGGAGGTAGTGCCCGAGATTGTGTTCCAACGACACCATGGTATGTTCATCGGCGAAGTTGTAGCCTTTATCATATTCGAAGCGGGCAACCTTTACGTTGACGAGATGAGCAATGCCATGATCCCAAAGTGCGCGAGTGGATACACCGCGAACCAGGATAGTCTCGACGGTATGCCAGACGGGGATGTGACTGAATACAGCACGGATGGCCAATCTGGCGTCTTTCCTGTCTGACACGCGCCCTGTCCCGAATGTAAACAAAGGTGAGTGGTCGGAGTCGAACACTCCTAAATCGCCGATAGCTTGAGTCACGGAAGGAATATGACCGATCGCACGAAGCGCAAAAGAGTCCGCATCGCAGGAGATCAGTAGATGATGAAGAGGCGAGGGTGGATCTCGGGACAAATGGACGTTGAGCTCGGAGATGAGTGGAGTATACCCTTCCAATGAGCAGATCCGGTCTAAAGAAATGCTGGACGTATTCGGTAGTTCCAAGGCGCTCAATAAAGCTGCACAATGGACGTCGTGCCCTCTTAGGGCGATCAATTTGAGGCGGGGGAGTCGGACGCGCTGCCTAGGGGGAAGAGAGACTGCGGTGGCCGAATCCTTTCGGAGAAGCTTTAAATACTCGAGCCGGGGGCTGGCTTTGAGAACATCCAGGATCCGATCGTACGAAAGATACCAGTCGCATTCTTCCAACGTAAGTCGAACCAGGTCTTGAAATGATAAAGCAGCCCAGGAATTGTCGACACAGTAGAGAGTAAGCTCGTGAAGGCGCGGAAAATGGTTCGCGAGAAAGTCAGGTCGGAGTGTGATGGGACTAGAGGTACCTGTATGACGGATTTCGAGTGTTCTGAGCTTGGGTGCAGGCGCAGTGCACGATTGTAGAGGGAGTGATTCTATTAGACTGTAGCGAACATTTGAAATGAGGATGAGGACCTCTACACTGTCGAGGTGCTTAGACAGCTGTTCAGAGACCTTTGAGGAGACGGAGAATGGGGTTCGCCTCCCGACCATACGAGAACTCTCTTCTAACACGAGGTGCAAGGGCGCGGACTCAGCACGTTTGAGCATCTCCAAGAACCACTTTGATCCAAGATGGAGTGCGGGCTTTCTCCACAAGGAAGGGATGCTCATAGCAACTTCTCTCCAGTGATGGCACACATGTGTCACCACCATCCAGTGAAGAGTACAGCGAAAGTTCAGATTTTCCTCGTGGAGGGAATATCGGGCGAGGTGGCGGTCAAGTGGATCGTCCTCCGCGAGTATCGTGAATATGCGTGCCAGGATGTCGAAGGGAAGTTTTCCAACTGAAGCGAGCTCATTGAACTTGGACTGGAAGGATCCTAGCAGCCATTGGAGAGAAGCGATTTCACTACGAATTTTGTGACGGGCGGTGCCGAGAACATCGGCTTGTTGCAGAGCTGTGAGGTCGTAGACCGCAAACGAGCTACAGAGTCCCAATAGGACCGCACGCTATGAAGAAATATTTTTGAGGATTCGAAAGGATTCTCAAAGTGCGATGATCAAAGGCTTACTCTGGAAAGTCTTCGTTTACGCCTGATTGAGGATTGTTTGAACTGATGGTGTCACTTGCTGAAGGCGTTGTCATTTTCGTGCTTTTGTTAAGGATGGCCATGAAGACGTCTCAGTATAGTAGTAAAAAATACTCTACAACCTTGATACGGAGACTCACGAGATATAGCTAAAATTTTTTGCGGTGAAATGATGGTCTGAGAGGAAGAAGTGGCACGGTACTTTGTTGTGGTGTCATTACATTATTTTATGCGGAGCTCGAACGATGCCGGCGCATTCCGGAACCTAAGCTCTCAACATCGTCGACGGCGACGAGTTGGCCTCAGTCATTATACTGTACACATCGCAGTCATCTCGCCTCGACAGGGATTACTGTTTTCATCTGTCACTGGAGCCTCAGTCTCAACTTGTTCAGCGCCATGGTCACAAACAGAGGTGCTGGCATTAAGTTCCATACAAGATATAACGAACATCGCATAATGCATAATCATAGGAAGTCATAAAAAAGACATGAAGGGCATAAAGGTAGTAAGTCGTCAGTTTGTTGTCAATGGAAAAGCATAGTCAAGGCTGACATGAAGGAGTGTCCAGAGCGGACGCGAGGTCAAGTCCAGTTACTTACGAGCAAAATTCAACGACGCCTTGCGCTCAGATAGCTCTCCAGGACGGTACACAAACTTATTCACCTCCTGTTCATAGATCCACACCTTTCTCTTGGCATCCTCCTCCGTCCATCTACCCTCTTTCATCATCCGCTCCATAATGAAACCCACTCTCCATGTCCACTCCTCGGAATCGATTCCATGACACTCCGTCATATGTTTGTTGAGGTCAGTGCCCCGTCTCATCTTGCGGTCCCTCTTGGGACAGCTTCTATACGGGCAATACTTTATCCCTCCCGTGTAGTCGGACGGGATGCCCCAGCGCTTCTCCCAGCCAGGAACAGAGCGATCGTCGTCGTGCGCCACAGAGGTACAGATGTGGCGATAATATTCTTGGATACGGCCGTAAGTTATGGGCTTTCGCTCGAAACAACCGGGAATCGGGCAGTTGAAAGGGCCCTTCTTCTTTCCCGGATTCGCTGGTTCGGACTCGCCTCCTTGACGAACGAGTGGAGGCTCTGCGCAGGAAGGGACACTCTCGCTCGAGGAAGGCTCTTGTTTGACGACTTCGGCCACAGTGTCCGTCCGCGCCAGAAGGTACTGGATGGTCTCGTCCACCTTGCGCTTCCTCCGTGGGACTTGTAGGTCATGGGAATCTGGAGCCTCCCTCTTTATCATAGGGGACGACGGCGTCTCTGTCCATTCCATCACCGTAGCTGAGGGCACAGATGCTTGAGACGGAACGTCGTCCATGTCGACATCTATCGGCTCGTCACGAGTACCGCATCGAGCAGAGCAGTGATGCGAGGGATGACGAGGTGTGCACGCCGATGAAGTGCTCCTGCCAGCAGGCGTAGGAAGATGATGCGTAGTGACAGGCAGGGCTGGTGCAGACGGGACATCCGGAATCGCTCGTTCTTCTCTCGATGGTGTAAGATGCGTCCCTCCTGAGCGTCTGATCGCAACTACCATCGATCCAGGACACAGGAAGGGATAACGCATGGCCAGAGAGACGGGAACCAGGACATGTGTCTGATGTTTGATGTTTAGAGAAGTAAGAAAATCAGTAAGTCAGAGATGGAGAAGATGAAAGACGCACCGGGCCCGCACCGATAGCGAGAAATATACCAGGATGGCGGTCCGTCGGATGTACTATGAACGTAGGAGGCTGAGGAGGCTGAGGAGCGTGAGGCCTGGACACGTCGTTCGTGGATTGGGACATCTGAGAGAGGATCTCGTGCATTCGCATCTCGCTCGCAGTAAGATTAAGCGGGTTTGGTTCCATCTTGGTGTTTCAGATAGCACAACACAGAAAACGGGAGAATGCGAGTGATAGACTGTTTGGGGTTGAGGGAGCAGATGAGTGTCGTTAAGAATCCTGTCTGCCACCTTATATATGGTTTCAGTTCCTCGTTGGCCGCTTTGTTGACCTATATTATAGGCAATTCTTGGTGCCACACGGACTCGTTTTCAAATCTGCGTGCGGCACCTTTCGCTTTGATGTGATGCCTCCCAGTGCCTCCCTTGGCCACAACGGTTTCCGTGACACGAACAAAGAAAAGATTAGCCGTATTTGGCTATCTAGTCACTGATTCGTCGGCGATTGTGATGATTTTCGTGCCAGTTGCGGAGGATACTGATCGGAACTTTTTCCTGCAAGATTTGCCGTGCCACAGGTAGGCGAGGGCCCTGGCGTCTTCCGCTTTGTTCATGGCAGCAACCACTCACTGCTGTGTGGACGCATTGTTGGGTGTTGGTTCTACTTACGGAACAAGGTTCTTTCGATAATCCCCCTATCTGATATCAAGACAACGCCGGGGCCTCTTTCACTTTCGCATTGCCTTTCAAGGAACGACCATTGTTCTCGCCGGGATGGAAGAAAACGCCGACGTACTTGCTCACGATGATGAGTGGCTAAACTGGGCAACAGTGCCAGCTACTGTTCCAGCAGCCTGCGGATAGCTTTCTCTGTGCCCACTGGCGCAGCCTGCTCGTCTGAGTTGTCTAGAGACGCGTGAAATGTTCTTCGGCTAGGATTATTGAGGTTGTGGCCTGAAGTGAGGGTCAGCTATGATGTGTTGATTCTCAATGAGAGCGCGAAATAGTGCTTTGAAGATCAAATGCACTTTATTTACTCCCTTGTAGTACATAGTAGTACTACCGCTTCAGTGCTTGAGTCCTGAGTTACCTCACTTGAATAGTCGTAGCAGGTGGTGGTGGCCCAACACGGTCGGCCGAGTCGACCGAGGCCCCTAAATACAAGCGCGGACAAACTCCGTGCTCCGTTCTCCCGCTCGTTCACCAATATAATGTATCGCTGTGAACTCGTGTCAGGCTCACATCGTCCACTCACATGTCGTGCGAAGACAAGCAACTGCCGTGGGCCAAGACGTCCTCTTCCATCGATTCCGACATACCGAAGTGGATACCCACGGAAACGGGTTAGCTTCGTGATCGTGGACCTCTGCTTACTGTTAGCCAATCGAATGCGGCCTCGTACGATGCTCCCGCTTTTCTCGAGAGCACACCGGAAATTATAAAGGGTCGTTGTTCGCACAGTGGACAATGACCGCATCCCACCCACCCACTTTCGTACTTGTCGCTGGGCTGCGAAGCTTGCTGTTGGTTTCGCTCCTGATTTCTCTTGTTCTTTGACCTCGTCTATTTTTAAAATCGCAATGGCTGAATTCGAGCTGAAGTACACTCCTCAGGCTGAAGTCCAATCTGTTCGTCACTTTTCGCTTTCACTTTTCCAACCATACTCACATGACCACCATCCAGATCTACGACACCCTCCAACGTTCCTTCCGCAAAGGCGTCGCCCGCCCTCTCGGCTACCGCAAACATCAGCTCTACCGACTCGCCCGTCTCCTCAAAGAAAACAAAGAAGCCATCCTCGCCGCAGAGCACGCCGACCTCGGTAAACCAGCTCAAGAATGCCTGGTTGGCGAGATCGGCGCGATGATGGACAGGAGCATTAAGAGTGCGGAGTCGCTGGAGGAGTGGTCGAAACCGCAGAATGTGGAGGTGCCGGAGTGGCAGAAGACGTGGAGTCCGAAGGTGTTTAGCATTCCGAAGGGCGTGGTGTTGATTATTTCGTGAGTGTATCTTTTTCTTGCTTTTCCTGTCTTTTTCCCCTTCAATCTCGTCGTGCGCCGTGGGTTTGCGCAGCTGTTTGGTCTGAGGTGGACCAGTCGGGTTTTACGAACGCAATAGCGAGAGCTTCGTAGATGTGCGTGGGGACGGATGAGAATATCTTCACCGGTTCTGCATATATGACGGTAGCAGAAGACGCGACGAGTTCTGCTGTGCCTTTTCCATACCCACATTATTGAAAGCGAGGTCATGAGAAGATCATGAGGTTTATTTTAACCTCCCTTTCGACTCATCTGAACGGTCGTATGACCGGCCAGATGGAGGACTCTAGTCCATCCCCATTCGACATGCTCTGTTTTTTTTGAACACCTCGATTTCGTCAAGGCTGTCCGCGCCACACGCTTCACCCAACTGTGGCGGGCCACAACCCCTATCTTGCATACCCTACATCCACAATCCCACCTTTTCCGTATCTTCCTCTCACCTATATCCTGACATTGATCTCCCAACCCTTCACAGACCCTGGAACTACCCAACGACCCTCTCCCTCCAACCTCTCATCGGCGCCATCGCAGCAGGCTGCCCCGCCGTGCTCAAGCCCTCCGAAATCTCATCACACCACTCCGCGTTGCTCGCTGAGCTTATCCCGAAGTATCTCGATCCGGAGGCATACGCGGTCGTTAATGGGGGTATAGAGGAGACGACGAGGGTGTTGGAGTTTAAGTGGGATCATAGTGCGTACTACGTTCTCATTTCCCACCAATTTTCGGTCTTGCGAGGAAGTTCTGGGTTCGATGGCTTGCTGATGGTATGTGCGACGTGGTGGTGGGTACAGTTTTCTACACGGGCAATGGACGCGTAGCGCGTATTATCGCGGCAGCGGCAGCAAAACACCTCACGCCGTGCAACCTCGAACTCGGCGGAAAATCGCCCGTCGTCATCGATCCCGATTCATGCGACCTGAAGATAGCGGCAAAGAGGATTTTATGCGGAAAGACCACCAATGCAGGACAGGTGCGCTTTCCAGCCTCTTCTTCCATCCTTCTCTTCTCCTCCTACACTCCTACTTACAACTTCAAATCACACAGATCTGTGTCTGCCCAGACTACGTCCTCATCCCCCGTCACGCCCAAGACGCCTTCATCTCCGCCCTCCGCGAAGCCCACGACTCATTCTACCCGCCCTCTTCCGGCTCTCCACTCGACTCGCCCTCCTTCGGCTCTATTATCAATAAAGTGCAGTATGAGAGGTTGAAGGATATGAAGAGGAGGACAAAGGCGGAGTTGGTGCTTGGGGGTGGGGAGGACGAGGCGAGGAGGAGGTTTGAGCCGAGTGTGTGGAGGGATGTGAGGGAGGGGGATAGTTTGCTTGAGATGGAGATATTTGGCCCGTTTTTGCCTATCGTTCCCGTGGAGGATATTAACGAGGCGATCGAGTATATCAATGACCAGTGCGTTTTTATCTCTGCTTTAATGGTTCATATCGCTTACGGGCCGTTGCTGCACTTTTACAGTCCATCACCACTGGTGTTATATTCATTTACGACAGATCCAAAAGTCAAACAAGCACGTACGTCTCTCCTTCACCACTTTGTAGTACCCACACTCATAAAATCATGCAATATAGTTCTCGAGAGGACACGAAGCGGCAATCTAGTCTTCAACGACGTAGTCCAGCAACTATCAGTGAACGAACTCCCCTTCTCCGGAATCGGAGAGTCAGGATGTAAGTCTCCTCACCCTCCTCACCCTCCTTCCCCTCCTCTCCTCTTCCTCCTCATCCTTACGGTGCAGTACATCTCACCCTCTTTCCCCTCACACACAGATGGCTACCAAATCATGAAATACACCTACGAAGCCTTCTCCCACCTCCGCGCCTCCATCGATATCCCGTACGCTTACGAACCGTTCCTGGCTGCGCGGTACGCGCCGTATACGAAGGAGAAGACGAGCATTATTGCGGTGGCGAGTGAGATGGAGGTGCCGGAGAGTGAGTGGCCGGTGAGGGGTGGCGAGGAGAGGAAGGCGAATGGGAGTGCGAATGGGAATTCGCATTGAGCAGGCCGCAGAAGACGCTGGGAGTGGGTCTATCTGACGGTTTGTAAGGGTGAGACGTATGGGGGTCATTGAGGAGCCAGCTCGACCTCTATTCATTTCATCGTTCGTGGCGGTCGGTTCTCTGGAGATTGGCAGGCAGAGTTGAAGTATATGCACGATTTGCTTATGCGCTTCTGTATCATGACATTCTCTGTCGATTCCATGTATAAACAGCCTATCATCTTCTACTTAATTGACGTCCTCAGATACACCTCACAAAGAAACCACAGTCTGTACTTTCCTCGTCATTGAGTGGGCCACCGCCACCGGTAGATAGGGGTGTGAACCACGTGGTGCATGTTCCCTTATCCCCGGACTCTATGATTAGAACGATATTACCAGGGTCCTCGTCGCACTCCATCCCATCGCCTCGCCTTCACGACGAACCACACTCCTCCACACAGTCCACAAAATATCCACTGTTTTTACCCTTTTACGATTGTACTCATCTCTTAACCAAGTCTGAACACAATGGGAGGCGGTCATCACGGTCACTCACACGGTCCCCCACCTGGACCCCACCACAACCCGAACAACACTCCCAACGGCCCCGGAAACAGTTCGTACTACGAGCAGCAGAACTTCACTCCCGGTGCGAAATGGATCAAAGACTTGACGAAAAACCGACTCTGGACGTTCGAGGGGGGACATTTCTCGGACGTGAATCTCTCGAGCGTTATGTATGATCAGAGGGTGGACGACGAGAAGTTGATTCAGCTGGAGGTGTGGAGTGCGCCGGGGAGGGAGAAGCCGACGTTTGAGGAGGCGATGGGGAAGGATAAGGAGTATAAGAAGGCGAAGAAGGGGGATAGGTTTGGACCTTCTTGTACGTCTATTCTTTATGGTGGTTGAGGCGATGGTACTGATACGTACTTGTGGTTGTTTTATGTAGGGGTACGCTGTCGTTTTGTTTTTATATGTCTGTGCGATGGTATTCACTGAATATTGATAGACAAACCACTGGTGGAAAGTGACGGTGCATATCCCTGACGACTGGAAGAAGTATGATACCGTTCAATGTGAGTTACCATTTACCACAAGCCATATTATTGCATGAACTAATATTTCTCGGTAGTCGAGTTTGACCCTGGCTGTGAGGCCATGATTTATACGACGGACGGTGTACCCTTGCAAGGTTTGTCGCACCTCTGACTTTGTTTCTGCACTAGACCGCGGCATCATGCGGTGACGCTCTCGTCCACGTTTCTCGTCGACGACGAATGAGCCTTGTGGCCCCGCTATGACATACGACAACCTGCTTTCGGTGCATCTTTTGACATCACGCTTTCGCGTGAGCAGGGTTCTGTGTGGTCAGCGTTGGGTCAGCGGGTGCAGAAGGAGTAACCGTGGCTGAGAAACTGACGTCGGTGCCAGACACAAGCCGTACACATTCTTGGTATGCGCACTGCTGCATTTAGTACAGTGGACTCCCAAACATCGCAGCCACAATGGTGTGGTCCGATCGGGAAGCTCGATGCCCTTTTCCTGACGCGTCCCATCGCGTCCATGGCGTGGTTCACCCTCCTTACTGTTAGCCCCTATTCGTATTAGGCCTCTCGCCACAGTTGTCTCGACTCTTTCAATTTCGACTTTACGAGACCGTGAATTAATTTACACTTTTGACCTTGCCTCCGATACGATTCCTGATACACCCATACTAATCCACTTCGTCCCTTGCCCTTTCCTCGTTCTGCAGGAATCACTGGAGGTTACGGTGGCGACCGGCGCGTCGAGTATATCATTCCTCACGATATCCGGAAGAAGGGAACACACCACTTCGTCATCGAATCGAGCTGCAACGGCATGTTTGGCGTCCCTTGGGATGGGGATACCATCTCTCCTCCAGACGTAAGTCCCCACCTTCCCCCTCTGTCCATATGCCGTCGTTAATCCTTGCTCATTACATTATGACTATTGTCATGGGCCTGTAACAGATGAACCGCTACTTCAACCTCGCCTCTGCCGACCTCGTCGTCCCCAACACCTCTGCCTGGGGCCTCCACTGGGACTTCCAGACCTTGCGCGAACTAGCAGACTCCCTCCCTGGAAACTCACCCCTCCAGAACAAGGCCATCGTCACGGCGAACAAGATCATGAACACGTTCGACAAGACCAAGCCGGAGGAGTCTATCAAAGAGGCGAGGAAGATCGCGGAGGAGGTATTTGGGGAGGGCTGGGAGAAGTTGAGGGAGGGGGTTTATAAGGAGGGGTGGGAGAAGGGGGATACGAGGATTTGGGGGATTGGGCATTGTCATATTGATACCGCTTGGTGAGTTTTGGTCCTGGCCTTTTGACTTTGGTAGGGGATGAGGCTGCTGACGGGTGTGGGCTGCGATTTTTTTGTTTTGCATTGGTAGGTTGTGGCCGTATCGCGTCACGCAACAGAAGGTGGCGAGGTCATGGTCTACGCAGGTTGATCTTATGGAGCGATATCCCGAGCACCGGTTCACTGCGAGTTCGGCGCAACAGTATAAATGGCTTGAGCAGGTCGGTTCAGAGGCCCCGCATGCTGTGCTTTATATCTCCTTTTTACTAACCATTTTACTCGAACGTAGCTCTACCCGCCCCTCTTCGAGCGCGTCAAGGAACAGATTCTCTCGGGGAAGTTCCACCTCGTTGGTGGGTCTTGGGTCGAGAATGGTACGTTCATCAAACCATCCACCACCTTCCCTAATTTCTCGCTGCCTCCTAATCTTCCTCTTTCTCTCCCTCCATGTTTTTGTCGGCTCGAACTGACGGTCCCTGGCTCCCCATCTTTCGTGATACATCGTTCACACCACAGACGCAAACATGCCCTCCGGCGAAGCCCTCGCCCGCCAAATGATCTTTGGCCAGCGCTTCTTCGAGTCCCGCTTCGGCATACGATGCGAGACGGCGTGGTTGCCTGATTCGTTTGGGTTGACGGGCGCGTTGCCGCAGTTGATCAGGTTGGCGGGGATGGATAACTTCTTTACGCAGAAGCTGAGCTGGTGCGTCCATTTTCTACTCTTCATCACCCTTCTATGTCTCTCGTGCTACTGCTCGTTATATTTTCCCCTTCAATTTCTGTTCTATGTGGCCCAAATGCATGGTATGTCAAATGAGTAGTGATGGTACTGACGTCGAGTTATGGATGGGTGCGGACCAATAGGAACAATATCAATGTCTTCCCGCATTCTACGTTCAACTGGGTCGGTATCGACGGCACGCAGGTGTTATGCCACATGACTCCTGTCGGTACGCCTCTTTCCCTCATGCTCTCCGCAGTCTTCTCCCCTTTCCTTGCCTCTATGTCCTGGGCTCCGTGTCTGAAAGCAGACGTCGATGTCGGCTTGGATTGCAGATACGTACACCGCGCAGGCCACAGTCGGAGATGTGCAGAAAGGGATCCAGAACCATAAGGTTGGTCTCGTCTTACCCGTCCATGTTATACAGACAGGGTGGACGAAGCTAATAGAATGTGCTGTGGAGTAGAACTTGGAATCGAACGCCCAGTCGTTGCTCGTGTTTGGTAATGGAGACGGTGGAGGAGGACCGTTGAATAAGATGTTGGAGAATGTACGTTCTTCTCTTTCTCACTTGGCACACTTCCCACATAGCACCTTCACTCCAACATCCATTCCGCATTCAATCTTGATATCCTTGCGAATGCTAACATATTTCCAACTGAACATAGTTACGCCGCATCCGAGGCGCAGCGAACGAGTTCCGCGAGCTGCCACCGGTAAATATGGGACACTCAGTTGAAGACTTTTTCGAGGCTCTGAAGGAGGAGTCGGACGGAGGGAGGGCGTTGCCGAATTGGTACGTCCTTGATTACACCCCCGCCCTGGTTTATGGATCCGTTCTTGCGAAGGGAAATTGAATGTGACACCCTTGATTGTTTGACTACAGGCATGGGGAGCTGTATCTTGAGGTGAGTCGCGTTGAATCTGGGTATTTGACAACAACAGCCGAATAACGATTATTTTGTGTGGCGTAGTTCCATCGCGGGACGTATACTTCGCACAGTTCGTTCTACTCTAACACTCCGTCGAAGTACTCCCAGAGCTTACTGATTTTGGTCCTGCAGGTCCGATCAAGAAGGGGAACAGGAAATCGGAGATCTTGATGCGCGATGTTGAGGTGTGTTTCCACTGCCTATGGCCCGAATACTACCACGCAGGTATTCGTGATCTGACAGTATATCTGTGGACAAAAATTAGCACGTTGCGACGTTGGCATCTGTGTTCAAGGCGAAGGAGTATGGGTACCCGAAGAAGGCCATCGACGATAACTGGGAGAAATTGTTGCTCAACCAATGTGCGTTCTCCATCTTCGCTCTCATCCTCCTCGCAAAGGGATACTAATGATGGTTATCCGAAGTCCACGACGTTCTTCCCGGTTCTGCTATGTGAGTCTTCTCCCATAAAACACATCTGACCGCACGGAGAGACTGACTGCATATATTCAGCGGCATGGTCTACGACGACGCCGAGGCCATTTTCTCTGAGATCCGCAAATCCGGAGACGCCCTCTTCGAAGACGCCATAAGCATCCTCATGCCCTCCTCCTCCCCCCTCTCCTCCCTCTCTGATACCATCTACTCCGACTCCACCTCCCCTACACCCCTCACCTTCGCCAACGGTGGCGCGGATCTCGTGGGGTTGAACACCACATTCTTCCCTAGACGCGATATCGGGAAGATCCCGAAGGAGGCGTTGGGTGCGTTGAAGGGCCCGGGTAAGGAGTATGAAGTGCAGGAGTTGAGGGATGGGAGTGGGGCGTATGTTGTTATGGATGGGAGGGAGGGTCAGGGGGTGGCTAGGCCGATTGGCAAGAACGATGTGGCGTTGGTGGATGGAGGTGTGAGCGGTAAGCGTGTTTTCCTTTAATATTTGGCTTGAGTTGTTGTGAATATGGCTGACTGGTCTTTTCCTCTTCTTTTGTTCGTATGCGTGGGCCGATGTGTGGCATTGCGCAGTGCAAACGAGTGGTGAGGGGTACTTCGTGCTCAAGAGCTCGAGTATGCAGATGACGGTGGCGGAGGGGAGGATTACTAGTTTGTTCGATATCCACCATATGTGAGTCTCTCTTTCCAATCCTTCCGTAAACATGAATTCTGGGACTAAATCAACATTCTGGCCATGATTAGGCGTGAGCTCATCCCCGCTGGACAGACGGGTGGTCTCGTCATGTTCCAGGATCGGCCGAATTACTGGGATGCTTGGGGTATGTCTCACCCGCACTTTTCTGTCTACGATCATAGTGACTAAGTGCATTCCGTTTGTTTTGTAGATGTTGAGATTCATCATCTCGAGAAGAGGACGGAGCTCAAGTTCACGAGTGCGCAAGTCGTGGCGGAGGGTCCTCTCCGAGCTTCGATTGAGACGCAGGTGAAGTATGGGAATAGCACGATCAATGTCACGGTACGTATCTATAGGTATTCGTCCTCCCTTTCGCACGTACTAATGATATGCACAATGTTTGGGATGGTAGATCTCGTTGGATGCCATTACCGGTATGTCAAGTCTGCTCAGGGTGCTTGCAGTAATGGTTGGCTGATCGAGGGCTTTCGGCATTGATGATCGATGTAGCGACCCTCAAGCCTGGTTCTCGTCCTTTGTTCACGTTCTCTGCGGATGTGGATTGGCGTGAACGGCACGAGTTCTTGAAGTGTTCGTCTCTTTTCGATTACGCCCCACCTTTCCCGAACATGATGCTGATGACGACTTTTGATTGCTACGTCGTATTGTGCAGTCGAGATCCCTCTCAACATCCACAGCGATGTTGCGACGTACGAGACTCCGTTTGGCTACGTCCAGCGGCCAACACACAAGAACACGACGTGGGACGCGGCAAAATTCGAAGTTTGTGGGCACAAGGTTCGTTGTTTCGTTGACTCTCTTGTCTTTACGATTAATACAGGTCCTAACGGGATCCAATAGTACGCAGACTTGAGCGAGTTCGGCTACGGTGTTGCCATACTCTCTGAGTCAAAGTATGGCTTCTCGTGCCAGGGTAATGTTCTCCGTATCTCGCTTTTGCGGTCCGCGACTGCACCTGATGCGGAGCAGGATCAAGGTGCGGTTTCGAATCTGTCGTTCTCGCCAGCTGGACATTGGTTGATGATTGAGATTTTTAGGTCAACATGAGTTCTCGTGGGCAGTCATGGCTCATCAGGGACACTTCCTCGAGTCGGATGTGCCGGTTGCTGCATTTTTGTTCAATAGCCCTATTCATCGTAAGCTCACCAGTTCCATCCTTTCTTCCCGCTTTTGATGTGCACTTCTCCATGCTGAATACGGACCAATTTTCCGTATTACACAGTACGCGCCGTAAACCCAGGGGAAGCCCAATCTGTATCCCTCGTCCCAGTCACTCCCTTCACCCTCTCCGGCGCCAAGAACGTCTTCCTTGAAACTATCAAACGCGGAGACCTCGACTCCGACCTCGAGTCTGATTACCACCTCACCAGTTCAGCAGATGGAAAACGATCCATCGTGCTCCGTCTGTACGAAGCCTATGGCGGACACGCGAGCGCCGAGCTCGCAGTATCCGACGCGCTGGAGATCGTCGGGGCATACGAGACAAACCTGTTGGAGGACGATTATGGTGCGAAGGTGTTGGAGATGAAGGCTTCCAGTAAGGGCGAAGAGGGAGAGGGGAAGAGCGTGGTGAAGTTGGAGCTTAGAGGATTCGAGGTGAAGACGGTCAAGTTGGTGTTGAAGGGATCTGGGTCCGGATTGACGACGAAAGGGTGAGGATTTCTGAAACCGATTTTGATTTGTCTTTCCGTCTTCGAGCTTCGGAGTGCCAGTGGGAACTCTGGTTTGTACACCTTTTGTAATTTTGTGGGGAAACGCTAACCATCTCTTCTCTTTTGCTCTCTTTCTTCCCGTCGCTGTGGTATGTTTTCTTGGGCGGGCTGGTCGTGTCATGTAGGGTCTCCGTGCAGGATGGGAAGCCTGATCATGGGAGAAAGGACAGCTGGGTTCAAGTTCAAAAAGCAGAGGTGGAGGTGGATGACGAGGGAAAGAAGATTGAAGGGCTGTAAAACTGAAAACTCGGATTACTGTGGGCTCTATCAACCGCTTGTTCCTTGATGGATTGTACGAGTATCAGTTGGCGATGCGAATATGATTGGATGGCCGAGTATTACTCCATGTTCGTCAAGCCTCATGTGATCGGTGAAATTCAGTGCATCGCCCCTGTCGGAACCTACCAAAATATGAAGGCACGGTTCTGGAAAGAAGATATAGGGTGAGTGTGACTGTGTGGACCTTGTTTGAAGTCGTCTCGATTCCTGCTACTTCGGAGGGAAAATACCGAAAAAAAAATGTTGGCAACAAAACATGCTCCTTGGCGGGGAGTCGAACCCCGCTTTCGCGCGTGACAAGCGCGTGTACTAACCGATATACTACCAGGGATTGATGTGAGTGTACACAAAATAACCTTTAGACAAGTAAATCCATGGGCCACTTGAATCGCAAGGGGTCAACTCATTTGACTTGGTTTCTGAACCTCGACCGTCACGACCATCGACGACCGTCACGGTCGCTCTCGACATCGTGTTTTCTCCTGTTTTCGTCACCCTGATTTCTTAACATGAAGCCGTAACGACTAAGTTGTGAGAGGCTGTCAATTTCAACTTTGATGACACTCCCAATTGTTGTTGGCCAATTCCTTTTGTCAAGTTGACCGACTCGGAGACACGTCTGGGTCGTACCATTTGAACAAATTCCAACGCATGGGGCCAGGGGGGTGGTATGCACTCCGCCGCCCCCGCAAGATTGATGGTGTGTTACTGTGAACTGTGCGTACTTATATCGCTTTTCTGCGGAGATGTTCATTTCCCCGCGCACGTAAAGACACCCCGACAACCCCGTTCATCCTCGTTCATCACGGTCCCCGCGACTCCGTGGACCTCCAGCACCCCCAGTGCACATTGTGCAATATAGTCAGAAGCCTCTCCTTACCAGAGCTCTATTCTTGCGCGATGGCTCTCGAGAGTCTCAAACATTGACTATACAAGTATGTTGACCCGAACACCGCAGATTCAGACCTAATACGCTCCCGAGTTGACCTCGGCGCCCCTATCCTTGATTACAGACACAGGAATATGTCCTTGGACAGAGCTATCTGAAACCACGACTCTACAAAATGGTACCAGTGAGTCGGCCAGGCTATCGTTCTCAACCGGTCTGTCCACCGTGAAGCCCACTTTACCGGCTGCTCTCCAAACATGGTCCAGCACAGCTCTCCAGTCTGTTATCCTATTTAAAGTCATGGAGACACACGTAGTGAGAACCTCGTTTCACCTCCTTCAACTGATTTGTAACTACTGGACAGACGGCATGCATCTCTTCAATACTCTTTTGATATCTTTTACCGGCGCTGTCGTCGTTCAAGGCCACAATCTTCCCTTGAAACACGGCTACACCAATATTTCAGACCATTCCGGCGTCTCGGGTAAGCTCTCACCACGCTTCTTCGCTCCCTCCTATGCTCATAAGATTATAATTTAGATTATGAGATTTTGAACTTCGCGCTCACCTTAGAGCATCTCGAGAACGTCTTTTATACCACGGGTCTACAGAACTTTAGCCAGCAGGACTTCCTCAGCGCCGGTTTTGCAGCACCAGTGCGCGGCTTCTACGAACAACTTTCGGAGCACGAGCAGACCCATGTCGATAATCTGACCAGTGTACTTGGATCTCAAGCTGTAGCGGCATGCACGTACGATTAGTGCGTTTCAGACCTCTAATTGACATCGAGATCGAAGCTTAGAGGAACTTTCCTGGACGATGTTATAGTGGTGTGGCGGATGTTAAGAGTTTCGTCGACTTGAGTGATATGCTCGAAGCGATTGGTGCTTCGGCCTATAGCGGTGCGGCGAAGTATCTCCACAACGCTGTTCGTACAATCGCTACTTCGTACATTTATTTAACCTGACCTCTTTCATCTTCAGTATTTTCTCCTTGTGGCAGCTTCCATCCTCGCTACTGAGGCTCGTCAATCCACTTGGATTCAGAACACCGTCAGGAAGGGGAACCCCTGGTCGACTGCCTACGAGGTGAGAATATATTTGAACTATTCGTTCGCTCGCGTAAGGCATCTCTCATCGATGCCTTCGCTTTCATACAGACGCCACTCGACCTCAACCAAGTTTTCACCCTTGCCTCAGGGATCATAGTCTCCTGTCCATCTACCAACAATCCTCTCCCCGTATCCGCATTCCCTCCTCTCACCGTCACCTCAGCCACGGCCGGTGCGAACGCAAGCAGCATCGTCCCCGGCTCTACCATCACCCTCAACTTCACGCTTCCTTCCTCTTCCTACTATGCAAACGGCGAGCAACTCTACGCCACATTCCTTACCGGCCTCGACGAGATCTTTGTTCCTCTTGAAGGTTCTTCTACACCCTACACTGTGAGTATTCCGGAGGAACTGAGAGGCTTCGTGTTCTTGGTGATTACGGACACCGCGGAGAAATCGGACGACACAGCGACGGTGGCGGGTCCTGCGATGTTCAATTTCTCTTTTGATAGTAACAATACTATCGTTTCTCTTTCTCAGTAAGATTGGCGTACGGGACGGTGAAGGTAGAAAGGCATGCAGGATGGGGGGAATATAATCTATGATGCGAACAGACCGCGGACAACTTTGATACGCGTACTCGCTCTCTCAGGCTTGACGAAGATATTGTAGCCTGACCCATTGCAGGCTTCCAATTCAATTTATTCGTGGACAATGGCCCAGATACATTAACTGCGAGGGTTCAACGCTCAGGATTCAAAGTGGATTGGTGCTGTCGATGGTGCAGAAATAGAAAACTGGGCCACAATTGGCCCTTACGTGGTGCCTGGTGGCGCTGTTGACGGCTCCGTCCGGCTGCTTAGGCGCCCACTCGGACCAAAACTCGGACAGACCCTCAGACTCGTCTCAGTCGTCGATACTATCCTCTGCTACTAGCACTCGCTCTTACTCCTCGATGGTCGGGATGATTAGTATAAACACCTGCGACATCTATGCACTACTGCCTTGCGAGAGAAGTGATTGATCCCGCCATTACTTGGTTCTGAGTCACGGTGGCGCAAGAGACTGGTATGCTCGTCCTCGGAGTGCTTCATCCAAGGTTCATCATGGCCCCATGGTATAAATCACCATCGACTATTGACGCAGACAAAATCTGGTGTGAATAGATAGGTACAGAGCGGATGTATCGATATCTCAAAACAAGAACAACAACAAGAAAAAACTAAGGTATGTACAGTGTAGGCCCACTCCTTGATCCACCACTTTGAAAGAATTCATTTTCTCGCTCCCCTTGCCATATTCGTCAAAACGGTTAGCTTAGGGGTTTAGAACATCCATAAAAGTCCTCAGAATAAAATGCACGCAGTGCCTAAGGTGAGCGTGCATTATTAGGATACCAAGATGTGGTATGGCACCCAAGCGCCACAAAAAATGGGTCCTTGATCCAACCCCGCACTGCACGATTCCCCCTCACAACAATGATGCATGCTCATACTTGAGCTCGATAGGACCTTAAGTATTCTGTGTCCACAGTTTCCAAGAGCGACCATGAAGCCGGAGGAGCTGTAGGCGGGAGATTTGCAGCGGATCAAGGACCGGGGTTGGATCAAGGACCGGGCCTACACTGTATCTCGTCAGTAAACAACTCCCTACTATTAGGGCTTATATGTTAGTGAAAACTTGGAGCTTTTTGCGAAAGCTCATTGACTGATCGAACATATCTTCCGCCAACGAGTTCCAAGTAAACGTGAAACATGTAAGGTCTATTAACACGAAGCCGACGCTAACTCGGGCTTACTTACTAGCACATAGAGAAAGAGGCCACGGATGGAAAAACCGCGGACATAAGGTACATAGGCATACGGGCATATTTGTCAGTCATCAGTTTTTATCGATCACCCAAGCAAGACTTCCATGATGGGGGGACGATACCACTGGCAACCGCATATAAAGCCGTGCGTCGAGGTTCGTACTATGCAGACCCCCCAATACCTATCCGTCAAAACTGTTAACTGAGGTTGGGCAGGCATTCCCCCGAGGAAAGGAAGGTACGTACTCAAATAATCTCATCGTCGCAGGGAAAGGTGTTGGCTTTGTGTTTGTTCCTTCCATGCCTCCTCAGCGCATCTTGCCGACTGCATCTAGTCCCACAGACTTCGCAAGTAAAAGTATGTGATGTATCTCCTCGATGTGCGCTGGCCGTTGTGGAATGGCGCATCAGGTCTTCTGGCCTCGAGAAGTATTTGTTCAGACAGCTGTTGCAATGGTACTGTTGTCTCTGCTGTCCATCTGAAGCTGTCCCTTTTGCACTTCTCCTGCGGCTGATATTCGAGCTTGTCACCTCTGTACCCACAATGACGCCCTCACCGGTCGTGAGATTCCCCGATGAACTCGCAATATGGTGTTGCGGCATTCCTCGAAGGTGGAAGCTTGGCGATACCGTGTGCCCAGCATGAGAGATCGTCCCGGAAGAGATACCTTCGTGAACGCGAGCGCCAGGTTCAGCGACTGTGTCATTCACAATCGGGAAACTGCGAGGAAGTGAGTTGTATTGGACGTTCTGATTTAGTGGCGCAGTCGTCTGGAAATGGTGGTGATCGTAGTGACCGGTGCGCTCTGCCAAAGTCTCAAAGGATTGTGTGATTCTTTGGGGAGCAGATCCAGGCATCGGTTGGGCGTTAGGATGGATCCATTCTGTGGCGACCTGCAAGATGTGTGAATGACATGTAGGAGCAGAATCTCTCATAGTAGATGCAGGTCACCTACATGGTTTGGTGGCGGAAATGCCGACGGCTGGAGCTCGGTGGCGTATCTCATAGGATCGCCGTGGAGCAGCCGGACGTGTGCGAACGAAGGGTCGTTCACAGCCCACCAGTTGCTCATCGACTGAGCGTGCACATACCCTGTCAGGTTGCTGCTTTGGGAGTCCTGTATATTTCCGTCCTGCTGGTATGCCTAGTATTGAAAAATTATGGGTCAATGAATCACACTGGATACGATATCCTGTGTAGACTCACCGGCTCGGAGACAACATCCAAGGCACTGGAAGATTGAACTGGCCACTGTGTGCCACTGTGACTATAATATATAGACGGGTTGTCTCCCTGGCGTGGTGTGTTCAGTTCGTGATGGTATGACCCCGGCGAAGAAGCAGTAACGAGGTCAATATTCTGTCCCGGATGCTCTGATGGCACAGCTTCCTCTGTTCGTGGTTGCGAAGGGATTTGCGTGAAGGAGTAGTGGAAACCGTGACGCTGCATTTATGCAGAAGACTGGCTGGCACAAAGTCGTATGCCGAGTGAGGTACGGGAGGCAGGAGTATTTGTGAGAAGTATGGTCTTTCCGCAGTGAGTCAACGCCAGAGAAGTGTGTAAAGGTCGATGTTTGCCAAGTTAGCTCTCATCGAGAATACCGAGCATCTTAACACTTTATGAACGGCATCTCAACTCCCACGTAGCCTATCTGAAACGGAGACTTGGTCACGGTTCGAGGGACGAGGCAGATGTCCATCGGTTACTGCTGACGAACCTCCCCGCGGTGGTGTACTTGGAAGCCCTCGAGGGAAAGGGGAGGCAATCACATCCTTTACATCATACATGTGGCGCATGTACTAGATCATAGCATCTGCTCACAGCGCTTTAAAAAGCCTCGTGTCGCAAAGCGAGCGCATGATTTTGTTTTCACCACTCACAATTATGGATATTATTGTCACGATTTGTCAGATTTTCCTGGCGGTTCTGAGGAAGGTCCGTCTCATACATTGTCACGCAAAATGCCAATGGATATCTCTGATTTTTTGTGGTGCAATTCATTGCGATATTGAGCAGTCACCTGATCCTTCCTCGGAACACAAGCACTTGCTGCACAAATCTCAAGGCCAATGCGGAATTTTACCTTCCACTATAATGATCGAAGTCGAAGGTTAGTAGGTTCATTTATGCATTCAGCCAAATCTTAGGCCGCTAACTTCCTGCCAGGTGTGTTACGTAGATACGCAATGGAGATTGCGGCCTCTAACTATCGTTCTGTGGCCGACTCATGTTCAGCATCGCCTTCGGGGCTGCCATGATCTACGCAATTCCAATCGACCCATCTTTGTGAATATCAGGAAGAGTCCGTCTCCGACCGGGACATATGGTTCTGTTATAGCACGAATGTGCGTAAAGTGCATATCTGCAAAGATGTGAACCAAACAGCATATTCACAGTTTCGATCACTTGACGCTGCATATTTACTCACAGGAGTTAGTGAGTGCGAAGTTGTCAGCCCTCACAAATGACTATCCCTCAAATAGTCGGTCGCTTCTATCACCCTACACCCCCAAGTGTGACGCAGTTCGTTCAGCGTTCAATGAACAGGTGGCGGAAAGGTGGCAAGTATATCTTCCACGATGTGTTGCGGAACGGATCATGATTCCAACCCGGATTTTCCATCTGTAGCAGCTTGCAATGACACTGCGAGATAATCCAGGTTACCTTCAATTCGGTGGCTTGTAAGTTTCACGGCCCACTAGTGAACGGTGTCGACGATAAGGCCCCATGATCATACAATATACACGATATGACCTACCAAAGCCTGCCATCGAGAGTGGCCTCGTCTTAATGCGTGCAAGTTCGCAAAAAGACCCTTGAATCACGTACGTTTGCGCTATACAAATGTGAAAGCGCTTGTACACACCTACTGAACCACGGTCTATGCAAGTCTAAGGTGAAAGGACACATCGCCACGTAAGTTGACCATTTATACCTACATACTTGTTTCGACCGACACACAATTGCTCCTGTGGAACAAATAATCAATATACTGACATTGCATTTTATCTCTGTTCAGAACGGGAGGTGTGGCCACGATCAACAACTCACCATCGGGTTAAAGATACCACCGTGAGAAGCTGCTGAGCGATCTAGAGGTGCACGTTCCCGCTCACTTCTCATGGCTTGTTGTCTCCTTGATCCTTGTCCACGCGAGAATGAGTTTTGCACCTAATAGGGAAGATACGGTTCGATCTCGTATCTCTTTCCGTCCAGCCGCTGCTTACCTATCCTCATCCACATGGGACCCTTCATATGTACTAAAACGACTTCCGTCTTAGTAGGACCACCACGATGTAGCAATCCTTCCGTTTTCTGTTGAAACTTGGAACATCCTCGCGCGGATTTAGGAGAGCTTCTCAGAACTCTCCCAGAGCCTACAGCGCTGTAGGTCTCGTTCTTTGATCCGCATAAGCATTGTCGATGTCTCACTATCAGGTCATATTCAAAGTATACAGCGATAGGGCACGACCAACCTTGAGAAATGAGTGGGTGACTTGCCGTAAGAAAAGACATTGTGTTCCTTGATCTCAAGTGTTTCTCCATCGTTTGATGGAATTATTGATGTACTATTTATTACGAGGATCTGTGAATGTTCGCTATAAAGCCCCACTGTCTTCGAGAACATTATCAATGCAAGCTCAATACCGTTTTATCGACAATGTCCTCTGATTCTGGACTTACTTCATTAAACATGTGTTTGTGGCAATCACCGAAAGTCGGAATTATCCGGTGTCGATAAGTTCCTGGATTTGTCCTGGATACAAGTAAGTATTCGATTTCCACGGTTGTTATAAATAAATCATACTGAGGGAGTAGAGGGTAAAGATTACTTCTACATACTTCCCAGCTACTCATAAACCATCAGTTCCAAATGAAATGATCACTCACTGATGTCGATGCATGATGCTCGAGAGGAACTTCATAATACTCGGGGCAACTCGGCCCCAGCCGGACGCTATTTGTAAGTACCGGTCCGCGCTTGGTCCGCGGTAGCCCGCCCAAGCCCCGCCACGCATCCTTGCTTGATCCTTGCGCATCCTAGTATCCATCGTAAATTCTTGACTTACTCTCGGTAGGTTAGATTGCTCGGACATTCTAGATTCTTCAGGCATTGGGCTCGTCTGAGTTGGTTATCCAAAGTCTTCGCCAAGGATTCAACCCATAGGTCTCAAATCTAACAACAATTTGGGATCCAGAATGATGGCATAGGAATATCACATCGACGCACGCTGCTAGCGTGGCTTTGACAAGCATGAGAAAATGATTCACAGCCTTGATCCCAGATACACCGAGGATGCAGCCTATCCACCCCCATCTTTTCACTCTGGTCCTTTGTCACTCTTTCTGAGGTTTGGCCGGCCGTTCCTCGTCTCTTTGTCTCCTGTATAAATCTCGGTGCCCACGACGTGCCAGGAGCCATTCTGGTAGGCTGTGACTGTCCAATTTCTGTAGGGTTTCACCGGATCCAGCGATGGCCTTGCGTATTGTAAAGAGGCGCGTCTCCAGTATGGACGGTCTTGGTGTCGCAAAAGAAGTGGCATCATTCGTGAAGGATATCAGCAATATGTCCCAGTTTGCCCCGGTTGCAGTTGCAGCAGCTCTAATTCTGAGAATCCTTGAATTATTGCAGGTGCCAAGTGCTTTTGCTCTTCCTAGAGATAGGCAGTACTGACAACAGTTTATATTTGTCCTCACGTTGCTGTTATAGGCTGTCAAAACAAACCAAGTCCAATGTTTCGAACTGGCTCGACGCGCAGCCAAACTATTGTTGAACATCTCACGAAGGATGGAAAACAAGTGGCACACTGCTCCGCATAGCTTAATTGAAAATATCAGGGAGTTTGAAGAGTATGTCGCCAAACCTCTTCCTTATCCTAGGAAAACTGACGGAGTTGCCTGCAGAATACTTCGCTTGATCTACGACCTCATGCAACAAGCAGCGAACGTGAGATGGTTGCAACGTCTCCTGTCCAAGTCCACTATCGAGACTACACTTGCACATTGCAACGTACTTTTGGATGATGCGTCGCGTTCCTTCCAGGTATGATGACCCTTATCCACTTCAATCACACTCACATCACATTTGTGACTCGGCTAGATCGAGTCTCTCATAGAGATTCATTATGCCGTCGGCGCCCTGCGACAAAACGCCGTATCGGAACCTTTGCTTACCGAGGGAACAGAAGTAGTGGCAGGCCCACTTCCGATGGATTTTTCTTCGCCATCCGTTTCCGTACTGTGTCATGAGCGAGCCCTTTTATGGCCAGATATAGTTTCGCAAGTCCACTCGCCGTCCTCAACCCAGTCATATGCTTCTGTATCTGAAGTCACAGAGCAGCTCTCGATCTCTGAGGCGAACGGTTCTCCAGGTGATTCTCTTGATGCTCTAGGGTTGATTCGGATCGTTCGTTATTCACTGATCTGGGAACCTTCTTATGTTTAGCTGTCAATGCAGAGGCGATTGAACTCCAGGCATTTCGTTCTGATATATCAATGCCTGAGGACGAGTTCGGGGTGCGTATCCGTCTTCATCACTTGGACAAACGCTGTACTAAGCCGTCCTACGATTGCTTTCTTGTTGTAGTTTCGCCGGTATCACCAATCTGACGTACGGATACGTGCTGTTAATCGCAAGTCTTTAGGATGGTTCTCTGGGAGTTCTCAAGCAGAAGTGAACGGGAACATGATGCAAATAAAGAAGTACGATGGCCCGAAAGGAAAGGCCGCTCGTGTAAGCTGTCGATTACGCTGTCACAGTTCACTACCTGACTTTATGGAACCAGGACTGGATTAGGGACATCAAGATCTTGCGCAATCTATAGTATGAATTTCGAACCACAGTGTTGACCAACTATCTGACATTTCTATGTTACAGTCATGTAAACCTACCGCAACTACTCGGGTACTCAGACGACAAGACCCCTACACCATTCATTTTGCTCGCGCACTGTACGTTCATGTAATTCCGCCCCCTCTTGCTAAAAACAACTCTAAATTGGAGTGCAGCGCAACCGAGAGACGTACAAACATATCTGAAAGCAGTGCTACAGACATCAAGTCTATCTTCGTCCGTGTTATCCCTTCTACGAATGGTACGTTGGATAGCATATTGTTCATTCCCGCGACCGCATACTAATGTTCGGCAACGTGTAGTATCGCGACGTTACGGTCTGTTCTACATCTACTCCCTGAATGTTGCAAAATCCCAATAGTTCCTGCACTCTCCACAGTCCGCTGCTTCATACGTCCAGCAACAGATGTCCTTGAAGGACCATCAAGTCCAAGACTTCCTCGAAGTACGCTTCTTATAGTCCAATATATTGCAGCCACTAACCTTCTATTGTAGGAAGCAACATATGCTGTAGATGCAGAGAACAAACTGGTCTTGGGACTGCCACCGCGGAAAGAAGGCATTTGGTCCACAGCTCGGAGCTATAACTTGACTGAGTCACTCGCCAAACCGGTCCTGACGGTAAACTTCATCGAATGCGAGTTCTTTGTATCATTCTGATCGAGAATCTTGCAGGGGTTGGGTCTCGCCAGTCAATCCATAGATCACGAACCAGCCCAAGTTCGTCCGCGATTTGCATTCCAAGATTACCTACTAATCGTCCCTCACCACACCTTCTCCAGCATACACAGCATCTTCGCCATCTTCTCACCTCACTCCTTCCAAGACGTACGGATACGCCATCGCTTCCGCCTCCGATACAAGACCTCCTGGATGACCACTCTGAAGGGCTTTCCGCTTCAGGTCATGGGTCTAGTCTTGCAGCGCTTCGGGAGATCAGTTTCTCCTCCAATACCCATACCTTCTCCTGGCAGAGGCGTGCTCCCGTAGGGCAATTCCAACCTGGAGACTTTGGATATCTACCCTATTCAGCATCATCATCCGGCAGAGACATCGATATGGAGCAACTCAAGTTGTTTCAGAAGCTTGGGAATGTATTCGACGGAGGCATGGAGAAGTGTAATCTCGATATTGCAAAGCGATTGTCCGGATCAATGAGGGCGTTTTCTGGGAGGCATGGGGATAATCAAGTCGCCACCCCGTACTTGCTGCCGGGTGGCTTGGAAGGGTACGTCAGTCCACTTGTCCGTTTGTATCTCCCCTATACGCGTATATCTTCCGACTCTGTTTAATTCTATATGTATATAGTTGGCCAGTGGCGGTCCCACCACGAGATCACGTCACTGTGTGGGTCACTCGAGAATCTAGTTTGGAGTCGATTGGCGAGGCCTGGAGATATCTCTTGCAGAATGCGAACCAAATCATGGAAAGACATGGGAAACAGCCTCATGAATTGATTATAAGTACGTAGTTGGCGACCTTTCCCCTCCCTCAGGTTGTCTCATATGACATCTACTATGCGCCTAGTCGCCTCAGAGACGACAGTCCAAGACTTCACCATAAAGGACCATAGTCTCCCTCCTCTCCCCCACCCAAACCGTAGCATTCATTCTCAACACACTCACCACCCTCACTTCGGAGCATTGTCAGATGTTCCAAAGATCCTATATTTATTCACTTCGTCATCTATGTTTGACTTAGATGGGGGAGAACAGAAGGTGAGGGAGCCCTTTGTACCGTATTGGACGGACGATCCTATGGGTAGGCCGAGTCCTAGAGAGACGAGGTCTACAATTCGGAGTTTTGGTGAAAATTCAGGATGGTGAGTAACAGACTTCAGCATCTCCAGATTGTCGAGGGGCAGGATGAGCTGATTAAAATGGTTTACTTTACTCTTTCGCAGGCCTGTTGGGTATGTGAGGTACATCCAGCTTGATCCCGAGGACGTCACACAGTATCTGTAGAGTTATATTCCATTGTGCCGGTCCAATACGCAGCCACATGCTCTATTTGTTTACACTCGCGGAGCAGGACCAGAAGTATAGCTCGGTGGATACTCAACCTCTTCGTTAATATCGGTATCGGACGAATCAGGTTGTCCTCCTCGTACTCGAGCATGCAAAATACGTAGAAGAGCAGAAGTAGATAGGCGGTCAGGGGCTACGCCTCCGTCAGGGTGGAAAAGAGCAGTAGTTTGCCCTGGCTGGAGCCGTCCAGGATCAAGTTCCTGAGCCTCCGCGACGCTGGAATGTCTGCGAGAGTGTGATGCTGATGTTGATGGAGGCAAGACTGAACCTTCGTGTCGATGGCTGACATCGTCTGTATGCGGAGTTAGAGTCGAATTTGTTTCTGTTATATACTCCGAGTCGGTCTGATTTGTCCCATGCACGGGGGATGCTGTTGGCCTCACGGAGTGCGAATAGATTCCGGCAGCCTGAGCCTTTCCAGAGCTCGATGGAGTATGCGAGTCCTGATGAGGCTGTATTTGGAGGAAAGGCGCGGGAGTCGTGGTGTATCCTGTCGCCCAACGGAAAAGACTCAGAGGAGGTGACTAGCAAGCGCCGAGGATTGACGGACCTTGATTGTGGCTGGTAATACCTCTGGTGAAAACAGGACTATCATGATGAGTGGTCATCGTCGGGGTGTGTAGTGCCGTACCAGTATCACCCCGCTCAGATAGACCTGTCTGAGCCCTTGCAATCTTTCGTCTATTCCTCCGAACAAGAATCCACGCCACACCACCGATCACGATCAGACCCACGACCGCACCCAAGACGCCACCCGCAATAGCACCGGTATGCTTTCCACCTCTTCCTCCTTGTCCATCACTGCTACGAACGCTACCATTGCAAATGTGTGGTACCGATTCCGAGATGAATGCTTTATCGGCATCGAGAAGGAGGTAGTCCAAGTAAAACGCCCCGGAGCCATCGGCCGTGATCTGGAGCGTATTGTGTGCAGATGGATCGACGCTTGCGGTCAACATGTCGAAATCTACTAGTGGGTATTCGACTCCGGACGAAGATGAGGGTAAAGCGCTTAGTGTGGCTGTCTGGCTATTGATAGTGTATGTTCCCAGGGAACCAGACGTTGGTGTCGAGATGACCACGCCTTTTGCTTTCACGACGGATGCACCTGTCACAATATATATATGAGCATATCATGTCTGCGAAGCAATATTGGGAGAGAAATAATTGGTGTATGATGACTTCTGACTGAGATGCATGAGGGGGACATTACCTGTGAAATTTAGCGAAACGGTCGATGACGCGCCATTTGGGCCAATAGCCGACGAATTGTACGCGAGGTCCGTGATATTATAATTCTGCGAGAACCCGAACCCGAGCACATTTGTACTCCAGCCAGGGCTAGTATCACAACCTCCGTGGCTAAGTGACTGGCCATCGCTGTATACGAGATACTCGCTTCGATCATCGATGAAAATCCACGACCTCTCATCGTCGGCCGTCGGGATGGACGAGTTTATCTCAGCCTCGTAAATGAGGTAGTCAAACATGAAATTGGGCTCAGAAGACGAGTTGGACCCGGTGAGAATCTCTGCCTGCAGAGTGTGCTGATTGGGCGTGGAAGAGCCGTCATTCGGTGTCAGGAGAGAGCTGTTGAAGAAAGGGATGTGCATGCGAGTGCTGGAAAGGATGGGGTAGTTATTGGTGGCGATAACGTTGCCGTCGATGCTGAATGAAACATTCGTGCTAACGGCGGGGATTCCTGCGCTGGGAACGAGAATTGTTCCATAGAAGGAGATAGAAGTGCCTGCAGATAAAAATACGAGCTTAGTACACACATCCGGAGTACTTAGGAGGTCCACGACGGAATCGGAATGAAAACTTGGTCGCACCTGTGAAATTGTATGTCATCGTCGAGCCTTCCTTACCAGATATGGAGATAGTCTCAGAGAATGTTCCCAGACCGGCTGCAGCCCAGCAAACAGTCGTCATTCCACCCGTTATTATCAATATCTCGAAAATACAGCATGTATTTCATTGACCGATACGCACCGATTGCACCGATGGCCCAGCCGTCCACTATCTGACTGAGATTGAACTTTCCCTGGTACGCATTTTCGGATACCGGGGAGTACTCGATTCCTTCGTCTGCATCGTCGACAAGAACAAAAACAGACATGTTGAATCGCGCAAACTAGGCGGGAGAGAAAGCGTGCTCGGAAACGGGGCTTGTGGCGAATCGTTGACCAGCACAGTGCGTCTCTAAACGCTGGGGCTATATGTATGGGCGCCCAGCTAAGAGAGTTTCATTAAAAAGCGTTGCTCTCCATGTTGTATGTTGAAATCATGATCGTGATACGCACAGCAATAGCCTGCTTGGCAGTTGGAGCATTCGATGTCTGGTCTGGAGGAGTGAACGGTGGAGTGTATACTTCCCCGGCATGGGCGGGTGCTCTTCCGGATCAGCTGGCTCATGGATTGAATGACGGTCAACTCGATGGTAGCCTTCCCGCGACACGCTGCTGTCCCACCTCCGAGCGAGACTAGAGGTCAGGCCATTTGCTGGTTTCGAAAGGGTTCCAACTTAGCGCACGCCGGTGGCGGGATGCTGGAGCTACATACCCCTAACGTTCGTGATCGGACCGCCTCGCCACCGCCCCACACGTTTGGGGGAGGATATATAGAGGAAAGAAAACCCGGTGATTATTCCTCGAACTGATATCATGAACTTGTGCTTGTCCGGCGAGAAAGTGAGTCGATAAACCAGGTGTGACTTGAGTGCTCCTTGACTGCGACATTGAGGAAGGTAGTGTCTGGTGGTGAAAAGAATATCGTCTAGAAGATAAATCCGGAACCGCATTGTCAGTTCTCGGTACGTCTGTTAGAATGACGAAGCATACATACCTATATCTCACACCCACCCTCTTCATCAGCACAGGAACGCAAGATAGCGGAGGAAGGGTGGAAGGAGTAAGACCTGTACCGCATAGAGGCAATGCAGGGCTCCATTTCTCTCGAAGGACTTCTATGTGGAGGTGATCATCCAAACTTACACGTGATCATGATCAGTATCATCACTGACAAAGTGGATGCGGATGTATCCCACAACGAAAGAAGACCTCGGACTTCAGCGCTAGCATCGCTATATAGCGATGGGGAGCATCCTCAGGTGTGGACGAGATAGCATCTCGAGCACATATTCATTGATCCTTCCGTTGCTCTAAACTTGGAGCGTGCAGAGCATTCGCGTGAGTCTCCAGCGAGTATTCGCAGAGGTCGTTCTGCGAATATGACGCGTCTGCACTGATAGGAAAGACCAAGACACTGATCTCGGCTGAACAACAAACGGTGTGAGCACAGGCTAGGAGGTGCATGCGGAGAAGGTGGGGCACGATGCATGATGGGCACCACAGGGTACTTGATGTGGCGATTCTGCGCCACTGCGGAAAACGTAACGGCGCCTCTGAGCTTCTCCCAAAGGATTGCTCCAAAATTCGGAAGGTCGGCCTGGAATAATCTGGACGAGATAATCGCACTCGCGGGTGCGACGCCAGAAGAAGAGCAAGGCTATACCGAGCCCCCAGGCCATAACAAAACAGACCTCGAAGTCTTTCCATCGACGTTGATTAGATAGTCAACAGCCTCGTCATCGCCCCGTATACGTATACGGTCAGAGATCCATAAAATCACGAAAATTCTCTACCGTTGCCACCTTGCCAGGATGATCTTGCCGTTCAGCTCCAACACTCCTCCCAAAGCCTGCCTTCTCTCCCCATCCTCTCCACATACTCTTTCGCCTCGTCTTCTCCTAACCCACCACATACCCTCGCCGCATCAGCTATCGACTTACGAACGGCGGCCGGCATCTTGTTCGCGGAACTATATGACGCCACACCGGATGCGAAAACATACCACACATGAAAATCACAACAAGAATGAGAATCCTTGGGAGCTAGTATACAGAAGAATCGGGGAACAGGATAAAAGACAACGCACCCAGAGATATACACCCATCCGCCCCTTCTACCCACCACGTCCCAAACCTTCTCTCGATCCTCGTCCATCAAATCCTGAACGTAAGTCCTCTTGACGCCTTCCGGATTATCACGCGAGAAGGCGGGTCGATAGGTTAGGTATGGAGGCGGGACAGAAGTTTGGGAAAGTCTCTCCCACTCCTGACCGTAATGCTGATCTTTGTCTTGACTCCGACATCCGAAATAGAGCGTATTCTCTGGATCACAAAAAAACCCGCAGTCAATCTCTTGCATATCCTCATCGTATCTTAAAGAGGAAGAAGGCGGAGAAATGGAGAGAGTATAAAACCACAGAAGCTTACCTCTCGCACCCTGCCGCACCCTCCTCTCAATCAAGGCTCTCATCGGCGCGATGCCTGTACCTGGGCCTACGCATATGGTAGGTATCGAAGGAGATGGAGGGAGGGAGAGCAGCCCTTTTTGAAGGCCGAGGAGGAGGGTCGTGCCTAGAACACAAAGTACAGCGTGAGTGGGAGGTCTAACGTTATAGAGAGGAGGAAAGAATAGAGGGGCAAGCGCACCAGACTTCAAAGACGACAAATAACTCGTACACACGCCCCGTCTCGGTATCTTCAGCTTCGTCTTGTACTGCACTATCGCAACGCAGAGGTGGACCTCCTTCGGATGTGTCTAAAACAATAACCCATCAAACCAAACCCATAATGAGCACCAATACCTCGCCCAGGAAAGTGCACGCGCGTAAGGGTGGCCTTTGTGGGAGGAGAGCGAGCAACAAAACACGGACCTCGACATCACTAGCAATCGAAAACATCCGTGGCCTCAACGGGGGTAGCATCTCAAACACATACTCTCTGGGCATCCTTCCCTTCACGCCTCTAAACTCCTCCATCACTTCGCGGATCGTACGTCGGGGCCGGGTGGCGTAATCATACAGGTCGTTCTACGGATGCGGCGCGCCACGCAAAGGGTACCCTTGTCAGCGAACGATTCCGATAGCACAGGCTTTGACAGCAGGGGAGAGACACAGTAGGTGTCGTATTGGGGGAAGGATTCGAAACTCACAGCCCCGAGCTCATTCGCCTCCCCCAGCTCGTCCAACCTCTCCATCTCCCTCTCGTCTTCCGTAAAATGTCGCAGAAGTCGAAAAAAACCACGACGCGGCACAGCGTTGATGTCCAGGTGGTGCATGACGAGTTGTCGTAGAGTTAGTGGACGGTGAGTGGTCGCATTTGGTGGTGGTGGTGGTGGTGGAATCAAGGATGAGGTTGCTTGCGGCAAATGAGAGATATGCTCGTTGAGGGGTAGAGACAATGAAGACGGGAGTGACTGGTCTTGATATTACATGTTTGTTAGATAACAGTACCTAGCAGCGCTAAGTGGAGAGCATTTAGACTTGAGACGCACCTTTCATCTCATGAACAACCCAGAAAGGCCTATCAGCCTCGTTCTCCCATCCCATACATTCCAAAAAAGCATCCACATCCGATGAAGATGCCTCTGGGTGTATAACGGCTACGTCTCCCGGTTCATACCTGTCATTCAGTATAAGAGGCACAGTCGTCAGACAAAATCCGGAAATTGCAGGAAAAGTAAACCACAGAGATGAGATGAAACGTACCTCAACTCATCCTCACTCCCAAACTCGAAATGTCTCACATCCTGCCACCAGTCCTGCACCGTAATCCTCACATTTTTCAGTACTTTAACTTTATGATAATTCCTGCTCGCATTATTTTCGGCTACGCTGGTCCCGGAGATGCCACTTAAGTTATTCGCAGGGTACGAGTGAGATGTCGATGCTTCTGTTGCCGGCTCACTTGATGGACCACTTTTAGAAGTTGTGAGGACTGGGTTTGAGTATGTGTTGGAGATATCGATGAGCTTGACGCGTGCCGGTGGGAGGGAGGACGAGGGGAGGGGATGAAGGTTGGGCGGGAGAGGGAGAAGCGTGAGGAGGGAGGCAGTTAGAGTTGTGAGCCATGGGTCCAGCGCACCATCGATGCTGTTACAATTGATATTGTCAGTTTCGAGTACAATCGTGAAATGATAGTGAAAAAAGAACAGGAGGATGTGTGGCACCAGCTACTGTGGCTGTAAGAAAAATACGCCCGGTTCAACCGGAAGAGACTGTTTACTCCAACCAGCCTGCCACGAATTCATCACTCAATCGTAATCCCACCATAAATACAAGCACAAGTCTCCTCCACCCAATATTACTCGTGACAAGACTCACCCAAGTGCATGCTGATCGTCCGCCTCTCCTCTCTCACATATCCTCCTCGCGCCCAGCCCTTCCAGTCTCCTGTCCAAAACCTTAGCAGGCCAGCAAAATTTTTCATAACTCGAATCTCCAAGCCCGAATACCGCATAATGTAACTCGTCGAATAAATCGGTGGGAAGGTCCGATCGGAGGAGTGAATCCATCAGGGGCGTTGCGTCTCGAGGTTCGGTGCCAGAGCCCGTCGTCGAGACGACGAAAATTACGAGTGGTTCAGAAAGAATATCTTCCTAAGAAACATACATCTTGAGAAATTTGGATACTTATTTCTGAAAAACAAGGAGAGGAGTATGAGACGAACGAGTGGATATTCCCCAATATCATGCGAACGACAATTCATGTGTATCGACCGTAAATGAGCAGCAATCCTGTCCGCCGTGTCCTGTGAATTACCGGTCTCGGTAGCATAGAGGATTGTAAGTGAGCGGTCGTCATCATGGTGTGCATGGCCGTGGTGGTGGTCGTGGTGGGTGAAGGACATGGTTCGTGAATTGGTCGTGTGCTGGGAGAGGACGAAATGTTTATCTGATAAGATAGATTGCAAATTCGCAGGGTCTGGTCGGGTGCCACTGTGGCCTGCTTATATTGCATCGTCTTCAAAGGTAGATAATCAAGGACTCGGACAGTGGTAAAGGTCTCATGAATTAATACTCAAAGATCCATGTATAAGTAAATATGGACGACCAAGAAGACATGTTGTACATAAAAAACAGGCGAAGGAGTTGAGTGAAATCCATCGTGGCGCATGATGAACCGCCATCCCCAATGAAAACAAACAGGATTTCCATACGTATTTGGAAGACAATTTAGACCTGAGAGGAAGCTTGGATGTATCAACGCATCCCACAATCAAAGCTGGAACTTCGTCGCTTTCGCATTAGTGATTGTGTCCACTACGCGCCAGCCGCGCACTCGAAACCTCCAACAGACGGCATGGGGAAGGCTAGGTGCTAACAGATCTTTTCATTCGAATGGATGATGATCGATAAAAACGTGTCAGGGTCTGCGGAAATATCTAAGTGCATGAGCGGAGGATGACGCGTAGGGTAAGTGGCTCAAAAGGATGAGTGGCTCACCTTGTCGCTGCACTCCACGACACAGACCTCTCACCGCCGCTGTTCAACACCTTTCCCGGGGAAGAGTGGGACTGTTTGTAAGATTGTGTCATGCGCGCTAGAGTCAAGACCACTCCCAAATCATGTTCGTAGCCGACCTTGGGGGAAGGAGAAAAATAATCTGGTCAGCTTCTCACGGTACTTGCCGCGAACAAAGGAACGTCGAGCGTGTCTCAGGAGGACGTAATGGCGCCGGAAAATGGAACGACATGGATTCTCGCCGCACAGCACCGACACTGTACACGCGTCCCGATCTTTGTCTGAGCCTCGAGGCATCAGCGACGCGTCGTAATGAAGTCAAAGCTCGCTTTGTCGCGGAGCGGATCCAGGACGACCCTGTCGCTTAGAAACCCAGAAAAGGCAGGAACGCACAAAGAAAACAAAGCTTCCGGCGGAAGGAAGACTATTAGCTTTGCCCGCGAAGATGTGGAATTTGCCGAGGACAAAGGGCAGGTCAAAGTAAAGTCCAGCAGCATATAAGCAAGCTTCGAGCGACGAGAGGAAGGACACAACCATTCTCCCCGACTGCCTGATCGTCTGCTCTCAAGCACTTACTGCTCTGCCTCAACTCTTGCTTTCCGCGCCACCCTTAGACAACTAACACAATGAACCCAACATCGTACCAACATCCAGGTCAGACTGGTCGTGCCACGATGGGGCAACAAGTTCAGAACCCCGGGATCTGGGGCTTGGAGCCGCAGACGAATGCTCTCGGGAACTTCGCGTCTACGGCTCAGCATAACCTCTATTCTCAGGCGCCACAACATGCTGCCCAGCAAGTAGCACAACCTTACTACCCACTTCCAACACCGACTGGGTACTTTGATGGCCATATGCCAAACCTCGGGGGACAGGTACGCACTTCAGTGTCTTTCGTGGTCAAAGGACCTATGCTGACGAGCTGTACGGTTCCCCATCTCGAACCCCTGCGCTCACTCCAGTCCCTCCCTGATCCCTCGCCTTACCGCATCAGACCAACGTACTCCTACGACACAAGCGACTGGGACTTACGTCAGCTCGCACTGCCCCCTATCCGCATCGCGAGTTCGTCCAGGGGAACGGGACTCAATGTTCCTCATACACTGGGTCATCGTAGACAAATCATGCCATTGCCCTCTCGTGCAGCACCTCAGAACATCGAGCCCATCACCCACATCCCAGGCAACCCGCCCGCTGCTGAAGAGTCTATGACCATCAACGAGTTTCTGGACTTCCTGGAGCAGAGCTCTAAGAGGGTGGATCGTGTGCTCGAGAACATCGGGGACAGCCCAGCGGGCACTTCGTCCACACCCCAATCCGCCTACCCCACAGCATCGTCCTCGTCTGGAACGGGATCTTCCTTCCCCGGCACCCCTCTCGATCCGATGCTTCCCCCAGACTCCCTCCGGCACGCTCAGTATGGCTACGACGAGTATGACTTCCTGTTCCACCACGTCGATCTATCGTCATTTCTCGACTACCCTCGCTTGGATCGGTCCAGCAGCAGCAGGGAGCTTAGATATGATGCCGACGGTGCGCTCGCTGAAGGGTGGTCAGCTCCTCCCCCCAAGAGGAAGAGCACCGCGTCATCTACACAGGGGAGAGAGAAGAGGACCAGAAAGGACGACCCGCAGAAGCCGATAGGCTCTGACGACTCAACGCGCTCGACCGCACCACAGGTCCAGCACGACAACACAGCAATATCGGAAGCATCCACAAGTCAGGATGTCCCAACAAGTGACGACGCTTTCCTCTCTCGCTCAGGTGTCAACGCCGGAACAACGACGCCTGCCGAGGAGGAGACTCGAGAGAAGAGGAGGAGTGTGGAGAGGGTGAAGAGGGTGAAGAGAGGGTCGAAGGACGAGCCTCATTCCTGCATGCCAGAGAAATTTGGTCGACAATACGACTACCGCCGTCATTTCTGCACCTCACCACACCATGAAGCGGAGCGCTCTATCCCTGGCTGGAAACAGCGGCATGGCATCCCGGACGATTTCTCGGACGGACTCGTGTTCTGTCAGTTCGTGGACTGTGAGCTACACCAGCACGGGGTGAGGAAAGACGTCCTGAAGAAACATTTGTGGAAGCGTCATCGAATTGGTGAACCGCCGAGGACCAGGACGAGGACGAGGACGAAGAAGTGTTGAACTTGTCCGTCGGTGGCAAAGGGATGGGAGATGGAATGCAGGACTTGCCTGGCGATGAGGGCGCGAGTAGATCCTACCAGACTGTTGGATTTCTTTCTTTTTTCTTTTTTTCATTCGATTTTTTGTCATTGTATGTGTTTTCCCTGTTTTTTTTTGTATCACGGCTCGATGTGAGCTTGTTTATATTCCTGTACTGGTGATGCACTCACTCAGACTCGCACAACGTTCCTATTCTTCCTGTCCATGGCTCTTTCGTAGACGTGTCGGATTTCTGTGTACAATAATAAATATTGTGGTCAACTCGAATATTCGCAACAACTCGTAGGGACAGAAATCGCAATCCGACCAGTTCGCCACTGTGGCCCCAGGCCTATCCGGTGTACACCACTTCACAGAGCCACACGACCAAGAGCCGAAAAGGTGGAGACGACTCACCAATATGCTTTCTGGCACAAAGACGACATCATCCAGGATCCTAAATGAGCCCACAGATCTCCATGAGAGGACGAGAGTATGCAGACGAAGGTGAAAGCCAACGCAAGCTGAGATTCCTTTGAGCCTCCGATATCTAGTCAGTTTTTATACTCTCAGTTTTCCTTGCCTCGTGTCCTCTATCGACCACGCAATCGCCCGTCCATCTACCCACAGCCGTTCCAATTTCCAAGGCTAGAGCCGTTCGTTTGTTCTCCAGCCATTCCGCGTCAAACAGTAAGCGAGGCTGTTCCAGTTCGAGGATGCAAGTGGTGAGACTCTTCGCGAAAACTGATATACCATCGATGATGATTAAATCATCGTAAATAGAAGGAAATCTGGGCGAATCCGACGATCGTCCGCCGTTCTGCGAATATTTACTCTGAGCGAACAACTTTGCTGGCCAGCCAGCGGCGAGAGCCGAGTCGAGCTATACAGCAGTTCGGAGTGGCACCTGTTCTGGTCCGAATTGTGGCGTAGTGCAGGAATACTTAACCTCGATAGAACTTCTAACTTCATAGTATTCATCAGCCCTTACTAAGTACTCGAAGACGTCACAACAAATACACGCCGCCTACAATACCACGTTGATATCAGTCCATCGCCCAACATGTCCTCCTGCATCGTCCACTTTACGCTCCCGGTCTCTTGCTCTCCCTCTCCTTCCTCGGCTTCTCCTTCTCGACCGTCGTCTTCTCCTTATCCATTGCCGCAACTCTCCTCTTATAATCCGCAGCCGACTCCCTCTCCACCCGCTCCTCAACTTCTCCAGTTATCGCCGTACGCCAACTCGCATAAAGGCCCGGATCAGGCTGAGCCCAAACCCCTTTCCCAGCAGCCTTCGCTTGCTGTTCTAGTTCAAGGAAATGTTCCTTGCCCCATTTCCCGTATTCAGCCCCAGATTGTTGATAGACTTCGGCCCAGCCGGAGCGGAGCATGAGGATAGAGAGGGACTGGCCGGTTCGGAAGGAACGGGTAAAGGGAATGCGGGAGGGGTGGTGGACCATTGCGACCTGGAATATGATGGTATCGCGTTAGTATGATGTTATAGAGCGATAGTTTGAAGTCATGTAAGGTCCGCGCGATGTTGACGTTGAACCACGTGTTTGGCGCGTACATGAAGCCATAGCAGGCTGAGGGATGTGGAAGAGGAAGAGAGATATATATACGCACAATTCGGCCGTACTGGTCTTTCTTGAGTAGTTGGCAATAAACTATCTCACCCTCAATCTCGTGTTTTAGCCATGATAGGGCTTCTCCAGAATAGGGCTGTGCGATGTTTCCGAAATGCGCTGCCTGTATCAAAGGATGTAATTCATTCTTGGTATACCTTCGTTCAGAGTAATTGGAAAGAAATAAGGCGCACCTCGGGAGCGTCGACGCCTCCCATACGTATGTGAAGCGTCTGATTTCTCAAATCTATCGAGACACGTCGGTTCCAAGCGAATCGGGTAGAGCAAACACCAGCGAGCGTACCTTTAGTCGTCGAAGGCATCGACCTGAACTTCAAAGGCCACCTCCACCCAAAGCCGGGGGTATGATAGAATCGAAAATTATCTGCATCCCCAACGCTGTATAAGCCATTTCACTTCAATTCTAATCATTATTCAAGCGAGCGCTCTGCGCTAGTACAAGGGTGTTGTATACGAGACTGCAATAACTCACCTGGTCACATACCCCTTCACCCACCGCTTCCTCTCCAAATCCCTCGGCGTGACCCAATCTGAATTCTGTATCCTCTTGAACAACCGTAGATACGTCCATCTAGTTCCAAAAGTTGAAAAAGCACCGAGCGCGAAACTGCCAAGAACGAGAGTTTGGGTTTCGGGTGGGATGGATTGGAGTTTGGACCGGAAATGATCAATAAGTTCGAGTGGGGATGAAGGTGGAGGTGGCGAAGGTGGTGGTGGTGGCGGCGGTGGCAATACTTTGGATTGTGACGGCGAACTTGAGGAGAACCAAGGTATAGTGGGCATATTTGTGCAGGCCTGGGTATGATTTGGGTATGATGATGGTGGTAGTAAGTAAACGTGGTTCGGGCGCCAAAGTACTCATTCGACTGCAGTGTGGCACCGCTAAAGTACGCTATCTTATGTGGCCCGGTTCTCCCTAGTGGCTTGAAGAATTGTTTGAGAATCGTACTCTGCTGGGTACACAAACACCTCTAAATTAGCGTCATTGCAAGTCACAATAAGTATCTTCTGGCTCTCAGATTTGGCATTAATATCTGGTCGTAAATAATGCTTCGTATTAGCCGTGGGATTGTGGGTACGGGATTTGCCAGGATGGCAAGTTCACCGCAATTGAAGTTGACTTGAAGAGTTGGCGTCGATTGCTTACAGTCAAAATTATAGCTCGACGCAACTGCATGTTCAAGTTTACATCAATTCCACTCGAGGCTGATACTTGACGAGGTCGGTATGTGATGATTCTGTATGACTCTTCATTGTGTTTTGATTCATCCGATAAGTGGGTGGCCATCTATCGCAGATATGGGGCGAGACATCGAAGCTTGAATCGGAATCATATACGAAACACTGCTCGGTGGTAATGCAAGAACTGTCACGGAAAAATAAATCCTCTATGACACGTAACTGGACGGTGCTGTATGGTATGATGGAGGCGGACGCGTTGACGGTTGTGACGGCAGCGGACGCCGACCATGACTGCGCTCGGAAAATCCTATGTTCGTAAGTAACCCTGCGTTTTCCTCCACAGTGTGCCCCTCCGATGTAAGAATAGACGAGGTTCCAGCGTGATTTTCCGGTGTTATATGACGACCTTGGCCTGAGTGTGTACTCGAGCTCCCGATGTTGGAAAAGTCTCCAGTAGTGCGACGGCCGTTTGATTCTCCGACGCTCCCTGAGATAGGTCTCCTTCCTGCGCCTGCTTGAATAGCTACAGCCCGAAACGTCAGATTCCATATGAACTAGTAAAGCAAGTAGCCCAGGGAAACGTACATTCCGCTCCAAAGGACGATGCTTCTTCATATATAAATGGCGTGATACCAGGTGCCGGCCCAGGTGAGACGAGAGAGCGTCTTGAGCGCCGGTAAACGCAGTAAAGACCTCCGATGAAGAGCAGTAAGAAGGTCGTACTTCCTAAAGCGATACCAGCGATAGGGCCACCTTGCAGTCGGGAATCGGAAGCTGCTGGGGGCGTAGCTGAGGTCGTAGTAGATGGTGGGGCCACTGAGCTTGTAGATGACGCCTGCGAGAAGAATATATGTCTTAGTATGGTACCAGTATAATGAGTAGATTGATCAACCTCATACCGGTTGCGAAGAGGATTGGGTACTAGACGAGACTGTTCATACCAAAAGATTCAAACACAGTGTAGAGTAGGTAATGTATATTAAAACGTGAACAACACACCGGTGCTCGCTAAGTCCTGGGGACAACGGCCGAAGATCATACTGCTGTCGGCAGAGAAATCCTCCGAGCTGGCATCTCGTGTGTACGTGCTATGCATAACGAATATCGTGTGAGACAACTGTTGACAGAGCCAAGGGATTGCGGTAGAGCTCACTAGTACCTGTGATCAAGCAAAGTCAGCAAAGTGCATAACAGGGGAAAAGCGAGCAGACGCCTACCAATCTCCAGCGTCCCAAAAGAGCGAGTACAGACTCGACATTATTTTGATTCCTCTGTTGCAAACCCCACTTTGAACTTCAGTGGGCAGTCTGACATGCAAGGAAATTCAGTTGAAAGCGGGCAGCATTGATATCTCTGAGACAACTCTGAGATATTGCTGAGATAACGTACGACTGATTCGTCCCACCGACACAATGGCCTTGATCTTCATCTCTATAAATGTAATACGATCCCTTGCCTTACTTAGATCAGTAAAATGCATCACAAGCCGAATGAAGAATTCCTAATATCCGATGAGAGAGGTCGTACCAGCATCTGTGCCGTTTTGACTGTCTACGTCACCCTGCTGACAGCTAGGAAGAGCTTTTAAGATATTGACATCCTGTCAACGGCCCTCAAGCACGTACTTCATGCAGAGCATGCTTAGTGCCCACGATATAGAATTACAACAACAGTCGTCTATAAAAGCCAAAAAGAAAAAAAAGCTTGATAATGGAAGAGATAGTAACGGTCTTGCCAAAAATCACGTACCAACTTGATCGTCACAGTTGTCGCCGGGTGTATGCTGACGAAAGTCGCCAACAACATCTGTCGGTAACAGTCGAATGAGCCAAGGTGCAGGCCAAAAGACATATACTTACAGTCCACATTACAGATCTGTCTTAGGCGTTGATACGTAACACCTTGAGACACCGGCCAACGTTAGCAAGTAGACAAGGGTCAAGGGTCAAGGGTGAGATGGGAGTGTGAGACGGGGCCGACGTACAGGGTGTCTCTCCCACCGCCTGCGTGTACCAATTAAGCTCACTGCTTGTACAGGTCGTATTTACAACACAGACCACAACAGTGACCAACGTAAGTATTGTCAGCAGAGTGAATGCACCAGGCATTGCGAGAATCTTGACAAGAACGAGAAGCAGTAGATATCTTTATGCAGGGAAGGAAGATTCAACCCAGGGAGAAACGAGTCCAGCACAAGTACAGCGGAGGATCGCAACGCTGATGTTGATGGATCAGCCAGTTTTCTCCGACCGACAGCTTGCATTCAAATCATTGCGTTCTTCGAGCAGTCCGATCACAACCTTCTGGTACCGGAAATACAGGCGCCCGAAATCACAGCAATGGTGATGTTGTATTGCCCTGGTCCCCAAGTGCTCTGATGTCTTATTGAGGAAGAGCAGGAGATCAAATCCTATGTACTATCACTAAGTTTCCTCGTCATCACTTGCGCACAAAGTGCAATACCTCCAGATTAAGAAGTAAAATGACCAGGTACTCTGATGGTGTGGTCTTCGCAGCACTGATCGACTTGGAAGACCAGTAAGCAGGACCTGTCAGACTCACATCGTATCATGATCATCGTGAGACAAAAGATGTAGAATGGTGGTGTATGATGGAATCATGAATGAAACGGACGGACTGGTGTCAAGGGGTCTCGCAGACGGCGTCGCACATACTTATCACCGGTTGAAGAAACTCGAGAGGAATCATAGCATCTGAAAACATGAGCGAAACGACGATCAGATTTTGTCAGAAGAAGGACAGGTTAGCGACTCACATATTGATAACCCCGCTGAAAGATGCATTGAAAATAATATATATCACGCTATAATTTTGATGAAGCGATGCGACAATAATTTTGACAACTCAGCATCGCTAGTGAAATGTATCCCGGAGAACCGACGATGATTCAACATGTGACTTTGCTGGCTAAGTCTTGCCTTTGGTACTTGCATGATATACTGAGCTTCCAGGTATGGTATTCGACGTCGGTGTGGTTGGGGCAGATGAGTGACCCCGTAGTTGGCCCTAATCGTCATCCAGTGAAGTCGTCGAAGTTTATCTGGCACAAAAGGCATGAATATCACCAATACTTGTTTTGCTGTGAGACCAACAGCTCAGGGGGAGGTGTACCTGTGCACAGCGATGGTTGCCTGACGAACATTGCGGAGCTGGAAACCTTCAGTCCATCTGCAACTGAGAGACTGCGGCCGCATTGACGTCACACTAGGTACATGGTTAGACAGTACCAAGAAAGATGTCCTCCTCTGTGATCCAATATCCCGTCACGTAGATTCGGGGGACGGTGGCGATGTTACTCAGAAATCACTGGCTTCGCAACCTGCAGCGCCTCCATGCAGCCTCCATGTATCGATACATAGCGTAACGATACGTGGGCAGCGCCCAGATTCAAGGAGCAAACTCGAAAGCTACTGATAGATCTCGTGGGGGTGACTGGTGCGTGTAGCGGCTCGTCCACACAGCTGTTTCAAAGTTCTGTCATCATAAGCTAGTTCGAAAGATGATATTCAGGGGGTACGAAGACCCCCATGAGGTTTCAGAAACCGCGCAGGGTAAGGGCCAAGCCAGGTTTGATTATTCGGACTCAGGCGGTGCAACAGTGGCGCTTGGAAACTCGGAAGACGGCCAGTATCCTCCAGTATCATCGTACAGCACAAGTATTCAATACGTGGACCAGCATTTTATCCCTACAGTGGGCAGGGCATGCGGTCTTGGCTCGTGAAAAGAGGGGATGACGAAAAGGGAGAGCTCACATAAGATACCAGATATCCCGATGTGTACTCTTATGTCGTCTGCCCGTAGTCAGTAGCTGTGGGTCCATTCTGTGAGACGGCCCATCAGTGGAGATGGCCCTTTGAGAGCTGTTTCACGATGCGGAGGGCAACATGTCAACACAGATCAGATCGAGGGCAATCGAGGAGACTGATTGATATAGAATTCTGATGTATATATACGGAAGAGTGTCAAGCAATAATGAGTAGTGGGTGTTGCCGAGCTGCGTGTAAGCAGACGGTTGATTCCGAGAGCGGAGATCGATTTTCATTTCCTGGCAGCAAAAGGCAGCAAAGGCCACAGTGGCGTCCTGTCTTGAGCATAATTGACAAGGAGAGGAGCGCTGTGGTATAGATGCAACGTATGAGTAGAAGTTATAGACTGAGAGTAAATTTAATTAGTTGTGTGGTCTGTAAGAGTACTCCTTCGAGTTGTGCCGGAGCCTTACCTATGTAAGTACTGCTGAATGTCGATAACAACGACGGACTTGTCAAGATGACCTCAGGAACTATCAAACGTTGTTCGTACGGTGCTGAAAAACTCGCAGCATTTCCAGAAAAGAGGTTCTATACGAAGAGGGGGAAGGAACTGATTGAGCCAAAGCGTCCTTCTCCACCGGACTCGACATATCGAGAAATGAGGGTTGGGAGCGGCGTTCCGGGATAATCTTGAGGAGAGCATCCCTGCTTGTAGCTCCAGGACGTATAATCTCAGTGCTTCGAATCTGCGAGGATTCCCCAACTTGCATACTATGCGGCTCCAACAAAGGTCGTCCTGCTAGATGTGCGCCATGTGTACCGACATCTGAGACTGGATGTTCAGATGCTTCATGCACGTCAGTGACCAACAACCGAAGACTGTAGACACAGACACGCACATACACTCTACTGTTGAATCATCCTCCCGAGATGCGCGAATGAAACGTGTGACATCCGTCAGCGAACCGTCATTGTGCCGTGTTTGTTTGAGGCGCAGAAAGTAGAGCGCTCCTAGTATGAGCCAAACGAAGGCAATGCTTCCTATAACTATAGCGGCGATAGCTCCATTATTGAGCCTCGAATGATTTCGGAGATCAGGTATGGCAGGGGAGTCGGGAGTTGCAGAGGCCACTCCGGCTGACACGGATGTTATGACGGTAAAGTGTGAAGAATTAGATGTCGGCGTCGGAGTCGACGGAACGAGTGGTGTCTTTGGGGCATTGGAAGTTGCGAAGGTCGTGAATAACGGGTTGAGGCTCGTTGGAGATGATAGTGCTAGAGTGCATGGAGATATGACAGAAGAGTCCGATATATTGGTGCCCGTCGATGGCTGTGCGGAAAGAGTTGTTGCTGTTGGCGCTGTACTTGACGGCGAAAACAAAGATGGACCTTCGAGCTTCGGGTCCTTCTGTGTAAACGAAGTGGAAGTATCACCAAGGAAGCCATTGTTGGCGCAATGGCTGAACACATGGCCGTTGTTAACCGCGACGGCCTCCGCACTGGAGTCCTTGGTGTATGTGCTGAAAGGGAAGCGTTGAGATATTTCCATGTCAAGACAGCGCCAAAATACACATTAGAACCTGTGAATACGACACGGCATCAACAAGAATATATCCAACACATTTTTGATTAAATGCAGCGTACCATGATCCATCGCTCCAGAATAACGAGTAAAGATTGTCCATTACATTGATATTTTCGTTACAAACCGCACTTTGTATGCTCGGAGAAAATCTGCACCAAGAAATCAGTACGTTGGAGAAGCGGATGGCGTTACACAATGCAACAACAGTGTACTTACGACTGGTTCGTTACACCATCACATCGACCTTGATTGTTGTCAAGATACATGAAATATGCACCGACTCCTTCGGGAATCGCAGTATCAATATCATAGATGGCACAGGCCGGCAAGATCAGAGATGGAAAGATACCTACCAGCATCGATGCCATTGGGCGCGTTCTGCGTCGCTGTGTCCTTCTGGCAACTAAGAAAGCTCAATGGAAACGATGACATATATTTGGACGGGTCGACCCACTTCATACATAACATACTCAGTGCCCACGATATGGAGTTGCAGCAGCAATCCGCTGCAGTAAATAATTGCATAAGTAGTGAGACTAGTTATATAGAATGGTTGGTCGTTGGATACCCGTACCGACTTGTTCGTCGCAATTATCGCCTGGCGCCTGTGATCGAAAACTCCCCACGACATCTAACAATTGAACATATCAACTTCATAAGGAGTAGGTATAATAAAGTCTAGAACGAGGGTACTTACAATCAGGGTTGCATATCTGCCTGAGTCGTTGATAAGTCATACCTGGTAGAGACAGCGATGAATGACGTGACACTCGACATATAAGTAGGCGACTTACAAGGTGTTTCTCCCACAGTCTTGCTATACCAATCAAGTCCAGTTCCTGCACAGTCTGTGTTTCCTGCCAACGTAATGCAAAAAATTGAAAAGAGCGTAGTTATGAGGGTATATCCTCGAAAGCTTGCCATGGTAGGGAGGAAGAAATATGTTGGTCGCGAGACGTGCCTCATGCATTCTTCTCTTATATCTTGGAATACTGAGAGAAAGAAGAGAATCAAGGGGGTCCAGAACTTTGCAACGGATCATCAAAACAGGATGGGGTTCGTTAGGGATCGTGACTGTAGCTGTCTCCGTCTTGATGACACCAGGTCAAGTCAATGCTTTACTTCCTATAAATAAACCTGCGTTGGCCAGGGTTGGCCTCGGCGGGTGACAACCGATGTACAGCATTGACCAAGCTGAAGAAGGTAACCCGTTCGTCCCGCTACAAACTAAGAGCAGGAAGTAAACGGCCGATATCAATTTCTGTGGCAAGACAACTTGAAGAGAGTAAACCGAGAAAACTCCACCTTATTTCGAACGATACCTTCGCGGAAGAAACAGACGAATCACTCACACGAGACACTTGGCAGGGGAAAATTTTTAGCAAAACAGTACTATACACTAGTAATGCATATGTATAACGAGCAAAGGGGATGGAGTCAATCGAGCTCAAGCCCGTATCCTGCAGGGGATCCATAATCGGTAAACTAGCAGAGCATTAGAGTAAGGGCAGTCGAGAACAACAGAAGACGGAATGAAGTAAGAGCGGATCGTACAATACCTCTATCTAAGTGGTGGCAATAGAACATAACAATAAGTAATCCCCTTGCACCAATGGCAGGTATGGTATACAGCGCGACCTCAAAAACATTACACTGGTTGTCGCAAAACTTGCATCTGGCTGGTCTTGCATGATGTTGCCAAACCATGCCTGAACATCCCCGCCAGGGAAACAGAGCCTGATCAGGGTTCCCGAGCTTTAGAAAGGGGATGAGCGGGCTGGTCAGGCCAATCAGGCCTGATCAGCCTGACGGACCTGCACAGGCGTTATACGGCGTGTTGCGGGCTGAGCAGTCCTGACGACGATATATAGGAATAATAGAAAAAGGATGTTTCATCTTTTTGTACCTCTCCTTTTACCCCTCTGTAGTATCCTTTTCTTACTCATGTAGTGCTCTTACCTTTATTCCTTACTTTCCTTACGAATTGTACTCGCTAGAAGTCTCTTTAGACCACAAGTATCAGGCCAAATCGGGATTCGAACACCCGACTTGTGTTATGCTGCTCACATCCTTGCGTTGGAGTCGCGAAACAGACCACTGCGTCATCGCGGAGTGGTCTATACTGGAAATGCTCTAAATATATCGTGTTCTTTCGTGGCGCGAAATGCATGCCCACAATGCTCCGCCAGATCTTTCACCCCTCATCTTCCCTCTCTTGAGGTCGAGGCGGCCTAGCAAGGTCCCTGTAGTCCAGTATACTATTTCAGCGATCAGACATGGTCAGGCCTCTTCAGCACTGGCCAACGGCATCGGAGCTATGTACAGACATTATTAGCCAGGATCAGCCCTGCTCAGCCGATGGCTCCAAAATGACCAGTCCTTGCCAGTCCTGCTCAGCTCTGTTCAGCGGACGACTTCAAGATGACCAGCCCGCACCAGCCTTGCTCAGCCCTGCTCAGGCCCGATGTGGGCTGGTCCGGTCATGCACGCTCCCTGTTCAGGCATTATGACTGCTATCAGGCTTCGCTATGGCTGACCAGCCAAATGCAAGTTTTGCGACAGTGTTACATCTCACTGAGGCTGTGGTTGACCGGGATAGGGTAGATGTGTCTGTCCTGGTTGTTGAGCTGGAGTCATCCCGAAAAGCTAAGACCCAACCCCATGAGCAAGTCGAGCCAAGTCTAAACAATAGGAATATGACTGACTGCTTTGATCTCTTTGACGCTCATCTTGTGGAGCTTCATACCATTCCCTTCTCCGAGCGCGACGTCCGACAAGCCTGAAACGTAAACGTGTCAGGTCAGTTGCGCTACAACTCAATAACGATGAATAGGTCAAGGCACGCACCGACTTTAACGTCCTGAAGCCTCAGCATCCTGTGATGCACCAGCGGCATGAAATTAGTCTTGTACAGGACATGAGCCGATGCCAACGCCACGTACCGCTCCTCAATCGTGTTACTCACTACCAGCCTCTTCACGAACACCTCTTTCTCCTGGCCTAGCCTATGTACGCGATCATAGGCCTGAGACTCCGCCGCATAGTTCCACGAGAGATCCATGTTGATGACCCGGTTGGCTGAGACGAGGTTCAAGCCGACGCCACCACATTTCGTACTGTGTTACGCCACCGCCACATTGTCAAAACTTTGAACGTCGGATCCGGAATGCATAAAAGGCGCATACCTGATAAGAATGACCTTTGGACCACCCATCTTCTTGAAGATACCGAGACTCTTCTCTCTCGCCTCTCGACTCATCTTACCATCGTACCTCAGATTCTGTATCCCATACCGTCCGAACAACATCTCAATCAAGTCAAGCATGGATGTCCCTATAACAGAAATGAATTGTTAGCTGACGAAATTTGAGACCAAATCTTATAAGAAACTCACACTGCGAATACACAATCGTCTTGTCGCCTTCCCTCTCCGCAACCCTCAGCTCCTCGATCAAGGCCAACATTTTCGCACTCGGCTCGAGGTCGTCATCACCCTTGCCCCAAGCGGTCAACATTTGTTGGTCGGGCGTCCCATCGGCATACCCACGACGGCGGCGGCGGGGTGCTGCACGGATAGTCGATTTGGGAGCGCTGTCCCTATGAAGAGAAGAGAGATCAGCGACACAATCGAATCTGAGGAAGGTAAAGAAAGTTGCGAATGCGTACTCTTCTTCCGAAGCATCGAACTCGCCGGACGGAGGAATAGGTCGCTTCACGTCCGCCACTGTGATGTCGAGCAAATCATCCTACAATACCGCATCGCGCAGCAGTCAGTCCCCGGACCCAGCTCCAACGTGAAAAGAAAGAAAATTGCTTACATCACTAGCGCCCTCGCCTTTGACTGCACACCGCCCACTAGTCAGTATCGCCATCATACCCCAAAAAAATCTACCAATAACAAACGCACCCGCTTTCCCTTTAGCCTTCGCATTCACCTTCCCCTTCCCCTTCTTGACAGTCTCTTTCTTCAATATCGCTCCCAAATCAGGGAACTCATCCTCGCTATCGCTCAACGCCGCCAACGTCCCATCCGCCTTCAGACCATTCCCACTCGTATTCGCCTTGCCAGCTACCGGCTTCGAGTCCACTTCGACATCGTCACTGTCAGAGTCGCTGTCCGACAACGAGTTTGTCTTGTTCTTCGTCTTGGATTTCGACTGCGATTTCGAACGCGCTTGCTCGGAACGGACGAATTCCTTCAGTTCTTGGTCGGTTGGGTCAAAGGCTGACGACATGAAAACGGCGTTCGGGCGAAGGTCTTGGAATTCGTGGCAAGTTGGGCCTGACGCAATTCCGCAACACATGTCAGTAGAGATACGTCTCTTGCGAAGGTAAAATATCGGACATACAAGGTCTAAGGCCTTTCAACTCAGCGGCTTCGATTTGCTTCTCGCGGTTCATGTTCTCCTTCTCATTGCCGGTGCCACTGAAAGAAAGACGATTGGTTTATGCTCATATCCTCGCGATTCATCGTAGGAGGCCACTCACAAAACTCCATCATGCGCGATCGCAGATTCGGCCAGATCAGCCCTGCAGTCTGTGAACCTTTTCAGTATGAGACACGTTTTCGACTCGACACAGTAAACCTACCAGCGCAAATCTCATGCCCACAACCAAGCACACGCCCATTGTTCGCGACGAAGACTGGGAGCGACAATATCAATTACCATGAGCGGGACTCGCCAGCAGAAAAAGCTGCAGGTGGACGTACGATCATGACAGACAGGACACGCGAAGTCGTCGTCGTCATCATCCGTGAAGTCAAGTTGCATCGCCCGTGCGCGTTGAAGGCCTCTGAATACACCAGCAATTTACCTCAGTCACTGTACTGCATACACCGCACCGAAAACCTCACCGTTTCTTCATCTGCAGACGTTTTTCAATCCAGGTGCTCGGGTCAAAGTGAATGAAAGGAAAGGAATCAAGACTTACATCCGCACACCAAGCGCCACCTTTCAGCCTCTTCGCCCGTGCAAATTCCTTGTCGGCTTCGCTGCCCATCATCACACTAGGATCTTCGAAGCCCTCAGCTTGGCTCTGCACGGTTGAATAAACGTCAATGAACTCCACAGGCACGAACAGGCAGAAAAGAGCGTACAAGGATGAGGTACGGATGACAACAGAGCTGCCTCAGGCGCAGAATCATGACGAGTACGGCAGCATGACTAAACACAAGGGAATCAGTGAGTCTCAAGATTACGAATCAGACACGGGGGTCACACTCACTTCTTGAGGATCGTGTTCTCCTTGATGAATTTCCCGATCTGTATTTTCGCCCTCTTTTCGAAGTTATCGTAGATCTATTTGCCCCGTCAGATTGACATGTGGACTGCCGGTGGTAGGATGCCACATAGAGTAACAACGACGTACCTGCCTTTCGTCCTCCGAGAATTGCATCGTCTTCAGTTCAATGTATTTATTCGGGAGCTTGAGGATAGGTTCTCCCTCGAGCTTTGCGTCTTTCGTCCGACGAAGGAGGATGGGCTTGAGGATCTCTTGCGCGCGCATGCCTATATCGTAGGACGAAAGATCTCTTGTCAACGTGGCTGGGTAAAGTAGAGTGAAAGTTGGGTACCAGCAAGGACAGAATCTTCGATCTGGACTTTAGCCTAAGATAGCAAGAAATGATATCGCGAAGTCATGAGTAACAGAATACCAGGGACAGATGTATATGGAAACAGACTTACGATATGACCATCGAAAGACTCCCAATCATTCCACGGTCTAAACCTCCCAAACCGAATAAGCCCATACAGATCCGCCCTGGCATCGTCGAACGATCATAGAGGTCAGATTTACCACAGTGCCCGAATCCCCGATGAACACATACAAAGAATTCGTAATCGGAGTACCCGTCAACATCCACCGATACTTTGCCTTGAGCATCGCCACCGTCTTACTCGACCGCGTATTCCTATTCCTGACGAACTGTGCTTCATCCAGGATCACTCGATACCACTTCATCTTGGCCATCAAGCCTCCGTATTGTTCTAGCCAGGCATCTTCCTCTGCGCTATCGGCGCAGTCGTCCTTGATGGAGAATTCAAGGTTCAGAGATTGGTAGGTCGTGATGATAACCTATAAACCGACACGAGCAACAGGTCAATATTTCAGAGCTGGCAGATACATTGCCAGCAAGGAGGACCACGGGAGAAAGCCTTACATCCTTCGATTTCATGGCGGACAATGTCTTGAGCTTCTCCTTCCCATGATGTACGTGTACACTGAATATTCCATTCGTCTTCGCTTCGAGCTCTTCCTTCCACTACAAAACCAGCATCAGATCGTCACAATCGCGTGGAATTGCATGGCGATATGTTAGCGTTTGCGCCACAAAAGAGCGTGACACAAGGGAAAACAATTCGGGTAGAGACCGAGAGAATGCATACCTGGTGAAGCAAAGCTGCGGGCACCACGATCAAAGTTGTCTTATTCTTATCGTCCTCGCTCGGCGGATTCATAGCCATCGTAGCAATCATTTGAACTGTCTTTCCGAGGCCCATCTCGTCACTGTATGCCGTGGGCAAGACGTCAATCACAAAGTTGGTTCAAACGATGTATGGAAAGACGGAAGAGATGCGAGGAGAACTTGCAATGAGGAGACAAAGATAGATAACGCACGCTAGGATACCGCCTTTGTACGGCGATTCTCTTTCTTGAGTCAACATCCTATGGTACGTATTAGCTGGAGTAAAGTTCCAAAGTGAGACGCGAGACACTTACCAAGTCACGCCGATAATCTGATGCGGAATTAGACGGACTTCCATGCCTGGGAGCAGGTCACGGTTACTAGAGAAAAGTGTCGAGGCGGTCAATACAAGAGCTCTTCTAGAAGTACCACCTGTGGTGTTGCGCCGAAGAACGGACATGGTCGGGGCGTACGAAAGTGGTAAAACAAGAACTCACTCTCTTAATCCAAGGTATTTCATTCCGTCTCTGACCTGCAAGCCATTGGAGAGATTGTCGAGTGATCGCGAGACAAATTCGGCCATCCTTGTGTCACAGGAGTGTCAGTTATGCAAATCTCAGTTTCAGTTATTGGTGAAGGGTTTGGAGAGACGAACAAAGGTCATAGAAAGGGAGGGGAAGAAAGGCCCGTTGTGGCTCAAGGGTAAGACATTGGCTAATGAAGAGGCGCGCCGCCACACGAGATAAGATCCCGCATGGGTCCAAGAATACACCAAGCGGTGTCACATCCGATTTTCGTACATGCCCTACGACCATGCTACGAGTCAGTCGAATACACAGCCTTTCGGCGAGGCGTCTACGACCAGAATGCCCTTGTGTGCGCTCCCATACTCGCGAGTGTGTGTCCAGGAGTAAAAGAGTAAGACGAAACATACCTCTGGGCTTGGTCTGGGCCACCAACATCTATCCTCGGGTGAAGCGGGCTTTCATGGTCGTATCTCAAATTGAAGCCTCCAGTGTCTGTCATCCTTGGCAAGGATGTCGAGCCTCCTGCTGCCTGGTTCTCGGACTGGCTCGGCTTTATTGTCGACTCTATTGTAATGGAACCCCGCCGTCCATAGTCAGAGATCTTACTGCGAGACACTGAAGACAAAGTGAAGACGCACCAGTCGACTGCGTATATGCTAGTAAACCTGAAGGCAACCTATTCACTACCTCCTTGCTATGCTCAGGTCCCGGCTCATGCACACTCGATCCTGACGCAATACGCTTCTGACTTGGCCCAGGCGCCGCGTTACCATTTGCCGATTGCTCGCGTTTGCGTTTTCCGATCCCTAACTGCGAAAGACTCGGAGGAACAGGGCTAGGAGTAACATTCTCGGATGGGGCGTCGAGATTGCCGTCGAGAGCGTCGAGGAGACGAGAACGTCGAGGTTGAGGCTGAGCCGCCGGCGGTGCCGGCGGTGATATTGAGGCTGCCATCGTTGTCTGCGACGACGGCGAAGGTGGTGGTAGTGGAGAGACTCAGACTGAGATTCGGAAATGAAATCGACTGACGCGACCATGTGACCACTTGCACCGCGTCTGTGGCTGGTGTTCCACATTCGGTGTCACCTTCCCACGGAAATCAATCTCCGCCCATGGTCGACTTGCAGTCAACTTGCAATTGCAGAGTCCTCAGGAGTCAGAATCACATCCCGTATCGAAAAGGCCTTTCAATCCTTCCTGAGAGTACTTGTAAGTGTTTTTACTTTTAGTTAGACGTTAATCACCAATATAGCCCTCAAGTGGCGCGCCGAGAAGCATGAGTTTCTGGCAGTCGCGTCGGATCAGGAGGCCTGAGTCGCGGGCCTTCAAGCTGCAGTGGCCAGCCAAAAAAAAAGTATACTCATCAAGTAGCTCAGTCAGCGGAGCACGTTTCCCCAGTTGTACGATAGCTACGGTGAAAATATTATACCCCTCCTTTTAGAGTTGGCCCACAATTAGAACGACGCCATTCGTACCGCATTCAGAGGCACTGCGACCGGGAAACCGATTATCTGGCTTGAAGATCCTTCATTCCAACCTAAGGCCGGTTCGCAGGCGCCAAGGCAGTCTCCGGATACCTTTACTCCCGGTAGTAACCAGTTCAAGGGGACGGAACAAAGACTGAACGGCGTTCGTTCCCTAAGAAGACACAATGCAATCCCTGTGAATTGGGATTAATGAATGGAAGTACAGAAGCGTAAGCTATTGATAGCAGCGGGACTTGAGAAGACATAGAGACGAAACAGCCTGAATCGGCTGCCAGTGGGAGGGACAAACGGGGCAAGCTAGTCGCTAATCATAAGTTCGTGAGGGAAATAACGCAGAGCGGGCGGTCCAAATCGGACGGACATCATTAGTGGTATTATAAGCGAACACGAGCACAAACCGATCAAAGACGAGTGAGTACAATGAAAACGAAGTCAAAGAGAAAACATAGGATGATGAAGTTAACTATAAACAATAGGTCGCCCGCGACGATGGACAGACGCATTCATGGGACCTAAAACAGAACGAAAACCAAGAAGACACAATCACAAACAAGACACGTTACTTTTACTTCTATCTGGGACAAAACTTCCGTTATCAGCGAGGGAAAGACACGATTCAAGCGGAGCATCGGGGAGAAGAACCAAAACGGCGTACGACCAGTTTTACCGAGTTCGTGCGCAGATGTTTCAAATCGAGGTACTCGCAACTGAGTCAACATCCTCCGCCGCACTACCATCAATCAGCCAACCTCTCACCAATCAAATCCACAACCGAGCAACCGACCAGCTCACTGACCAGTCGGTCGGAGCTTGTCCCTCAGCTCCCACACACTCGACCTTCCGGGTACCTTCCATATTCCTACCCCCGACCTACGCCCCTCCGTGCAATCCAGCCAACAGACCATCGCACGTAGATCACGGCCGAACGACCTATCCGCGTCCACTCCAGCTCTCAGCCCCCCTGACAGGCTTCTTCCTCATCACCTTGCAATGCTTCCCCTTCTTCATATGCCTCTGCAACGCATCCCTCCTCGTGAACGTCTCCGGACAAACAGAGCACAGGTGGATGTTGACCGGCTCGTGAGCCTGCGTCGTGCTAGCATGGCGCTCGAAGTCTCCCTTGCGAGCGAAGTGCTCGCCACATTCGCACCAGAAAATGCCCTCCTTGACTGTGACCATGGGTAGCCGACGGCGCCGAGGCGGGAGGCTCGTCATGGGGATGGTAGAAGTGGAGGCGGAGGCGGAGGACGGAGCAGAAGTGGACGCCGGAGGGTTGGAGTACGAATATGAGGATGATGAATGGGCTGGAGAGGAAGTTGGGACAGACGAGGACTGTGCAGGGGAATAGCCCTGGGAAGAAGTCGACGAATAGGAATGAGGTGATGTTGGGGCGGATGAGTGAGAATATGCAGGCGCGGATAAGTGCTGAGTCGCATATCCCGACCTGGACGCCTGTGGCGCGGACGAAGATGAAGTGGGATATGACGACGACGACGACGGCATGGAGAATGATTGTCCACCGGTAGATACGCGGTGAAGCGAATTGGAATGTGGGGTTTGACTGGCGTAATGTGTGGAATGTGCGATAGCGGGAGGGTTGAAGTGATGATTGAGCGATTGGATAGGAGGAGAAACCGCCGACCCAAGTGCAGGATATGACGATGGAGTAGAATATGGTAATGGAGGCGGATACTGCTGAAGGGATTGTGGAGGTGGAAAGGGCGGTGGATCGAATGATTGAGTAACAAGGGGCGCTGGTTGCAGGAAGGCCGCCTGCCCAGATTGATTCCAAGACTGGGACTCGGCCACATGCGATATCGCGTTCTGACCAGTGGAAGCAGACGGATCCTGCTGCCAGAATGCATTCTGCCTTTGCAGAGTAGAACCAGTCATTCGAGGGTGTAGTGCGATGGGCTGAATACAATGGTCAAAACGTCTTCCGTCTAGCAAGCGATAGACGAACTTACCCAGTTGCCGTGATTAGGATTGGCGTCATCAGCAACATGCTGATGTGACCGAGTAGAAACCGAAGAAACTTGTGAAGTGGGTGATACATCAGAAGGAATAGATGTTCGCCAGAAGTTCTGCTGTGGTTGCACTGGCCACGAGCCCAATCCATGGAAGGAGTGGCTCGCTGGCAAAGAAAGAGAGGACATGGCCTCGTGCTGATTAGGGATCCTGGGGGTCGCGAGAGTCGGCGTCTGAGAGGGAGAAGAAGTTTGTTCAAGAATACTTTGCTGGCTGTTCATAAGTAGAGCTTAGATCTGAGGAGGGATGGAGAGTCTCTGATGAGCGGTGCTGATGGAGTGGGGGGTTACAATGCAGTCTGGCAGAAGGGACAACAAATTTCGAGGCGAAGGTACGCCTCCTTATAACTAGGCGCCCCACGCACCCACCCCATCGTCGCATATGTTGAGCGCGGTGCATTTGACTGATACGACGAGCAGTAGCAGAGACCTTATAGGGACAGAAGCCGCTCCTTATTTAGAAAGAGAGCGGGGAGTTGAGTGCAAACACGAGGCGTTCGTACGCACAACGAACGGACCCTTCCATCGAAGCCCAGAATGTGGCGCTGCTGGGACGCTTCCCCGGCCGACCGGCAAAGGCTGTGATCGGGCCTGAGCCACACTCATGCATGCCTCGACGCTTTCGCGTGTTCGGATTGCGCGCCACAGGACCCGGGCGCTCGTGATGGAAACATACCTCTTTCGTCGACACTCATCCGCTTTCTCTGTCTTTTCTCCCACCAAGTGCTCGGAATTCTGCTGGATCTTTCTCCTGTGGTGCTGTGCTTTCCTCTGATGGCCTAAATATGTACAATCGCTCCAGATCTTTCCGCCCTGTTTGCCTGCTATCTGCAACGCACTTTCCAGGTGTCTGCGCCGCTCAAAGCGTCACCTGTCATCGAAAGCCTCATCTATCCAGTAGAACGTCTTGCAGTCCCAGTTACTCACGTTCAATTCTGCATGCCACCGATTCGACCTAGTTCTCACCCAGAATCTGTCGTTGACGACACTGCTGTGTTTTCTGGAAATACAACCTTTGGTCTGCAATCGACTCACATTCGATACTGTCTAGTCACACGTATACACCAGATTCCAGGGCGGCACATACGCACAGCTTTCTTCTAGAATGGCATACGTCTGCACTACTTTTCGGTCCGCCGTTCTCGAACGCTCCTGTTTCCATAGAAGGGGAACCTCTGGAGTAACCGTCTTTCAAACAGATGGCCGACGATTACGCTTTGCCCTTCATCCACCTTTATTTGCCGGCCGGTATTCAAAAACTTGCAATATCGGCGTTCTAGCTTTGACCTTCCTCTACGTATGGCTATCTTGTACGGACTTCGACTACTTACTCTGGTCCTGGCAATGGGGCCAGTTGTTAGAGCCATTCTCCCATCGGTGGTGCGATTTCAACTAGCACAGAATGTATCATCATCATCGTCACTGGACATACTGAACATGCCCATCATGCATGTTTCTGGCTTCGATGGCTTCGAAGCCAGCATCGCCGTATGCTCGTTTCAGAGATAAGTATGCGCTTCGTCCGACGTCGTAGCTGTGCAAGTGGCAAATAAGCGCCTACATGGGTCCACACTCCGAGGATAAAGCGCCCATCCTCTTTGCTCCTGATTGAGGAATTCTCGTACCGAGTTCATATTTTCGTTACGTTCTGGTACCCCTTGACGAAACTTCAAATGTTGGATAGGATTTCTCCGCGTTCCTTTACCTTTCAGGTATTATACTTTGGGTGGCCCTGCATGCGCTATCGGACTTTGTCCCATGGTGGAAGTCTCTACTGAATGTCGTTGATTCGCATCAAGTTGTGCATGTACGTGCCTATTTCTCTGAACTTCTGATCTTACTGATCCCTCAAGGCTATCCCGACTCGTGCCAATGGCTCCGACAGAACCATCGTCCGAGACTTCGATGTTCACTCGGTGGCGAGTGACGCCACTCACAGTCTGGTGTTTTGGAAGGTGGCGCCGAGCACCGGTTTCGATGTCGAGAGACCGAGGACTTGATGTCGCTGTGGGTGTTTGTGGGTCGCCGTGGGTGTTTGTGGGTCTCGTTCTATCTGCTGGCTCATGCTGACTCGAAGCATAGGTTGCAACCGACGAACGGACCCTCTTTACATAGATGGTACGTTTCAATCTCTCTGTTCTCACTGTGGCCGTAAGTGCTTTCGATGCGCAGGATTCTTGAGAGACAGCTTTTGGTTTCGTTCCTTATGTCGAATGTATGAGGACGCCGCGTTATCTCGGAGGCGTGGGCCACAATTGACCCGTCGTCCTCTAGAGCTCTACTCGTTCATGGATTTCTGACTAGTACTACGTACCGAATATCGCGGGACTTACGATGGTCTAATCAGTCAACGAAGTACAGTTCTTGCATTCGACAGTCTTTGAGGCCTAGGCGAAGTCGACGGAGCGATGGAAGTATCTCCCACTTAATAATTCTACTATAAATCATGATTCATCGCATATATCATCGAAAAGCAAGTGGACCGAAACTCTCTACCCGAACCAGACCAGACTCCGTCATAGTGCATAACAAAGCGGCAATAGCAGGAGACCAAAATACCCACAAACGCGGGAGGCGGGCGAACTCGACTCAAACTATGGGATCATTAGACTTGGTTTCTTTCGTACAGATAGAAGGCATACCATAAGGATCTTGCTCATGATCTCCCGACCGTCCACCGAGTTTGACGTCATCCGGTCGGCGAGACTCGCCGTATGTATCCATCTGGATATCACGCTCGATAGCGATGTTGACCTGTGTGGGGCGAATGCTATGATTGCCAGGCGCGTAGCGGTTGGCCTGCTAGAGAAATAGTGAGTTGGCCAAACTCAGAGATCAGGGAGTTTTAGGAGTGAGGGAGGTAGGATCACGAACGGAAAGATTCAATGAATTCTCTCCTGAGCCTTTTGCGCCTGACATTACTTCGCGCAGCCCTGTTCTTGAGTTTAGGGTCTGGACGAATATCTCGTCAAACAGAGGAAAAGGGCAAGCAGAGGAAAAGGCAACGCACCGACAGGAGGGTATTGCTAAGAAGCAGCGGGAACAGGATCAGTAATGGCACTAGAAGAATGCCAATGCAAAGGAAACGTACGTATATATGCGTCCCATGGGCTAGCAGAACCCGTCTACGTTAGCTATACTCCAGCGATACAACGGCGGAAGGCATGCATACCAAAGCAAAGATTAGATGAAAGTTTGTGCTCTGCAACACCGACTACGCCGATGCAAAAGAGCAGAGCAGACATTAGCTATCGAAACGATACAGTCATAGGACCAGGACCCACGAAACAAATGAGGTCCATGATCTATTTCATGGAAGGCGTATCACGGCGCATCACGACTCATCAGTATGTTCCGAAATCAGAAATACGGCGAGAAAGCACATACACAAAAGAAACTGCCAAACGCCGCCGTTTCCACGGCTCCCCTAATGATCTTGGAGACGACGTTTTGGGTTCCTAAGATATTCCGTGGAGTTGGATCAGTACGGTCTGCCAGTGTCACTCTCTTCGTCATCAGACGTACTGGAATATGCACTGCGATTCTTCGACAGGTAAAAGAACAGCAATAAACTGGAAAATGATAAGCGTGGATAGTTGGAATGGCTTGGTACGGAGTGTACGTACGTGATACCCAAGTCGGTGAGTACGGAAAGAGCCAGCCAGGTATCCACCAGTGGAATGAGCTTTGCGAAATCGTTGATGCTAACAAGGATTCATGAGTAAGTCATGACACAACCGAAGCGATGATGCAAGACGGACTTGGGAGTGAGAAGAGCACCGGTAGCGCCAGCGATACCAAAAGCCCCCTGCGCTACTGATAGAACCACGATGGCACTGAAAATCCCCCAAGAGCTGGAGAACTGCTTGATCCTGTATCCAAGAAATATTTGGATCGGGACAGAGGCACTGTGACGAATAGGCGAAACCACGACGATGAGAATAGATCTTAATGTGAGCTAGGATAAACTTACCACACTGTGACGATTGGCGTAGACGGAAAAGGCCAAGGTGCGGCTGACAATATCTCCAGGTTGTTGAAATTAGTTCTATACGTCCTAACATTGATGAGCGCAAGAACAAAGACGACTGGCGTGCGACGCACACGACGTAGTCCCACAGCATGTACACGCTGGCAGCAACATGGAAGGTATCTAGTAAGAGTACCCAAGCCACCAAGGCCCTGACGGTAAATCAGACAGAAGGTCCGTAACTCATATTCTTGAATGGTACTCACTGCAGCACCACTTTGTCCTTGAACCCAGCCGTATAATACGTGTTGAACTGAACGACACATATGCCAAACAGGAAAACGTTCGTCACAGTAGCAATCACCACGGGCCCTAGAATGAGCGAGATGTCCACCATGGTCTTGCGAATGAAAGCTGTTGGTCGATGAGTGAGAGAGCGGACCCGTAGTAAGGGAAAGATGGGACGTGAGAGTTTGTCGTAATAGAGGGTTTGTTATAATATGTTAGCGCGGACAATCCCATTGCGCTCGTTCCGCTTGGTTGAAACCTGAAGACAAACACATCTATGAAAGTTAAAGGACATGTACAGCAACCCGGCGGAACCTCGAATCGGTCACTGGGGAGCTCAACGGAGGCCGAATCCTCATAAAACTGTAAAACACAACCACAGGCCCCGCCTGATCCTGATACGTATATTCCGAGAGGCACGCAACCCGGAGGGGTTAACGCCCAATCACAGGTTGATGCGCTAATATCGTTGAAAACGTGTTTGCCCGTTTCTCGATATGGGAGAAAAGGTGGAGGATGACGGTGATGAGTTGGTGGAGACTTTTAGGGATATCAATGCTACGTGTAGGGAACATACGCTGGTTATTTCGATGAAATCATACCGCTGCATTGAATGTTTCACAAGCTCAATGGATTTTCTATGGGAGCTAAAGGGAGATAATGATAGAAATGGCAATCCATATGTCCACTCAGAAGCAGCTTCACAGCGGTCGTTACACCGCTTGTCACTGTTGTCGTCAAGTAGACTAGGGTCAGGACATTTTGGGAAACGAAACGCAATAAGACCCTGGGTGGAAAGGACGTAAGGGAGGAAAGAATGAAGGTCACATACTGACCAGTCGAACGCGGTGTAAAACGCTCCGGGGTCAAATGCTTGGCTGGATACTTACATGCGGTGATCGCACAGGGTCTCCTGCACTTGCAGTTGGTATGCACCATCCCGTCGACGTGTTCCTCTAATACACTCATAATTTACCCGGTGTACGTGTACATTGCAGCCTGCATGCGAGCATTCGCCGATGAGTCGATCCCTGTCGATCCAACTGAAGCACTGTGGCACGGATAGGGCCCCGAGTCGAGAGGACGGGCCACGGTGGAAGCACATGTAGCTTGGTACTGCACACCTACCGTGGCAGCCAGAGGAGCTTCGGTCAGGTAATGCTCGATGAATGCTATTGAACAAACACATAACTCTGGAAGTTTGCGTTGAGGTCCGAATCGACGAGTTTGCTTGACATCCGGTGAGTCTTTCTTGGAGTATCTATTCGTGGATCGTTTCCGATCTCGAAAGACAGGCAGAGTACGCGGCTGCATCTCCGCGAAAGTTGCTGAGTTGCAGATCCGTAAGTTGAACTTCTCTAATAACTGCGGCCGCGCTTGGGCCGCGCTGAGTGTGTTCGGAGACGCGTGAACCAATTTCCGTTCGGTTCGACTGCATAGGACCGTATCCACAATGTGCCACGCGAGCGGACCTTAAATTATGGTTACTCTACCGTATCTTATCTTTCCCGCATCTCACCTTCTCCAGTCCTCTGGGTTCGAGTGCTTCGCTCATTGTTCCTGTAAGTGGAAACACCCAAAGACCGAAAAAGAAATCTAACTTACGTTCATAGCATCGAATCTTACTGCCATGGCTGCTATTTCTAGTTGTCCGCCACTCATCCGCCAATCTGTCCTCGATGCCCATGAACGAATTAAACCATATGTTCACCGCACTCCAGTCCTCACGTCGAACACACTAGATGGTTTGGCCACTTCAGCTCTAGATCATCCATGCAAATTATACTTTAAGTGCGAAAACTACCAGAAAATTGGAGCTTTCAAAGCCCGTGGCGCATTCCACGCGATCAGTCGTCTTCGAGATGATGAGCTCAAGAATGGAGTGGTCACTCATAGCAGTGGTATGCACCGTATCCTTTTCTCCGTTGCTCTCCTTTTTTTTCTTCGTCGTATGATCATACGATGATGCTAATTGTTCATTGGTGCCACTACAGGGAACCACGCCGCCGCATTAGCCCTCGCAGCTCGTACCCGCGGCGTAACGGCTCATATTGTCATGCCTTCCATATCTCAGCCGAACAAAATCGCTGCAACTCGCGGCTATGGCGCCAATGTCATCTTCAGTGGTAGTACGTCGCAGGAACGAGAAGCCGTCGTTTACGAAGTCATCGAACGCACCGGCGCAGTTTTGGTACCTCCCTATGACCACCCGGACATCATCTGCGGCCAGGGTACGTTAGGTATCGAGTTGCAGGAGCAGGTACGCGACAAGTTGAGCACCGGAAGTGAAGAAGATACCCTTGACGCGGTTGTGGCGCCATGTGGCGGTGGAGGAATGTTGTCGGGTGTTGCATTGTCGTTCGAAGGACAAGCCACTTTCGTGTTCGGCGCAGAGCCTTCATTTCAAGGAGCAAATGACGCGGAACGCGGTCTTGCTGCGTCCCCTCCAGAGCGTGTCCTCACGGTCAAGTCACTCACCATCGCCGACGGTCTTCGTACACCTTTGGGCGAGATCACCTGGAAGGTCATCAGTAACAAGGGTCTGGTTCAGGGAGTATTCAGTGTGAGCGAGGAGGAGATTAAGGATGCTATGCGTTTAGTCATGGAGCGGATGAAGGTGGTGGTAGAGCCCAGCGCGGTGGTCGGCTTGGCGGTGGTGTTGTATAATAAGAAGTGGCATGAAGAGATGAGAAAGCTCCAGACAGAGAAGGAAAAGACCGGACCCTGGAAGATTGGGATAGTTCTGTCCGGTGGGAATACGACGTTGGAAGCGTGTGCTAAGTTGTTTGGAGGCGTTTCGGAGTAGTTAAGAGTAAGGAAAGGGGATGGATTCGATTCGAGACGTAGGGCTTTACTGTGGACTACATGTTTGGAGCGGCCTTGAATATACTCTACTGTACAACTATCTCAACATCCTAACCGGAAAATCTCTACCCTCTGGTTCGTATGTTATCAATCCTCCGTTTGCACCCCGTTTGTATCTTATCATCTCGAAAAAAAGTGTGAATGCACCATCAGCTCACAGCCTCATCCTAAAGTTCTCTCTATGTCTGGTAATATAAGCTGTATGCAGGCTGTTCAGAGTCTTGAACTTCCTAAAGTTGTGTGACACGAATGTGGCCCCGTGCCACACTCAACGTATAATGTTACGTAAACAACCTCGCCGCAAATTCGCCGCGTCGCGGAAGCGTGCACGATTCAATGCTTCACGCGTCCTGCTCTCTCCGCTCACCTTCTCTTTCTCGCTAGCTATCACTGTATTGTCAACATCTTCGATTTTTCTTCTATTTGCAACTTTTGTAATCATAATGCCTGCTGCACGCGAATCCGGAAAATGTTTCACTTGCCGCAAAGAAATGCCTTGGAATAAAATCAAGCGTTGCGGTCGATGCAAGGGACCTCAGTACTGCGTAAGTCTCCCTGTCCTGTCCATTATCACCATCGACTTCGTGCTTTCCAACTTACAGGAATAAGATGTTCTCCAATTCTGACCATCTGACCGCATACTCATACCTCTAGAGTGAACAATGTCAACTGGCTGATTGGCCTTCTCACAAACGATCTTGTAAACGCCAGACAGTCTGGTACGACAAGTATCGCGCCTGTCAAGATGGCTCCATCCATGAAGGCAAACTCGAGCTCATCACTTGGCCGTCTCCCAATCCGTCTGACGGCACCGGCTGGGGCGCCTGCCTTCTCGAAGAGGCGGACGATCTGAAGAGGAAGTTTGAGACGGAGTTCGGAGGAGACGAGAACAAATTTTTCAAGTACTGGCCACAGGGTTTTAGGTGGACTTGTTGCGGGACGGATGGGGGTATGAATTGGGGGTGTGATCATCATGGAACGGGGAAGAAGGCTTGCACATGTGACTTTTGCAAGTGAGTTCTTATTTGCTTCGCGTTCTTGACTGTGGTGAAAGAGGCTGTTTGAGGAGGTCTCCATGTGGATATCGAGAAGCTGATGATGTTCTTAGGATGGGTGCGCCACTTCCGGACAAGATTTATAGGGAGAGGTCTGCCACTCGCTATGGTCTGACACTCCAACGTGGGCCCGACCCTAGGTACGTCATTTCTCCTCTAAATAATCCCCCAATCTATGTTGTCCGTCATACGAAACATCCTCTCTTAATGCCCTACCAGGTCATACAACTCGGTCGACGCAGGGATAAGTGCGCGCATGCGAGGAGTTCTTGGCCTCGATCTCTAACTCAAGGAGCAGCCACATTGTCCCAGCGTCGCTCATCGATCTCCATAATTGTGGCCGACGTGTTATGGGTGCTATTTCTACCGAGATGGCGAAGTTTGTTTTGTTTCCCTTTGTCCTGTTACACTTACAGTCAGTTTAGTGCGTCAAGTCAGGTTTGATGTATCGTTACCAAACCCGTGAGTCTCGTCAACTCGACAACGAACCACTAATCGGTGGAGATGTTGACTTTCTCGTCCATATCGATCTGTCTATTCGGCGAACATGGCTCTCATGTTATCAACGAGCACTCTGAAAGCTCGGATTTGATGAGCACCGTTGCGTTTTCTCTCCCAAGGTTGCCTCACAAGGTCACGCTCGTCACGATAAGCTTGAGAGCATTGTTGCTGGATCCGTGTGCTTCAGCTGACAGCCACTTCTAACAACTTTCCTTTCCCTTGTCATCGGCAATGTCGATACCCTCTTCCTCGTATAAACATCACTCCAATAAAATCTCCTGACTCTGACTCGTAATCTGGCCCGACGCCTTGTGCACTTGTGTTGTTTGCGTTGTTCGGTATACTAGGATTGGCGACCAGAGTCAACCGCATCTTTCCCTTAGCGTCGACGGGATACTAGACGCAGATCCTCCTCTTATGTCCAGGGAGTCCGTCGGTCATGGGGTGTCAGAGCAAGAAGGCTGTAATGCTACCGGTGTTGTAATTTTTACAATCGGTGCGAATCAATAAGTTCATTGACAACGCTGCAGAGTCGCCGCAATGATCAGCGTCTTCTCGGAAGCACTCAAGACTGCCTCGTCCACATTGGGATTTATTCGGTTTGTTGGGACACGGCAGGCCGATATCCTGTCGCAGTGTCGTCTACGAAGCAAGGTGATGGCTTCCTCCCGATTGCGTACTATGTTTAAGACGAACGTTATGATAGCAGCTGTATCTTCAAATCCAAGGCATGGTTAAATTCAGCCTCTGCCTGATGAAATCCCACTGAAGATTTAATACAGGTCTCACACCAAATGCGTCATGCCCTTACTTATTCGAGCAAACCCACCGAGCAGCAACTATTACAGCTCTAGGCCTCCTGATCGTACCAGGCGTGACGTATTGCGCCGTGTGAGCACACGTCAACAACGAACTTCAAATGATCTGCTCTCATCAAAGGGTACAGTCGCCTTGTGTTGCTCGTCCGACCCTGCCAATCGCAACCAGCCCGAAATATTGCGGTAATATTTCTTTAAAATATTTCATAAATTCTCCACCGAAGATATCGCTCGACTATCCATACCTCCAAGTCTTCACTGATACCTGCTGTAGGGTTACTCGATGTCCAATGGTGCTTCAGGGCATCCATCCTATATTGGCCATCGCGCGTCGCCCTGCAGAAGACTCTGCGTGATATGACCACCGGGACCTCCGCGATGCAGGGTCAGACACCCCCTCGTTTTTGGTTTGCGCAACTGTCTCAGCAACGCGTTCAACACAGTTCTTTGTGTTAGCGAACGAAGGGCCTCGGAGCAAGCCCTTTCAGGCAGCGATGTTGGCGCTCTTAGTTATGCAGGGCGACCTAAATAATAATTCGGTGACATCTGAGACCGATGACGTTCTTCAAAACATTGCAGCATCAGATCGTCCAGGACCATTAAAGTCGACCACTGGAGACAAAGTCCAATGTCCTCCGTGAATTTAGCCTGAAGATAAGATGATCATATTCAATGTAAATTCTGTATATCTCTGCCAGCGACATTCTGATCATTTTACCAATAAAATTTCGCATAGCATCTTTCTTACTCGCTCGATGATAATTTAAGTATTACCTTACAGGGCATGCAGAATGTTTTCGAGTTTGTTTTCAAAAAATTTGATAAGATTTTAGTCTAAATAAATTCTCGCTCAGACCACGCGCCCTTTTCTCAATAACCTCGGAGAAGCTAGGGAGAGTTTTTCGGAGTTCATATTACAAATATGTTCGTATTTATGGCGGTAAATCTAGTCGGGACTCTATGTGGATTATGTCGCGACGTCTCAACATCTCGACGCAAACCGCCTGGACATCGCACCATCGCATGGCAATAACATGCCAATACTCGCCACGTCAAATCTTCACATGCCTCTCGCAGCCAACCCTCTGTCTTGCGACTTGTTTCCATCGTGCTTGCGACCCCCCTTGATGTCGTCATCTGAGCACTCGAGGATTGTGAAGGACTTCGCCTCGTCACATCTCTATAACGCCACTCGCCCGTACGCTCACTCGACGTTTCCGACAGAATTTTGGTCTCTTGTGGACCAAAATAGACACAGATTATCTCGCTTACACCTGAAGCTGTCGTCGCCAGCTATAAGCGCCATGGGCCATGTTGACGATGCATATCAACACGGAGGTTGGAGATGGAAAGAAGTGAGTGATGAGGGGCGGAGCGTATGATGAGAAGCAACGCGGAGAAAGCAACGCACCATGGCACTTAGCTTGCCCCAGCAATCATTGCTCAACAGCGTCTCGGTCACCCACGTCCTGATCGCTTCCGAGTCCTTCTTGCGAGTCGGCAATTGATTCCTTGAAATCCGCGCAAGAGAGTCCGTGAGTTAATCGCCCAACGTCAAGATAGTCAAAAAAACAGACGAAAGAAAGGAATGGGTACTGCTTACTGATCATACTATAGTTGCATCGCCAACAGCGTTGTGAAAGCACTCATATGGTGGCCTTGCCACTCGCCCTCACTCGCCACTCACAGTTTGTGCCACCCGGAATCTGCCGGAGACGCTCAGGTTCCTCCTGAACGCCGAACACGATTCCTTCCTTCCAGCCTTCGTCTTCGCCTCCTTTCATCCTCAGTTTTCTACTTGGCGGCGCTGATGACTCTGACGGATCCAGCTGTAGGTGCACCCAGGGCTTTTAACACGGTAGCTATCAGAAATCATGTCGAACCAGTGTCGAACTACTCAGACCAGCACCTGCAGCTGGCACTGGATTAGACGCATAGCGGCTCTTTCAGGACATCCTTGAACGATTATGACCATGGAAAGTCCGAGGGGAGTACCAGCAGTTGAGGCTGAGAGTGTTCAGATGATGATACGGTACGTTTCTTTCTCTCTCAACAGATTTATTTTATCGTCTGGACGTTGAGAGATGTTAGAGGACAGCTACTGTATGAGTCGCGACATGCTCGATCATGTCCGTTCGCATCGGCCAAATCGCACAACTCTGGCGGACTATTTTGGGATTGCCTCCGGATCACCGGACCTCGCCGAACGCCACCCATTCCCGTCAGCCTCTGTCAGGACTCGCAGGACGTCGCACACAATTGCGAGCAGTGACCAGGCATTGCAGAGCTGGAATCACAGTCCTCCGACGGGCCCATCCATTCTTGCTGCATGGCAGGGGCGACACCGCCTGCCAGTGCCGTTGACCCCAGACGAAACGAGCGCCACACAGTCATCGTGCATATGCGTGAGAGCTTGATTACGTGAGCTGTTGATTTTCGTCGTCGTCGACCTTCAGGTTGGCCTTCCTTTCTTACGCGACTCTCGACGTTGAGACGTGCTGCTCTCTCGCGCCTATAGTGGATCCACACACTGGCAACCCCTTCCGGGGCAGTCGTGAAATTGTGGATCGCGTGTACCCCTTCGTTCACTGTCCAAGACCGGCCGTCGTACTTTCGCGCAACCCTCACACGACCCAGCGCGATACTTCGAGAGGATAGAGGGCCAATTTATGTGATGGGAAGCTTCCTTAGGCAGTGGATTAAGGCATTGCTAGTGCGTCTTTCCACTTTTTCCATCCGCCGACTTTCGCTGACTGAGCTTGCCGTGCTCATTTATCTCCAGACTCGTCTCTTGCTACGTTTAGTCCATAACACTCAATGTACTATAACATGTGCCATAAAAATAGTATGTTGTTTCGAGTATTGGTATCGTGTGCGAAGGAAACCAGCGATATGTAAGAACTAGTATGAGTCAAAACCGGCGGCTGCTAGGATGTCGCCGTCGTCCGGCTCTTCGCCTGACCCTCCTTCGTCATCGGAATCCTCGTCGTCATCGGAATCCTCGTCATCGTCAGAATCCTCGTCGTCTGAGTCGCTCTCGTTGTCCTCTTCCTCACCCTCTTCATTTTCTCCTGGAATGTCTTCCCCAACCGCTTCCGGTACGACTCCGACTTCCTCGGCTCCTTCATCATCCTGCCACAATGCACCGGCTGCCGGGACATCGAGTCGAAGGCTTTCGTTGCATGAACTAGTGCTCCTGTGCCCTACACCACCGCCGCGGAAACGCATAACCATATCTCGATCAACGAACCTAGCAATATGGTTTATTATCACGAGAACGGCTGAGACACCCATCCGAGGGTAATAAAAGATATAAGACTCACATATTCACGTACATGGAGTCCCAATCGTCCTCCTCGTCCTCAATGTTCTTGCCATGGGAGCGAGCGAGTGAAGGACTGGCGAGGAGTGTGGATGTACGGCCATAGTGGTACGCAGGAATGATGTGTGCGCCGCGGACAACATCAGCCGGGTTGACGAAGCCAAAGGCATCCGGTACATCTTCGTGGACGAAGCGGAGACGAGGAAGGCGTTTCCTCACCCAGCCGTAGTCGTTGACGGGATCGGTATACCAACGGACCCACAGGAACTCGAAACGCTGCCAGTCCCCCGGTTCGCCGTTAAGGCCACGGTGGCGTAGCATGCAATGAAACACGCAAATGACGCGTGCATACAATATGGATGTGCGCCATCCCGCTCGTCGTTCGAAAGCACCATGATATCGCGACACTTTCGAGGATTGATGGAGTCCTGAGCTCTACGAACGTCGTAGGTGGTGTAATTAATGCGAAGACGACGGTGGCGATAGAAGCGGTTTTTCTGGATTTCGATGTTATCGCGCTCTTCAGGTGAGAACACACGCTCCTCGATGCCCATAAGCCGTGCATATGCATGATCTATGAAACGGATAGCGAAGTCCTGCAGGGATTCAAAAAAAAAGCCCAATGAGAGAATGACACAAGTATGTTGCTAAGGGACAAACCTTGAGGGCGGGATCAGTACCGGGAGAGACCTTGCAAGCAAGGTAACGAGGACACTAAACGAGACCAGCAAGCAAAGGGATACGTAGCGGCACGCCTGTTGGTGGTACGAATTACTATCGACCGTCCAGGTAGATAGCACCCTACAATCTCTCTTTGGTCCATATAAACATTGAGACAATGCAAAACAAAAGTGATATGCGTACCACGTGTATAATCCACGGAGCTCGTTGGGAAGGCAAGCATCATTGTTGATGTTGAGGTAAGTCAGCAGCCCTAACCTAGGTCCGATCCTCACGGCGGGCAAAACCCGGCAACATCCGAGATTTTATGCGGAGTTCATTGAGGGTTTATGTGTAAAATCCCCCCCCCCCCCATTAAATCCCGGGTGTTTTTTGAATTAAGAACCAATATTTTATTGTGATCTTATTTTGATCGATTCGCAGCATCGCAACGTTGCGATTTGTGGATTCCGGACATCGAGTTGCGAGTCGTAAGATGTTGCGAATCTTGAGAGATCTCAAGTCGGTCGCAATACTATCGACAGTGAATAACATCGCACTCGTTGAAACGTTGAGACTGCGTGGAGTGTGCTCTAATCAGCGAATCCGACGACCTAGTTTCATGTCAAGGGGCAGCAAGAGCAAAAACTGAGGAGGGGTGCAATCTTGATCTGTGTCCCGCGGACATCTCCGGAGATCCCTTTCAGTCGAAGATGTCTTGGAACGTGTTAGCGATTCCGATGGATGAAGGTGTCTGTTCTATTTTTGGCTCACGTTCACCTCCCTGTCCTCAACAATTCGAGAGCATACGCCGATTTCTTTTCCGAAGGCATAACGCTTGGGTCCGGACCCAGTTCTCGCTGGCCACAGATGGGAGCTCATGTGGGAATAGGCCTTTGGGCTGAGGGGTGCGATTTCTACTAGTATACGTACCAAGGCGACGTGGCGGTTGAGTGACTTGGCACCTGACAATTTAATATCTGGTATATGTCAGTTACCGGTGACCCGTATGTCACGACCGCACAAGTCAGGAATTGTCTTCTCGGAGACAGATGATCAGATTTATTTCAGCAGTACGTCACAACAAGATCGCGCGTAAGGAAGAAAAACCAAGAAATTGAATAGCAACAAAGAAATCGAAGACAACAGCGGACAAACAGAGGGAAAGCAAGATTCAGAGCGCACGAAAACAAGACAAGTCGGATGCAACAACTAATCCTACACCTCGAATCTCTGAGAGCTGACCTAAGTGCCAGAGGAGACGCAATCGAAGTGCGGGTCCAACATATTAGCATGTATACTGAATAGTATGACTAAGACTCACGCATCGCGCCACAAAGACGTCCCTTCGGAGAGCGGATGTTAGACAAGTATGAACACACATGCGGGACCACTTACCTGTATCACAACACATGGAACGTACCGCGACCCTCCCCGTTAATCTGAACCCTGACGCAGTAATGCTCCACCCGCGTCCAGGTTCCGTCATCTAGCATATGCCAGTTGTTGTGCCATCCAGAACCGCTTGTAGAAATAGTCAGAGCGGAGTACGCGCGCATACCAAAGAACAGAATGCACTCACTCGACGTCAACTACTATGTGCGTATCTCCCTCGGATATCGAGAGATGAAACTCGTCGAACACGAAAAAAAGACAGTAGTCTTTACAGTGGCGGATTTGGCGACGGTTCTTCTTGGTTTTCTTCTTCCAGAGGGTGTCAGGGACATTGATGTCGACGATGCGCCTGTACCCGCCGATCTCTTCAACGTGCTGGTGAATGAGCTGCATGCTTTGTTAAAAGGCTGAAAGGTGTCAGCCAGTAAACACCCAATAACAACCAGGGGAATAGAAGGAAATGCCAACACGAATAATTCGCGATGGTATGGAGCGTGTGTTGGTGATGGAATGCTCACCTGGAAGCTTGCGTAGTTCGAAGATCAAGAGGACATGGAAACGACGACAGGAGAGTCAGCGATCGCCGAAACGAGAAGACATGAAGAAGAACGCACCTGAAGTCGAAACGGAGAGCAATACACAGTCGAGTGTGTCGAAGGCAAGAAAGGATCCAGCTCAGAAACACAAATCAAACAAGAAATAAAGCGGGGAACTTACTTAGAAATCAGAACGTGTAACAATTCGGAAGAACACTGGCGAGGAAGAAGCAGAAGAGTTAGCGCGAGCGAACGGAACAAGCATGTCAAACATACCTGAACTTTGGTGTCGGCCACAGCTGTGCAGGAAACGCGTGAAGTATTCACGAACGTCCGATACAGCTGCTCAAATGATGACAAATAATGTAGAACAGAGAGGAAGACTTACCTGGGATTGAAACGTACGAGTCCAAGTTCGGTGTGCGGGATTGTAAGAGGAGGAAAGGGTCAGAGACCCCGCAAGAAACAGTCAGAAGCCTGACAACTTACCTGAAGTCCAAATCGGTTAGTACAAGTTGAACGCGCAGCGGATTCAACCAAATAGCAAGTCAGAAATACAGCAACATTGACAAAGAAAATGGACACCCTACCTGGAGTCGAGACACACAAGCCCAAGTCGATAGAACAAGTCTGAAAGGGCACCGCAACTCACCTGAACGCGAAGGCCATGGTCTGAAGCTCGAAGGGTAGAAATTCAATGACGATATATTTGACGTCCTGGCCTTTGGGGGACTTGAGTTCGTTATGCCCACCGGCCGTGGTCTCTTTTCCATGAAGTAGACCGCTACATTAAGCGAGCCAACATCGGCATATTCCTACAGCGAGAGAGCTGTTTCGAAAACTTGGTCGATAGTGTCGCATCCTCGTGACAATGGTAACTGCCAATCACGGTTCCTATACTTGTTCTTTACTTACTGATGATGCGATTGCACATAGATTTGTGATTCTGAATGAACCAACAAGAAAATCGAGTCCCTTACACATCATTCCTACACACGCCACTCGTCAGATACCGCCACGTAACAGACCAACGTAGCCACTCACCTTAGTTACTGATCTCCACCCCCTACAGCAGGAGACCGTTGAACTGATGCTACGAACACATACTATTGACTAGCTCCTGCGAGCGGTTTCTCAGAGTGCTAAGTTCAACTGCCAGCTGTCTGCATTTCCAACTCCGCTCGACTTCTAAGATGCTCGGCTAGCTCCGAGAAATAAAGCGATTGCCCAGATGTTTCACTAAGTATTGTGCATTTCTAGAGTTTATCTACTAGATTGAAGGCATGGGCGTTACATTTTCGAGCTCGATATTCGTTTTATTACCTTTACCTTGCTTCAAGGTCCTTCCAACCCCCGTAACCTGCAAATCCGTTGCCAAAAACAAACATGTACAAACAAATGATGTGGCGTGGCGCCACACTGCGCGTCGTCCACGATGCATTTGCACGAATTATACTGTACTTTTTCGACCAAAGGTTCATCAAGAATTTACGTCACCCATCAGTTTCGCCCGGGTCACGGTTCAGAAACCGTGCGTGAGCGTGACGGGACCAGTAAATGGTTCAGAAAACAACGTAGGCGCTTGCGAAAATGATTATTTTGCGCAAGCGCCTGCCGAGGTCACTGTTCGCTCACCCTGCGTTATGCGTGAGGTCACGCAGTATTTTGTTCGGTTCGTCAACGCGGAGAACGCGTGACGAACCTTTGGTCGAAAAAGTACAGTATATCTACTCGACTTGCAGTTGTGACTCCGCAAACAAATTGTATTGACAGTATGGGGTCTCAGACTTGAGCTAATAGAACAATAAACACAGTGGGCACAGTGGTATGAATACTGTAGTTTTTCGCGCACAAGTTCGTGTCCCGTGTCCCATGGGAGCCGTGAACGAACTTGTGCCGACATCACATACTACATAGCCCAACCAATATCGCTGTCTGCGATAGCCCACTGGAACTCGTAATGAAGAAGCGAGTCACGACTTCGGAGAAAGACATTCGCATGTTCAGCATCGCCGACATCCTTCCATCCTACCGGCATCTTGCGCTTCGACGCTGATTCCGTCCACGGACTGCCCATGTTGAAAAATTCTTCCGTTTGTTTACCACCTGCCAGCGCGATCTGGTACCTCGTCGTTGTAGCGTACTTCTCGCAGATAACCTTTGCGTGTTTCAACAGTTTGTCGAAATCGGTTTCATGATCTTGGAAGTATGTGTTGAGGTCATCTTCTCATAGATGCACTTTAAGGTAAGCTCGTCAGTTTCTTGTCCAAGAATGCGCTCAACGATTATCACTCACTTCCGACAGTCAGAAACATCGGCCTTCAATGCATCTACCACTAGATGCTCAGTGGAGTCGCAGTCTGGTCGTTTCACATTCTTCACGGTCCCGCCGAGCAATACGTTTAGCGAGCAGTGCGATGACAGGTCATAACTCTCGGAAACGCGCCAGTGCGTACGAAGAATTCTCTCCAGGTCTAGCCAGCCCATGAGCTACAACTAGGTCACCAAGGTAGCGCACCAAACACCAACGAGAACGATGGCTGTAATTATTCACGCTCGTCCCATTGAGTCATTGACACAGCCTGATCACTTGCTAGAGCTTGAGCTCCTCGGTGCATGTAATGGACACATATACTCAACTTTGGCACTGTCAGGATTGAACTGGCATGTGGGGTTGGACCAGGTGCCCGTTGACAAGAGTAATGGTAAGAAGGAGACCGCGCTCTGTGCCCTTCTCACACCTTGTGTCCCTAGGTTATGGGTTGGGAAATCGACTTATGACGCCTTCATGGCAGTCAACACGCTTCAACACCGTACAAAATAACCGCGGTTGAGGTACCGCGGTGGCAAGAGGCGAACCCGTGCCACACCGCGGGCTACCCGTACCCGTACCCGTGCGGGTGCGGTGTTTGGCGGGTACGGGTACGGGTTCGTCTCTGGCACCCGCGGTTGGACCCGTGCAAAACCCTAGTGTCTACATGTCTACATTTACTCATCGTCACTCAAAACTTGTTCTTGACAAGCCGATGCACGTACTCCGAATGTGTTCCCAACAGCGACCTGTCGACGTGGCTCTTACACCCCTTTCGAATCGGACGAAGAAGAAGCAGCGGTTGAGTCAGCACTCGTGGGACTTGCGCCCTTTCCATATGGCTGTTGCGACGAGGTAGCGGGATTCTCGTTCAACCTATTATTACATTTAAGAACGCCAATTCCTCGTCGTATTGCTGTCTGTGCTCTGGTCGAACAAAGCTTTGCATGACGGTCTTCTTGATAGTTGTGATTTTTTTGGTTTGATATACATGTTTGAGTGCTTCGTCAAGTCCATTGGAAGGCATGGTTCCGAAAGCTTGCTGTGGCACCGAGGATTACTCGTCTGAGCCCGCATCTAGCACGTTCATCTCGCTCTTGTCCTGTTCCTTCCC